TGCAGCGGCACGCAAAGAATTCAGGGATACCAACGGCACGAAAGCGTGCATAAATGCACTTAGCATTTCTTAGCATTTCGTGCCAAATGGGACACCGTTCGCGTCGCGTGATGACATCATGCACGCTTCAAATGCGCCGTTATGTGCAGTTCAACGGTGCGGTCTCTGAAATGGGACACATACGGTGGCCTGGAAGTGCAAAACACAACCGCAAAAGAGAAAACACGACAGCAAATCAAAACGCAAAAGAGAAAACGCAACCACAAATCACAAAACGCAACTGCAAATCACATGTGAAAACGCAAAAAAGAGAAAACACGACAGCAAATCACATATGCAAACACAAAAAAGAGAAAACACGACAGCAAATCACATATGCAAACACAAAAAAGAGAAAACATGACAGCAAATCACATATGCAAACGCAAAAAAGAAAACGCAACCACAAATCCCAAAACACGATAGCAGCGTCTGTCTTCTTCTTCGTTGTAGTTTAATGGCAGTTTAATGGCAGGGTGGAGTACTACCTACACCTGCTGGATCGATGTCGGAACGGGAAAGTAAGCACTCGAATCGACTCGTCTGTCCTTTGACCCGGAAAGACACAGACCGTGGCGCGACAGTCGTTGATGATGTATTGCCGATACTGTGGCAAAGAGCTCCCTGGACAACCCAACTTTTGCAGCAGTTGTGGGAAAAGGCTGCAAGAAGCAGACGATGACAGTCCATCAAGTTAAGGGATGTTCAATTAATGTGTTCTGCTACACAACATGTCGACTATTACGTCATATTTGTGTCCTGCATCAAAATATTGCTGGATAATTTCGAGTACACTTTCGCTTTCGGCGTCCATGTTCATGTCTACTTTCCCGTTCCAAACTCCAGCAGGTGGCAGTAGAACTCCACCCCCAGTGGAGTAAACTGCCATTAAACTACAACAAAGAAGAAGAAGACAGACGCTGCTATCGGCCCAATTCCAAACCACCCCCTTACTGACTCATTGACTTAGGTGCGCGCTCATGTGAGCTCTGTAAGGGCTTGAGGGTTGTTCCAAATGAAATCGGTAAGTCAGCGAGGGCTCGGGAACGCCCCTTTCTGCACCCTTTCCGTAAGTCCGTACCGTTGGAGACTTTGGCTGTGTCCGAAATGGCATAATGCCTACTATCTACTTACCTACTCAAGCAGTAGCTACTGCCTACTGACTTCTCAAAGATGATTTGAGAATGCCGCGGCTGCCCGAGCGTTTACATACAGATGCATACTTAATACCCCAGAAAGCATTTCGTGCCGGCCGGATGCAGCGCCGGGAAAATTTAAATCGTCCTACCACAAGCTACACAAAACGACTGCATTCCGGACAAATTATATAAATTCATTTAATAATAATATTTTTTCTAGCGAGAGAGTAAGTGTTTACATCATGATTATGAGCTCAGTTGTTTGAAATAGTGGCTGTTTGTAAATTTGTCTCTGCGTTTTCAGAGACCGAAGCGTCCGCTTGGTGGGTGTTTGCGTCTATTTACCGTAAACATCGGGCAGCAGCAGCTCCCCCTTCACGTTTCCAAATTATTGAGAAGTGTTTTCATAATCAACATCTACACGACACAAACCGGGCGGCAGTGGATGACAAAAATCACACAAACATCTGTGTATCCATGGTGATAATGCTATACACCACCTGCTAGGCGTGTGATGAGCAGCAGAGGGCTGCAAAATGACCAACACACAACATAATTATTATGACCTCGTTCGGTTATTCCTTGGCAAATACATCATTTCCCGACTACATTCTTTTCATGTACAATGATAATTTCAGAAACCATCAGATTTTCAACCACAAGTAAGGATTAGTAAAGCTCACATACAATGTCAACTGGAAACTCCCCCGTTTGTATATTCTGAACCATGTGCTCTCTACCAATAATAATTTTTATTAATCAGAGGTCTGTGCTTAATATGAGTGACCACTTTGATGATGCATTCAGAGATGAGAAGATGCTCAAACTTAATACTTAAATAAAGTCAATTCATACGAATAGTTAAAAACATTACCGATAATCCTAATTTAAAATACAAATAAATCTGGTAAAAAGATCAAAATGATAAAAATTGTGTAATGTATACTGACTAAATATTGTTTATCTATTTATATATATGATTATTATTGCAATCACATGCCATCTATTTCTTTTCAGCCTCGGGAAAGAGGGCCATATTACCAGCTGAGGTGCGCAATGCATTGTGGGGCAGAAGCAGTACGTGAAGCAAGCTCCGTTCCACACTCAGAAATCGAAGCCGATTGAGTATACATCCGGGCATTTCTCGCATACACAAAATTTGCATACTGTACAGTGTGAACGCACTGCCTACTCAATTCAGAGGCGGGGTTAGTAGGAGTAGTAGGAGTAGTAGGCCATTTCGGACACAGCCGCTGTGTCCGAAATGGCATACTGCCTACTATCTACTTACCTACTCAAGCAGTAGGTACTGCCTACTGACTACTCAAAGATGATTTGAGTATGCCGCGGCTGCCCGAGCGTTTACATACAGATGCATACTAAATACCCCAGAATGCATTTCGTGCTGGCTGGACGCAGCGCCAGGAAAATTTAAATAGTCCTACCACAAGCTACACAGAACAACTGCATTACGGACAAATTATACAAATTCATTTAATAATAATATTTTTTCTAGCGAGAAAGTAAGTGTTTACATCACGATTATGAGCCCAGTTGTTTGAAATAGTGGCTGTTATATATATATATATATATATATATATATATACAGGGCTCTCAAGTCTCACGCACTCAGCGTGAGACACACGCATTCCCACCTGTTCACACGCTCACACGCCACACATCGTATTTCTCACGCATTTAAATGAACATGGTGATGTCCACCAAGTTGCACCTCTTTATGGAACAGGTACGAATCAACTGAGTTCCTCCGAGAGTTCAGAAGCTGCGTGCCACGCGCAAGCCAATCAAATAAAGTATATCTACTGAACAGCCAATCAAAATCAGCATTGCTGTATCCGGGTAGATTTTGATATCTTGCGGTTTGACTACAGGAGAGGACAGACACTCGCCGTAATAGAGCAGGTTTTTATAAGGACGAGATAGACCCGATGATTACAGTAAGTCAGTAACCTACACATGCAGAGACCTCAACACCTCATGGCATATAAACTCATATGATAAACTAAAGCCCTATGCTATTGCTATTAACAGCTGTATTGACGGATTTAGCCTCCGTACAGCCATTTCCAGCCATTTTCCCCTCCACAAAAGCTGCATTTCTCATATATCTCAAATATAAGTTCTGATACTCATGACAGTGTAATGCTCATGTACCAAAGGATTAAGTATCTCCATGTTTGTGAAACCTATACTAAAGTAAAATTCATCTAAATGCTCCACAGTGCAGATTTTAACAACTTTACGACTTAATACTTATACATTAATGATTTTATTCTCCCAAATAATAACTTTATTCTGTAAGATATAAAAACGTTTTTTTCTAATTGTGCCCCTTGTGCTCCGTTGTATTTAAGAGATAATTATACTAATAGTTATCTTCACCCCCCCCCCCCCCCCCCAGGAAATCTCACTCTAAGCTTAGTTCAAAACTTGAGAGCCCTGTATATATATATATATATATATATGTATGTATGTGTGTGTGTGTGTGTGTGTATATACATACATATATACACACACACATACACACACGCATGCGTTATTCTTATAACAAAGAAAATTGATTTTTACTTCAAACTTTTATCTGAATCAATACATTTTATACTGAACACTCTAAAGCAGTGATTACTTTCAGAATCTAGTGCTTCAACCTTTTAACCATTCAATATCACTTAACCTATCATTAATGCTGGTTTTATAATTTATCAATCTAATCATTATTTACCAGTTACCTGTTGTCTATGTTCAAGAGCAAGTGTGTGCAAAAGGAGCTAAACAATGTTGGCATTTCTTCTGCGACGTCGCTGGCCGCGAAATAAATGCAGAATTAAGAGGCCCAGAGAGGCAAGTGTCAGTCGCATCTTTGGTTGTCACGGCAACGTTGTCGTCTGTCGTCAAGGTAACGTGGCACGTCACAAAGGGCTGTTCCATTGCTTTTATACCCTTTTGGAGGAGAGGGACCCAGCTGCAGCGCAAAGATGGCGGACCCAAAAGATGAACAAACGCAATGAACAAACGCAATGAATTTCCGCATTACCTCCGATTGGCGGACCCAAAACAATTACTTCCGGTGGATAGGCTTTCTCGTTGGCGGACTTCCGGCGCCGGAATACTTCAGGTAGTCGGATTTAGTCACCGGATCCTTTTTTATTTTTTTTCGCTCCGTTCATTCCATAAGAATCGAATTAAATTTATAATTGAGCTAAAAATCAAAATAAAACGTTTATGTATTAATTAGGTTTAATGATTTAATTCTGAATTCTTTACAGTAATATGTATATATAGACTGATGTCCTCATATTCTGATAATTTGTCAGAATAGGTATAAATGTATGTAGAAGTTATCATCTTACTCAAATTCTTATGTAAGAGTTTGCTACAAGTATGGACTGTTTTAACCTCTCGTTACACATCATATAAGAGTGTTTTCTAACTTCTCTCTCCAATAGCTTTATTACACAGCACATGAATGTTTCTTAAATTCTCTGTGACCTTGTTTCTCCACTCCTACTAGGACCTCGTTTAATGTCAACAATGTTGCCCTGACCCTCACATATTTTCTGTTGTTCATAATTATGTTTTATGAGAGTGCTTATGTTGCTGCACATATTTCCCCCCCCCATCCTTTAGTAACATTGTGTAACCAGGGACATAATATATGAAATGGTGTGCTTCCTGGTGAACCTCTTCAGGATTGCTTGACTGTGCAAAATCCAAGTATACAATAGTTGTAGAGACACAAGTCACATGATCTCTTTAAGGTTCAGAAGAGCCATATAGCAAAAACAATTGAATAGCGATATCATTACAGACTGTGTAAAGAAATGGGAAATTGTCATACAACTGCTTCAAAGATTTCTTTAATGTTTTCCAAAAAAAATTGTGAACAGTAAAAAAAAATATAATATATACATAATTCAGAGCATTGCCGTCGGTGTGGTGGGGGGCTTAAAATACGTTGCCACAGGCCATCATCAGCTCTGCTCTTAACCGGGTGATGCCATGCTCCTTCAGTGCTTTGATCAAAAGCTGAAAAACAGTCAAAATAATGTGAACAATTGAAGTTATGCAGTATGGGTTAATTGTTGTTCTTGAGCTTTCCAAATGAATAAGAACAACCTCTTAACAATATCAATTTTCAAAGCAAGCTATATAGTTTGATCTACTCACCTCTGGGAGCATGACATCAAAGACAAAATCAAGCAGGTGAATCTCGCCTCTTTTGATTTTTTCCGATATGGTTGTTGCCTCCTCAATAAACCGCAGGAGCTTGAAGATCTATTGAAGAAAAACACAGAAAGTAAACAGCTTTCAAATGTAACACCTCTGAGAGTAAAAATACTCATGATGGATGGCATTTTTACTTACGCGCTGCTCACTCCAACTTAGTGTCCTTTGCTGCGTCCGAACTGCCCGCTCGGATACTACATGCTACTGCTACGTGCTACTGCTAGATCCTACTCCTACATACTAAAAACGTTGGCCCAATTCGGACACACTAGACGAGCGGTGGGGAAAGACGACCCCCGCAGGCAGAGAGTAGGTACTGCGCCCGTGCAGACAGTGGTAACTGAAGCCCTTCATCTGTGGGCCTGGCTGTAGTACTGCAGCTGTGCAGTTTAATGATGGAATAAGTGAGCTTTACCTCCATGATGTCGCCACTTGCTCATAAAATGATTACTTGGGAAAATATGACACCATGACATGACAAAGAGATACAACCGCACATTTTTTAGGACAGTGTGTGAAGTTACATGAACCTTACATCTGTACTGCTGCGGTCCCGCCTGCTGCTGCTGCTGCTCCGACATGGTGCGCGCTGCTGTGGCCAGCCGGCGTTCGCGACGCATCTAAATAGGCAGCAGCTGGTGGCGCTAGCATCACATGCGCTTCTACAACTTTTAAGAGGACGAAGAAGAAGCCCGCGGTGCATTTTGGGTCAGTAGCATGCCCGTAGGATGCACCGAGACCAACCTACAATGTGGGCGTGTCTAGCATCTGAAGTAGTATCTGAAGTAGCATGCTACTCGCTCCGGTGGCCAATTCGGACATGCTAGATACTACTTCGACTACTACTTCGACTACTACTTGGCAATTCGGACGCAGCTCTTATCTTAAGATGCTGCTTTAGTCGGAGTGAGGTGGCGGGATTCCTCCAAAGGAACATTCTGTTGGAGCGGATCTTTCCAGACAGTAGATCATCGTGTAATGTCTGAAACCAAAGAGCAAGAGACAAAAATGTAATCATCTGAAAAAGAAACGGTGGCTTTAACAACTGATAGTGCATTCAAAAGCAACCTTGATCTGTGTCTTAGAAAAGACAGCATGAATTCCTCCACTGTCAACAGCATCCTTGATCCTGCAGAGAAATAAGAAAAAGAGCAAGCCCTCATTTTTTCATCCTTTGAGCCTCGTATTTTTGACTGATACTATGTTTCCTTGATAAATTATGTTATACCGAGGATGCTCAATGGAGTCCTCGCACCCGCAGACAAACGGCTCCATTTCAATCCCAGCACAATCCTGATGCAGCCAGCCCCTGCACGTCTTGCACTGGACCCATTTTATGACGTTTACCTCAGGGTAAAGCAATCTGATCAAATGAGAGACAAACTTAATATTAAACAAACACGCTGTCCAATTGATTATACCTCTGCAGCACATTTGAATGTATAAATAATTTTCCCGCATGATTCGTGCATTTAAACTATATGTAAAAGTGGTCACTACATGGAAAATCACTGAATAGGCCCCGATAATTGCATTTATTCAATTGAGTCTGCAACACACCTCTCTCCTGTGTTGTTCGATGTCTGGTAGACACAGAATTGCATTGAATCTGCCATGCACATTCTTTGGACATCCGATGCCGTCTGCGTCATGGTTTCCTTGACAAGGCAATTTGAAAAGTAACATCAATTACCAAATACATCGAGACAATGTTGATCCATACAACTGTGTGCATTTTGAAGGACTCCCACTGAGATAATACTGTTTTTAGAAGGCAATTTTCTAACCTCTATGTCCTGCTGCTCTGCCTTCCTCTTTAGACTGAAGACCGGAGTATGCTTTCCAGCAATGAGCTCTTGACATTCTTTGGTCCATTGGGCGAAGATTTTCCCACAACTGTAATGACAATATATCTTTAAGGACAATATATTGATCGTCTTCTAGTTAATTAGGACATCTAGTTTACTTAAACTGTCTACCTGTTCAAAGAATTGTTCTCCAGGAGCAACAGGCACCACCATCGCCGCAAAACAGGCATGTCATGCTGAAATTGTTGTTTGTATTTCATTTTAGTGCACAATACAAAATACAATCTTGAGGATGACACTGCGTGTTGAAAAGTACTTACAACTGAGTAGTCAAACTGTGACTCCATAACGATGTACATGGCAGACTTAAAAAAAAAAATTATGAGACAACATGTGAGATAACTTTAAAAAAGTCCATGTTGGAAAGTTATTCTAGATACAATATTTGTGCATTACAGCTCGTTATGACCTACCATCAACATGAATATGCCACAGTCTGAGCCGAAGTCCTGGCTGGGGAAGCCCTGATTTAACAAAAGCAAACGTTAATCATCTTGTCACATACACTTTGTAGGAGCCAGATTGGGGTTTTGCAGTTTATTGTTATGTATTTTTTGTGCCAGCAGATGGTGCTATTGTGCCTGTCTATTTAATGGGTGGGTTGATTAGGACAGGTGCGCACATAAAATGATGAATGAGTAAATAAATCAAAACAACAGAAAATATGGATGGTGTGACATGTGACATTATTCCACCTGCGGGCACGCATCAACTCAAGCAAAAAGGTGTTTGCCACAAGTAACAGCATTGGAAAGCTGTTATACACTTTTCAACTGTAATATAGAGCATGCACAAATACCTCTAAATCTCTGCCCGTTTTCTCAGTCCATTGCCCAGGACATATCCTCTGCGCAATGTTTCTGTTAATTTGAGAGTGTCACTTAGATTTCCCATGATGGAAACAATGGAATGCAGGGTTAGGGTTAGTTTGAGTGGGTCGCAGGTGAGATTGAATGAATGCAGACGGCTTGCTTCTTTTCAAACTTCCTGAGAGTTCTTCTTCTGTAAATTTTGCCGTCAGAAAGTGTAGGTGCATACCGCCACCTACTGTTCTGGCATCGCAAAGCGGAAGTTCATGTTTTGGGTCCGCCAATCGGAGGTAATGCGGAAATTCATTGCGCCAATCGGAGGTAATGCGGAAATTCATTGCGTTTGTTCATTGCGTTTGTTCATCTTTTGTCCGCCATCTTTGCGCTGCAGTTGGGTACTCTTGTTTTGGAGCCCTTAAACCCTCCCACACTCAAGCACTTACCAGCTGACTTAACCTAAGCTAATGAGGGTGCAGGGCTTGAGGGCTTAGGGTGGAGTTTGGAATTGGGCCATGGTGTTTTGGGATTTGTGGTTGCGTTTTCTTTTTTGCGTTTGTGTTTTGCACTTCCAGGCCACCGTCGACACAGCCTATGGGTTACACACTATGGGTTACACACACGTATGTTCGCTCCTCCGCGCCGGTAGGTGGCGCTCTGAGCTCAGCGAGTTTTCTCACCGGAAAAGCACAAAGAAGAAAAAGATGGCGGGTCTGTGGATGTAAACAAAGATGTGAGATTGAGCTCTGGAAGCTTCTGAGTGATTTTAATTTCTCTGTTAGTGAAAATGAGAAGAAAAGACGGAGGAGAGGAAGAGGAGGACTCACTTGTCCGTACACACTGAAGGTGAGAGAGATTTGAAACACGTGACCTGTTAGCTCCGCCGGCTAACCCAGAGGCTAACTCTACTTTAATAACATCCCTGAATAAACAACATTAACTCTGTTATACTGCAGTATTTGTACTTCACTGAGGCAGTACATTTACTGTAAATCAGAGCTGATGAAAATACTCACCTCTCCGACCTTCTCTGATTGCAGTAATTTTAGGTTAAACTCTTTAAAAACAACAAAAACTTAAGAAAATAAAGAGTTTATTACCTCTGCACAGCTCCGCTTTAATAACGTTTTTAATATTAATGTCCTTGGTAAAGTTAAAGTCAGGTCTGTGTGTGTATGAAACATGAGAGGATTTAAGAGACTCTGGTCCTGACAGATTTATAATCAGAGAAAGTTCAGGAGTTTTATAACACAGTAATTCCTAACTGGTCTCACTCTGGGAACCACATTTTCCCACTTTTATAAAATTAAAAACAACAAAATTTATTTTTTATACAAAACACCTTTGAAGACTCAAATCTTTAACATGAATACACCTATTTTAGTGAGTAAATTGCATTTCAGAGTACATGAACTAAGGACGACAACTACTAAAGTTGCTTAAAATATCAAATTGCACAAAATGGAGACCAGCAAAATGAAAAATTTGACTTATTTGCATCTATGCATTCAGAGCATATTCAAAAGAACCTGAGGAGGATAAAAGTGAATAAAAATCAAATTACACAAAATAAAAAAATAGACGCCGTCTGCCTTCTTGCTGGGTGAAGCCACTCTGAGAACAGCGCCCTCTGGTGATGGGCTGCAGTATAGGTCATAAATCCTGCCTCCTTATGGAGCTGTGGACAAACTTTATAAATTAATGACACCGAATATAAATGTTTCTCCCCCCTGCTTGCGTTGTTGACATGTAGTTACTGTCAGACTGGTTTGTGCTCAAATCCTCTTTTTTTCTGTACAGCTCCACTTTTAAAAGTTATTAGGGGGTTCATGTTTTCTTTGATTGACACTTAATACAGCCTATTGGCGTTCAGGGATTGTGTAGCTCACCCGGGGATAGGCTGTTTGAGCCGAGCGTCATCACAGCAACTCTTAGCGACTCTCCCGGCCAAATGCGCACAACCCTACTGCGCAATGTTGGTTTAATGCAATGAAGAAAAATCCCGGAAATACCGAGAACTTTTTGGCTTCAAATCCACACACAGGCGGGAGGCGGAACCAAGTTATCCATATTATATACAGTCTATGGCCAGGACCCACCAGTTGATAACCACTGATCTAACACATCATAAACCAGAAGGTGCTCTGCCTGACTCTTAATACCTCCAATCAGCATATGCAGTATATCCTCCGCAGTCTGTTGGTTTACTGAACTTCTGATCATCGAAGTGTGTAATAAAGAGTTTTTGTTTTTTTTCTGAACTTTTGGGGGACAGAGCCTTCTCCGCTGCTGCCCCGACCCTCTGGAATTCACTCCCCAAACCCATCCGAGACTGTTCAAACCCCCACAACTTAAATCACTCCTTAAAACAGACCTTTTAAATTGGTTTTTAACCTGTGAACTGCTCTGTTATTGTCTTGCAACATTGTGTCTTTTTTTAACCTTCTACACTGTTGGTCGTATTACTCAAAATTTTCTGTATTTTAAATTGTGTTTTTTTTTTTGTAAAGCGTCTTTGAGCACCTGAAAAAGCGCGTTATAAATAACATTTATTTATATTATTATTTGTTTTATTCAGATTGACACCTTCAGAGTTTTACTATGTAAAATCAGCTCCTAACAGAAAGAGATTTTCTGATCATCGTAGTGTCGTGGAAGTTTTTCTCTTCCGTCGCTGCTGGTGAATAATGAAATAGAGACTTCTGCCGGCCGACAAGGTTTTATTTTTCTTTGCAAAGAAAAGGTCAATCTGCATCCGAGCGGTTAGAATCCAGAAAGACCCCGAACATGGGGAAATCAGAACATTTTATGCTTGAGGACCGCCCCTCAGAGGGCAAGGAATGGGGCTTTGATGTTGGCACCATTTGTTTTCTGTGGGGACTGTCACTTCACCCCCCTGGGGTGGTGGTGGGGATGTTTCACACCTGTAACGTCCTGCAGGATGTTGATTCTTGATGTCTAGACATCATGATTAATTGATATGTTGATTACAAAGTCTGTTGTGGGGGGCACCTCAAGCAGTTCTTAACAAAGACATTAAAATTACAATTACAGTAGTTAATATAGTCACATTTTCAGCGACGTGAAGCGACAGTTTTAATAATAATAATTAGTGGTGCAACGGATCTCAAAACTCACTGATCGGATCAAGAGTCACGGATCGGATCAGCAAAAAGCAAAAAAAAACAAAAAAAATCAAGACAAATAAACATACGTTTTGTCTGTTTATTAAACACTTAAATGATTCAATTAAAATATATAAAAGTAGTGCACAAGGCATTATATCTTCTTTTTAACATAATTATTAATGAAAAACAACTTAAGTGCAATATATAGGCATATCTCCTTCCTTTAAAATGTAAAAATGAAGTGTGCGCGCGATGGGATGCCGTAACGTGGCTCAAGCACTTTCAGCATGTTTTTAAAGCCCTCATTTTGCACAACTGAATATGGCCTCATGTCTGCTATAAACACGCCGATGGCGTTTGTGATAGCTTCAGCCCGGTCGGATGCGCAGGAAGAGGCTGCATAAATGCTGTGGTGATGAGTGGTTGTTGGCCAGCTTTCGTTTTATCTCCAGTGTTGTGCCATAGAATGCACCCCTGCCGTAAAATGCACCCCCTAACGGGAGCGCGGTTGAAAGTACATAACAAGGCGAAATAATATAAGTTTTCCTTACATTGGATGGATTGAAACGCATTTGCCTTCAATAATTTCATTCAGGCTATTCATATAAGCCAAAAACAACAGCCCTCGGAATATTGCTGTCCCGAAAATATAATGCTCTCTACCTGGACAGCTTACTGTACAGTTTATATACCCAAGTACACCTCTATATGTGCAATTTTGAGACACATAAAAAAAAAATGAAAGTTTGCTGCTCCATTTGACATGTTGCCATGATCTAATACTCGTGTTTTTTTTTTATATGAGATCATTATCTCCACTTTAAGAAGCTAACGAGTGGAGGGGATGCAGGGGGTGCGTTCTACGGCATGGGTGCAATCTACGGCACAACACTTGTCAGTAAAACACCCGGGTGATGTCGCTTCAAATGCGTGAACATGCTCGATGTGTTTCCACTGTCATATGGCTCTCTTATGCCACAGTGCCTACACACCATCGCAGTTTTGTCCACTGACCTCTTTCCTTCTTCATCATAATTGACAAGAAAGCCAAAATGCTCCCATACAGTGGATTTAAGAGTCGCGGGGCGTTCAAGCTCCTCCTTTTCTTCTGCTCGCCATGTCTGCCCTCCTCCTTTCTCCGCTAGCCACAAGCTGTGTGCGGACGGAGCAAAACTTTTTTTTTTTTTTCAGAAATCAATCCGTGGGTCACGTGTGTGCCGAACCGATGACGTCGATACGAACGGATCACGGATCAATGATGATCCGTTGCACCACTAATAATAATAATAATAATAACTTTATATTTATAGCACTTTTAAAAACAAGACCTCCAAATTGATGGCCAATTTCATTTGTCATAAGAAACCCAGACAATAGAAGAACCCTACAACATATAATGAGACCATGAGGACCAAAAAAAAAAAAACATAAAATAGGTAAGAAAAAGAAATGTAATAATAAAGGAGGTAGAAAGCAGGAAACAGGATAGTAAATATAAAAAGACAATATTAATAATGATAATAAAATCATAATAAAATACGATCAGATGTTTTTTTATACAGACACAGGTTTTTTAATTACCTTGCTGACATGTTTCACGTGCCATCAACCGGGGTGAGGGGGCATATATGCTATCCCACACCTGGAGTGCCATATTGCAGGGGGCGAGCAGGCAGCTGAAGGTGTGACCGATCTGTCAAACTGACGGAAAGATCACGCCTTCGGAAACATCAGCTGTTTTAAGACGCGTCACACAACCATCATGTGACACTCTGAGGAAGACTGCTGTAAGCAGGTCAAAACATGTCAGCAAGGTAAATAAACCTGTGTCTGTATAAGAACATCTGAGTGTAATTTATCAAGAAAGACACAATGACCCTAATCTAAGAATTATGCATAATAAATAATAATGATGGTAATAGTAATGATAAACTGGAATAACAAAAATGAGAAGGAAAAAAACAATAAAATCTATAAAAGGCCTAAAAGGATAATAAAACAAAGGCTTAAAGGATAGAAAGTCCAAATAAGATAAAAGAGAAAAGACATCATCACATTAAAGCAAGTCTGTAAAAGTGAGTTTTTAAATTTAACTTAAAAGAAGCAACTGTTTCTATACGCCTTATCTCCTCTGACAGGTCGTTTATTCTGCTCTGTGATTGGTCCATCAGGATCCAGATTTACCTCCAGTTTTATCTCAACTGCCTGATCCAGTCTGACCTGAACTAGTCCACCCTCACCTGGTTCAGCCTCACCTGGTCCAGTCTGGTGTGGTCGGTCCAGTCACTCCTCTGACCGTGAGACCTAGGAAGTAATGGCGAGTCGAGGCAGGGGGCGGGGCCTCAGGCTGATGAGCTTTAGCGTGGAAGCTGTGGGCATCACCAGAGGGGACAGTTTACCTCCGTCCATCCAACAACCCACACCTGTGTATCCTGTAAGACACACACACACACACACACACACACACACACACACACACACACACACACAGCTTAACATACAGCGGCTGTCAGAGAGAGAGCAAGCAGTGCATTCTGGGAATTGTAGTTTACCCTGTTTATGTGTGTTTGGCACAGACGATGGAGCGGAAGCCCCTCCCCCTGACAGGCGGGGAGGAGGCGGAGTATCTGCTGGCACTGAAACAAGAGTTCAGAGGAGCCATGAAGGGTCTGCCCTGCTTTATCCAACCAGCTGCTGCAGCCAGAGGTCAAGGGTCACACGCACGCACGCACGCACGCACGCACAGGTGATCAGCAGGTAGCTTTATTTTGAAAGTCTCTCCTGTTTCCTGTCAGATGTGGAGAGATATTCAGATAAATATCACCAGAGCGAGCAGGTGGACCTGACCACAGACTGGACTCTAGGTTAGACTCTTCATCATCATCATCATCATCATCATCATCATCATAACAGTGCTGCCTGTTACAGAGTGAAGTATTATTGTTATACTCAGAGGTACTTCAGTAAAAGTACTGCAGTATTTTCTTGTTGTTTCAGACTGGAGGAGACTTCCTAAAGAACTGCGAGTCTGTAAACCTGCACCGACAGGTGAGCAGCAAAGCTTCAAGAGTTCTTTTTATGTTTCGGGGCCCGATGAGGGTCACATGATCCTCCTGGTCTGACCTCCTGTTTTCCTCTCTGACCACTTGGCTGAAAACCTGCTGATTCAGCTCCAGGCTGTCTGTGATACTCAGCAGAAATATTAGAGCTGGATCATCAGAGTAGGACTGATCCAGTTTATCAACAGTCATCCGTGAAAAACTCAGCTGAACTTACACAACCTGCTGGGCCTGACGTCAGCCCTAAAAACTGGACCTGATTTTAGTTTCATACAAACGCTAAACCAGGTTCAGCTTTTATTAAAGCTACATTTTCTTTTTAAAGGTGGGGTAGGCAGGAATCCGTTAAAAAAGCATCTTTTTTTGTGGTGTATTTACAAAATAATCTTTTAATATCAGTCAATAGTTATTAGTTATTGATATTTGGTAATATAACAATATCTCTGTGTTTTCTTATGTCTGTGTATTTAACATTTTAAAATTTTTGAGCGGTCCGCTCTTTCTGACTGTAAAGCCATTCTCCACCTCCCCGACTTGATTGGTTGTGAGGCAGACACTGCTCCCTGTGTCGTTCAGGAGTCCAAATAAAGTTAGCGTGCTACAATATCGGACAGTAGAAACCATCCAGAAAGTACAGAAAATTGTCTGAATCCTCTTTTGGCCACGACTGCCAACACAAGCAAGAAAACAAAGTAAATACTGGAGACTCTGGAAGAGTAACGGGCGCTTAAAACGGAGGTAGACCGGACAAGAGCTAAAAAGCCGGGTCAACATAAATGATGGGGGATGCTTCGGGATCTTGGTGACCCTGTAACCTTTCTGCTGGACAGGTGAACCACTTTAACCAAGTAAGCCAAGTGTCTGTAACAGAAGTGTTTCTTGTCAAATGGGACCTGCTGTAGCGTGTTGTATCGCCACTAAACTGTTGACCTCGGGTCCTGGACTATGTCACTTTATCCTAGTTGTAGAAGTCCTGCAAACATTGGCCCTCATTTATCAAGCTTGCGTATGGCAGAAAACTTGCGTACACCTTGCATACGACAATTCTGACGTGAGGATCGGCATTTATCAATCTGCACGTGAGCGTACGCTACAACAAAATCTCAAGACACGTCTGACATTGTGTACGCAAGTTTGAGTCAGTGTGGGTCTGTGGTGAAACAAATGTCTCTCAAAATAATTGATAAACAAACCTCAAACCTGTCATTAAGCACAACAGTCAGATTTCATTAAAGAATAAGATGTAAATCAAATAAAATAAATTTGTCATGTCCTTAGTGAATAGGCCTATTTGATAACTCTGCCCAGAAACACTGCCACAGAGCAGGAGCACCGTTTCAACATTGCGCACACACCATTTGGTGAGGTTAATAATTATTTTTGTTCAGCCTATGTCAGACACTCCAGTCTACTCTCCAGTCTGCTGGAGCAGAGAGGAAGGGGAGAGGAGGAGCTGAGGGGAAAACTGGTTGGGAGGGGTAGAGTTTACATTCAAGATTTCTCCTAAAAACTGGAACTTCCTTAGATCCTGACTACAATACCTTCAACTTCCTTCAAACTTGATTTTCTAACAAAGTCTATAAACACTAAACAGGCGGGCACATTTATGAAAAAAAACACCTAACCCTAAAAAAATTCTAACAAAGGTTTCTCAGCTTTTTTTTTATAGTATTAGATGTCCTTAATAACAAACTAAAAGTTTACCAAAGTTTGACCACTAGAAAGGTGTCATTTTCAAGATGGCGTCCATGATGTGTTGGAAACCCAGGGAGACACCCCAGGTAAATAGGGTAACATTTTTAACTAACAGATATCACCATGAAACTTCATAAGTTTATAACTTACATTAAGACAAATATTTTTCATATTACAAGTTTTGTCAAATGTTATGTTTAAATATGTAAATGATGTAATATCTAATTAAATTTGCACTAATTTACATACATTTACAGAACCAAAAACTGAACAATGGATAAAGCCTCTTTGAAAATTCTCGTTTTATTTTGTTGACATACTAGAGTCAGAAAGGTGGGAGGAGGGGACTTTGGATATCTCTTTTTATCACTCTGTAAATGAGAAAATACTCTCAGCACCCCTAAAAATTCAAATATCTCCATGCGACACTGTCTGTGGGGCATTAAGTTGTACTTGTAATCATTTATCTATCATACAAATATGCTAATTAGAATATTACATGGTCAAAACATGTATCAGGCGCCAGTATTCCTGGTCTAAAATGAATACAAAGGAGTAATGGTCATTTTAAGGACCTAAAAAAAACATTTTTTTCGGGGTGGTGACCGACTCTAGTATGTCAACCAAATGAAACAAGAATTTTGAAAGGGGCTTTATCCATTGTTCAGTTTTGGGTTCTGGAAATGTCTGTAAATTAGTGCATATTTCTTTCTTTCTGTCTTCTTTATTTATCTCAAACTTTAGGAATAACAAAAAAAACAACAGCTAGAAACAAAAACACTGAACAAAATAATACATATGTTCACCAAACAACTGCATGTCAAAGATACATTTACACAACATATGTTTGTAAAAAATAAACAGTTTGAGAAGAAACAGAATGAAGCAAAGTGTTTATCTAGTCCTGCCCTTTCCTTGCAAATTTGAGATTTAAAAAAAGGAAAAATCTAATTGTATAAATTACAAAGATCTGTTAAAATGCCTACATATTATTATATTACACAAAGTAACACTACATAGGTTACTTATTATAACTACTTGCATATTATAATAATAATCAGTGTTATAATATTGAGAATTAATATCATTTCTATGCAATCAGGTATATCTAGTATGAAACCATATTTTTGTAAGTTTACTTATATGAATCTTTTAATACTTCTCTATAGTTTGACATTTTTAAAGTGACATGATCCAGGCTGTTCCAGAGTTTAACACCACAAACAGAAATGCACATACTTTTTAAACATACCGTTTTAAAATTGACTGTCACTAAATTTTAACAATTTTGATTTTTTTTTATTAAATATTTTTTATTTAATTAGACATTACCTCATTTACATATTCAAACATAACATTTGACAAAACTTGTAATATAAAAAACATTTGTCTTAATGTAAGTTATAAACTTGTGAAGTTTCATGGTGATATCTGTTAGTTAAAAATTTTACCCTATTTACCTGGGGTGTCTCCCTGGGCTTCCTACCCATCAAGGACACCATCTTGAAAATGACGCCTTTCTAGTGGTCAAACTTTGGTAAACCTTTAGTTTGTTATTGAGGACATCTAATACTATAAAGAAACCTTTGTTAGAATTTCTTTTGGGTTAAGTCATATTTGCTCCTGACTAAAAGAAAAACACACACACAGAAGGCCTGACCAGCTCTGCCTGACCTGTGTTTTTATGCCCTGCTCTCTGTCTGTCAGGTGTCTCAGCTGCTGGTCGCTCTGACAAAGTTCAGCCGCCTCAGAAAATGAAACGAGTGAAAGAAAAAGAAGAAGTCCTGATCAAACTGGAGGTAAGACCTGAACCGGTTTTACCAACCTGACAGTCAGCACTCTGGGAACTAACATGAAACAGTCTCCTGTTAATTTAAATCCATCCAAACTAACATCCTGTTCACCTGATTACAACTCCACCTAATTAGACTCTGGAGAAGAAAGAGGAGAGGGGGAGCTCTGGGGAGGAGGAGGAGGAGGAAGAAGGGGAGGAGAAGAAGAAGCAGGAGGAGGAGGAGGCTGAAGGGGAAGAGGAGTACGATGAAGAGGAGTTTGAAGAGGTGAGTGAGTCAACTTCAAAAATTATGATTTTATGAATGAGGTTTGGTTTGACTGTGTGTTTGTGTGTTTGTGTGTTTAGGAGACGGACTACGTCATGTCGTACTTCGATAATGGCGAAGAGTTCGGAGGAGACAGTGACGACAACATGGACGAGGCTATTTACTGAACCAATATGGACGAGGCTGTTTACTAAACCAACATGGACAACATGGACAATGCTATTTACTGAACCAACATGGACGAGGCTATTTACTGAACCAGCTGCACCTTTTCATCACTTTTTAGTTTTTTTTTACTTTGTGTGTGTGTGTGTGTGTGTGTGTGTGTGTGTGTGTGTGTGTGTGTGTGTGTGTGTGTGTGCAGAGGAGCCGCCCATCAGCTTGTTTGAATGTTTTATAAACAGTAGAAAAGTGAAAACAGTTAAAGTTGTTAAAAAAGAGCTCTGCAGTCTTTTAGAAGAAAATATTTTTTTTGTCTTTTTTTATTTGTGTTTTATCGTTTTAAATGTTCGTAAAAAAAATTTCAAGTTTGTTGGAAAATAAAAACATGAAACAAAATGATGTGAGTGTTGGTCCATTATGACCAGATTAAGTTTAAAAAATAATGTTTTTCCAGCAGCGAAAGCTGAAAAACAAACATTTAATTTAGTTAATTATGAACATGCTGAAGAAGACGGTAAAAACTGGTTCATTGAAAAATTACCAGAGGATGAACCCAAGGAAAAAAAAAGGACAATAAACCCTCAGAGCCAATCACCAGGAGATTAACAATTAAAATCGTCCTCAGACCCAACAACAGACGCAGGTTCCTACGTGTTTTTAAAACAATAACTAACAAGGCAAAATACACACAACGATAATTAACTAACTAACTAGCAGATTAACTAACCAACCAATTAACCAGCAGCCAAACTCATTAACTAACTAGAAAAATTGCATTTGCTTGCAGAAAAAGCGTGGAAATGCTGAGTGCTGAAAGCTGAAAAAGCAATGCAAAACTGCTAAAAAAAAATGGAGGAAGGTTTAAATGTAAAATTGGTTAAAGGGCTGGAGAAAGAGAAGTAGAAGTTGGATGAAAGTGAAAATTGCTTAAGTACAAATAGTATGAATGTGCTTCAACAATTAAAATTGCATTCATGCTGAATAAGGCTAGAAAACTGTCTGAAATTGCAAAAAAAAAAGGAAGAAAATTACCTTAAAACACAGAAAAGTGAGAAGTGGCATAAGTTTAAGTTGAAGTACTAGAAGTAGTATGATAATAGGTAGTTGTAGTAGTGATATTAGTAGTCATGTAAGCAGTAGAAGTAGTTTTAGAGTAGAAGAAGTAGAAGTCAAAGCAGTAGAGCTCGTGGTAGAAGTAAGAGTAGAAGTAAAAAAAATATTAAGAGAAGCAAGAGCAGTGGAGGCAAAAGTGAAGATACAAGTTAAAGTGATATAAGTAGTTATTGTAGTGGTAGAACTGGAATTTTCTTTTAAGAATTAAAACACATAAATAATGAAAATGATTTTGAAGTGGGAAATTTTTTAAATAATTAGAAGTCCTAAAGTGTTAAACAGGTTTGAAGTATCAAAAAGGTTTGAATCAGTTTGAATGAGTTTGGATTTGTCTGAAGAATTTTAATAATGCATGAATAATGAGAATAATTTTAAAGTGGGGAAAAGTTAAATGAATAAAAATCCTGAGTACACCCCAAAATGTCCTCAATGAGCTGAATTTTTGGAGCCCGGAAAGGGGCGACAACAACACACACCACAACAGCGAGTTAAAAAATTCTGAGCCTGAGTGATGATCTGGATTTTCTTGGAGAAAAAATACATTAGGGCCAATGCCAGGGTTCTTTGCCTTTTTTGGACAGTTGGTCACCTGCTGGCCAAGGGGTATGATTTAATGATTTGAAATCTCTTTTGTGAGAAGCAGGACACATACACCTCCATTTTAATGTATTTTTTATGGCTGTGGAGTGAAATTTGTGGGTGTGGGAGCGATATATTCGAGCGAGGTTCTGTCGATCAAAGAGGACCTCTGCACTCTAGCGATGTAATCAAACACTCTAGCCTCTCAAATACACACCCATTATAAAGCCTGAAATTTGCTGAAAACCACGAGTTGCTTAAAGCTAAATGGTGGGAAAACTGTAAAAGATATCAAAAAACTGCATGCAACTTGAATAGTCGATAAGTGAATGAACATTTTAAAGCAAAAATGAGGTCTCTAGGTAAAAGTATGCTTAAGTTATAAGGCTTAGAAGGTGGAAGAGTAAAAGGTAGAATTTTAAGATTTCCACATTCATTTTCTAATGCTTAATCATCATTTCCACTTAATAATAAACAAAATGGCCGACAGGGATAACAATAAGTGGAAATGCTTAATCAGCATTTCCACTAACTAATAATAACGATATGAATAACATGTAGTGGGAATTCTTCACAATCCCACTCAATAATAAAGATATGAATAACATATAATGGGAAGGCCTCGCAATCCCACTCAATAAGCAGAGGATGAACCTTCAGAATAAAATGAACCTCCAGAAAAAAATCAGCAGAGGATGAACCTTCAGAATAAAACCAGCAAAGGATGGACCTTCAAAATAAAATAAAGCTTCAGAGTAAAATCTGCAGGGAATGGACCTTCAGATTAAAATAAGCAGAGGATGGACCTTTAGAATAAAATGAACCTTTAGAATAAAATAAACAGAGGATGACCCCTCACACCTAGAGAATTGGAGAATAAACCCACAGGTAAAGACAACCAGAGGAGGAACCTTTAGAATAAAATCAGCAGAGGATGGAACTTCAGAGCAGAGGATGAACCCTCAGAGCAGAGGACGGACCCTCAGAGCAGAGGATAAACCCTTAGAGCAGAGGATGGACCCAGAATAAAATCATCAGAGGATGAACCTAGAAGAAAATCAGCAGAGGATGGACCCTCAGACCTGGAGCTCTGTGTTTTCTCTGTTGAACCACCTGAACCTGACGGACTCAGGGTGGATGATGCACTGTGCAGCCTGCAGGTGGTGCTGCTGTTATATTGTTCCCTGAACGTGCTGGTGTGAACTCTGTGCTTCCATCCTGTCCCTGTGTTTATTTACAGTCTGAGAAGATGCCACAGATACCCTGAGCTCGTCTGTCCAGCCAGCTGTCCCCCTGTCTCTTCCAGGAAATCCTTAACCTGATCCTCTGGACTTTTATTCTGGAGGGTCTTTCTATGAAGTACAGTTCCTGTCCCACCAACAGAGAGTAGCCAGATTATTAATATCAAGTAATAAATCATTAAATCTGTGTTAGCTCACCGATTATCTGCCCTGCTGTGCCCTATTCAAAAAAAGTGCTAAGCCTGCAGATTTTTGTCCTGCTGTAATCTTTGACCTCCTTTCTTTCTGCACAGCCGGCGCTAACATTAGCCTGATTGTGCTAAATGTGGAAACACAAAGAGGAATCTGGATGTCAAATTAGACCCTCAAAGCCTCCACCAATCACACACAGCCTGAGCTCATCCATCAGCCAATGAGAGAGAAGGGTGAGGAGTGTGTGAGCGTGTGAGGAAGAATCAGGGCGGCGGTAACATGATGAGACGGACAGACGGGTTTTTGGGGTCAGAAGAATTATTGTTCAGTCCAAAGATGAAAAATCTCCTTTAATAAAACATTAATGAAGATTTTTATGAACAAACAGTCATTCAGCGTTTACAGACTGTATCTGTGCTGTTATCAGAGGGCGGCATGAAAGACAGCTGCAGTAAACAACAGAATCACATTACACACACACACAAGCACGCACGCACGCACGCACGCGCTGACCTCAAAAAACATCAGTCTGATCCCTGAACAAAGTCTGCTGCAGTTCCGTGAAACTTTGAATAGATGCTGAATTTTCCCTGTCATTTCTGTAAATAAAAATAAACACACTTTTCTGTGCATCATCAGTCCTTCAGTGTATTTTTTATGAATGTTAAATCACGAGAATATTTTGGACCTTTGCAGAGGAGCTCTTGGTTAATGATGAAGAAATGGAAACACCTGAACAAAGTGATCTTTGCCTGTTTCGTCTTATATATTGATTAATTACTAGACCATCTGCAGTGGTCCAATAATGAACCACAGACATTTCAGAAAATTCCTTTACAGTTCAGTTTAAAATACGGCCTCCTGCTTTTTCTCCCTGCAGGATCTACAGATAAAATTGGTTTGTCTTCTAAAACCAGCCCGGGTTTTTGATAATAAGAAATCAAAGCTGAGTGTGTAAACTGAAGAGAATCGCAAAAATAAACTACCGTATTTTCCTGACTATAGAGCGCAACTCAATATAAGCCGCACCCACAAAGTTTTTTTAAAAAATTGGAAATGTACTTATATAAGCCATACCGGCCTAAAAGCCGCGGTTATCTACTGAACTGAATATTTAACTGAACTGATCAGTTTCCGAACGGTGCCCAAAGCATAAAAGTGCTTATCAAACATTGATTGCTTTATTCCTTGTCCTCCTGCGCACTGAAACCATCGAAGTCCTCTTCTTCAGTGTCGGAGTGGAACAGCCTCAGAGGAGCTTCGTCACATACCTTTTCTGTGGCGATGTCAGTGTTGCTCTCCGTGTCGCTCTCCGTGTCGCTGTCATCATCCCGGGGTGAAGCTGACTCTGAAGCTGAAGTGCTCTCTTCACGCAACAGTCCAGCCTTCCGGAACCCATTGGTGATGGTAGATTCCTTCACGCTGCTCCACGCAGCTAGGATCCACTGACAGACATCAGGAAATGATGCTCTTCGCATGCGGCCAGTGTTTGTGAAGAGTTTATCGCCACTCGTCATCCAAGTCTCCCATTCACAGCGGAGTGCTGCTTTAAACGCTCGATTCACGCTGATGTCCAGGGGTTGCAAAAACTTTGTAGTACCTCCAGGAATCACAGCAGGAATTGAGTTGGTTTTCTTGATGACTGCTTTCACTGAATCAGTAACGTGGGCCCTCATACTGTCCAAAACAAGCAACCTTTTTACAGTGAAAAAATCCTCCTGGGCGCTTTCCGTAGCACTCTGTGACGGCCCTGCCTAACTGGGGACAGGTGGACTAATCCTGGTGGAGCCGTTTCATGTTTTCCCTGCAGGGCTACCTGGGAGAGAGTGGATGTGGCAGACAATTCAAGCACCTGTGCCTAATGCTGCCACAGAGCATAAAAGGCCCTTCTCCAGTGCGGCTCGCTCTCTTGCTCTGACCCTGCCACAGGACTGCTGTCTCAGGCTTTTTGCTTTGGTTTGACTTTGGTTTATTTTCACCCCACAACACCCTACACTTCATTACTCACACATCCACGCTTACTTGACTGATATCACTGACTAACACACTCCATATTTACAAATTATTGTTTAAGTCTTCACTTTGGTAAAATAAATCTTTACTTCCCGCCCTACACTGCGTCCGTTTCCATATATGTCATGGCTTAAGAGCCGGGTTATGACAACTCCGTTAACCAGTCCTTCATTAGACTTTCTAGCATCCATCCTTTCTGGTTGACTTTAACCACAATGTCCTTCGGGAGTTGGTCTTTCGGCATAGTTTTGCGCTTAACCATAATGGATGATGCACCTGTCTTATTTACAGTCCTGGTCAGAGGCAGATCAAATGTCAGTGGCACTTCATCCATATTTAGAATGTTGTTTGGTCCTATGGCGTTCTCCGCGATCTTTGTTTCAACAAATTGTCGGAAATTTGCAAGTTTTTCCTGGTAGTCCAGGGGGAGTTGCTGACAGAGAGTTGTCCATGCCCTGATGGACAAGCTCTTTCTTCTCATAAATCTGAAACACCAGGATGGTCCTCTGTTAAAATCGTCAATATTCATTTCGCAGGCTACTGATTTGGCTTTCAGCCGGATTTGCTCTCTGCAGGGTGCTCCGCCAGCCACTAGGGGTCTCCGGTGCCCGTATTCATGGTTGTGTTGACTGGACTGAGGGAAAGAGTGAATGTATTTCCTGTTAATGTGAATACGCCGGTTCGCATCAGTTGTTGTCAGTTGGTGTGGAAGCTGTGCGCTCCTTATTGTAAGTTTGCCTTTTGAGTTTTATTATTTGTGTTAATATGTAGTTCAATTTAACTATGTGGTTTCTCCTCTTAATGAGGAAGAGTTTATATGTTCACTGTGTGATCGGTCGATGTCTTGTTCTCGAATGTTTCATGCAGGGCTTCGGCATCTTTGTCATTAAACCATCCTACTGACGGTGGGGAGTGTATTTCTTCATGCCAAAGCCATGGCCGTTGTCGAGTGCTCCGCACCTGACTGCGCTTTCAAGACCGACGACGTGTCAGAGGCGCTCGCCATCGCTCTGCTGACGAACCACGGACTGGCCCATCAGAGAGCGCCGTACGTCGCGACCGATCCGATGCTGGCCCCCGCCCCTCAGGGCCCGAATTTGGACTGCCCGAGGGTTGACGTTGGCGTGTCCATTGAGGAGTGGAATGTGTTTATCCGCCGGTGGGAGGTCTTCCGCTCCCGTTCAGGGATAGGTAATGCCCAGGCCCCCTTCCAGCTCTTCCAGTGCGCCGGGCCCGAACTTGGTGACAGCTTGCTGAAGGCTAATGCTACCGTCGCTTCGGGGTCGCTGCCAGATCTCATCACCGCCGTGGGATTTATGACTCGGACATACGCTGGGAGGTGCTGGGGACCCCTGACGTTTTAGGGAAGCCTGTTAACGATGTGATCGCACTCGTTGAAAACAAGGAAATGGCTCGCAACGCTCTCCCGTCCTCGGCCCTGTCGGCTGTGTCGTCATTCCAGCGCTGGAGGAGGGGGCCGCAGGTGTGCCCCGCCCCGCCCCCGGGTCCAGGTCTAGGATCGCCTCGTGCTCAGAGTGCAAGGGCGCCTTTAATGCCTTCTCGGAGGGGCCTCGCGGGTGGAACACCAAGCCTCACAAGCTCTGCAGTGAATGTTACAGGGCCCGTTGGTACAAGAAGCAGCCCCTGCCATCCACGGGGAGTCAACAGGCCGCTATGGAGTTGGAGCCATTCTCCCAGAATGCATCTTTCCAAACTTTTGCCCCTCCTGGCCGGCGCCACGGGGGCCATGTCGACGCACCTGTCGTCCTCGAGCACCACATCTTCTCCAAGGGTGAATGGAGGCGAGCGAGGATGAGGGACCACCCTTGGGCACCGATCACCATCTCCGTCGACAGGCCAGTCGGGCTGAGGGGCAGCCCTGGTGGCCACGACCCCGCTGTCGTGGCGCGGGTGTCCGCCATCCCAGACACTGTTGCACAGTCGGACCTGTGGTCTCTTGCGGAGTTCCTTACGTGTGGCTTCTCGCGCGACGACCTGCACCCTGTACGCCTTAGCATGTTGGCCGCCTACCGCTCTCCCATAGCGGTTGAGGGCGCCTTTTTCGCAAAGCTATCTACAACGTCCCGCAGCGGGGGGTTTCGACCTGCCACTCCATGGTGTACGTGAGCAGCTTGGTCCAGGCCATGTACCTCTCCAACGACTCGTTGCTCAACCTTGGCCTGCTGCCCAGGACCTTCCCATCTCTGCTTTGAGGTGCTCTAGCGGCGGCTGCACGAGCCGGGCCAACGCCTAAAGGGGACTGTACGCTGAGGCGTACGGTCCCCCGACATGCCCGGCGGCCCTGCCATTCCCATGCGTGCCATTCCCGTGCCTGCCTGAGAACAACGGCCGGATAAAGGGATGGCTCCGGCAGAGATACACCTCGTTCACCTTCAACACTTGCCCGCATCGGGCGTTGCAGTGCATGGAAGGGCCACCCATCGAGATCCATGTGGACCCTGTGGCGACGCTGAAGGCGTGCCAGACTGCGGCTGTTGTACCTCTGCACTGGCAGCAAAGGGTCCACGAGGACCTTCTCCGAGATGAGGCCCTTGGCATCATTGAACGCGTGCCATATGGCAAGCCGGTGTCATGGTGCCATCGCATGGTGGTCACTCGTAAACACGACGGCTCACTCCGCAGAACTGTGGACCTCTTGCCTCTCAACAAGTTCTGCCGGCGGGAGACATTCGCCTGGGAGTCTCCATTCCACCTTGCATGTCGGATCCCGAAGGGCACCTGGAAGACTGTCACGGACGCCTGGAACGGCTATCACAGTGTGCCCCTGCGTGAGTCAGATCGTCATCTGACCACCTTTATCACGCCCTTTGGCCGTTGGCGCTACACGAGGGCGCCTCAGGGTTTCTTGTCGTCGGGTGACGGCTACAACCGCCGTTTCGATGCTGTCCTCTCTGATTATGAGCGCAAGGAATGATGCATGGACGATACCATCCACTATGACACCGACCTGGAGCAGCACTGGTGGAGGACGATTGACCTTCTGACACATGTCGGACGCTCAGGCATCGTGCTGAATCCGGACAAGTTCCAGAGAGAGAGGTCGATTTCGCGGGCTTCAGGGTGTCGGAAGCCACCATCGAACCACTCCCTAAATACTTGGATGCTATCCGAGATTTCCCTGCGCCGGTCTCCACGACGGATATCAGGAGCTGGTTCGGCCTTGTCAACCAGGTGGCTAATTATGCACAGCTGCACGACATGATGGCTCAGTTCAAGCCGTTCCTTAGCCCGCGTTGCAAGTTCTTGTGGTCGCCTGAGTTGGAGGAAGCCTTCCAGTCATCCAAACTTGCAATTCTTGGGGCCATCCTTGAGGGCGTGGAGATCTATGACATGCAGAGGTGCACGTGCCTCCGTCCAGATTGGTCGAGGCAATGCATTGGCTATTTTCTGCTCCAGCAGCATTGCGACTGCGCCTTGGGCTTGCCTGACTGCTGCCCGGGCGGATGGAGGATCAACCTTGTCGTTGTCACCGATGACAAGCTATTGGTAAAGATCTTTGGTGACTGCACACTGGATGTGATCACGAACTCACGCCTGTTCAGACTAGGGGTGTGAATCTCAGCACTGAGGACGATTCGATACGTATCTCGATGCACTGCCAGCGATACGATACTTTAACGATACATGGAATTTTATGGCAATACGATGCGATACGATTCACCCTCTGAATGATGCGATACGATGCGATACGATACTTTAACGATACATGGAATTTTCTGGCGATACGATGCGATACGATTCACCCTCTTCATGATGCGATACGATGCGATAATCATTTAGTTCAAATCAATGCGATCCGATACGATATGATGCAATCTGTTGCGATATGATGCAATTTAACATGATGCAAATAAGCAAAGAAAAAAAAGAAATAAAAAAAAAAAGTGGAATTCAGTATGGTACTACAAAAAGGATTTGGCTTTATTCCTTATAGGCACATGGCAGTTAATTCAACAAAAGTGCTTTTTTTCTCACAGATTAGACAGACCTCCTGCAACTGTTAAGGAATCTGAATCAATAAAATCAAAAAATCATCATTTGAGTGAGTTCTGCAATAATAAAAGAGTAAAACAATTAAACAAAAAAGTACAGTAAACAGCAACAACAAAACACTCTCATTGAGTAACCTAAAGTGACACTTTCAACAGTGCAATCAATGTTTGTTCATATTCCTGTCTGCCAAACATACTGTTAATATGAACTCACTAGGAGGTAGGCTAATACAGTAGTGAGAAGAAAGTGTAAAACAACTTATACCCTTTCACAATTGGGTTTTGTGCAAAGAAAATGTAAACAATTTGGCACCTGAGACTTAAAGCTGCTGCTGTAGTCTAAACACAAACAGACTACTCTCACTGAGTGTCTTATAGGAAATGTCCATCTCTATATAACATAAAGTAAAATATAATTTAAACAATATGGCAGTCACAGGCTCAAAGTTGCTGTGTGTATTGTAGTGTAAACAGACTACTCTCACTGAGTGTCTCATGAAATGTCCATAAGAATTAAAAAAAGAAAAGAAAATGAAAACAGATCTTTCTCTAAATGCCACTCTCACTATCAACACCTCACTTTGTGATCCATGTCATATGGCGTTGCTTCAGGTTTTTTTTCAGGAAGATTAGCTGGTCCACATGTTCAGGAAGAAGCCGACTGCGCTCTGCTGTTATAATGTCACCTGCTGTGCTGAACACTCGTTCAGAGGGGACACTTGTTGCAGGGATGGACAAATAGCTCCTGGCCAATTTTGAAAGCAGTGGAAGATCCACTTGTTCTTTCCACCACTGCAACATGTCACCATTGACATCTAACCCATTCCTCCCCCTGTATTTTGTTATTTCCTCCTTAGCTCTCTCCCTTATGGTCTTCTCTGGTGCTCTAGGAGCGAGGAAACCTCCAAGCAACTGGTCCATGGCTGACTTCTTCTTGGGAGGTTCTGGCTCATCATCTAGGGTAGACAAGACAAAGCAAGACAGGACAAAAGAAATATGAGTCACAACAATATGTCTACAATACTATCACAAACACAAACAACAACAAAAACAGTATAACGCACATCCTCCTCTTGGTGCTGATACATTAACAGGAATCATAAAAAATAGCACAGTCTCAGAACACTTTGAAATGCTCCAAATTAATTAACATGCAGCTGCGCGAAGCTGTGCTTTTGTTTACAATAATATCAGCATATTAAATTAGTTATTAGTTAAATACCATATAACTGCATTACAATATCATCATCACTCCTATTTTCAAATCAATGCACTATTATAGATAACAAAACCAAGTCCCAAAACAAACCTCTCTCATCTTCCTCTATCTCCTCCACATCATTTTCATTGTCGTCGTCCTCCTCCTTCTCCTCCTCCTCCTCCCTGTGGCCTCTCCCATCACCTTCTGCTTGAGCTGCCTGGCTCTCATCATCCAGCATACCATCAGCCCTTGCCTGACAATCATCAGAGCAGAGAGCAGCTGAGATTATCATCATCATCATCATCATCATCTAGAAAAGCCAACTTGGACAAGTGTTGAAAACTAGCATAAGTGTTAATATATTTTCCTTGTGAAATAAATAAATACATATAATGTCATTAGAACTAAAACAGAAAACCCTTAAGTGAGACAGAAAATAATGAGAGTAAAACTAACTGCTGATAATATTGTATTTCTTACCATATCCTCCACTATCCTCAGGAAAATCACGTCCTTTGCAGTGTTGTCAGCATCCATGAAGTGCAGGTCTTTGAAGCGGGGGTTAAGGGCTGAGGCATTGTCGAGGAAGTCTTGAATGTAGTTGTAGCGGGAATCAAAGTCCTGTCTGAAATTTTCTTTCATCTTGCCAATGACTGCTAGATCGCTGTGGTTTTCTCCAAATTCTGACCGTAGTTTAGCCAGTAGAGGGGAAACGATGGAGATGGTGGGGGTCTTTTCCTCGCTGAGGAACTTGGTTGCCAGTTTCAGGGGGGACATCAGTTTCACAATTTCTGGGATAACTTTCATCTCCTCATCTGAGAGGGGAGGCAGTGGTTCTCCCCTTGGCTTGATTTTCCTTAATACTGCCGCCACAGCATCCTTCTGTTCAATAACGCTCCAACATCTCAAGGGAACTATTCCACCATGTGGAAACATCATGAATTAGCTTGTGGTGTGCCAGACCCAAGTTTTGCTGCTGATCACGGAGAGCATCAGATGCTTAGGTACTTCTGTGAAAAAATGTAACGGCTCTCCTTATTTTCACCAGGATAGGTTTCACCTGGTCTGCTTTAAATGTTTTTTGCGAGGACAAATTAAGTGTGTGTGCTATGCATCGCACATGCGGCTTTATTTCTGCTCCAGACCCAGCCAGTATCATGTTTGTTGCATTATCCGTGACTAACGCTGGCTTCTTGTCGCTAATCTTCCACTCGCGGCTAACGTCGCGCAGTAACTCTGCAAGATTAGCTCCGGTGTGAGACTCACGGAAAACTCTGGTCTGGAGAACGAAGTTTTGCATTTCCCACTCCGTGTCAATGTGGTGTGCCGTCACTGTTATATATGAGTCTGTGGCGCAAGACGTCCACCCATCCACTGTAAGAGCAACTCTTTGTGCACTGTTCAGCGACACAACAATCTCACTTCTCACTTTGTTGTACAGATCGGGAATATGTTTGTCAGTGAAGACAGACCTGTCTGGTATTTTATATTTGGGTTCCAAAACGTGCATGAGCTGTCTGAAGCCCTTGTTTTCTACCACGCTATAAGGCTGGATGTCTTTACATATGAAGTAAGCAGTGGCCTTAGTTATAGCCATTGCGCGGTCACAGTTTGCTGCGAGAGGACCCCCAAAATAAGAAGCGACACTTTTCTGATCCTGACCTGATTTGCTCTTTTTTTCTCCGGTGTCCGTCGAGGAACTAGACGGGGAGCCGGGGGAGGTGGCGTTCGACTTGTCGGTGATGTGGTGTACTCTTTTCAAGTGGGTTTGCATGTTTGTCGTGCTGCCGTTGTACAGCTTCTTAACGCGGCATTCCTTGCAAATGACGAACGTTTTGTTGAGCTTTCCGTCTTTTTTGGCAAATCTGTAGTGTCTCCATACATAGGATTTAAACGTAGCGGGTGCATTATAAATAAACTCTTCCTCGCTGCTACTCACTTGAACGCGGTCCATGCTGTTTTACTTGTAGTGTATTAAATGTCCCTCACGGCTTCAGTCCGTATTCAATAAAAAACGCGAAATAATGATGGTGCATTCATTGCGCCTGGGGAACAGCAGATGGGGTGAAGTTTAACATGAATAAAACGGCGCTTGCATCGGATTTTACCGATACCCACCAACGCATCTAGATGAATCTAGATTTCATCCGTCAATTGCATCGATACCCGGTGAATGAGCCGACGCAGTCGCATCGCGCACATGCGCATCGATGCATCGATTAATATCGATTATTTTCGACACCCTTAGTTCAGACTCAAACAGCGCACTCTCCCGTGGCGCTTTGACATTGTGCACCTGCCGAGCAGGAGCAACCATGCCGCCGACACCCCTCTCCCTCGGCTCGGCGGACGGCCTCTCCCTCGGGTTGCCAGATTTGCCCGATGACGTGAAGTCTGCTCATATGGCTTCCATCTGCACCGATGCGCAGGAACTTGGTGCCATCTCCTGGTTCCTCCTTGCACAGGAGACAGCGCCTTACGCGTGCTTTAGCCACCTCCTGTACTTGATCGAGCACGGGGAGAGGGTCGACGCAAACGACTCCGCCCTGGCTGGCCTGTCGTCGGTCTGTGCCTCCATTTACGCACAGGATGGCGTCCTGCTGTATTGTGACCGTGTTGTGGTCCCTCCATCCCTCCGGGACAGGGTCCTTTGGAACCTCCATGCAGCCCACCAGGGTATATCGGCGATGGAGCAGTGTGCCCGTGCCATTGTATATTGGCCTGGGATGTCAGAGGGTATACGGGCCACCAGGTACGGGTGCGCGGACTGCAACTGCAATGCACCGTCGCAGGCAGCTACCCCTCCTACACCGTCGTCTACACCGTCGTCGCCACCGTCCACCCCATTCGAGGCGGTGTTCGCCGACTACTTCGACTATGGGGGCTGCCACTATCTGGTTGTCGGGGATCGTCTCTTGGGCTGGGTGGAGGTCCTGTGCTCCTCAGCGGGCACTGACATGGGGGGGTCGGCTGGTCTGATTCGCCACCTCCGTTCATTCTTTGGCTCCTTTGGCGTTCCGGTGGAGCTGTCCAGTGATGGCGGCCCGGAGTTCGTGGCGGCCCAGACACAGGACTTCCTCCGCTTATGGGACATCCGACATCGGGTGTCCTCAGTCGCTTTCCCGCAGTCGAACGGGAGGGTGGAGGTGGCGGTGAAGACTGCTAAACGCCTACTGATGTCCAACACCGGCCCGTCTGGCAGTCTTGATCATGATCGCTTCTTACGCGCCATGATACAATTGCGCAACACTCCCGACCCTGATTGTGATCTCTCACCGGCTCAGATCATTTATGGTCGCCCCCTTCGAGGCTCGCTTTCCTTCGTCAACAGGCTCGAGAAATTCTCTGACTCTCGTGTTCGTCCGCTCTGGCGGCAGGCGTGGGCGGCGAAGGAAGATGCCCTCCGGACTCGGATGTCCCATACAACTGAATCGCTGAGGGCTCATTCGAGGTCACTTCGCCCGTTGGCGCTTGGTGCTAGGGTGTTCCTCCAGAATCAGCAGGGCCCTAGCCCTACCAAGTGGGACCGGTCCAGTGTTGTGGTGGAGTCTCTCAGTCACGATCAGTATCGGGTCAAGGTGATGGCTCCGGACGCTTGACTCTGTGCAACCAGCGGTTTCTCCGTGGCTACACGCCAGCCACCCCCTGCGCTCCGCCGCAACCTGCGGTGCCGTTGCGACCGCCTGTTCCCCCGGGATGCCCCCCTCCGCTTCCGCCTGCCCACCCAGGCCCGGTTGCGCCCCAGGGGCTCATTCAGGAGTCGGAGGTCGGGCCCCACTGATGTAGGTCTGGGCCCCTCCTGCCCGTCGCCATGTGATTGTGCAGCCCTCGTCCGCGGGTCCCCGGTTGACCCGCGGACGACCTGCCCCCCCGACCTCGTCCCTGCGTCGCCGCCCCTGGTGTCGCGGTTGTCGCCGCCCCTGGTGCCGCGATCATGGCCGCCCTCCGTGCCGCGGCCGTCGCCGCCTCCGTCCCCGCCAGGGCGGCCGTGTCACGCTAGGAGGCCGCCTATGCATAATGAGCCGGAGAGTGGCCGCTGGGAACTGGGCTGAGTCCTTTGCTCTGCCAGCCACTAGGGGTCTCCGGTGCCCGCATTCATGGTTGTGTTGATTGGACTGAGGGAAAGAGTGAATGTATTTCCTGTTAATGTGAATATGCCGGTTCGCGTCAGTTGTTGTCAGTTGGTGTGGAAGCTGTGCGCTCCTTATTGTAAGTTTGCCTTTTGAGTTCTATTATTTGTGTTAATATGTAGTTCAATTTAACTATGTGGTTTCTCCTCTTAATGAGGAAGAGTTTGTGTGATCGGTCGATGTCTTGTTCTCGAATGTTTCATGCAGGGCTTCGGCATCTTTGTCATTAAACCATCCTACTGACATCAAGGAGTGTATTTCTTCACTCTCTGAGTGTTAACCCAGTCCTCAAGAACATTTTCGAGTTCAGGCCACCTGCTTTTATGTCCTCTGAAAGCCTTTCTAGTCTTTTGGCATTGCATGAATTCTTCCCGCTGCTGCCTCCAGCGCCAAACCATGGATTCATTCATGCCAAGCTTGCGTGCAGCAGCTCTATTTCCTTCCTTTACTGCCAGATCGATGGCCTTCAACTTAAATGCGGCATCATATGAACTTCTTCGTGTGGTTTCCATGATGAAGGGGTATGGGTTTGAAAAAAAATCCCTGTCCTGCTGCTTGCATGTGCTAAATGAAAATTAGCACTTTCTTCTTTTATGTTAAAATTTGACTTTCACCTGTCTCGTTTTTTTCACTTTATATTAAAGTCCACAGAAAATCCACAGAAAAGCCGCACCACATTATAAGCCGCATAGTTCAAAGCATGGGAAAGAAGTAACGGCTTATAGTCAGGAAAATACGGTACTTAAAAAAATAAGAAATACTTAAAAAAAACTTGTCTGGACAGCTGACATAAACCAGCATCATAGTAACCAAGTTTAAAGGCAGAAACGTGTTTTAGAGACATCTATTTGACCTACATTTTGATTTTAAGGTTTGACCCATATCCCATCTGTTACCATGGAGGAGGTTGGGTTTATAATCTATACTGCTATACTGCAGACAGCCAGCAGAGGGTGCTCTAAATCTTGTCAGGGATTATGGCGATTAAATATACAGTTTACCCTTTCACCCACACCACGTAACACTCTGTAACTATACTCTAAACACACACATACACACACACACACACACACACACACTTATATTAATACCCCCCCACACACACACACATAAATATAAATAAATGTACACACACACACCTGTTACTGTAATTCTACACATTTCTTACATCAGACCCTCTGAACACGACCAGGTTGAGGTGATTCAGCAGTTCCTGTCAGACTGAGACTGAACAGAAAGTTCTGATGGATCAGATCCGATCCTGGACTCAGTCCAACTTTAACCCGGACGTACTTCGACCTCAGAGTTTAAAAACTAAAATATTTTTCTTGCTGTTTTCATCGAGACACTCCTAAAGACCAGGACCTGGATTTCTCCATGTTCATCAGGTGATCTGATTCATGTTCTATTTTTTTTTTTAAGAGTTTGTTTTTATAGGATACACAGAATTTTAAAAGAACTTCGGTATTCCAACACCTGCACGAGAATATTGTATTTGATGCAATACCAGCTTGTTTCTTAAAACTATTACAAGGCAGCAATGTATTTAAGGAACAACCAATGTTGAAGACTATCCTGCTGAACGGCATCAATATCAAAGATTAAAAATGTAATAATAAACTGTTTATCTCACAGTGTTCTTTTAATTCTGGTGCCAAAAGTTTTTGTAATGGTCTTTTTGATTGAATTATTTGGAAAAGGGTTTGGATTTACTACAAAAAATATTTGATCAACAATAAAGTGACTGAGGTTTATTTCAAAATGATTCACTTCATCTATCCAACTAACCACTTGATCACAAAATATCGAACTGATATCTCATACTCTAGTGTATTGTGTAACCTTGAAAAAGAAACAATTGTACATTTATTTTTTGACTGTATGCATGTTAAATTTTTCTGGATTGAAAATGTATTTGAATTGTTGTCTGGATGTAAGATTAACCTGCAAAAAAGAGAGATATTTTTTATTAGGAAAAAAGAACATGAACCAAAGTCATATTTTTCTGTTAAACCTTTTTTCTTTGTATGGAAGATTTTATAAACATAGATGTAAATGGTCTAAAAAGAAACCAAATATCCACCAGTTTAAAAATGAAATGAAGATCAATTTTAAAACACTAACTGGACTAACAAAACTTTGACTTTCTACGAAGTCTTAAGGTCCTCTCTATGATCTGAACTGAACATATGATCCCCATGTCACAAATTATATCATAACTTATGTATTTTTGTATGCCGGACTTAGAATTTTTGTTTTTCTTGCAAAGTTTTGATTCCTCTGAAATGAATGTAGCTACCCCATGTTCAATAATATGTATTTGTCATTTTTGAAGAACTGAAATAAAAGTTTGGAGAAAAATAAAAGTTTTGTTTTTATAGGAGGTTCACTGGGGTTCTGGTTCAGTTGTACAGTTTTACTCATTTAAGGAAATGTATTTCCTTTTACCAATAACGTACGCGACTAAAATAAAATCAGAAAATGTAAAATTACTCTGTGATATTTAAGAAGCTTTCCAAGGCAAGTACAAATATTTGATGGGTTTATGTAAAATATTTCATGGAGCACATAAAGGTTTCATAAAATGGTAAAAATATCTAATAAAGAAAAAAATGAAACAAAAATATGATGATATACAAAAAAATAAACAATTAAATAATGTCAGGAAATTAAAAAAATTAGATTGGTTCTGAAATTAAAAATATTTTAATGTAAAAATATTTTAAGGGTTGTAAACACATTTCACAGAAACTGTTGACAGGATGAAACAAACATTTAAAATCGTCTCTAGATAAAAAATATTTCAGTGACAATTTTAAAGTGTTTCTCCATCTGGTCAAATGTTTTTGTGTTTGAGGAAACATTGCTGTTTTTACTGAAATGTTTTGGCAGTTGACCTTTGGGGCCACCGTAGCCATGTAATGAAACATCAGCCAGACGCTCAGTCATCACCATGGAAACACGATTCTTTCAAAGTGGTTTATTGCTGGAGTAAAAAAACATTAAATCCTGTTCTTATTAACAAAATATTTACAAAGTTCACTTCCTCTAAAAATAAACAAACAAAAAAAAAACAGCTGCAGGTTCTTTAAATATCAAAAACAACTGAAAGTACAAAAACATGCTGAGTCAGCGACAGGAAAACTGCTAAATCAGCGACAGTAAAACTGCTGATTCAGCGACAGGAAAACTGCTGAGTCACTAATTACATCTTCTCGTTAAGACGGGGGGTCTGTGGGTTTGGACTGAAGCTCTCAGAAGACCTGGACCTGAGGGGTGTTCACAGAGTCCTGATCCACCTGGACAGGAGCAGAGAAGGTTCTGGATCAATCAGCTGATCAGAGAAGGTTCATCTTTTACTGTAAGATCTATTTTTAAACTCGTCTTTTATTTTCAGTTTCAAACAGAAAAACTTTATTTAAACCTGTAGCACAGACAGAGCCGAGGGGGAGGGGGGAGGGTGGGGTAAATCAGGGGTGGTTCTGACCTCGGTGTAGGCAGGCGGAGGTGGGTAGAACAGTTCTGGTGTTCTCATGAACAGCCCCCCCTCGTCCTCATCGTCCTCCCCGCCGTCGTAGTCGTGGAGTAGTGGCGTGAGCGGGCCGTCCGCCCTCAGGTCTCGGTGAATGTTGCTGTAGCTCGGGGGGGCAGGGGGGAGGGAGGCCCAGCTGGAGAGCGACCCCGCCTGGCTGCTCATGCTGCTCGTCCTGCTCCCCACGCCGCTGAATGGGACCGTCCCCACCACCAGTGGCAGCTCCACCGCCAGCTTCTCGCTGCCTGGGACGTGCAAGTAGATCTGTGGGGGGGTGAGGCGCGTTAGTGGGGCGTGGCGGCGAGTTTGTCTGTTATGATGTCATCAGTGAGACTCACCCTGAGGGTGTAGTCCACCCTGATGATGTCACAGCCCCGCAGTGTGGGCTTCAGTTTGGGGACCCGGATGGTCTTACTCTGCCACATGTCACACATGCCTGAGATGATGTGGTTTCCTCGCACCGCGCACAGCTTCTGACACAGTTCCTGGAGAGGTCAGAGGTCAGTAAGACTTACAGAAACAGCTTCCTGTTTAACACACAGGATGTGACATTGCGTCTTTACCTTAGTGCGCCCGCCCACGGTGTAGGTGTGTTTGGCGATGATGGCGGCCTTGGGCACGACAATACGTGAGCAGGTGTTCTCAAACTTGGCATTGATGCTGATTTCCTCACCCTCACAGAAGCCCTTCCTGTCGATCTGAGCGCTGATGGACACCTGTCCGTCAGGTATGAACATACAGGTGACCTTCTTCTGAGCTGAAGCCGCAGACGGAGCCTGACAGGAAACACAAAACAGATCAGGTAAACATGGTCCTCTAACCTTCAGGTAGATCCATCAGATCTAAACCTGCTTCCTCCACACTCAGAGGTCCACAGAGGTCCAAAGAGGTCTGGTTTAAAGGAGAATTCTGGTGTTTCTTTCGCTCACAAAGGAGGAACTCTGACTTTTATTATTCCATAATTCCAACTTCCCTCTTTGGGCTTTTCTAATTTTAGTTTTCTGAGTAGAAGGACCAGAACTCTGAAGTCCGAAATTCTTGGAAAAAGCGCTAATTTAAGACAAAAGCCAGAATTCTGATGTTAAACCCAAACCTGTTAAACCTCGAGTAAAGTTTGAACAGATAACTGACGGATTTTTGTAAAGACATCTTTAGATCCCAGAAAACGGGAAAAAGGAGAGGAGTCTAAAACACCGGACTGACCCTTTAAAGGGATATTCTGGCGTAAAATTAATTTAGGGTCAAACACACCATAACACCGAGTTAGACACCCCCTCCAGAGATGAATGTTGCTGACCGCTTGCTTCTCTAGTTATACCAATTTTAGTAACGACCGCAGGATAGCAATACACAGTGGTCTGAGGAGCCATAAACAAACCTCAACCCAAACGCCACTCTATAGCCACAAATAATACTCAGAACAGCACCTAACTTCATCAACAGTACATATAGGGTCCCAGCCATAGAACTATATTCAGAGTTGTTCTAACTCCTAAAAAAACAAAATTAAGCGGGGGGAATTTCTCCACTTCTGTAGTCTATTGGGCCAAGAAACTTCTACTGTAGTAAAATGAAAAGGTAAAGGTGTTTTTGTTAAGCCGAATTATCAATAAAATCATGATTTTGTTAACAGGTATGAATATATGAGCTGTCGAGTTAATATATTTCAACAAGAGCACAGTGAAGTTAAATCAGCTAATTTTCCAATGAGGTTCTGTTACTGAACAGAACTACACTGCGTTCTACTGAGGTTAGTACATATAGGGTCCCAGCCACTGAACTACCCAAAGAGACTAAACACAACTCACCTACTGTCTTCCAGCAGCTGCTTGTTTGTACTGAGACCTCAGGCCAGTCCATTACAGACTACAGCGGGGTGACGCAGCTTAAGGAAGAACATTTATGATCATTTCTTTATCATTTCCTTGAAGTAATAATCATTATATTAATGATTTTGCACTGCAGACACGGTAGTTCTTCTGCCTTAACGTTTCAGTCTGATTGCATTTCCATGAAGAAATGATCATAAATGTTCTTACTTGAGCTGCGTCACCCCGCCGTAGTCCGTAATGGACTTACTCGGTGTTACGGTGTGTTTGACCCTAACTTACTTTTATGCCAGAATATCCCTTTAAATTCTGAGTGTAAAGAGTCATGATCATTATCAGCAGCTGTGATGTTGTACTGGTGTGTGTGTGTGTGTGTGTGTGTGTACCAGCAGGTCTGGTATGTTGATGTCCAGCGGCTCCTCCACCTCAAACTCATGCTCACACTGTAAAGCATTCTGGGAAGGTCTGTCCAGCAAGGCACGCACATAGTAACGAACATATCCAAACTTTCCTTTATAGGACGAGACCAGACGCCTGGAAGGAAGGAGACAGAAGATTAATAACTCTGATCACACCTCCGATCAATAACCTCTAATCACTCCTGTCTGAACACGTCTCACCCCGCAGGCGGAAGCTCGAAGCCGAATAAGAAGTTGTAGGTTTTTCCAGCTTGCAACAGGAAGCAGCTATCTGAGTCTGAACACAGAGACAGAGCTCATGAGCAAGGCATCATTAACCCTAGAAGACTATCTCCAGGTGATTTTCCCCAAATCAAACATGTTTTTAGGTGATTTTCATGATGTTGCATTTGTCTGAGTCCCTGGGTAGCTTCAGCATTTCCTTTGACATCTTTGAAGGCATATTTGTTTCCCTGATCCAAAACCTGCTTTTTCCTACAGACATGTGATTTTCACCCGGCAATAGTGATAGAAGGTAAAGTAAAGTTTGGGTGGATTTGATAGCTGCATGTAGGGAATAATGTCAGTAAGAGTGGTCCTAGAATTTACATCCTATCTTTATTTAGCGCAGTGGTTGTGAATAACTATTACAAAGTAGTGATTTTCAAATGTTCATATGGTGATAAGAAATACTTGAGTCAGCTGATCATTTTTTAGTATTAGGGCCACATTAAGAAAGATTAATTTGTAAGACTTTGAGATTAAAGTAATCACTTACGAGGGTAAAGTTGTAATAAAATCATTATATTTTAACCTGTTGTTTAAGATGACAGTTGTTAAAATTAGAGCCATGGAGCATTTCATGAAAATGTACTTCAATATCTGTTTCTCAAACAAGGAGATACTTCATCTTTTGGCACATCAGCACCACATTATCATAAGTATCTTAATGATTTTATTACAACTTTATTCTAGTTAGTAATGACTTTATTCTTGTAAATTAATTGTAAATTAAATCTTGTAAGTTTCTTTTTTCTTAATCTGGCCCTAATACTCTGTTGTAATACTTACTCACGCCAAATGAATGCCTAATTTAAGTTATTTTGTTGCATTTTTATATGGTTCCCTCATGTCACTGCTTTTCCTCCCTTTGGACATTGCACAGTTAAAAATTAACTATCTTTAAAAAAAAAAAAACTACTTTAATTTGTCATGTATTGTCCTATTTTGATATATTTTGATGACAAGTAATTTTTCTTGGGTATATTATTTCGGTTAAAAATCCCCTGGTGATAGTGATGGTGTTATTAATTTTAGTGTTCTAGGGTGGATACAGTCACCATCATCATTAATAACACTAATGTGTAACCTGGACATCAGAACTTCATCAGAACTTCACAGGATCTCAGTGTTTTAGTCTGAAGAACCTGCGCAGATGTCCTCACAGTCATGGATAAAACCATAAGATCCCTCCAGATCTCATTTCAATGAGATCTGCAGGTTTTTTTTGTTTTGTTTTTTTAAATAAATGCAGACAGTTTTTTTCTGGATACCTGACCTCCTCCTCTGTCTCACCTCTCCTCAGCTCCTCCTCCAGCCTCAGCTCCTCCTCGTACTTCAGGTACTCCACCTCCTGGCTGCGGTTCTTGCGGTTCTTTCCGCCGCGGTGGTCCACGCGGGCGCAGCCGGCGGCGGTGACTGTGAGACGGGAGACCCTGCAGGAGTGAGCCGCTTCCAGCTGGACGGAACCGGACAGTTTCTCCCCGCTGCTGTAAAAGGAGCGAGCCGGGTCCGAGAAGACCACCCGGAACACCTTCAGCTTGTTCGACTGGTTCAGGACCATGGTGGTACCCTGGTTCTGATTCGGATTTTAAACGCTGCTAAGTTGCAGAAATTCACCGGACTGGTGCTCCAAATTTAAGAAAAGAGAAAATAAATCTTTTTTTTTCCGTTCAGTACTGATCGTAAAATATCGATGAATGAAATTAAAATGAAATATGCACACATTCACATAAAAGGAAAAATAAAATTTATTATTAAATAAATCGGTCGGTAGTTTATCTGTTTCTCTTCGGTAAACACAAACGGTGCTGCTCCTCCGTTTTATAGAGCTAGGGGGATTTCAGGAGGGGGTCCCGGTGTCCCCTTACCTCTGACTGGGCAGCATGTGCACACGGTGTGGGGACACAGAGCAGCAGGGGAACCGAGCCCTCTGATTGGACAGAGCAGGGTTTGGGCAGAATGCAGCCAATCAGAGCGAAGAGAAAACGCGTGGGCAGCTCGTGCCACGAGGGGGCGGGGCCCGAAGTTGGCCCGCCATAAATAAGGGACAAGTTTAAAAGTAGAGTCATCAAAGTGATAATAGAAACAGACTAACAGTACTACAACAACAATAAAGGGCAACAACAACTACAAGAACAGTAAAGGCAACAACAACAGCTACAACAATAATCTAGGCAACAGCAACAATAATAAAGGCAACAACAACAAAAGCAGCAACAACAATAAAGGGCACAAACAACAAAAACCAAAACAACAACAATATAGACAACAATAACAGCAACATTAAAGGGCAACAATAAAGGCAACAACAGCAACAGTTAGACTAGTTTAAATGTGGAGTCATCAGGGGCCTATTCTATGAGGGGGGGGGGGAAGTTGGTGGCTGGCAGGCATAATGTGTGCAACGGGTGGCACAGCTAATAAAACATTGGCCGCAGCGGCGCCGCCCCTAATGTCCAAAATGTGACAAATCAGTCACTGGCTGGCTGCAGGCTGCACCTGCATGTTCGCCTATATGCACGGGCCGGGCATGATTCTCCCTGTAGTAGAATCTCTTCATACATTTAGGTTAAGAAATATAGAGTAATTATCTTTTAGTAAGGAGCTACAAATAATCTAGGATGGCCTGCTCCTGCAGCCTCATGACCCTGAGATTGTAAACTGTCTTGCAGGAGCCTGAACTATCTGTCTGTTGGAACATTTAAAGCGAGGGTCAAGACGAGCCTAAACAAAGTGTCGTGGGGCAGACGTCATCGTGAGGAGCCTTCTGGAGAATTGACACACACACAGACACACACACACACACACACACACACCTGAGAGCATAAAGGGGAGTAGAAGAAAAGCTAGAGAGGCTTCCCTTGGTCTTGGTCGAGACTGTTTGTCATCTGTACTGATTCCTACATCTGTACAATAAAAGACGCCCAGGCTGTTCTTCAGATCTCATCCTGTCTCCTGTGCATTGTTTTACTAAGTTTATGCTGGATTTTCTACAACATATTGGCGAGCCAACACAGGATTTGTGTCTGGGAACCAGGGGCTGTGGCTCTGCGACCTCTCACGGGGGAGACGCTTGGGGCCCCAAAAAGAAAATAAGGTAGGAGATCTCCTAAAATTTTTCTGAGCGCTTTGCCCTGTGAGATAGCGCAGACCTACGCTCTCTGTTCCCTTTGAATTAAAGAACCTAGAATAGAAAAGAAGAGACTGTGGGAATGAAGACAGTCTGGATAAACTGCATGCATGCAGTCAGCTGATCAAAGTCTGCCAAATTTGTGAGGAAGCCAATTTAAATTGGATATATATCAGCTGAATATAGGGGAAACTGCAGTTGGTTGTGTGAGACCGTTATATGTGAAGCTAATAGACTGGGTGCAGAGAAGCACAAGGCCAGTAGTTTGTGGAACTAGCTAGACTGGGTGCGAAGCGGCACAAGGCCAGTAGTTGTGTGGAGCTAATTAGACTGGGTGCTAAGCGGCATAGGCCAGTAGTTTAGGGAGAGACCGGTGTATTAGAAGTTTTCCAGACTGAGTGCGAAGGAGCATAGGCCAGTAGTTGGGTGGACACCGGTCTGCAAACAGCCTGGCCCGGGTTGTGATGTGTTTTTAGGCTGAATGCGTGGTGATAAAGAGGATCTGGATAATTGTTGAGATAACAAGGGAAGCGGCAGGCACGAGTGTGTCTGTCCATTGTTGAACTGTGAGTTTTAGGTCATTCTTTTATGAGCTCTGAAAGGTGGTAGCCGACGGATGAGCAGATTCATCTGGTAATACATACATGGATTTTCTTTTTGGAAAACTCCACTAGAAAGGAGGATTTGTCATGCGGAGTTCCGCTAAGGCTTAAGAAAAAGCCAAAAGGAGATAGAAAAAGAGGTCAATAAGGATAGGCTGAAAAGCCTCTCAGGGATCCCAATTGCACAAGCACGTCCCATATCTCCTGACCAATTGTGGAAGAATCACACAAATTGAAAAAAATCACACAAACTTGAAAAAATGAAGAAATCAAAACAAGAATCAAAAATAAAAACTGAAGACCGACTCGAATGACTGACAAGACTATCACATGTGTGAAAGGGTTAACCATTGAATGGTGAAAGAATGAAGTGACTGAGCTGAGTGTTACAAGTGCATGTGTGTGAAATCTGCAGTGAGTCAAGTGGCTGAGCTAAGCGCTGTGAGTGCGTGTGTGAGATCTGCATCAATGCCTTCAGCTGCGCTTACAGGCTGACTCTGTCTATGATTACATGTATGTGTTTGGTAATAACTTCATCTGTGATTACATGTATGTGTTTGGTTATAACTTCATCTGTGATTACATGTATGTGTTTGGTTATAACTTCATCTGTGATTACATGTATGTGTTTGGTAATAACTAACCTTTATTTTTCCTGTGTCAATGTGATTCAAGCAATAGTTGTAAAAGGGTAACACATATATATGAAAGAGGGACAATTAGTGCTGTAAGTGTGAAACTGTTAAAAAGATCAAATTTTAAAGGGTTGCTTCTGCACATCTGCTGTATCTGCTGAACCTGTCAAAATACTGTGGGTTTTCAAATATTGTTGAACCAATACTGATTTTTGCTGTGAGACTCCGTTTGAAGAATGTTTTTAAGTGCTGCATTTTGAATGGTGACGCAAGTTATGATTGAAGTAGAGTGTGGCATTGCACTGTTTGAGTAGTGAATGTGTAAAAGACTAACAGTGAGAGCATTGTGGCTCTGATTGAGGCATAGTTTGAAGCAAGGCAAGGCTTGGGAAATCGGTGCGACTTACAGGGAAAGACAAGATCTGCTCTGGTAGACAGCTAGAAAGAGTTTGAGCTAGCCGGAAGTGATGCAGAGGAAGGAGGGTGGAGTTTTGTAGAGATATTCTCCTACTCCCTACCCCCCTTTCTCTATCTCTCTTCACTTGCAGGGTGCCTTGTTCACCCCCCCTTCCATGTGAAATCCTGACTTTGTGTTGGGTCTGTTTTGTTCTTTTTTTTCTTTTTCTGCAGCAGGGGCTGGCTGTGTGCTCTAAATTTGACAGCAGACAGAGGGTATAAGAAAAAAGATAGAGAAGTGAAGTGGTAACTGTACTGTCTCCTGTAGGTTAAAAACAAAGATCCAAGTTAAAAAATAAATTAATAAATTAAATAAATAAATAAAAATAAAAATAAATAAATACTTGTTTTTTCTCAGTTTTGGTAGAGCAGTAATTAGACAAGGGACTTTAAAATAGAGTGCTAATCAGAGACTAAAAACCAATAGAAATAACAGATTTGGCCAAAACAATTAAAACTAAAACAGAAAATGAGTACAACTCCGGTTGTACTAGTGGGGTGTAGATACCCTGAGCACCTGAAAGACATCCAGAAACTAACAAAGAAATGGGAAAACCGTACCAAGGGGTCGGAATCTGCATGGCCTAGAGAAGGCACGTTTGATGTGGCTGTGTGTGAGGATTTGGAGAGGCGGATAAAAGATTATAAGACCAAAGATAAAAGTAAAAAACGCCAAAACAAGAGAGAATTGGAGCTAAAAGTACTAAACATGTTTAAAAGCGAGGGACAACACTACCTAAATAATCTGAGAATTGGAATGGCAGAGCTGAAAAACACCAAGGAGAAGGAAAAGTCACAATTTTGGAGGAAGACCAGAACAGAAAAAGAGATACCAAAACCGGGACCTGTAGGTATATATCCTTCTCTGGTGGGAAAAATCAACATAAATGGCGATTTTGAAGTTGATAGAGGGGAAGCTTCACTCCAAAATATCTCAGGTGTGGGAGGGGGAGATAACTGCCCAAATCTAGAAAAAAAAGCAAGTGGGGACAATATTGGACCACCAATCTCACAACATTGCAGCACAACAAAGAAACAGGCACAAAATAAGCCAAATTAATCTGTCGCCACATGAGATGCTAACTGGTAGACCCATGCCTTATCCTGCATGCAGAGGACCTTACAAGGGCCCCACACTTGAGCAGTTGCAGAATGAACTAAAGGAGTATATGAGACAACTGACTGTGATACATAGGTCCATCTATCTGCAGGAAAAAAGCCGTGAACTTGATCCAAACCGAGAGGTGGAGAAGCCAGTGGAGCCAGGGGATCAGGTCTACATCAAAGTCTTTCGAAGAAAGTGGCACGAACCTCGAAGAAAAGGCCCGTACACTGTGGTCCAGGCTACACCTACTTCGGTGCAAGTAGAGGGCAGCACGACGTGGTATCATCTGAGTCACTGCACAAAGCTGCCAAAAAGACCTAAGGGAAGTACAATTCTTGACGAAAAAGACTCCAAAGATGAATGTGCTACTAATCTTGAAAGTAACTGTTCTCCTGATGTGGTTGCTGAAGGGCAACGTGGGCAAAGAAAGGGAGAGAGAGAAAGCGGAGACAGAGGGGGCGCAGATGAAGGTCATACAGGTGCCAATACTACTGTCCGAAGAGGGAGCCCGAGACATTGTCAACTTAGGTGAGTACGATGCAACCCAAACACAATCCACACCACTCCAGACAGTGTTAGAACCCATGCCAACATTCACTGAAGAGCAACACACAAAAGGCCACAGTCATACACAAAAACAGACAAGATTTAAAAAGGACAGACATAGATTGTGGGTCAGGGAAGTTGAGCAGCCGTCTCCGCAGGAAAAGGTAGCAGTACCAGCCACTGTTCCAACCACTCCTAGGGTAGAGACAACAGCACCAGCGCCCAGGACAGGACCAGCGCAGCAGCCAGGTGTGACACCTGCTAGAACAGGTCCAGTAACCACAATAAGTGAGGAGGTAAATAAAACACAGACCACAACTCAAACTATGTTAACAACACAGGGTAGGAAGATAGGAGAAAATGACAATACAGATCAGGATGATTATAATGATTATGATAATGCAGAAAATGCTGATGAGCAGCCAGGAATGGATGTATTGTTTAAGGGAAAACTTTGGGGAAACACAAGGCCAATTTTAAGAAGCATTCAGGGTTATCCAGATGAGGGGTGGGAGATGGCCAGGTATAATGGGTGGTATGAATGGGCATTGTTTACAGCTAAAGCGGTAGTTCCTGAGGAATGTATTTTATGTACTGAATCTCCGCTGTCAGTTCCAACCGTAGTTCCTGAGAAATACACATTTAGAGAATGTGCACAATACCAAAGTCAGAAATGTAAAGAGGGAAATTTTTACCATAGATACAGATTCGCTAGAACGTTCACCTTTATATCAGGGGTTGTTTAAATATCCTATTTGTGGTATTGTGTGTAGGCTCCTATATGGGTCCAGACGTAATCATGATTATCTAGATAAATGTCCAACTTGCAAGTTTGATTCTAAATGTGCAGAATTCCAGTTGTTAACTGATCAAATTGAGCCACCAATGAGGTACAAGGTAGATTACACACAGAGCAGTGGCGGCTGCTGGTCTTTCAAGGAGGGGAAGCTCATTTTTCTGGCCTACACCATAATTGTGTTTGTTTATTTGTATGTAACAGAACAGAGTCATTTTTAACAAAGACAAAAGTCGCTGAGGATCGGTAAAGTCTCTGGAGCAGTTAAGAACAACGGAATGAATAACTTGGAAAATGCTTTGGTAGATGTTTTATTTTTCAAGATCGCTGATTCGCTTGTTTAGCTGTCAATCAAAAAAGGATTTCGCCTCAGACAGCTCATCCAATCATGGATGCAGAAGCTTGGAGTCCGGGAGAAAGTCGGGACCGCCCTCTCGTCATAGAACTCCAGAGAAGCTCAGCGTCCGATGGGCGGGACAAAGCCCAGCATTTATCCAATGAGCGTCTAGTTTCGCTGCTGGAACAACCCACTTTGAGCTTCCACATTGAAGTCAGCAGACTCTGAGCGTCCGGCTGTGTAATGCGCTGAGGATGAATGAGAACGAAGTTGTGCAGAATCAGCTTCTTATCACACTGTGATAAGAAGCTGATTCTGAACAAAAGATGAAGGCCTTCTAGCGCGTATTTAGTTAATGAAATGTACACACAGCAGTACGTATTTCACCACTTTTTCTTTTTTTGGGCGGGTGACATTTTAAGGGAAGCTGAAATAAGAAATATAGAGTAATTATCTTTTAGTAAGGAGCTACAAATAATCTAGGTTGGCCTGCTCCTGCAGCCTCATGACCCTGAGATTGTAAGCAAGTCTGTCTTGCAGGAGCCTGAACTATCTGTCTGTTGGAACATTTAAAGCGAGGGTCAAGACGAGCCTAAACAAAGTGTCGTGGGGCAGACATGTCATCATGAGGAGCCTTCTGGAGAATTGACACACACACACACACACACACACACACACACACACACACACACACACACACACACACACACACTTGAGAGCATAAAAGGGAGTAGAAGAAAAGCTAGAGAGGCTTCCCTTGGTCTTGGTCAAGACTCTGTTTGTCATCTGTACTGATTCCTACATCTGTACAATAAAAGACGCCCAGGCTGTTCTTCAGATCTCATCCTGTCTCCTGTGCATTGTTTTACTAAGTTTATGCTGGATTTTCTACAACATCCCCCAGCAGCGGGCAGATCCCCCCCCCGCCAGTGGCAGCTGCAGCGGGCGCAGCAGCGGGCGGACCCCAACTGAGGTTGCCTAGAGCGGCACTTATTGCCCAGCCGGCCCTGCTAACGAGGTAGCCTTGGAGCTACCTTGCTCAACTTACCGTGGTAGCCAGCAGTCTCGCTAAATGGTCTTACGACGCTGGTTATCAACCTCGTAAGTGGATCCAGCTTTGCTATGACCGCGTGCACACATGTAAGGCGGAGCCCGCCGCATCTGGCCAATCGCGAACATGGACCAGTCTGGAGCGTCAGAGCAGGCCAGAGAGTGAAGGACCGCTGACTTTACAAACGAGGAGCAGGAGGCGATCATAAGAAAGTATGAAGAATTCAAATCTATCATTAACCTCAAAAGCAACACCGTCACCACTGCAAAAACACGGAAGGAATGCTGGCAGAAAATTGCTGACAGGCTCAATGCGTAAATATAGTGCGCAAAAAATCTTTGATGCCATTATCACCCTGAAATAGCACTGTTCAACATGTGCTTTTAACATGCACCAGACATGTCTAATTCATTTCCAAGATGAATTCATTCATTTGTTCATTTCTATCGTGTTTACATTTTTTGTGTGATTGCAGGCCATATGAGCCTTTCATAAAGGTGGTCATCCAGAAAAGTAAGTGGGTCCGTACGGTCCCTGAAAACTCTCCTGGCAGGAGTGCTCCTCGGACAATGCGAGCACCGAGGTCTATAGGATCCTCCAAGAACGGACAAGCCATTTTTCAAGAGAGCTCATTGGTCAGTGGGCGGGGTTTTTATACTTGGTGAGTTCAATCTCAGGTGGCAGGTTAGCCATTCAGCGTACGTTGCCATGGAGACTCACCTCGCTAAGAAGTGAACCCGCATCGTAGAACAGGAAACCCCCTAACTTACCCTCGAAGTTACCTCGCTAAGTAGTAATCCTGATGCGTAGAACAAGCCCCAGAGGGAGAATAGAAACAGATTTACAACACAGCAACAACAATTTAGGGCAACAGCAACAACAACAATAAAGGGCAACAACAGCAACACAGGCAACAACTAAAGCAACAACAATATAGGCAACAACAGCAACAAAGGCAACAACAATATAGGCAACAACCAATGCAGGCAACAAGAACAACAAAAACAACAACAGCAAGAACAACAGCATGACTACAGGACTACAGAGAGATGACAGACATTTTCATGTGTTTACAGGTCCCAGTTTTAACCATATACCTTACATCAAATAGACACTCTGAATGTTCACTGTCTGTGAAGCCAAAAGATTAGAGCTCCCCCTGGTGACCGGCTGTGGTGCTAGTCAGAAACTTCAGGAAAACTGTCTCTTCACACAGGTTTCTGATTGAAATAGAAAAGTTGCTTTACACCAAATTTAACATGAAGATCGGTTTATAGTTGTCTCAGTTTCTCAAAGTTTCACAAATCTTTGCAAACATTTTTAAACTTCTAGTATGTTAGCATAAACTGCAAGCCAGCTAACTTACCTCTGAGGTGAAAGAGGTGGAGCTGGAAATGTCACATCAAAGTTGATCACGTTCTACAATCAAGCGTTATTTCACCGTTAGCTACAGTTGTTGTTAGCTCTGGTATCTAACACAGCGTTACAACAACACACTGTGATAATGTGGAACGTCACAACTAGTCCATGGGTAGAACCTGCACACAAATGATGATATAAACTGTTTCTGAGACTCCAAACTGTGGCATTTACGTTTTTGGGGAGTTTTCCCGTCTGTTTCAGATGGCGGGTATGTCGGGTATCTTGATATTTCCTGGTTATGTTGCAGTTTCTGATCATGACTGAAATAAATGACAGAAGTAGCACGGTTCTTCATTTTTCTATCAACCAAACCTGAGTTTGTATTTAAGACATGCTGTCAGTAAATGGTGGAAAAGCCTGTTTCTATTTCAGGGGAGGTTTATTATCACACAAAGCGCTCACACTAAGGAGGCTGTCTGTCTGCAGGAAGGATTTTAATCAGAATCCAGATTTCAGCCCGTACAGATCACCTCTAAATACCATCTATGGGCCTGAAGACAGTCCATCTTTGGTTTAAAGTCTAAGTTGCTTTGTAAATGGACCACAGATTTAAATTTTTCTTTTATGCCAAACAAAGAATTTCCTTTAAAAGATCCAGACTCTCAAACTTAAATCTACAGACACTCAGAGAAGAGGCTCCACAGTTTGATCAAGTCTGTCTGTGAGGACACTTTTAGAGGGGAATCCCTGCAGGACCCAGGACCTGAGACCCATGGTGTGGACTGTTACTGTGGACAGAGCGCCCTCTGCTGGACAAACAGAGGAGTGTGATTCAATCCTCACAGCCCAGTTCTCCTCTTCCCCTCAGTTCACCTTAAATGCTTATAAAGACACCCCCCCCCCCCCCCATACCATACATGGAGTCCATTATACAGATACACTCTCTTTATACAAATATCAACACTTTAATATATATTCACTCTTTAAATCAGATCGAGTAACGAGTAATGAACATACTTTACACTTTACGTTCATAATCAGACATCATTTTCCCTACAATATTGAGAAATAACATTATTCTTGTAAAGGCTCTTAAAGCTGACCAGAGTACATTTTCTCATTTCTACAGTCGGACAGTCATTCCATATTTTCACCCCTTTTACAGACACACAGACATTTTTGACATTTGTTCGCACTTTGGTTTCTGAAATAATCCACAGCCCCTTAGGTTGTAATTAGAGTCCCTCAGTTTAAACAGGTTCATGTTGTGGTAAGGCTAGGGTTTTGTCTTTGTACAAGATTTATATTGTGATTATATCTACTTGGTCTTTGAATTTTAACAAATTTAAGAAAGTAAAAAGGGGATGAGTTAATTCACGGTAATGTTTATTACAGATGACTCTTACAGTGTGGAGGAGTTCAAGTATCTCAGGATCTTGTTCATGAGTGAGGGTAGGATGGAACGGGAGATCAGACAGGTGAGACAGGCGGATCGGAGCGGCGTCAGCAGTGATGTGGACGCTTAACCGATCTGTCGTGGTGAAGAAAGAGCTGTGCAGTAAGGTGAGACTCTGGTTTTACTGTTCGATCTACGTGTCGATCCTCACCTATGGCCATGAACTTTGGGTAATGACCGAAAGAACAAGATCGCGGATACAAGCAGCCGAGATTGGGTTTCCTTCGCAGGGTGGCTGGGCTCAGCCTTAGAGATAGGGCAAGGAGTTCAGACATTCGAGAGGTGCTTAGAGTAGAACCGTTGCTCATCCATGATGGCGCCCAAGATGGCTGCCTCCTGCGTTTGTGCAGAGAAGTGGATTTAGAATCCAATAGATATCTTTTTTTCTAGCTGCCATCTATGGGATTTTTCAGTTTGGAACAGTTTGGAGCTATTATTTCTGTGTTTGACTGGTTCCCAAATGGTAGAAACACCAACTGTCTTAAAGTACACCATGGAATCCATGAAGAAACTCAGACAAGCTGCTACCCCACTAACCCCTCGGCTGAGAAAGATCTTAAGAAAAGAGGGAGTGTTACGTGTACCAAACAGAAAAAGAGGCTGTGGAGGGGGTAAGACTATTGTGCACAACATTCGGACTGTTGTTGGCAGGAGACCTGACCAGAATAAGCCTCAAATGTTTTGGATAATCAAAGTCACCATCCAGAATAATAGGCCAACAGACCATGCCATGTTAACAACTTTTCTGATGACGAACCCCAGATCTCTTGTCTATAAGATTGGTGAGCTGCAGTCTGTTCTGATACAAAACCATGTGGATGTGGCTGCAATTTCAGAAACCTGGTTTAGTTCCCATAAACCTGAAGAATTATTGGGTATTGATGGCTACACCTTGTTTTCCAAATGCCGCAGCACTCGCCGTGGTGGTGGTATTGCATTGTACATCAGAGACTGTGTTCCATGTTACCCCCTAACCTGCATTAAAGTTCCACAACATCTAGAATGTTTTTGGGTGAAGGTGAGACCCCCAAGACTCCCCCGGAACATATCTGCTATTGCTGTGTGTGTGGTGTATTCACCACCTAAATCGCCACATGAAGATGAACTCATTGATCATCTCATAGCCTCAGCTGATTTGCTCCGTACTAAATACCCAGACATTGGACTTGTAATTCTTGGAGATCTTAACCACCTTGACATCCGTGACATTTGCCTGGATAATAAACTTTGCCAAGTGGTTGAGAATAATACCAGAGGTGAAGCCATCCTCGACAAAATTATCACAAACATGAAACCAATGTATTTGAAGCCTGAGATTCTCCCTGCCCTTGCCTCAAGTGACCACAACTGTGTTCTCTGGAGCCCCAAAGCACAATCATGTCCACCTCAGTGCATTAAACGGGTAGTTCAACCTATAAGGGAGCCTGGTTTGAGTGAGTTTTGTAGGTGGATTACCACCCATCCATGACAGGAGGTGACTGAAGCAACCAGCACCAATGAAAAGGCTAATGCTTTTTACAATACTATTGTGTCTAAAATTAATAGAAACTTTCCTGTGAAGACAGTGAAAATCTATCCATCAGACATGTCATGGATCACCCCCAAAATCAAACACCTCATTTACCAGAGACAAAAGGCTTTTAAATCTGGAAAATCATGTGCTTTGGCACAGTTCTACAAAAATAAGGTCCAAAAGGAAATATATGCTGCGAAAAAGAACTTCTACAAGTCTAGAAGGAATGGAAAAAGCTAATTCCAGAGCTTGGCAAAACAATATCAGATCAATGTGCAGTAAAACTCAGAAAAAGGAGGCCCGGATCGATGTCCCAGTAATGAACCCCCAGGACTTGTCAAGGTGTCCCAGTCACTGGAGCCTCTGGACTTCTCAGCTTTACCCTCCTTCCTACCACCCCCCTCACTGCCCACTATACCAGTGTGGGAAGTGTATAATAGATTGTCTTCCATTGACTGTCATAAGTCCCCTGGCCCAGAAATGATCCCCCCCAAAATATTGAAGGAGTTTGCATGTGAGATCAGTATTCCTCTTTGTGACATCATCAACTGTTCATTTGATGAAGGGATTGTGCCTAGAAAATGGAAGGAGGCTACTGTTGTCCCTATACCAAAGTCATCCCCATGCAACAAAGAGCCGACAGAACCATTCCACAACACACAATCTGGTCAGTCTTATGGATTTTATGTACAGGACCAGTGATGTTTCAGGCTCAGTATGTACAGTAATTACAACAGACTTTGCCAAGGCCTTTGATGCTGTCGACCACACTGTGGCAGTACAGTGTCTCCTGGATCTAGGAGTGAGACCAAGTTTGATTCCATGGATCTGCAGCTTCATGACAGATCGGCAGCAAAAAGTGCGCTACCTGGGACATCTGTTCGATTGGGAATATCCCACATGTGGAGTCGCTCAGGGGACTGTATTGGGACCGATAGTCTTCCTAGCACTGATTAACAGCGCCCTCCAGGATGGACCACATCACTGGAAATATGTGGATGATATGACTATAGCCCAGTCGTGGAGCCCCAAGGTCCCCTGTACTCTCCAACAGACCCTGAATGGCCTTGACACCTGGGTAAATGAGCACAAAATGAAGCTCAATCCAAGTAAATGCAAAGTTGTACATGTCACTGGCATGAGACAAAAAAAACTGCCCTACCAACACTGTCCATAAACCAAAACATACTGAAAGTTTGTGACACAGTCAAAGTTCTGGGGGTCACCATTCAAGCTGACTTGAAATGGAACAGTCAAGGCCATCCATAACCTTGCCCCCCCCTACTTCTCCGATCTCCTCCACATATCCACCCCCTCACGCTCCCTCAGATCCTCCTCCTCCCTCCACCTCTCTGTCCCCTCTGCCCGGCTCAGCACCATGGGGAGCAGGGCTTTCAGTCGCTCTGCTCCCAAACTCTGGAACTCTCTCCCCCAGGACCTCAGGAACATGGACTCATTACCCCACTTTAAATCCAATCTCAAAACACACCTATTCTGAATCGCATACTCACTTTAACTGTCTTCTTTCACACTTGTATGTTGTTCTTATTTATTTTAATTATGTTTCTAGCTGTGTTTTTATGCCCTGTAAAGTTTCCTTGGGTGCTCAGAAAGGCGCTTTTAAATAAAATGTATTATTATTATTATTATTATTAACAGTCAGGTGGACTATATGTTGACCTCAACCAACAGAAAGCTGTTTGTCCTATGCCGTCTGAAGAAATTCGGTGTCAAAGACCCAGAATTGGTCTCCATCTACACAGGCTATGTTCGGCCAGTGCTGGAGTACGCTGTCCCAGTCTGGCACAGTTCCCTTACTGCCAGCCAGTCAAATAGTCTGGAAAGAGTTCAAAAACGGGCAAGCAGAATCATTCTGGGCCAGTGGTACATAGGATACACAGAAGCTCTCCATACCCTCAAATTGTGCTCCCTAGCAGAGAGGCGCACTCAACTATGTCTTGACTTTGCCAGGAAGCTGTTCAAGTCCAACTTCAGAAACTGGCTACCCCCACTCAGGAAAGAGACCCCTGGACAACAAACACAGAATGGAGGTGACCTGGACACCCCAACATGCTGAACTGAGAGATACAAGAAATCACCAATCCCATATATGTGCAGACAATTAAATGAGAATGGTGTTTAGCTTTTTAAGTTTTTAGGTTGTTGCCTCTTAAGCTGCATTTTATATTTGAAGTTTTATTTTTTTTAATCAGCAAAATAATTCAGTGTTTTTAATGGCATCTGTCTTTTTAAACATCTGTGATCATGCTGAAAGCTGAATAAACATAAACACATAAACATAGAGTAGAACCGCTGCTCCTCCAAGTCGAGAGGAGTCAGCTGAGGTGGCTTGGGCATCTGGTTAGGATGCCCTCTGGATGCCTCCCGTTAGAGGTGTTCCAGACATGCCCCAACAGGAGGAGACCTCGTGGCTGGGCCAGGACCAGGTGGAGGGATTATATCTCTCGCCTGGCCTGGGAGTGCCTGGGAATCCCCCTGGAGGAGCTGGTGGAAGTGGCTGGGGTGAGGGCCGTCTGGGCTTCCCTCTTGAAGCTGCTGCCCCCGTGACCTGGACCCGGATGAAGCGGAAGAAAACGACGACAGCTCTTACGGCATGCTTTTGTAAAAGAAATATCGGGTTTGTATTTGTTTTATAAGTGTTTCCTCAAATCTCAATACAATAAGTCATGTACGGCGTGATCAGGGAATATATACTTTATACAGAATGGATTTTTGATTTAGTATGATTTATGTGTGATTTCCAACTCAGTTTGTTATCTACTATGACCCTGAGAAATTTGTTCTCAGTTACCACCTTGATTTCCTTATCGTTTATAATTAGATTTCTACATTTAATTTCTTGCTTATTTTTGTCACAGCAGCATCATAGACAAAGAGTGCAAAAATGCAGTTATAAAAATAAAGATCGTAATATTAAGAACTTAAATAAATGTAATAAATTAAGAAAAAAATTTAGGAAAAGGAAAAAGGGAGAAGAAAAATAAAACTATATACAATACACACAATTTAAATGCAAAAAAAAAAGTGGTGGTGTGAGTCCAATTTTATTACAGTTCATTGTAAAGTCTTATTGCAGAAGGGAGGAATGACCTGCGGTAGGGCTCCGTCTTGCAAGGTGGGAGTCTAAGTCTGCTGCTGAAGGAGCTGCTTAAAGCCCCAACAGTCTGGTACAGTGGGTGAGAGGGATTGTCCATGATGGATACAAGCTTTGCTAACATCCTCCTCTCACCCACCTCCTCCAGGGAGTCCAAAGACCAGTCCAGGACAGAACTGGCCCTCGTGACCAGTCTGTTCAGTCTCTTCCTGTCCCTCTCGGTGCTCCCTGCCCCCCAGCAGACCACTGCATAAAAAAGACCAGATGCTATCACAGAGTCATAGAAAGTCTTGAGCAGAGTCCTACACACTCCAAAGGACCTCAGTCTCCTCAGCAGGTGGAGACGACTTTGGCCCTTCTTGTACAGGACGTCTGTGTTGGTCGACCAGTCCAGTTTATTGTTGAGGTGGACACCCAGGAATCTGTAGGACTCCACCATCTCGATGTCCAGACTCTGGATGTTCACTGGAACAGTCTGAGGTGTCCTCCTCCTGCGGAAATCCATGACCATCTCCTTTGTCTTACTGGTGTTGAGCTGGAGGTCATTTGTGCCACACCAGTTTACAAAGTCTCTCATCCCCTGACGATACACATCCGACGATGGCTGTGTCATCGGAGAACTTCTGGAGGTGACAGCTCCCAGAGTTGTAGCTGAAGTCCGAGGTGTACAGGGTGAAGAGGAAGGGGGAGAGAACTGTCCCCTGGGGAGCCCCCGTGCTGCAGACCACCATGTCCGACACACAGTTCTGAAGCCTCACAAACTGTGGTCTGTCGGTGAGGTAGTCCACGGTTCATGCGGCTAGGTGACAGTCCACTCCCGCCCTCTCGAGCTTCCCCCTGAGCAGTAAAGGCTGGATGGTGTTGAAAGCACTGGAGAAGTCAAAAAACATGACCCTTACAGTGCTGCCGGTGTTCTCCAAGTGGGCCATGGACCTCTGCAGCAGGTAGATGACTGAGTCATCCACCCCGATGTTCGGCTGGTACGCACACTGCAGAGGATCCAGATAAGAGCTCACCAGGAGGCGGAGATTCCTCAGCACAATCCTCTCCAGAGTCTTCACCAGGTGAGAAGTGAGGCCCACAGGTCTGAAGCGGTTGGGCTCCCTGGGGTGTGCTGTCTTGGGGACAGGAATCACGCAGGAAGTCTTCCACAGTGTTGTGACCCTCTCCAGACTTAGGCTCAAACTGAAGATGTGCAGTAGCACCTCACAGAGCTGGTCTGCACAGTCCTTCAGGAGTCTGGAGCTGATGCCATCAGGACCCGTGGCTTTCCTTGGCTTCATCTTCCTCAGCTCACTTCCCACCTGGTCAGCTGTTATAGAGAGGCTGGGGGTGGTGCTGGAGGGGGTGGTGGAGAATGAGTGGAGGGGGGTTGATGATGCCGGTGCCAGAGAACTGAGGTGGTGTGAAGAAGAAGCAGCAGACGGGTCATTGGTTTGATGAGTCGGGGGAGGAGTGGGAGCAGAGTCAAATCTATTGAAGAACAGATTCAGCTCATTGGCCCACTACCTGTTTCCTGCTTCAGGTCCCCTCTCGTGGCCCCTGCTGTGACCTGAGATGGATTTCAGGCCTCTCCAGACCTCCCTTGCGTTGCTCTGTTGCAGAAGGTTTTCCATCTTGGTCTTGTAGCTGGCCTTCCCCCTCTTCTTCTTCTTCTTCTTCTTCTCCTTCTGCACCCTCCTCAGCTCCTCCTTGTCCCCGGATTTAAAGACCCTCCTCTTCTCCTTCAGGAAGACTTTAAGTTCTGGGGTCACCCAAGGTTTGCTATTGGAGAAACACTGTACTTTCCTGGTGGGTACGGTGTTCTCAACACAGAAGTTTATATAGTTCGTGATACAATCTGTCATGGTGTAGATGTCATCACCATGTGGGCCACACAGTACATCCCAGTCTGTGGGCTCAAAACAGTCCTGCAGCGCCTCAGTGGCCTCCTCAGACCACCTCTTAACATACCTGATGGTGGGGAGTTGTTTCTTCACCATAGGTATGTAAATGGGCTGCAGTCTCACCAGGTTGTCATACTGGCTGAAGGCAGGGAGAGTGGAGGAGAGCGATGCATGATTAAAGTCTCCAGAGAAGATGATAAGAGACTGAGGGTGCGATGTTTGTAGCTTGGACACTTCACTGAGGAGGAGTTCACAGGCTGCAGCAGCATCAGCCGAGGGGGGGATGTAAACAGTTAACGCAATGACGTGCAAAAACTCCCTCGGCAGGTAGTATGGCCGCAAGCTCACAGCCAGCAGCTCAATGTCCTTAGAGCAGCGCTGCTCTTTAACATTGACGTGCCCAGCATTACACCATCTCTCATTCACATACACCGCTATCCCGCCTCCTTTCTTCTTACCACTCTCCCTCACGCTCCAGTCCACTCTGACAAGATGAAATCCGTCCAAAGTTACGAGCGGGTCCGGAGAGAGTTCGTTCAGCCATGACTCCATGAACATCATGAGGCTGCACTCCCAGTACTCCCACTGCAGCCGAGTCAGTGCTGTGAGCTCTTCCATCTTGATGGGAAGAGACCTCACGTTTCCCATGATAATGGACGGGACAGTTGGTTTATAACGTCTCCGCTTTGCCCGATGCTGAACTCCAGCTCTGCATCCTCGTCTTCTCCTGCGGAGCTTGGCGGGGAAGTCCGGTCTGTCCAACAAAGGTGGCCGGGCTTGACGCAGCACCAACAGCTGTTCACGGCTGTAAACAATGGAGCCGCTGAACGGGTCACCAGACGCGGACTTAAAAACTCCAAAAAGTAAGAGAAAACAAAGTGCTAGAGTCATGAAATGCACATCCATGGTTAGAATATGCAAAACACATCACTGCTTAATAAAAGGAAAGACAAATAAGGTGCAAAAAACAACAATAAAAAGGCAAAAACTTAAACTCTGTGACGAGCTGCTGTGACTTGCTGCCACTCTCAGGGTGCTCAGTCCTGATTTTTTTTCTTAATTATTACATTTATTTAAGTTCTTTATATTACGATATTTATTTTTATAACTGCATTTTTGCACTCTTTGTCTGTGATGCTGCTGTGACAAAAAAATTTCCCCCATGGGGGATCAATAAAGGAATATTCTATTCAAATCTATTCAAATATAATACATTTAGTTTTGCCGAAATGGAGTGACACTTTATTCATGTCAAACCAGAAGTGTGAATTCTGTCTAAACTTAGAAAAACAAGCGTCAAACTCTGTCACAGGTTTGTTCAGTGCTTTTATTATCATCATGGTAGGGGTTTAGATTACACATTGTTCACTGAGCTTGTTGGTGTGAGACTGTAGTTCCTCTGAGCTCCACCAGAGGTCACTGTGATTATACACTGATGAAGAAAGAGAGGAAGAAACTCCTCAGACGAACTCTTCATATTAGGAGAGAAGAAGAATAACAACGGTATAATAACAACCATCAGGAACTCTCTTTGTTCTCTTTGTTTTTTGCTTGTTCAAATGAAAAACAGGATTCTCTTCAGACCATCAGAACCAGAACTATCAGGACCATCTAAGTCAGGACCTGCAGGAGAACCAGGTTTAACCCCCCCCCCTTAATTAAGTTAAAGACAGACAGTATAAATAAAAACCCTCTTTACAAACAAGAGGTCAGAGGTCATCCCTTTGACTTTTAGGACCTAAACAGTTTGTTGACCTCAGTGATCATCATCGGCCCAGGTTTTCATCGAACCTGCAGAGACACAAGGACCAAGAGCCGGGTCATCAGAACCAAAGGGGTGGGTCATCAGAACCACAGAGGAGTCAGCAGAACCACAGAGGGGTCAGAAGAACCACAGAGGGGACAGAAGAACAGCAGTAGAACCACAGTAGAGTCAGCAGAACCACAGAGGAGTCAGCAGAACCACAGAGGGGACAGAAAAACCACAGAAGGGTCAGAAGAACCACAGAGGGGACAGAAGAACCACAGTAGAACCACAGTACAGTCAGCAGAACAACAGAGGGGTCATCAGATCCACAGAGGGGTAAGAAGAACCACAGAGGAGTCAGCAGAACCACAGTAGAACCACAGTAGAGTAAGTAGAACGACAGAGGGGTCATCAGAACCACAGTAGAGTCAGAAGAACGACAGAGGGGTCATCAGAACCACAGTACAAAAACAGTTTGTACATCAGAGAGATAACAGAACCACAGACAGTACAACCAGTACAAGAATATTTAGCACAGCCTTGTCTATAGAACCACACAGAACCAAAGAAGAACCACAGTAGAGTCCAACAATAGCAGTTTGGTCTGTAGAACCAAAGAAGGGTCATCAGAACCACAGAGGGGTCAGCAGAACCACAGATGTACATCAGAGAGATAACAGAACCACAGTCCGATCAGTACAAGCATATTTAGCACAGCCTTGTATATAGAACTACAGTAGAATCCTAGTTGAGCCACATAGAACCAGAGTAGAACCAGAGTTAAGTCCAAAAACAGCTGCTCAGTCTGTAGAACCATGGTGTGATCACAAGAGAGTTGATACCAGAGAAATATCAGGAGAGACCCATTTTTTCCCAGCCCAGAACCTCAGCAGAAACACAGCAGAGTCAGTAGGACCTCAGTAGACCTTGAAGAACCACAGCAAAGACAACAGAACCACAGAAGGGCTCTGGTGGAGTCCATATGGTTCTGGTATTAGAACCTTCTAACCCCATGAGCTGAGCTTACTTTGAAAAGACCCAACAGAAAAGTTCTGAAGAATCTTCAGTGAAGTTCTAGCTCTCAGGTATCCGTTCAGATCAGTTCAGAGACCTCCTGCTGTCACCGTCTGAACCTCAAATCAGAGCGGACCCATTTCTAAACGGACCAGTCCCAGGTTTACAGCGGAGACGGTTTTACCTGCGGATGGCATCTGGGATCTGCAGTCGGTCCGTGGGGATGTACTCGGAGAGCTCCTGCAGGTTCTGGATGAAGCAGATCTTCCTGCCGAACTTCTCACTGAGGAGTCAAAGAGGAACTTTAGGGACATGCTGAAAGAGTTCCTGGTGGTCCTATCTTTAAATCCTGGTCACTATCACATCAGCTCAGAGTTCACAGCTTTAAAGGAGAAGCTGGAAAACTTGGACATGACCTTCAGGGTCCAACCGCTTAAGGTCAGAATTAATCCTTGGTTCCTACTCTGTCCGTTTTGAGGACATTTGTCTTTTTTTTTTCATCTTTATTTTGAGCTGACAGCACATTTTTAAAGATTGGGGCATCAAATTTGGTGAGAGTTCTCATTTTTCTTCATATTAAAAAAAACAAAACTCTGTGTCACCTGTAGTTCTCTGTCGCCATATTTTAGCTCCACCCACCCTCCTTTGTCCTCAAATCGGACAATAGACTTCCATTAAAAACAGGTTTTTTGACCATGTGTTTATGGCACCATAACAACATAATACAACCTTTTTTTGCAGTCAGTCGATCAGCAGGGCTCTAAATTTGACTTTCCGCCAGTGATACAACAGATTAAGCCAGCACATCATTTTAACCCCTTCTGTGCCGCACACGCAAGTCTTCATTCGTGGACTGAGAGTGTTTGAAGCGCTGATTCATCCACTAAACATCAACAGAAATAAATGGAACTTTACATGCCACTAGATATGGATATCTAAGAGTGGGATATGTGTGTAAGGAAAGTTTGTGTGCTCCTGCATATATGCACAGGTGCGAATCTGTGTCCATGTTTTTAACCGGTCATGCCTTGAGCGGAGTTTTTACAGTCTAAAATCCAACGTCCAAGTTCTGCAGTGTGGGACAAAGAGAGGGGGACATTTGGACAATATAAACTTTGCCCTCACTTCAGAGCAAGTGGATGGACATGCATGAGGATGAAAAGGTCCTTCAGATCATTAGATGAGAAGATATCACATCTCAAATATGCAGTTATTTTTTATATGCACTCAATCAGCGTAATCACGGTCATATTTTGGTTAGAGGTGGATAACCACTTGTAAATGACTCATATCTTACATACACTACAGGCCAAAAGTTTGGAAGCAAGGTCATTACAGGCCGAACAGTTGGAAGTAACTTCAAGTTTTTGTTCATAATGCTTTTTTTAAAATCCAGCGTCAGTTTTATGTATTTTGGGATGTATTTACTCCATGATCAGATGTTGCTTTCATGGAAATGCACCATTTTACTCCATTTACCTTTAGATATATGACATATGTTTAACATTAATGTGAACACACCATTGCTAAACATATGTCAGCAAAAGATAATAAGGGCTTAGTTTTAGGGTTGAAAACATTTGCAAGAGTCACAACTTCAGTGCAAAAGCAAAAAGACAAATCACAGTTGGATTATTCTCTTCAACTTTTTGGCTTTTGAGAGTCTGCATACAAAAATCCTAATAAATCTCAACTGCGTTCAAACTACCACAAAAATGGCTGGAAAGAAGCAACTGAGTAAAGAAACAAAAGTACAGATTTGTACATTGAGGAAAAAAGGATACACAGAAAGAGAAACTGCAAAACGCCTAAAGATGTTTAATAAAGGAGTCCACTACACTCTGAAGAGACTAGAGGAACCTGGAAGTTATGATGATAGAAAAAGACCTGGATGAAAGAGAGTTACTACAAAATCAGAGGATAAACATAGCATTGTCACCAGTAAGAGAGATCGGCGAAAGACAGCACCAAAAATAAGGGAGGAAATCAACATGACAAGGTCAAAACCCATATCTCTGACAAACGTGAAATGACGTTTGAGAAAGGCTGGTCTGAAGGGTTGTGTACCTGCAAAAAAACTACTTCATCCACAGAACAAGAAGAGATATAGGCTGTATTGGGACAAAGGAAAAAGTGCCTAGAAAGTAAATCGCAAAAATGCATTGAACAAGTAGCACCAGCGTAGTTGAACGAAATTCACTTTCTAGGCACTTTTTCCTTTGTCCCAATACAGCCTATGACCTCGAGCGAAATTTCTTTTGCGGAGTTTCAGATGCCGTGGACGTGGATGCATCGGCGATGCTGCCTGAGGGGTTTGACTGACCCGCTGCTGCATCACGTTCTTGTTTCTCAAACCCCTTTTGCAAATAAATCACTGGTAGCATGTCATGTGAAACCCAGCGTCATCAGGAACATTGTCAAATTCGATATCAACACAATGTTTATAAGTTTCTGCAAGGTCCTTTGTCTCACCCTGTAGAGAAAGCCACTTTCTAATACCAGTTCTGTAAGTTTCCCAATGTGTCCTTGTAAAGTCGAGAACGTCTTCACTCTGGACAGATGATAGATGCATATAGCATCTTTTCGCTCATTTTTTTATGCACTTTTGAAGGCTGTTTTCTTTTTTTCCTATTCTTTTCTTCCTCCTCGCTTGTCTCGCTGCTAGATGCGCTCGTCACCATGTTTGTGTATTTCTTATACTATGGCAACGAGACTCGGCTCCTATTGGTCCACGTAACAAAAATTGCTTCACCTCTCTGCATATTCGATTGCGCGTGTGCAAGTATCACTACGCCGCAGAAGGGAAATAGTTCAACACCGAAACACTGATTACTAAAAATCGACTGGATGGCATATGTAGATATTTTTTATTAGTACTTACTATCAATAGAGCTATTTTATGAATCACAGTTTATGTTGCCCCACTGAAGTCGAACGAACCAACACGATCTCACTCAGCCAATACAGCCTAATATGAGTGGGCAAAAGCTCACAAAAACTGGACTTATGATGACTAGAAACAAGTTTGCACTATTTGGTTCACAACGTAGAGTCAGTTTGTCATTGACAAACTGGTGAACGTCTGAAAGCACCATGTGTTACACCCACAATTAAGCAAGGAGTTGGTAGTTCCATGGTATGGGGATGATTTGCAGGTGATGGAGTAGAAGATTTGTTTGAAGTAAAGGGTATTATGAAGAAGGAACAGTACCACTCCATCCTCCAGCATCATGCTGTTCCATCTTGGACTCAGACTTGTGGGTCATAAGTTTGTTTTTCAGCAAGACAATGACCCTAAGCATTCTTCCAAGCTCTGTCAGGGTTACCTTGACAAAAAAGAAGAGGAAGGTGTTCTTCAAAAGATGGTTTGGCCCCCTCTGTCTCCACACCTTTCTCCAACTGAGCTTGTGCGGGACGAATTGGATCGATCAATCTGAAAAATGTGTCCCACGAATCAGCAGTCTCTTTTTAATGAACTTAAGAAAGCCTGGAATGCAATCCCTGGAACATACCTTAAAAAACAAATGCCTAGTATATGCCATGCTGTCGTTAAAGCTAGAGGAGGTTACTTTAAAGAAAGCAAAGTCTAAGCAACAATAACTCTAATACCTAATAATTATAGTCAAAATGTCTTCTGATATGTTACTCTTTACACAATAGTCATGTTTATTGTGTTGCAAATTATATATATGAAACTATGATCTTTTTTTGTACAAATCTGATCGTGCTTCCAAACTTTTGGCCTGTAGTGTATATCTTCTGATTTTATATGCCTATATATAAAAGTAATTTAACATGAACAAATGAATTTGATCACATTTGATTTTGCTGAGGACAAGGCACGAGAAAAGAAGGTAAAAATGGCTGTTTAGAACGCACACTTAATCAACAAATATGACATGTTGCACAAAAACTTGAATAAAAAGGGTAATACATTGAATTTTTTATTCATTACTTTTTCATGGTTAGGGCTGAAGTTGTTTAAGAGATCTGAATCAAAAAAAGTAAAAAAAAAAAAGTAAAAAAATTATTATTTTACGAACACTAATCTGCATGTCCATTTTGGGAACAAGGTAGGCTGGATGGGGCTTTAAATACGGAAAATTGGCACTACAAAAATAATTTAAATGCACCAAAATCAGCTTTACTTCTCATCATTGACATGGCCCAGACTCTTTTCATTAAAAAAAATTCATCTAGGTCATTTTATATGAGAAATATCGCAATTTTGTGTTTTTCACCATTAACAACAGCAGTGACATGGCACAGATAAGAGATTTGAGTCAAAAAAAAGTAATGCATGTCCATTTTGAGGACAAAGTAGGCTGGATGGAGCTAAAATAGAGAAATCCCAAAACAAAACAAGGGGTCCTGAAGCCAGGTTTAGTTAAGCCTGATCCTCATCTCAAAGCAGGGCTGGATGATAGGAACTAATGTTCAAAAGTGTGTGTTTGCATTAGTGTGTGTGTGTCCAGTGTGTGTGTGTGTGTGTGTGTGTGTGTGTGTGTGTGTGTGTGTGTGTGTGTGTGTGTTACAGACCTGATGAAGGGCTTGATGACCGTGAGCAAAGCTTTGATGTACCAGGCAGGATGGACCACTAGCAGACCCTTCAGGTCCTTTTTCAGTCTGTACACAAATGATAATGGAGACTGTGTTAATCGGTGTGTGTGTGTGTGTGTGTGTGTGTGTGTGTGTGTGTTTGTTTGTGTGTGTGTGTGTGTGTGTGTGTGTAATCCACAGAATCAATGGGGCCCAAATATTTTCTAAATATTTTTCTCAGAGAGAAATGTTTAAATAATTATCACATAAAAGTTAAATCAGCCATTTTTGAAAGAAATAAAGAAAGTCATTGTGGTAAACAAGCTCTCATCATCAGCATTAGTGTGAATGGGTTCAGACAGCTCCACTGCCTTATATGGAGGTCCCCGTTAGACTGGTAGATCTCACTCAAGGATCCAGGTCCCCTCTTGGCAATTAAAAAAAATAATAATTAAAAGTAACATTTCAAGTAACATTATGTTAAAAGGCCTTCAAACAAAATTTTCTATTTTACTTTGGTTTTACTAAAATAACCAGAAATAGGGGTCCCTTCTTAGTCAGTCTGGGCTGATAGTCCACTATTGGTGGACGTGTGTGTGTGTGTGTGTGTGTGTGTGTGTGTGTGTGTGTGTGTGTGTGTGTTTGTGTGTGAGTGTGTGTGTGTGTGTGTGTGTGTGTGTGCTCCTCTCTGCAGGGCTGTGCAGGTGAGCTAACCCAGCATACCTCCTGTTGATGGAGGTGTAGCACTGATGGAGCCATTTGATGGCCGGCATCTTGTTCCTGGGGGCCATGGCACACAGGTAGACCAACAGGTAGTTCTCTGAGACCATCAGGTCCAATGTCCCCACAATGTACCTGAGACAAAACACACACACACACACACACACACTTACACATGTGATCTTACATATTTTTCTCTTCCTGTTTCACCTGTGAGGCAGACTCACCTGAACAGGTTGTCCATGACGTACTCATAGTCTTCTATTGTGTTCTCAGGAAGGTAACAGGATGTAAACAGGATAATGGCGTTCATTTCATCGCCATAGTAACCTAACAGCCAATCAGAGACAGAGTTTTACCAAATTAAAATTCTCTCAGCACCAAAAATAATCACAAAGATTCAAATCCTCCTTTTTACTCTCATGACAAAAAAAATTGACAAAAAAACTGTTGAAAAGTGAAGCCAAAATAGAAATACCAAAAACTGCAGTTATGTGAGTGTCCACTAGAGGCTGTCCCCATGGAGCCTCATGTTACAATGTTAAACTTAACAGCAGAAATAAACGCGTTTACAGTTTCTATTGATCATTTTTACAGTGGTTGACAGGCGCAGAAAATCGGCAATGATCTGAACGAACTTCATCAACACAACGATGACAGGAACAGGCTGTGAATGAAAAACGGTTAAAAAAAAAAACTAAAACTGCACCAGAGAAAATATTTATATAATTTTTCATGTATCATGAATTTGTCCTCTTCAGTACAAACATATGACATCACTGAAATCCTGTTTGAGTTTAGTAATGTCAAAGGTGAAAACATGCAGGTGTGTATGAGAGTGTGTGACCTCTGACCTCCATGTGACAGGACCTGCAGGTACGGCTCCATGACGCTCATGTTGACGTGGTATTCTTGTCCTGAGATACAGAATTTCCTCCAGCGTCGGCCCCTGCTGTCCACTCGGTCCAGTTCCATTAAACCTTCTGACTGCTCGACTGGACTCCTGGACCCCACTGTGGCCCCGCCCCCAGCCGCCATCCTGGCCATCCGGGGAAGGTCATCTGACAGAGAGTGGTCAAAGATCAAAGTTTAGAGGGATGAGAAGATGTTCCTCTGGGTTCCTCAGTTGATGTTATATCTGTATTCAATGATATGCAGATGACAACATGCTACATATCTCCGCCCATATCCTTATCTTGAGTACAGTGTTAGTTCAGGCAGGCCAGTCAGTTAACCCAGGATATCGACCACATCCGGAATGGCGGCGTTTTTACCATACACCAATTCCTACCGGATCCGTTTGTGAGGTGAATTTCGTGGCAGATTACGGACAGCAGGAATTGCGAGAACTCACAAGAACCCGCAGATTCAAGTTCAATCACGCGATAACGAGTTGTCTCCATAAAGACAGACACATAGACATATAAGCAGTAGATTGTGTCCTTCCAGAGGAGGAAATCTACTTCTAGACTTCTAGGATCAGCATCTCCTCATCCATGGTGTCATCGGGGTGAAATGATGTCTATAAACCTTTCACTTGTTCGTCTCTGCCCATTTACATGGTGTGAAATACGATCTGCCTGAAACAGGGAGTGTTTTATTTGGAAAAGAAGCCGGATGTTTTATTTTGTGCCTGTGCCCAACTTCCTTTCCAGCACGGGTTAATCTGTGCTGAATTTATCCGGCGTCCAGAAAATATAGAACTCTTGCGATCAGCTGTGGAGTCTGGCGATCTGTAGAGGAACGGAAAGAAGCCGGTGGAAATTGACACATTAACTTGAATGGTTACCATCAGCTACGATCAGAGGGTACAACCTTTTAGTAGCTGTTTTGGATGTGGTGGAAATTGGGGGTTAGTTGTAATGTTCACAGCACATCAGCTGATCTTAAAGCCAGCCCCAGTCAGCTGACAGTTCAGGGGGATTACCTTCTACCATCCAGTTAGTGACCCTCCCACAGCCCAGCTCCTCTTTTTGATGTTGTGTCTAAAATGACTTGGTGTGCCACATACAGAGGTAAAAGTGCAAAGAGCTTTCAGGACAGAGTCATGGTGTCTCTGCTGCTGCTCTCCCTGCCTTCACTTTTTCTATATGTACATGAAACAGAAAGGCATGCACTCCCCACTGTGGGCTTAAGTATTACATAAACACTAACTGAAGGGGAGAGACTTCTCAAACCAGAGCCTGTTGGTCTTTGCTGCTGCTCTCCCTGTCACAGGCTTTGGCGTCCCGCATACGCAGGTGGAAGTGCAGACAGGTGTTTTAGGGAGGGTTTTTTTTGTTATCTGCAGACATCAGATGTTATCTGTCGTTATCCCGTCTCACCTTCCCACTCCAGCTCATGCGAGCTGTCGGGCAGTGTTCCCGTTTCGCTTCCTGATGGCGTCTCCAGAGCCTCCAGGTCGATGTTGAGTGACGGTGTCTCATCTGGCGTTGCCGACAGTGCAGCGGCGGAGAAGCCGTCATTGCTCGGGTGAGAGTCTCTGCGGCTCAGAGTGAGGCTGAGCGATGGTGCCACCAGACGCTTCTTTGGGGCGCCTCCCGATAGGGCCAGGCTGGTGGGCGGAGCTTAGGGAAAAAAGTAAGAGACAGAGTGAAGGGACAAGGTCCAACAGCACAATCTGGACCAATCAAACTCCTCCACAGAAACTCTGACAGTCCCCTGTCTTACCTGGCTGCCCTCCGCCGGTTGGACTCTCCGCCTCCCCTGGACTCTCTGGGAGAGGTCTGAAACAAGAGGAGGTTCAATTAAAGGGACATTACACAGATTATTAAAACGGTTTCATAACTGATGGTTAAATCTGTACAGTGTTTTTAAGGTGGGTGGTTTTAAAGGATTCAAGGCTGAATTTATGAAGAGTCTTTTTGAAGGTGGAGAGTTTTGTAGCTGAAGGTCTTCTTAGGTGTTTTTTTTTTTTTTTTTAAAGGTGGATGTTATCAAAAAAAAAAAATGTTGATTTTAAAGATGGCGTTATGATGAGACCTGGGGAAGCCGTCATCCTGCCACTCCTCTCTCAGCTCCATGTCCTGGATGTTTGGGGGGTCAGAGGCATCTACAGGAGCCCTGCAGGGACAAAAACACAAGCATCATAAAACCTGAACCTGAGTGGAGTTTGCTTGGTTTATAACCTTATTAACCTGAAAGCATCACTTTTTACACGCGCACACACACACACACACACACACACACACACACACACACACACACACACACACACACACACACACACACACACACACTCTCTCTCTCTCTCTCTCTCTCTCTCTCTCCCTCGTCTGTGTTTACCCTCTCTGTTTTCTCCTTTAGTGTTTCGAAGTTTCTTCCTGATTTTGTGGTTCAATGAAAATCTTCAGACAGGTGAGTTTGACCTGTCGACAGGTAACTCTCTCCTCAGTCTGATACACAGTGGATCCGGCAGCTCATAAAATCTGATAAGAGTGAACCAACCTGTCTGACAGCTTTGATTGTGACTCTTCACACAGACTCACCTGTGCAGGTAAAAGGGGCGGGGCTCTATTGTTACTTTGTTTGTTGTCACTGAAGCAGAAGGCTGACACATCCACAAAGGTGACCACACCTCTGTGTGTGTGTGTGTGTGTGTGTGTGTGTGTGAGTAAGCAGATGGTACGTCATCCTTTAATCAGGGATCTTGTTTCCTTAGCGGTGCCTTCAGGGTCTGGTGGGGAAAATCCAACTTCAGCAGGTTTCTGTTCGGTCTGTTGGCAATGGTTTTTATGTGGTGGGATTAAAGGTAAAGTGACCTGAAGGTCAACGGCACAAATATTTACTGAAAACCAAAATCATTAAAAGAAACGCAGAAATGTTTGAAATAAAAAGCAAAAATATTTGCTGAAAAGAAAAATCACAGTGAAAAAATTATGTCCCAAAAAAGTAAAAACTCTTTCACAAAAACAAAAATCTTTAAACAAAATATTGAATTCTACTAGCATAGCAAAAGTTTTTTTTCAAGCAGACAAAAACAAAAAATGTTTCATTCAAAAATTTTTAAAGCCCAAAAACATTCAAATGCAAAAAGCAAAAATTTCAAAGCACGTACATATATTTCACTAAAATATTTCATGCAAAAATTATTATATAACAAAAAATTTTCACAGAACTTGAAAAATTCTTTAAAATAAATAAAATATTTTCACCAAAAAGCTGAAATTTACTCCACAAAACACAAAAATATTTCACCAAAAAATTTTGTCTGAAAGCATAAAAAGCAAAAACAAGAAACAAAAAATAAAAAATCAAGGAAAAATTTTTTTTTGGCGTCATAGTTTTCATGAACTCACTTTATGTCTTTTCATGAATTTTTTTTTAACTGAAATATTTTTGAATTATGTTGTTTAATAAAGTAAAATTTGTTCTGCGCTCAATTGAATGTTTTTGTTTGGTGACCATAAGAGGTCCTGAAGTCGTTGTTAAAGACCCCAAAGATAATCCAGGAGAGTCTCAGGGTTTCAAGGATTCTCCTGGAGATTCCAGGGGTTTTGGTCATACTCACAGTGTTTGTTTGAGGGGGTTCAGGGTTCCTCTGGGATGTTCTAGATCTTCGAGAAGAAAATCCTGAGACCATTGATACAGGTCAGTGGTCCTTGAGAAAATCCAAGGATCATTGAAAAGCTTTTGTGTAAAACTGATGAGAGGATCTGGAGAGTAAATATAAAAATATTCCACTGATCCAAAAGATGTTTCAGGGTCTTCAAGTGTCTTTTCGGGGGGGTCAAACTGAACCAGTTCCTGATACAGATCTAATCCTGGACCAGAACCACACCTGGAGACCCATCGTCCCCAGTGGAGGACAGGAAGTAAGCTGACATCGCTTCCTGCTGATCAGGAACACTTAACAGCAATGCCATGACCACTTCACTGTCCGCCTGGAAGAACGAGCACCGGGACCAAAAACACGAAATACAACAAACACACTTCCTCTTTGAGCTGGAACAGGAAACACACACACACTAACACACACACACACACACACACACACACATACATACACACACTCATATCACACACTCTCAGACACACACACATACATACACTCATCATATCACACAAACACACACACACACACACACACACATCATATCATAGACTCACAGACTCTTAGACACACACACATTCACACACAGGGTCTGTCACTGTGTGTGTGTGTGTGTGTGTGTGTGTGTGTCTGTGTCTGTGTCTGTGATATGATTTGTTTTGTTGTACCTGTCCTCTGGGGGTCCAGCGACGAAACTCATGATGTCACAGTGATGTCACGGTGTGTTCTGACCAGCAGCAGGTGTGAGCGGCTGGACGTCGCTCGCTCTCTAAGTCTGCCTCTTCCCTCTCTCTCTCTCTCTGTGGGAGTTCCTCTCTGACTCAATGAGACTCACCCTCCCTCTCCCCTCTCTCTCTCTCTGCCTTACAGGTTCAGCAGCATTTCACCGCAGAGCTGTCGTCTGATTGGCTGCTCTGTGTCGACAGGTGCCTACTGCCTGCCTGTTTATATCACACCCTGAACATGTCAGACTTTTACCACCTGTCAACTTTACCCTTTATTGCCTTTTTTATCATATTTGATTCATACTTTTATATACTTCTATCAAATCAATATAATCAACAAATTACTAAAAAACACCTAAATACAGTTCGATAAATGATAAAAATGTCCTCTTGTAGTAAATCAGTTTCCAAAAACATCACAAGATAATTAAATATATTTGTTAAATGTTAAGGACATTTTTTTTTTTTTTGGTTTTCAGTAGTAAGTAAAATAAACATTTCAGCTCCAAAAAAATGTGAATTTTCTGTCCATAATTTGTGTTTTCAGGCATTAAATGGATAAAGAGTGAAAACCGTCACTCTGACTTCTCCCCTCATAGATCCACTCAGGTGTTCGTCTGTCAGGTGAGCTGATATGTGAACAGGTAAGCAGGTAAACATCAGTGATTGGCTGGGATGATGATGATGACACGTGTATCATGTAACTGCTGTGAATCTGAGAACATAATGAAGCTGTTTCACCGTCTTCTCAGTGTGTTTGTTTTTACTTGTCTCTGCTACCTGCTCAGAAACTGAACATGGAGCTGTCACTGTCTTCTATATAAAAGGTTTAAACTCAGAGTTAAGCGTTAAGGGTATTGAAATGTGCATGTTATGCATATAACAATTTAAGTGTAAGAATTTGACATTATGCAAAAATTAATAATGTATTAATTTCTATGTTGCATGTGATCACTGACATATCCCTGGCTGTAATAATTCAACATAAAATTCTCTTTTGCATTAAGTGTATTAAAGATAATCCATTTTTTCTGTTTTTTTTTTAAATCTAAAAAAAGGCTAGTATCATGACAAAAACCTGGCACTGAAAGGGTTAAAATGATAAAAAAAATATTGTTATTTTATATTTATAATTAGGGCAGATGTGGACCAAAAAATGAGCTCAAAAACCGTCAAATCCAATAATATTTAAGTTTATTTTTATAGCTTTATTTCTTAAATGAGCATGTTATGCACATAACGGTTCAAGTGTAAACAAGATTATAGTGATACCAGAGGGTTAATGACGCTCAGACTTTCCAAACAGAAGGTTTTTTTTAATTCCTCCTGAGCATGTGTCAGGGGTTAAAGGTCAGTGGGTCTTCAGAATGGGTCCTGCAGACGACAGTTCTGCCCTAAAAATGCTCACATTAAAAACTCTTTTCAAAAAGAACAAACTCATCTGTTCCTCCTGTCACTTCCTGTTGCTGCTCAGTCATCACTTCCTCTGTTTCATAATAAAATGCTCCAGTGGTTCAAACCAACCGCCATCAAAGCCTTATTATGAAACTTCAACAGGAAGTGAAATTACCAACTGTTCAGGAATTCAAGTTACCATGGCGACGAAAAGTTCCGAGTGTAAAGTCAGGAACTGTTCAGCAGACTCAGAGGAACCACTCGACCACATTCTGACAACAGGAGAAGAGTCCTGCTGAGGAACTGGACTGATGCGGTCCTGACTTGAAAACATTTGGAGCATCAGGACCCCAAAAACAGGACCAAGGAGACCCTGAACTGTTGAGCAGCTGAGATCCTCAATCAGAGACAACCATAGACTGTATATACTCTGGACAACTTGGTTCTGCCTCCCACCTGTATACAGATTTCGAGCCGAAAAGTTCTTGGTAATTCTGCGATTTTTCTCCATTTCCTTAAACTAACTGTTACAACCCTGGCTCTCAGGTTGAAACAAGGGAGAGGAGAGACACAGAGCTCTGAGGATCTAAAATGTTTATTTAACTACAATAACCCCAAAATATACATACAGTGCATCCAGAAAGTATTCATAACACTTCACTTTTTCCACATTTTGTTATGTTACAGCCTTATTCCAAAATGGATTAAATTTCTTTTTTCCCCAAAAAATTCTACACAAAATACCCCATAATGACAAAGTGAAAAACTTTTTTTAGAACATTTTGCAAATTTATTAAAAATAAGACACTCAAATGTTGCATAAACACAAGTATTCACACCCTTTGCTATAAAACTCAAAATTGAGCTCAGATGCATCCTATTTCCACTGATCAGCCTTGAAATGTTCCTCCAACTTGATTGCAGTCCACCTGTGGAAAATTCAGCTGAATGGACATGATTTGGAAAGCCACACCTGTCTATATAAGATCCCACAGCTGACAGAGCACGTCAGAGCACAAACCAAGCCATGAAGTCGAAAGAATTGTCTGTAGACCTCCGAAACAGGGTTGTATCGGCGCACAGATCTGGGGAAGATTACAGAAAAATATCTGCTGCATTGAAGATCCCAAAAAGCACAGTGGTCTCCATCACTAAGAGATGGAAGACATTTGGAACCACTAGGACTCTTCCTAGAGCTGGCCGCCTAGCTAAAATGATCAAGCGGGGGAGAAGGGCCTCGGTCAGGGAGGTGACCAAGAACCCGATGGTCACTCTGACAGAGCTCCAGCGTTCCTCTGAGGAGATGGGAGAACCCTACAGAAGGACCACCAGCTCTGCAGCACTCCACCAGTCAGGCATTTATGGTAGAGTGGCCAGACAGAAGCCACTCCTCAGTAAAAAGCACATGACAGCCCGCTTGGACTTTGCTAGAAGGCACCTGAAGGACTCACAGACCAGGAGAAACAAAATTCTCTGGTCTGATGAAACGAAGATCGAACTCTTTGGCCTGAATGCCAAGCGTCATGTCTGGAGGAAACCAGGCACCGCTCATCACCTCGCCAATACCATCCCTACAGTGAAGCATGGTGGTGACAGCATCATGCTGTGGGGATGTTTTTCAGCGGCAGGAACTGGGAGACTTGTCAGGATTGAGGGAAAAATGAATGCAGCTAAGTACATTGAACTCCTTGATGATACCTGCTCCAGAGCGCTCAAGACCTTCGACTGGGGCGACGCTTCATCTTCCAGCATGACAATGACCCTAAGCACACGGCCAAGAAGACAAAGGAGTGGCTTCAGGACAAGTCTCTGAATGTCCTTGAGTGGCCCAGCCAGAGCCCAGACTTGAACCCGATTGAACATCTTTGGAAAGACCTGAAAGTAGCTGTGCACCGATGCTGCCCATCCAACCTCACTGAGCTTGAGAGGATGTGCACAGAAGAATGGGAAAAACTCCCCAAATCCAGGTGTGCCAAGCTTGTTGCATCATACACAAGAGGACTGGAGGCTGTAATCGCTGCCAAAGGTGCTTCGACCAAGTATTGAGTAAAGGGTGTGAATACTTATGTATAGGCAACATTTGAGGATTCTTATTTTTAATAAATTTGCAAAATGTTCTAAAAAAAGTTTTTCGCTTTGTCATTATGGGATATTTTGTGTAGAATTTTTGAGGGGAAAAGGGAATTTAATCCATTTTGGAATAAGGCTGTAACATAACAAAATGTGGAAAAAGTGAAGTGGTATAAATACTTTCCGGATGCACTGTAATCGTGTGTGTGTAGAATCAGGTGCAGTGTGTGTGGGTGCAGGTGGGGTAAATGTATGTGAATCTCCGAAAACAATCACCAAACTACAGCAGGCTCTAGGATTTAGCAGCAGTCAGCTGCTCAACCACCAGAGAGAGAGCAGACTGACTGAGGCGGCCTTTTAGTAATGAGGCCACACCCTAAGGTGTGGTCTGCTTAGGACGGCCCCCTGCTTCCTGGGAGGCACTGAGAGGAAGCAGGCAGATCACAGAGCCGTCCAACTCCAGAAGTTGGAAGGGATCACCTAAAGACAGGAGCAGAGGAAATTAGATTTTTTTTTTCTGAGGATCTTGTGACCACACACACAGGAAAATCTTTTTGTAGTCATCACACTCAACCTCCACCTGGCCAACAGCTGGAGAATAGGTGACAACTGGCGAGGGAGGAGACTCAGGAAATGGACCATCTATCAGATCATTCCCCAAAATCACCTGCACTCCCTGGACTGGAAGAGCCGTCCGCAATGCCAAAGACATCTCCCCTTTAACCAGATCAGAAGAGAGGACAACCTTATGCAAAGGCACTGGAAACACATTCAATCCCATATCTCTCACTAGCACAGAGTCTCCAGTGGCAATGTCTGCTGAAAATGGCAATACAGAGGCTACAATGAAAAATTCCAGAGCACCAGAATCTCTCAGGATTTTGACTGGAACTTTTTCCTCACTCCCTACCAACGAAACAACCCCCTCACTCACATATTTCCAATAACCAGGATCAACATCTTCAGCCTTGACAGTGTTGTTGTATTTGCTCCGAGGTGTCTACAGAAGATTTCTCAGGGGGACACAATGCTTCCTCAAATGAGAGGCAGGAAACCAGTGCAACAGGCTTAGTGTGCTGCTGTACCGCAGCGATGGCTGCAACCCTCTCAGTATGTTCACCATCCCTCACATAGGAGCAACTAAGGCTGCAGGTTTAACAGGGCGAAAACCTGGGTTGGACCCGTGCTTGGACCTCAAAACAGGACAATCAGCCTTCCAGTGACCTTTACCCAAACAATAATTGCCAGTTGTACTGTCATCCCATTTGCCAACATTGCTAGCTGCCTTGAGAACAACAGAGTCACTCCCTGAACTCCTGGGATAACCACTAGCTCCACCCCTATGTCCAATTTCCCCACAGACCTTATGTGTCAGAGCATATTCATCAGCTAAAACAGCAGCCTCAGTTTAAGTCTCAACACTCCTCTCACTCAGATAAATGGCCAGGTTTCTCTGAACTGTTCCACCAAAACCAGTTCACACAGTTTTTAAAGGTCTGAACCTCAGAGGCCAGCTGCCAATGGCTAAAAAGAGTGGACAGTTCACAGGCAAATTCAACGTATGTTTCTTGGTCCTGCCTCCGGATGCCCCTGAACTTCTGTCGATATGCCTCCGGCACCAGTTCATAAGCCTCTAACACAGCCTGTTTAACCATCAGATAGTCTTCACTGTCTGATAATGACAAAGCAGAATAGGCTTCCTGAGCCCTCTCCGTTAACACACACTGAAGCAGTAAGGTCTGATCTGAATTATTCCAATTCCTGTTTCTGGCTAACCGCTCAAAGAGTTAAAAAAAGTGTCAGGGTCCTGTTCCGAGAATTTTGGCAACCATCTTCCCCTCCTTCAACAAATCTAGTTTGTAACGTTCAAACTGTTGCTGTTCCCTCTTTTGAAGTAATTCAACCTCACATAAAGTAAGAGTAAGAATAAGAATAAGAACTTTATTGATCCCCAAAGGGAAATTCAATTGTCTGCTGTCTCAGGTAATATGTCTATAAAAGTTATCTATTATTTACATAAGAGTTATATAGCCTGATGACTGTTGGTACAAAAGATCTTCTAAATCTTTCTGTCCTGCAGCGAAGAGAGAGGAGCCGTCCACCACCATTTGCCCTTTGGTCCATCAAAGTGTTGTGAAGTGGGTGATCCATGTTCTTGAGAATAGTCTCCACCTTCCTCAGTGTAGATCTCTCCACCACATCCTCCACTGAGTCCAGCTTGAGTCCTACCATTGAGCCAGCCTTTTTCACCAGTTGGTAAAGACGTCTTGCATCTTTGTGTTTGATGCTTCCTCCCCAGCAGACTGCAGCGTAGAACAGCACACTTGCCACCACAGACTGATAAAACATCTGCAGTGTCTTACTACAGATGTCTATTGATCGGAGTCTTCTCAGGCAAAAGAGGCGGCTCTGCCCCTTTCTGTAGATGTAGTCTATATTCTTAGACCAGTCCAACTTATTATCCAGATGTACACCTAGGTATTTATATGATGTCACCACTTCGATGTCCACTCCACAGGTGTTCACTGGCTGAAGAGGGGGTTTGGATCTAAGGAAGTCTATGACCATCTCCTTTGTCTTTGAGGTGTTGAGGAGGAGGCAGTTTTTGTGACTCCAGTCACTGAAGGCTCTTATTAGATCTCTGTTTTCAGCTTCTTGTCCATTTCTGATACATGCCACAATAGCAGTGTCATCTGAGTATTTCTGGATGTGGCAGGACTCAGTACTGTATTTGAAGTCTGACGTATGCAGTGTGAACAGGAATGGCGCCAGCACTGTCCCTTGTGGAGCCCCTGTACTGCTCATTAATATCCCAGAAACACAGTTCCCCAGCCTGACAAACTGTGGCCTTCCTGTCAGGTAATCTGTGATCCTGGAAACACAGGAAGGATCCCCTCCCATCTCTGTGAGCTTGTCTTTGAGTATGGTGGGTTGGATGGTGTTGAATGCACTTGAAAAGTCGAAGAACATGATCCTCACATAAACCCCAGGTTTCTCCAGATGAGACAGGGCACGGTGAAGCATGTTAAGGACAGCATCATCCACTCCAATGTGTTCTTTGTATGCAAACTGCAGCGAGACCAGTTTGTCTTTAACCTCAGACCTCAGAAGGCGTAGAATCAGCCGCTCCAGGGTTTTCATGATGTGTGAAGTGAGGGCCACTGGTCTGTAGTCATTGAGTTCAGCAGGACATTTTGTTTTTGGTACTGGCACAATGCAGGATGTTTTCCACAGAGCGGGTACCCACACCAGCTGTAGACTCAGGAGAGGTTGTGGAGAGGTTGACACAGTTCTGCAGCACAGTCTCTAAGCAGCCTTGGACACACACCATCTGGACCAGCTGCCTTCCCAGGACAAAGTCTTCCAAGCTCCATTCTCACCCCTGTTTCGGTGACAGACAAGGACTGGTGTTCTCGGAGGGAGGCAGTTGAAGTGGTTGAGACATTTGAACAAGATTGAGGAGGAAGGGGAGAAGTTGTAGTGGAGATTTGTTGCGAAGAGGAATGTGGAGTAGCAGTGGCAGTGGGAGTGACAGCAGTGTCAAATCTGTTGAAGAACAGGTTGAGTTCATCAGCTCTTTTCACATCACCCACCACTGGCTGTCTTTTCTTTTCATTGATGTGTCCAGAGATGGTACTGATTCCTCTCCACACTTCACGGATGTTGCTGTGTTGCAGATTCTTCTCTATCTTCTTTTTGTACTCCAGCTTTGCCATCTTCGGTTTCCTCTTCAACTCTTGTTGCACTTGTTTGAGTTGTTCTTTGTCACCATCTTTAAAAGCTTTCTTTTTCTGGTTAAGGATTGCTTTTATGTCTCTTGTGATCCAGGGTTTGTTGTTGGGGAAACAGTGATATAATTGTGGGTATAACTGTGTCTCTACAGAAGTTGACATAATCAGTAAAGCAGGCAACCTGTTTATCAGTGTTCATACTATCCACATCTGCTTCCAGCAGCACATTCCAGTCTTTTGATTTTAAACAGTCCTGTAGAGCTTCACTGGCTTGAGGTGTCCATCTTCTGATTTTGACTTTGGTCACAGGCTGCCTCAGTACACAAGGTCTGTAACAGGTTTGCAGATAGACCAAGTTATGATCTGACTTGCCCAGTGGTGGTAAGGCAGTGGCTCTGTAGGCTTCTTTGACGTTGTCATACAGCAGATTTAGGGTTTTGTTTTCTCTGGTAGGACAGTTTACAAACTGTGTGAATCCAATCAGGTGAGAAGAGAGGGTGACATGGTTGAAGTCTCCTGATATTATCATTAGTGCCTCAGGGTGTTGAGTCTGTAGCCTGGCAACACTATTTTGCAAAACATTGCAACATTCCTCAGTTGATTTGGGTGGGATGTAAACAACTACTGTTATGATATGACTAAATTCTCTGGGAACATAATATGGCCAAAGAGAAACTGCCAACAGTTCAATATCTGGACAACACAACTTCTCCTTGACAGTTATGTGTGAAGGGTTACACCATCTCTGGTTGACAAATAAAGCCAGACCTCCTCCTTTCTTCTTGCCACAAGCTTGAGCATCTCTGTCTGACCTTATAAGAGTGAAGCCAGGTAGATCCACACTGGAGTCCGAGTTGTTTTGATTTAACCAGGTTTCAGTAAAACACAGGAAACTGCACTCACGGTATGCTTTCTCAGTCTTCACCAAGATCTCCAGCTCATAATTTTGTTGGGCAGAAAGTTGACATTTCCCATGATGATTGATGGAAGAAAGGGTTTATATCGCCACCTCCTAGCATTCAGCTTTGCCTTCACCTTTAGACCAGCACGGCAACCACAATAACACCTCCTGATGTCCTCGTGAATTGTATGTTGTTGCCCAGATTTGCTTTTCCTCAATGAAAGGAGCTATTCTCTTGAGTAAACTCTTCGCCCAGCAGAAGTATCCATCAGCAGCCAACAAAATTACAACAAAAATATGAAAAAAATCTAGCATAAATTACAAAAATTACAGATAATACAGAGAGACCAGACTTGCAGCAACCTCTCGGTTCAAGCGCATCATTTGAACTCGTGGTATCTCAGTTTCTCCAGTTCAACAGCATGCAGAGCCTGGGCCCTCTCCTGAGCCTTATCCTCACGCTCCATTTCCAACTTATGCTACAGGGTCAACAACTCTTTTTGCTGATCAAAAGTCAAAGACACGCCCACCCCAGCCACAGGCCACACATATTTAAAAGACTGCTCTGGGGGACTAACCTGAGGAAAAACTGCAGGTAAAACAGGAGTTGGTGCACTTCCAGCATCACTGCCTTCAACAGCCGCAGGCAACACCCCCAACTGCAGCAAATGTTCTTTAATTGTACTCAAGATACAATCTTTGAGGGCCTCACCAGGGACTTCAACTTCAAAATGGTCAGCCACTCTAAATAACTGCTCCTTAGTGAAGGTGTTTCACAGATCATCCCTGGGATTCTGCAAAAAATCTTCAACAGCAGATATGGTCACCCCACAGCAACCAACCCACACAAACCAGACACAAAAGGGGAGAAAACAAAAAAAATCTTCTGGCAAAACTTGGGTTAGACTAACCTGAACAGAACAACAACTGAACAAATTCCCCCTTATCCCAGTGCAACAGCCACAATATGAAACATCCTTTCCCCTAGCTGACTGCCTAACCAGAAAACTAGCTGACTCTCTCAAACCTAGTCTTCAAGTACTAGCATTGGTGGGAAATTGAAACACAGAGCCCGATGACTCGGCCGGGAAACTATTGAAATAGCGACCCACCTGGACAGTCACGGAGGTGTACCCGAAGCAAAATTTGCTGTGGCCACACTAGTGCACAAATATAAAACAAACTAAAACAATAAACAACGAGCTCACGTGGAGGTCATTCTCTCTCAAAAAACCTACCTAACCTACCGGGAAAGTAGTTCCACTGACTTAGGCTGTTTCATAGCACCCCAGCGGTTAAGGGCAACAAAATGCAGCCACATTAGCAACACCAACTCATGAACCAACGACCTCATCACACACGGACCCAACATACATTTCCCCAGATATGTGAAAACCTCTCCCCAAAACTGCTTTCCTCAGGCTACAGCAACCAAATACTCCCATCAAACAGCTTTTGGTACTCGCCACAATGGACCACTGATGAAACCAATCCAACAATACAAAACTGCAGCTGTAGTCTACCAAACAACACTACCATCCAGGATTCTGAAGTATCCCGGATGAGCCCCCATTTGTTACAACCCTGGCTCTCAGGTTGAAACAAAGGAGAGAGGAGACACAGATCTCTGAGGATCTAAAGTGTTCATTTAACTACAATAACCCCAAAATGTACATAATTTTGTGTGTGTATAATCAGGTGTAGTGCGTGTGGATGCAGGTGGGGTATATAGGCTGTATTGGCTGAGCGAGATCGTGTTGGTTCGTTCCACTTCAGTGGGGCAACATATACTGTGATTCATAAAATAGCTCTATTGATAGTAAGTACAAAAAAAAATATCTACTCATGCCATCCAGTCGATTTTTAGTAATCAGTGTTTCTGTGTCGAACTATTTCCTTTCTGCGACGTAGTAATACTTGCACACGCGCAATCGAATATGCAGAGGGGTGAAGCGATTTTTGTCACGTGGACCAATAGGAGCCGAGTCTCGTTGCCATAGTATCAGAAATACACAAACATGGCGACGAGCGCATCTAGCAGAGAGACAAGCGAAGAGGAAGAAAAGAACAGGAAAAAAGAAAACAGCCTTCAAAAGTGCATAAAAAAGGAACGAAACGATGCTGTATGCATCTATCATCTTTCCAGAGTGAAGGCGTTCTCGACTTTACAAGGACACGTTGGGAAACTTACAGAACTAGTATTAGAAAGTGGCTTTCTCTACAGGGTGAGACAAAGGACCTTGCAGAAACTTATAAACATTGCGTTGATATACAAGAACATTCATACATTCACAGGTTGTGACTCGACCAGTGCCTTTCATGGCAAGGGCAAAAGAAAAACATTTTCTGTTGCTTGTCAGAAAGAAGAATACCTGACTGGGTTTGCAAATCTGGGCAACAGTTTTAACCTTGACCAATCCACCTTCAACACACTGAGTAATTATGTGTGCCACCTGTATGGCCAGTCATCTGCCAAAAATGTAAATGATGCCAGATACAAATCTTTCTGCATGGCCTCGTCGGCTTTGCCAGAATTGTCCATTCCCCCAACAAGTGACGCCATGTACCAACACTGCATGAGAGCAAACTGCCAAGCAGCGGTGATGAAACATTTTCTGACTAGTAAAATGTGTGCCCCTTTACAGTTTCATCACAAATGCCCTGCCCCTGATAGTCCACTGTAGTTGCAAGACAACCAAATGTGAGACTGAACGATGTTCTTGTATGTCTGCAAGACTATCTTGTACAGATTTATGTCGGTGCCAAGCATGTGAGAATGCTTCAAAGGAAACAGAAGAAAGAGCTGTATGGGATGATGACTCTGATAAAAGTGATAGTGATGCCTAATATACGCACCATGTCACCATGTACTATTTGTTTTGTTTAAAGGATTGATACACCAAGATTTGAGATTTTTATTATTTCTATATTTGTTCTACATTTGTCTGCGTTTGTGTTTTGATCTTTATTTTCATATTCTGGAGGGATTGATAAATGACAGATGTTTTGACACTGTGATACTTGAATAAATGTTTTATACCATATTTTGAATTAATTCAGACCTTTTGTGCATTTCTTTTTGTCTTGTTACATTTTTTCCATTATTCCAATTTTGGGGGGCGTGGTAGCAATTTGATTGACTTTCAGCCATTTATGGTCATGATGTGCTGTTTATATTTTATTGCTTTTATTACACAGTAGGTTGTGTCATTTTTATGTTTGAAACATAAGCTTTTAGCTAAATTTACTGTATATATTTCATTGTGCTGGGTGCAAATCACTTGAGTTGAGACATTTTCTTCCAGAAATTTGCTACATTTCATAATCTGAATTCAGTTATGAGCATACTAAGGCACCAATAACTCTTTCAGATGTTAGGTAGATGTATTTATGATATTTGAGAAAGATTTTGTCTTGCCAGAATCAACATAGCAGTTTCTATAAGCAAAAACAGCAGCACCATATAATCGTTTTTTGTGTTACTCACATATATGTACATTTCTGGCTGGTCTTTTGTCTCACCCTGTAGAGAAAGCCACTTTCTAATACTAGTTCTGTAAGTTTCCCAACGTGTCCTTGTAAAGTCGAGAACGTCTTCACTCTGGAAAGATGATAGATGCATATAGCATCGTTTCGTTCCTTTTTTTATGCACTTTTGAAGGCTGTTTTCTTTTTTCCTGTTCTTTTCTTCCTCTTCGCTTGTCTCGCTGCTAGATGCGCTCGTCGTCATGTTTGTGTATTTCTAATTCTATGGCAACGAGACTCGGCTCCTATTAGTCCATGTGACAAAAATTGCTTCACCCCTCTGCATATTCGATTGCGCGTGTGCAAGTATCACTACGCCACAGAAAGGAAATAGTTCGACACCAAAACACTGGTTACTAAAAATTGACTAGATGGCATGAGTAGATATTTTTTTTTAGTACTTACTATCAATAGAGCTATTTTATGAATCACAGTTTATGTTGCCCCACTGAAGTGGAATGAGATCTACTTTCTAGGCACTTCTTCCTCTGTCCAAATACAGCCTAAAATGTATGTGTATCTCCGAAAACAATCACAAACTACAGCAGGCTCTAGGCCTCAGCAGCAGGCTGTAGGCCTTAGCAGCAGTCAGCTGCTCAACCACCAGAGAGAGAGGGCAGACTGACTGAGGCAGCCTTTTATTAATGAAGCCACACCCTGAGGTGTGGTCTGCTTTGGATGGCCCCCTGCTTCCTGGGAGGCACTGAGAGGAAACAGGCAGATCACAGAGCCGTCACACCAACATTGCGCAGTAGCATGGTACGCGTTCGGCAGGAGAGTATGATGACGCTCAGCTCAAACAGCGTATCCCCCCGGTGAGCTACGCAATCTTGGTACTCCCATAGGCTGTATCAAGTGTTAATCATAGAAAACATGAACCCCCTAATAACTTTTAAAAATAGAGCTGTACAGAAAAAAAGAGGACTTGAGCACAAACCAGTCTGACAGTACCTACATGTCAACATCACAACCAGGGGGGAGAAAAAATGTATATTCTGTGTCATTTATTTATAAAGTTTGTCCACAGCTCCATAAGGAACTGAGATTTATGATCTGTACCGCAGCCTGTCACCAGAGGGTGCTGTTCTCAGAGTGGCTTCACCCAGAGAGGAGGCAGACGGCGTCTGTTCTAGATAGAGTCTATGGTGACAACGTTTGACTGTCAGACCTCAGAATCTGGTCTGCTGGGTTCACTAACCCCCAATTTCCACAGCATCCTGAACGGCGGCGATTTTCGCTGTCTGCCAATTCCTACCACATCTGTTTGTGAGACAAATTTCATGGCGGATTATGGACAGCAGGAATCGCGAGAACTCACAAGAACCCACGGATTCACGTTCAATCACATGATAACAAGTTGTCTCTCGAAAGACAGCCACACAGACATATAAGAAGTCAACTGTGTCCTTCCAGAGGAGGAAATCTACTTCTAGACTTCTAGAATCAGCATCTCCTCACCCATGGTGTCATCGGGGTGAAATGACGTCTAAAAACCTTTCACTTGTTCGTCTCCGCCCGTTTGCATGGTGTGAAATATGATCCTCCTGAAACACGGAGTGTTTAATTCTGAAAAGAAGCCGGATGTATTTTTTGTGTCTGTGCCCGACTTCCTTTCCGGCACAAGTTAAGCTGTGCTGAATTTATCGTCCGGAAAAAATAGAACTCTTGCGATCAGCTGTGGAGTCTGGCGATCTGCAGAGGAACGGAAATAAGCCAGTGGAAATTGACATGTTAACTTGAGTGGTTACGATCAGCTATGATCGGAGGATACGACCTTTTCGTAGACTATCAGGATGTGGTGGAAATTAGGGGTAAGGTCTACAGAACCTGGTCTGCTGGGTCCACTAAGGTCTACAGAGGGTTGGTGAAGAAGAGCTGAGGAACAGGTTTGGACTGTGAACTTGGATCTTCTTTTTCCAAAGGTTAGATTTAAAATCAGCAGATTGATTTTTCATTTCTATTTGTTAATATTTGATCCGCGGTCTCTGCACTGGTTCTGATTTCATTCAAAACTCCTGTTCTGGTTCTGTGAAGATCCTAAGTTGTTGTTTATTATCAGGTAAAGACAGCGTGACCTCATGTGACCTCAGGTGGACTCTTGAGAAAGTAAAATAATTTTTCTGTCAGTCGGATCTTCAGCAGGTAAAAACTTTATTTCACAAAGTTTCAGTTTCACTTTGTCAGACTTTGTGGTTCAGATCAGAGATCCGGGTGTGGATCACAGGTTAAAAGCAGGTGTGGGGTGCGGGGTTACAGACTGAACAGGATCTCACCTGGATTGTTTACAAACATGAACATGCAGTCAGACCTATCAGAGACACGTCACAGGGTTTAGTCTGAAAACTGAATGGGGTTTGGTTTTCAGTTTTCTTATTGTCAGTTTATATAGAGCTCCACATTAGGACCAGACTCCATGCAGATTTTACTGTTTTTAAGATCATTCATGTTTTATAACGTAACTATTTGAACTAAAACAGATTAAATCTCATCAGATTATTTCTCTGAACTTGATTTAAAATCTGACGGATCTTCGGGTTTGATGCTGAAATAAAAACTGAATCTAGAAATAAGTAACTAGATTTCAGACCCTCTTGTGTGAGCTTTTATTATTTTCTCTCTTAAGTGCGTACCAGTGTGTAAGAGTTCACAGTAAACTAAACCATTCAAAATAAGAGCTCACTTTAATTTTCTGCTTTTTTGAAACTTTGTGGAAGAAAAAAAGGAAAAAAAAAATCAACTATTCTTTCATAAATCTACAAAACCTAAAATCAATACTGATAGTAATCATTAGCTGCAGGCTGTGGCGCCCCTGTGTGCCTGTAACACTAGGGGCGTTTGGATTGTCTCATTTGGTGGTTGAAGTCATGTGACTGAGGCCGAACGCGCTCATGAACACACAGACTTTTATTTTGAAAGGCTGACCTCCAGCGGCTCCTCTGAGCATCTGATGATGATGATGCTGCTCTGTGTGCTACCTTCATCATCGTCCTCATCAGATCAGCAGACAGAACATCCTGACGATTGACAGCTGGCAGGTCAGAGGTCAGTGCGTGCCATCTTGCTGAACTTTTCCTCGAGGTCGTGGGCACTGATGTACGGCGGGCCTTCATCCAGGGGGCAGCCCTCCACCAGACTGTTCATCGGGGTGGGTGGGACCTTAGACTCCTCCTCTTCTTCGGCATCTCCCACCTGACCCTCTCCATCCAGCCCCTTCAGGAAGTCCTTCACAATGGGGAGGAGCTTCTTACGGGACGCCAGAGAGTTTCCTTTAAAATAATGAGAAACATGAGCAATAATAAATGATATAAAAGTGAGGAAACATCTTCAAGAGGAGTTCAACCCATGGCTGGGGGTCTCCTTAAAGATCTGATTTGAGATTAAATCAAAGAATAAACTGATTGATCAGAGTAAAGTATTGAAATCGATTGAATATGATTCAGACTTTGTACCAAACACAGCAGATAGTAGATTCAGTTGATGGGAAGTAAGACCAAAAATATTTTGGGAACTTTTTAAAAAGAAGGTAATCAAAAGTTTTCAGGATCTGAAAAATCAATATGGATTAAACAATCAAGATTTACACATATATTTACAAATGCGGCATTATTTGGAGCAAACTATAAAAAAGTTAAATTCAGATGAGCTCAGGGATCATTAAATTATTCATCTCAGCATCTGATTCAGACCATATTGATCTCAAAACTATATAAAGAAGTCAAAAAATTAAAGGTCAAAAATAAAACATCTATAAAAGAAAAATGGGAAAAAGAGGCTGAGAGGGAATTATCAGAGGAGGACGTAAATGAAGGAGAGTGGAAAACAATATGCTCCGTCTCATGGAGAGAATATGGTTGGATAAATATTGTGAGATACTTTATTACACCAAAACAACAGAAATCTGGAGACACACGATGTTGGAGACTATGTGGGGAGAATAAGGCAGATCATTTTCGTCTTTTTTGGGGATGCTCTGGTATTATACCTTATTAAAGAAGAGTATGGAAAACATTTAAAACTTCCACTTAGATTTGAAGTTTTATATTTGGGAAAAGATAACCAGGAGATAACAAGGTCAGGAGAAAAATACAGATTTACAATAATGTTGGTGGAGACTAAAAAGACCATCAGTCGAAATTGTCTAAAAACAGATGAACCAAAAATTGAGGATTGGGTCGAGGTGATGATCGATAAATATAGAATGGAGAAGCTGACTTTCTCATCTCGACTAAAAACTGAAACTTTTAAAAACCACAAGAAAAACTGGGCTGATTTTGTGTCTCAATGAGAGCAGACTTTGTGCAGTAAGGACATTGTTTATTATAGATTATTGATCCCTTTGGTTCAGGCTACTAATTTGTTCATTGTTCATATGTTTAATATGTTTACCCTCCAACAGGAGAAAAGAGACAATGAAAGAGAGAGGAGTGAAAAAAAGGACATGAGTGAAAAGTGTTTGATTTTACTTCACAGTTATTATACTGGAACTTTACTTAAGAGTTTAGTTTGTCGAACTATGTCTCTGCTCCACGGTGGAGAAGTATGAAAATATTCTATTCAGTTGGAAATTTGTTCAATGTATGTAAAATGATGATGGAATATTGATAAGTGAAATCAATAAAAAAAAGAGTTTAAAAATAGATAAATAAAAAGAAAACCTGTCAGGACCAGATCTGGACTTGTGGACCTGAAAGACGATGACATTGCGACCCTAAATACTGAGGTAACAAGGTTTTGGCACTGTGGACAGGGTCCAGGGGTCCGTTTCACGTAGGTGGTTCAACAAACTCTGAGTTAAATCCTTAACTCTGAGTTGATCTACTCTGAGTTAGGAAACTCTGAGTTTCCGGTTTCACAATACCTGATTTGAGACGGTTTTAACAACTCCGAGGAGTTTGACCTGGAGTTAAGCACGTGCACGCCAGACATAAACAGCCAGCATCTGTGGAGCGCAGATTCAATGATCAACCAATGGAAACAGGCAGAAGGAGGGGGCAGCAGCAAGCCAACAGCGAATTACAGCACGTTTTTAAAAGAAAGTGCAATACAGCAGCAGCTGCAAAGGAGAGGGAGAGGGCTTGGGAGGAAATCGCTGCCCGCGTCAATGCGTAACTTTAAATCTAGTCTCGCGCAATCACAATGACAGACTGTTGCAGGGAAACTGCTTGAATCATTTTGATCATGTTTTACATTGTCAAGTAAGTATTAAGTGGCAGTTTGATCCCTTAGAAAATGCTCTTTTCACACTCAAAACTGAATTTTACTCTCTTATGATGTTCCGTTAAATGATTAGGAATATTAAACTAACTCTCAGTATGTATATGTACATATGTACTCCGTTAAAGGTGGGGCTGCTGGACCACCACCCGTTTTTGTGTTAGTTTAATATTCCTAATCATTTAACGGAACATAATAAGAGAGTAAAATTCAGTTTTGAGTGTGAAAAGAGCATTTTTTAAGGGAACAAACTGCCACTTAATACTTACTTGACAATGTAAAACATGATCAAAATGAGAAAATGTTGATGTCTCACCTGAAACTCTGGGTTTACTGAGTTAAACCTGCTCCCGAGCAGGTTAGGTTCACGGAGTCTGTTACTGTGGTAACTGACCGCGAGGTTGAGTTACCTCTCTTTGTGAAACAGGTTAGAGTTACCCCTCTCTCCCTGGTTTAACTAACCCTCCTTTGTGAAACGGAAAACTCAGAGTTTCCCTGATTTCAGGGTTAACAAACTCGGAGTTTCCATTAAACCTGCTACGTGAAATGGACCCCAGGTCCTGCTGGAGAAAGGAAACCTGGATCTCCATAAAGCTTCTCAGCAGATAAAGGTCTCTGGGATCTCCTGGTGGAATCTGAACATAATCATAACATTAGACCAGCAGATGACATGGCGCCCCAAACCATCACAGAAACTTCACGCTGGACTTAAAGCACCTTGGATTCTGGTTCTTTTGGATCTTCCTCCAGACTTTCCTAACAAGAACTAAACTTTCATCTGGAAACAGGACTTTGGACACTGAGCAAGTCTAGTTCTCTTTCTTCTTAGTCCAGGTGAAGCTCTGATGAGGTTTTCTGGTTCAGGAGGGTCTTGACATCAGGAGGGTCACACCTGAGGCTCACGATTTAGCCCCCGCCCACAGCGCCAAAACCAACTGACCACCAATGACACCTGACCATCATCGTCTGTCAGGTGTCTTCAGCGGGACTGTGGTTTTACCAGATGACATCACATTACCCCTATTTTAGCATCTTTATAAGATGGGCTTTTATAATCTCTTTATTTTAATGTCTTCATGTTATTGACCCTTCAGCTCATGTGACATTCATCATAGCTTTTATGTCTTCCACCAATTTTTATTTTATGTCTTTATTGTCAGTCATGTGACATTTCCCCCCTACGTGTTCTCTTGTTGTTCTGTTGTTTTTATCTTCTTTGTTTTCCTGCATGTTGAAGCACTTTGTTGGCTCTTGTTTTTAAAAGTGCTATAGAAATAAAAGTGCTATTATTATTGTTATAATTATTATTTTTTTGTTATCATCATTATTATTGTTATTGTTATTATTATTATTATTATTATTATTATTATCAATAGACGCACCTGTTGAGACCGGTTTGGGGGAGGGGCTTACCTTGCTGATAGGCTGTGATGTGAGGATGGGGGCTGCTGATTGGACAGAGCTTTAGGGCAGGGTTACGGGCCTGTTCCAGGAAGTGGCTTACCTGAGCAGAGAGGACACCTGAGTTGTCATAGCAACTTAAAATAACACTGTAATAACAGCTTAATCGGGGAAAAGAAATTGACTGACTGGTGAGTTGGTGCAGATGTTTACCTGTTGCCTGCAGGTGTTGCTGTGGCTGAACACAGCAAGCTCTCTGATTGGCTCCTTGCTCTCGTTAAAGGAGATTGTCATCAGCAGCAGCAGGTCGAAGCCAAACTTTGAACAGAAATCTGAGAGCTCCGCCTCCAGCCCCGCCCTCTGCAGGAAGTCCTGACACACACACACACACACGCAGAGTCAGTTCTCATTCACATCACTCAGCACGCCTGCCGAGCGTCATCACACTGACTCTCGGCGACTGCGCGGCCGAATGCGCGCATCGCTACTGCGCAGCGTCGGTTTCAGGAAGTGAAGAAAAATCTTGTAAATACCGAGAGCTATTTGGCTTACAATCCATATACAGGCGGTAGGCGGAACCAAGTTGTCCATAGTATATACAGGCTGTGTCCCATTTCAGAGACCGGACTGTCGAACGGCGCCGAACGGCGCATTTGAAGCGTGCATGATGTCATCACGCGGCGCGAACGGTGTCCCAAAAATGCTAAGCACGCTTAGCATTTTTCCAAGCGTGGATTTATGCACGCTTTCATGCCGTTGGTATCCCAGAATTCTTTGCGTGCCGCTGCGCATTTCGGGTGAGAGGTTGGACTCGCTTGGAGACGCAGCGCGCCTTTAAAGAAAGTAAAAGAAATCCAAAAACAGCAGACAGTCAGCTCAGGCTGTATGAGAGCATGATCTCTGAACTCACTAAAATCTGTAAACCAAACATTATAGATTTAGAGACGAACTGATCCGCTCTGTTACAACGATTAAAAACATTAGAAATAAGAAAGCTGACAAAACTACAGCAAAGGATCAGGACAAAATTGAGTTTTTTTTTTTTTTTTTTTTTTTTAAGATTTAGGGATTAAAGTTGTAAATTTAGGAGAATAAAGTCATAAAGTAAATAAAGTCATAAAGCTGCTTTTGTGGAGGGGGAAATGACTGAAGCTGGTCATCTGCAGGGTTATCTGTGGATGTATCAGCGGGTCATTCAGAGAGTTTTTGTGGTTTCTGAAGAAATAATCAAACTGATGATGATCAACATTTGAGATCCAGAGGGAGTCGAGCTCAGACGAGCACCACGTCTCTGACACCGGTGGTCACCTACACCTGCAGAGACACCAACATCTTATTATGGCATATGGATTCATATCATAAACTAAAGCTCAATGTCATTCACGGATATTTACGGCTGCATAAACGGATATATCCTCAGCATATCCATTTCTGCCTCCACAAAAGCAGCGATTGCCTTCAAGTACACCAGACGTATTTCTCATATATTCTTTTTTAAGTCTTTATACTTGTGACAATGTAATGCTGATGTGCCAAAGGATGAAGTATCTCCTTGTTTGTGAAACCTATACTGAAGTTCCTTTAAATGCCTCATGGCCCTAATTTTAACAACTCTCCTCTGAAATAACAGGTTACGACTTTATTCTCATAAATTAATGACTTTATTCTCGTAAATTCACGACTCGAAGTCTTTAAAAAAAAAAAATCAATATGGCCCTCATACTCCTTTATACAAAACAATCATTGGATGAATTTTGTGGGAATGGGCCTGAGGGCGGGGACATTTGGCGACCTTCGGAGGACTTTCTGGTTGAGTCCCCCAAATGTCCCCGCCCTCAGGCTTGCGTCACGACTGACTTAAAGAAAACCCGCGGAGCGCAGCATTTACTTTTTAATTGTGCGACTTTGCAGAGACAAGCACAGATCATTCCCACAAAATTCATCGAATGATTGTTTTGTATGAAGGAGTATGAGGGCCATATTGAGAATTTTTTTTTAAAGACTTTGAGATTTAGAGTCGTGAATTTTCGAGAATAAAGTCGTAAGGTTACCTGTTATTTCAGAGGAGAGTTGTTAAAATTAGGGCCATGAAGCATTTAAAGGAACTTCAGTATAGGTTTCACAAACAAGGAGATACTTCATCCTCTGGCACATCAGCATCACATTGTCACAAGTATAAAGACTTAAAAAAAGAATATATGAGAAATACGTCTTTTCCACAGGGAAAAAAAACAGGTGTACTTGAAGGAAATCGCTGCTTTTGTGGAGGCAGAAATGAATATGCTGAGGATATATCCGTTTATGCAGCCGTAAATATCCGTGAATGACATTGAGCTTTAGTTTATGATATGAATCCATATGCCATAATAAGGTGTTGGTGTCTCTGCAGGTGTAGGTTACCGCCGGTGTCAGAGACGTGGTGCTCGTCGGAGCTCGACTCCCTCTGGATCTCAAATGTTCATCATCATCAGTTGGATTGTTTCTTCAGAAACCACAAAAACTCTCTGAATGACCCACTGATACATCCACAGATAACCCTGCAGATGACCAGCTTCAGTCATTTCCTCCTCCACAAAAGCAGCTTTATGACTTTATTTACTTTATGACTTTATTCTCCTAAATTTTCAACTTTAATCTCTAAATCTTACAAGAAAAAAAACCTCAATGACGTCCTGATCCTCTGCTGTAGTTTTGTCAGCTTTCTTATTTTTAATGTTTTTGATTGTTGTAGCAGAGCGGATCAGTTCGTCTCTAAATCTATAATGTTTGGTTTACAGATTTTAGTGAGTTCAGAGATCATGCTCTCATACAGCCTGAGCTGACTGTCTGCTGTTTTTGGATTTCTTTTATTTTCTTTGAAGACGCGCTGTGTCTCCAAGCGAGTCCAGCCTCTCACTTGAAATGCGCAGCTGTACAGCGGCACGCAAAGAACTCTGGGATACCAACAGAACGAAAGCGTGCATAAATGCATGCTTGAAAAAGGGGCGGGGGTAGTGTGGTTTTGAGACCGAATTTAAAGCACGCTGAGCATTTTGTGCCAAATGGGACACAGTTCGTGCCACGTGATGAGCTCACGCACGCTTCAAATGCAACTGTTCGACAGTGTTCGACGGTGAAATGGGACACAGGAAGGGTACTTAAGTCCATATAACGGCACATAACGGCAGTGCGCTCAGCTAAGCGCGCTTATCCCAATGCGGTCTCTGAAATGAGACTCGGCCACAGTCTATGGTTCAGGGCAGCTCTCTGTCTCCCCCTGCTGTCAGTTTACATGATTGTAAGTCACCAAACAAACATAAAAGTGAATTTATTTTTTTTAAATATTATTTCATATCTCAGAAAGATATCTCAATGTTACTGAGTGTGTAGTACAGTGTGTACTTCAGGTGTGTACAAGAACTAACCTCCAGTGTGATGTAGAGAACAGAGACAGCGAGATTCAAACCTCCAGAAACCGCCTTCATGTCCTTCAACAACATCTGCTCTGTGTTCAGACCTGAAGGAGAATCCTCACATTCACTACACTCAGAACTGCAGTATATTTACTACACAGTACTGCAGTATACTTACCACACAGTACTGCTGGATTTACCACACACTAGTGCACTTTATTTAACACACAGTACTGCAGTATATTTACTACACAGTACTGCAGTATTTACCACACAGTACTGCACTTTATTTACCACATAGTACTGCAGTATTTACCACACAATACTGCAGTATTTAACACACAGTACTTCACTCTGAGAGTTTAATACTACAGGTACACGGAGCAGTACTGAGCAGTATTTGAACTCTAACCTGAGACGTCAAACTTGGCGTTCTGCAGCGTGTTGAAGAGAGCACCCCGCGGAGGCAGAGCAGGGAATCGACTTTCCAACGACGCGGCCACCTGACTGTCTTTGGGCGTCACTTTACCTGCAGAGGGCGCCATGTTCACACAGTCCAGTACCACTGCAGCTTCAATCACACACAAAAGGACAACACAACACCTGGATATTAAAACACCATGTCTGTGTGAGTGTGAGTGTGTGTGTGTGTGTGTGTGTGTGTGTGTGTGTGTGTTACCATAGAGAAGCTGTGCGAGCTGCTGGTCCAGGATTTCTGGAGCCTTTTGGATGATGCGTTCTGTAACCAGGGTAGCGCAGGACCCCACCATCTCCACGGTAACAGGGCAGGAGGGGGAGGGCTCTCTCTCCAGCAGGTGATGGTCAATCACCTCCACCACCGCCCCCTCCAGGTCGCTGTCTGCACTGCAGGTCACAGACAAAATCATGACACAGGTAATGAGACACAGGGTGATCATGTGACATGGCACATGGCAGAAGTTTAAGGTGGCATATCCATAAAAGGTAACATCCTGTAAACTGGCATTTTTAACTTCTTGGCGCCCTGATTGGTGGTTGTGTCTACCTGTCAGCTGTTGATAATGGGAGTTATTTTCTGCTGAGTACACCTTCCCATACACCTTTCAGATGGGCGTGGTTTTTTATATGGTATTTATGACTATCTGTGTGGTGGGCGGGGCTACCTGGGCAGGATGTTGTGGTCCACCAGTGTCAGTTTCAGGCGTCCTGCTTGATGAAGCGCTCGCAGGTTGATCTGATCTCTAAAGATCAGGTGATCAGGGGAGAGAGAGAGCTGACGGAGGAGGAAGAGGTTATCTGAACGAAGCATGAAGTCCGACTGGCGGACGTTCATCAGAGGGAGAGCGAGCGGTGGGCTGTTAGCAGTCTGAGAGAGGAAGAGAAGGAGAGACAGAGAGGGAGAGAGATATTTATGCTGCGTTCGAGTTACCTCGGAAGTCAGATGTCGGAGTTGAAAATGATGTCACACCAGAGTTCCCAGTGTTTCAGTTACCAAGTCGGAAAAAAACAAAATCAAAGTTATTTTAGCGCTTGCCTTATATTCGAACAAGACAAGCGCTAGAATAACTTTTGTAGATGTAGCCATCTTGTTCCTCTTTCACACCTCTTTCACAACAAACACCTGCCTGACTCTGATTGGTCAGACTCTCACCTTGGACAGGAAGTAAGCGTAGGCCAAAGCACACACCATGGAGTCCACGTCACAGGCCTCGTTTCCCAGGACGATATGGAACCCTGAACCCGCCTCACCAGGGCTCACCTGGAGGATTTGTTAGCAGAGTGGAAGAGAGGTTAGAATCAAACAATTTCAACATTTTTATTTTTGATATTTACAAAAAAGAAAATGATTTTATTCTGGAGCCACTGAGATGCAAACGTTTTAAGAAGTTTTTTGGTTTAAATGTTCCAGTCATTTTATCAGACAGCTTCAAAACAAAAACAAGAGTATGTTAATGTAAGAGTGTTATTGTAATCATCATTATTTTCTTACAGTCTAGTGTTTACGGTGGCTGAGAAATGCCACTGCTGCAAATAAAAAAAAGGATACATAAAAAAAGAAGTCAACAGAAGTTAATGATGCTAAAAAAAACTAAAAAAAAGGAGAAAACCGAAGCCCACTGCAAATAAAAAAAGAAATGGTGCAGATATATATATAAAAAAAGCCAACAACAGAAGTGAACGATGCAAAAAAAAGGTCAATGGAAAAAAAAAGAAAAAAAAAGGTACTTACTGCGAAAATAAAAGGATGTAAATAAAAAAAGCCACAGCAGAAGTGAGCTGTCGGGGACCAAAAATAATGATGCACCAGTGTTTTATGATCTAGGCACAGAAGACGATGGCGAGAAGACGAGCAAAGAAGTAAGTGGAAGGTTATTGTTTAATTTCACTTCGTAAACTTTTCAATGTGTTAGGCCATGTAGCGCCTGAGTCGATATAAAGTTAAACTGAAGCCAACACTACACTGACATCCTCCAGTTCAACTTCATTTGGACTTTTGGTTTGCATCTTTAACTTCCGTTGCCGCTTTTTATTTTTAACCTGGACCATTTATTTTTTTATTTGCAGTAAGCTTTGGTTTCTTTTATGATCCTTTTTTTAAGTTTCAGTGTACTTCGGTTTCTTTCTTTTTTTGTTGTTCATTTTTTTATTTGCAGCGGGCTTCAGTTTCTTTTTTTTTTGCAGCAGTAACTTTTGTTGTGACTTTTTATTTTTGTCGTTTACTTCCGTTGTTGCTTTTTTTTTTATCTGCACTGTTTTTTTTTTTTTTGTTTGTTTGTTTTTTTTTGCAGCATGCTTCGGTTTCTGCTATTCATTCTTTTTTTTGCAGCAGCAGCAGTGGTGGTTCCCGGCCACCATAAGTGTTTTCACCTCAAGCTTTTAAATCAACCCCACACACATTATCAGGCTGTTTATTCTGCTTCTATATACTATGATATTAGCACGTTCATTGTAGACAGCCGTTGACCGGAAGTTTACTTTGAAAGGTTAAAATCACCGGAAGGGATTTAATGTTGTCTAAACCATGATTTCTGCCTCAGTTTTTTTCAACAAACCTTGTAAACAACAAAAACATTAACATCGACGGAAACAGGAGAAAATTGTTAATAAAACTGAGCTCACAGGCTAACTGATGCTAAGTGTGTGTGTGTGTGTGTGTGTGTGTGTGTGTGTGTGTGTGTGTGTGTGTGTGTGTGTGTGTGTGTGTGTGTGTGTTTTACCTTCATGGCTCGCTCACACTCACACAGAAATTCCTCCATCTTTTTTGGCGCTTAGTTCCGAACTCCGCTCGGCCTGCTAGCTAACCTGCTCGCTGCTGATTAACCGGGTCCGGTAACCGGTGATCACCGACTCAGCGGGCTGTTAGTCACACACACGGGGCCGCTACTGTGAACACATGACTGTTTGGATGACTGTCGGTAATGTGTAGGTAAAAGGTCAGGATGCGTTCACGGTTCGCGGTAAACGTAGGGAAAAAAAATAATTTAGTCTTCAGGTAAAAATGGATCAGAAAATATCGACACTTAAAATTAATAATAATAATAATAATAATAATAATAATAATCTGTGAAACACCAGAAACATGTTTCATAATGAAAAATTATTTAATGAAACTCTTGAAACATTTCACTGATTTAAAATGAAAAGGGGATGAAGGAATAAACAATAGTTAAAGAGAAACCAGATTAAATAATGGCATCAAGGTAATTTATGAAGACAGGAATTATGTTTATTTTCAAAGATGAAAGTGATATTCTGGTGTAAAATTAATTTAGGGTCAAACGCACCGTAACACAGTTAGACACACCCTCCAGAGATGAATGTTGCCGACTGCTTGCTTCTCTAGTTATACCAACTTTAGTAACGACCGCAGGATAGCAATACACAGCGGTCTGAGGAGCTATAAACAAACCTCAACCAAAACGCCACTCTATAGCCACAAATAACGCTCAGCACCTTACGTCATCAACAGGACATATAGGGTCCCAGCCATAGTACTAGCCACCAAATATCTTTTTAACTTTGACTAATTTCTTTAGCAAAGAGACTAAACACAACTCACCTACCCTCTTCCAGCATATGCTTGTTTGTAGAGTGACCCCAGGCCAGTCCATTACAGACTACAGCAGGGTGTTGCAGCTCAAGGAAGAACATTTACGATCTTTTCTTTCAGACTGAGACCCAAATAAATTAAGGTAATTTATGAAAACAGGAATGATGTTTATTTTCAAAGGTTAACAACCAACTTCAAGATGTGTTACGACAAAAAATTTACGCCTATAAACACAAAGAGCAAATTAAATAATGAAGGAAACAGCTAAAGGAACCGCAGGCTCCACTGCCACTGAACCTCACCACAGTCACACACACAGGTCCACACAGGAGAGAATGAGAGAGAGACCACAGCCCTCTCCACCTCAGCAGATCAGCCACACCTGACACACCTGACACACCTCCACTGCAGTGAGTGAGAGAGAGACACAGAAACAGCCTCTGGCATGTTAGATCAAGGTACGTAAGGTAAGTCGGCAAATCAGATCCGCAACTTTGGGATAAGGTTTACATGAGTCTGTAAGAGCCCGAGAAAGCTCCTTCAGCAACCGGCTTTGTCACCCGTGATGCATCACAGAGAGGCATCCCAGGTCCTTCCTCCCCGCTGCTCTCAGACTCTATAACCAGGCCACTCTCCTAGCAGACCAACACCACCACCAACAAAAGTGCAATACTACACCCCTAATTATTTATTAATCATGTGCAATATCAATATCAATGTCATCATCACATCCATACCTGTTTTTTGTTGGCACTGATCTTTCTTTCTCTTTTATATTTTTATCATACTTGTCTTTAATACTGTTCTTCAATTGTAATGCTCTTTCTTTCTTTTTTTACCGTAGTTCTTTATCTTATTTGTTTTTTGTACCCGTTATCAATGCATATGTTGTGTGTACCGCTGCTGTTAGTGACTTAAATTTCCCCACTGAGGGATGAATAAAGGAAAAATCTAATCTAATCTAATCTAAACACACACAAACACAGAGGGCATATAAGAAACGTTCTCACTTTTCATGGACTAATTTCTGGTAGTGTGAAATACATTTGCATTTATGAATTAGTTTCAGGTTTGGTTAATATTTACTTATTTATTTATTCATTTATTTATTTTTGAATAAGTAAAAGAGTAAAATTTTTTGTAAGACTTTTTTGTGAGTGGTTGACTTTTAAAGCTGTTTTTAAAAACTGTGTTAGTATCAATAACAAAAATATTTCTATATCTAATAATAAAAAGAACCTCAAACTAATGTCTTTAGATCATTATTTAAAGACATTAGTTTGCAAAACAGCTGATCTATTTCAGGGTTTCAGTTATTTATTATGTTAATTTACCAAAGGTATGACAGAAATAAAACCTTTTTTTTGTTTGTTTTGTTTTGTTTCATTTTTAACAGATTTTTTTAATCAGATCTTTGTGGCTTTACTTTTTAATATTTTTTTAATTCTTCTCACTCATTAAACATTTTAAAAAACCAAGAGTTCAACTGTTACACATGCTACGGTAAGAAAGTCACCTTATTTCCTACTGTCTATAAACATATCATAAGCTCTCAGACGGATTGAACTCTGGGTAATGTAGTCTGTGTTGTTTCTAGTGTCCTGTGCTGCTGCTGCTGCTGGTTTCGATGAATGTATATTACTGTATAAAAGCAGATTAAAATGCAGTTTTTTAAACAGATTTTCTGTTAATCAGGTTTTAATTGATAAAAACGTTTATTAAATGTATTTAAATGAAAAAAAAAAAAAACATGTTTGCGGTGAAATGACAGCTGAATGTCTGGTAATATTAAGCAATAACAAATATTAAATTCAGACAAATTTATTAAAAACATAGATACACATTTGTTTGAACTTAAAAAAAAGACACTGAAGATGATTAAAGTGTAAAAATGTTTAATAATATATAAAATCATATTTTTATATTTATCTAGAATTATTATTTTTTCTTTTTTAATTTGATCAGAGATGAAAAACCTGCAGATTTAACTCTTTCCCTGTTGTTTTTTTTCTCATCTGAGTTTAATTTGTTCTGTAAACTGTAATAAACTCTTAGTCAGCAGGGGGGCAGTAAATGCAGTATTTACTGATACACTGATGGTTTCCATGGTAACACTGCTGTTTGAATCCATATGAGGTAATAATCTCACCTGTCTGTCACAGGATCTACAGGTGGGAGTATCAGACTCTGACCTTTGACCTCTGGAGATAGCAAAGATTAATGCAGGTTGAGAGGAAGAAGAAGAAGAATAAGTAGGCTTAAATTTTCTCCACGTAGTTTCCTGGAAACATCCCCTCTCTGCCCCGCAAACGTCCAAACCACCAACCAGACGGATCTGAGGAGACACAGAGGGACATCAGACACAGACAGACAGAGAGGCGTGGAGGACGGCGAAGACAGAGACAGAGGACACAGAGAGACAAGAGACAGAGAGGGATGGAGGACAGCGGAGACAGAGACAGAGGACACAGAGGGACAAGAGACAGTGAGGAATGGAGGACAGCTACACAGAAAGACAAAAAGGACAGAGACTTTATTCAGAGTCAGGAGACAAGGACACAGTCAGTCCGTTTCCATGACTCTTGAAAAAAAAAAATTGTCGCCTTATTCCGATTGAGACTGGACAACTGAAGTGCATGTAAACACCTTAGTCCACCGATAATCGAAGTTTGAGAACTCTGATTGGAGTCTGAGAACTCCGAACTCTGAGGGACAAAGTTTGAAAGACATTTTAAGGGATAAAATGATCAGAAATAAAACAGGTTTTTTATGGTTTTCAGATGATTTCAAACCAACTATGTCCAACAGGTTAGTCACATTACTCTGGAGTGGGAATCTTCACATGAAAAGGACATCTGGACTTTAGTCCAGTTGTCCTTTTAACGTAGAATTAGAAATCATCCAGTATGTTTCCATGACACTTGAGAAAACTGAATCATTGCCTTATTCCGGTTAAGACCAGACAACTGAAGTGCATGTAAACACCTTAGTCTGACTATAATCAGAGTCAGAGAACTCTGATTAAGACACCCAGATAATGCGGTTGGAATTCGATTTTCTCTACCATGTAACCAGCGTAGTCGAAGTATGATAGGACAAATCATGTGCACGCGCCACACCCCTATGACCCAGTAACAAAAACACCAGAGAAAAGGAGTGGCGTGCATCTCATCGGCAGAAAAAGCGTTTCCATCATGTAGGACAAAAACAACACTGTACGGTGCTCCATCTTCTTGCTCCAAAATTCCCAGCAGCAGTTGTAGACACTTCTGACATCTGGCACGGACCTGCTGTTGTTGTTGACGGTCTTATGGCGTCGGAAACATAGCCGCTGAAAAGACCCATATCACCCCCTAGTTTTGGGGAGGAGGACACGTTCATGTCAATAATTCGATTTTCTCAGCTGCATGTATACACGGACAAGGAGAGAAGTCCGATTCGGCGAAAAAAAACAAATTATGAGCTTGGTCCAATTAAACTGTGAATGTAAACGCACTGAGTGGGACAGAAGGACTTCTGATACAGAGACAGTCAGATGGACTTTACACACATAAAAGACAGAGGACACACAGAGACAACAGACAGGGACAAGGGGACAAGGCTCCAGAGACCCAGAGAGACACAGAGACAGGTTGGTACCCTCAGTCAGTAATTCAATGACATCGTCGGTGTTGAAGCTGAGCTCGTCGGTGTCTTGGGCGTCATAGGCGTACAGAGCTCTGCACTGAGGAGACCTCGGTTTGGGCCTGGGGGCGGGTTTGGGTCGACCCGCTCCAGGGACGGGCTTCACCTCCTTGGACCGCCGCCGCTGCATCCTGCAGACAAAACCGAGAGATTACAGACTGAGAAAGTCCACAAAGAGACAAAGGACAGGGATAACACCAAATAAACTGCTGTGGACTGGACTGTGATTCTGGGTCCTGGTTCTGTGTGTTATACTGGGTTGTGTTGTTCTATTACACTGGTTATACTGGTTTGTGTCACTGTGAATTAGACTGGTTATACTGGTTTGTGTGACTGTGTATTACACTGGTTATTCTGGGTTTCCCTCCCCCGCCCTCTCACCCTGCAGCGCCCTGATCAGGGACGTTCATGAAGCCCATGTCTTGGTTATGATGTTGTTGCGACCGGTTGTCTTGGCGATGTTGGCTCTGGAAGCGGGGCAGACTGGGCTGCTCCATGCTGGACTGCTGCCTCAGCAGGGAGCCTCTGGAGGAGGTGGAGCTTCTCAAAGCCCCGCGCCCTCTGGAGTTCGGACCTGAAGATAGAAAAGATGAACGTTGACTCAGATGATAAAGTCCTGACCCGGGGTCTACGGTCCGCATACTAAGCGGCCAAAGGATTTTCGTTTTCAAATGAAAAGACGAAAAATCAGGAGATGAGCCGTTTTTAACCCTTCTTACACTATATTCCTGAGGGCGCTACTGTGCAAATGAGAGCCTCTCGCTCAGTCGCCCCAAGTCACAACTTCCGGGTTGCAACAAACAAGTGAATGAAACTTGAAACACAATATTTCCACGCACAAATTTTGATCTTCGATTTCCGTTAAAGTCACATCATAGAAAGTCAAATACTGAGTTGTTTTTTTGTTCTCTGATTTTTATTAATAAAATGGAAAATCGTTGTTTTCTGTTTCTTGTCTTCCGATCACCTACTGGTCATCAGGAAACGGCTCGTCTCCCGATTTTCGTTTTTTCATTTGAAAACAAAAATTTGTTGGCTGCCAAGTACACGGACCGTCGACATTCATAAATAACACAGAGGTCAAACGGAGGTCAAAACTCTTGACGGGCTTCCTATGTATGGTCCACTGGTGGGGCGTCCCAATACGGTTAAACCTTCACCTGCTGCCACCATATGCAGGGAGCAGACAGCGCCCTCTGCTGTTTAAGGAGAACATCAACGTTCACTTCTCATCTCAGACTTGAATCCTCTCTATATGAGCTCATTTCCTTTCACATCATCTCATCTCCAATCCTAAAGCCTTTAACCCCCGATTTCCACCGCATCTGGATCGGCTAAGAAAAGGTTGTATCCTCCGATCGTAGCTGATCATAACCATTCAAATTAACGTGTCAATTTCCACCGGCTTCTTTCCATTCCTCTGCGGATCGCTGGACTCCACAGCTGATTCCAAGAGTTCTATTTTTCCCAGACGATAAATTCAGCACAGTTTAATCATGCTGGAAAGGAAGTCGGGCACGGACACAAAATAAAACATCTGGCTTCTTTTCAAAATAAAACAATCTGTGTTTCAGGAGGATCGTATTTAACACCATGCAAACCATGGAAACACCATGAAGTAGATTTCCTCCTCTGGAAGGACACAATCTACTGCTTATATGTCTATGTGGCTGTCTTTATTGCGCAATTGAATGTGATTCCGCGGGTTCTTGTGAGTTCTCATTTCCTGCTGTCCATAATCTGCCATGAAATTCGCCTCACAAACGGATCCAATTGGTGGACCGCGAAAATCAAAGCCATTCCGGATCGCAGCCACTCTGAATGCAGTGGAAAATGGGGGTAAGTCTGTCTGGTACCTGAGCTGTACTGGTTGGTAGGTGGACCTCGGTTGCCCATGTAGCGGCTCTTGCGGGTGTCCTTCCTCGTCGGTCCTACAAACAAACAAACAAACAGGAAGTGAGTAAGCGCACATTCAGGGTTGACGTTGAAAAGAAGTACCCGTTCAGAACTTACTGGAGTTTTTATGCAGACCCGGTCCAATGGAGACCTGCAGGACCTTCCCACTGGGCTTTAGGACAGCATCGTCACCCTCACCCCCCTGGAACTGGATCTGTCTAGACCCTGAAGAGCTGAACGGACCCCAGCCGCCCTTCTTCACCTTAAATTCCAGACTGGAGGACAAAGATGGAGGTTATTCAGTCAAACCAGGAACCATTAGATCCTCACTGATCTGTAAAATCAAAGATCTGTTTAATCAAAGAGAAGATCTGGACTGACAGGTTGTTGAACTTGAGTGGCAGCTTCTTCTGGGTCTTCTCTTGGTAGCGTTTGACCAGCAGACTGAGGAACTCAGTTTTGAAGACACTCTGAAGGACGCTGTCATACTCCTCCTCATGGATGATAAAGAAGTCATCCTGCAGAGTGCTGAGAGACAGAGAGAGACAGAGCCAGACAGATCAGACACACATGGAGTCTCTTTAAAGTCCCGATCTGAGATCCAGGTCTGAAGCTAGTTCTACTGAATCGAGTTCTTGTTCAAGCTCCTGAGCCAGTCATATGCTGCATTCCAGTTGTACTTGGAAGTCTGTATTTCCAAGCTCCGAGTCGGAAATTCATCTGGAACGCCCCCCTGAAGTCGGATTTCTAACTCGGAAAGTCGGACGATCTTGAATTATGACGACAACGTCATAATTCAAGATGGCAGCGCAGTGCATCAACAGTAAAGAGTAACAGTGAAAGCTCTCATAATGTGTTATTTATTCACACTTTTTTTTGTTTCTGTGAAATTAAATAAGTGCTTTTGTAAGAGTAAAATACTGTATAGCTCACAACAACTAACAGCTAACAACAACTAACAATGGCCAACGACAGCTGACAACCGGTAACAGTAGGTTTCCATCTTGGTCTCCGAACACTGTCAACTCGGGTGTAATGTCACTCCCAGCTCCAACATCTGACCTCCGAGGTAACTGGAATGCAACAATAGACCACATGACAATGTCTTGGTCATGTGGTCCAGACTCTAATTTCAGCTCTGATCCTTGCTAGATTTGCACTGCAAGTCCCGACCCTGGCCTCAGACGGTTTGAAGTTCTGGTTCTGGCCCCCAATCCAGTTCTATCCCTGACTGTTTAGATCCAGTTCCCAGCTCAGGTTCAGACTGTTTTTATGGTTAAAAGTCTAGATCCGTTCTGGTTCTGGTGGAGTACCTTAGAGACACAGACTGGATCTTGTTGACTTCAATCTTCCTCTTGAGGACTTCCTGGATCTGACCTTTATCTGGACCCTGCTTCACCTTCTCTCTGCCAATCAGGTACAGGAACTTTGGTGTCAGGATGAGGTCTCGCTTCACAGGCTGGAAGAGCAGAGGAGAGTGAGCTCAGAGATCTGAAATGGACCCCCCCCCCCAATCAGACCCTGCTGACATTGGAGAGTCCAGATCTTCGATATGTGATCAGGTCTTACCCTGAACCTTCGGTCATATTTCACCACAACATCAGCGAAGTCGATCCTCTCTCTGCGACCAACAAACTGTCGGATCTCTGGATGGTTGTCCATCCCGATGTAGTCTCCCACAAAGTTCCTGTTGAGGCTGTTCCTGCGGCGTTCCTTCTTATTCAGAAGAACATCAGAGGCTGGAGGAGAACAAAAACCTTCAGTCAGACCGTCAAGACACTGAGACGACTCTGGATTCTTGTCAGAACATAACGGTGCCGTACTGATGATTTCAAACCATCATGACGGCGGTCTTACCTTCTTCCCTCATCTTGACATATTTGCGGACAGCGATGTGTTTACGCCACGCCTTCTGAATGACACGAGCGTAGCCGTTATACTTCCTCTCCCTCATCTCCTCCAACAGGAAGAGCTACAGGTGAAGACAAAGACAGACCAGCTCAGGGACTACAATACATAGAAAACCTCTGTTTCAGGATGATAAGGTAACTCAGGAGAGGGACGCAATATTTTCCTTAGGATAATAGGGGAAGGTCCCACCTCCCTCGTCTCTGATTGACTGTGAAACGTCATCACACCCTCAAGCCGAGCGCAGGCTGTCGGCTCTGTACATCGAACAGAACTTTACAGAACCCGAACCCTAACCTGACAGACGATGACATTTCACAACCATAAGGAATAACCAATTGGATGCCTGCACTTCTAGCCAATCAGAGGCAAAGGAGGCGGGACCTTCCCCTACCATCCTACGAAAAAGAATATTGTGAGAGGGACCATAGCAACAGTCACTGGGGTTCATGGGTAATGTAGTATGTGGGAAAAGATCATAACTGATCAGAAAGACCAGACTTGGAGAAACCTTTAAGACCTGAAGACCAGGCTGAAAACTGGATCAGTAGATCTGGACCGCAGAGTTCCTGACTTTTCCCAGAGGAACTTTATTTTGAAAGTCCGCAGCTGTTGAACTTCCTGATTTTAACACTTCGTACCGACTCCGGAGCCTTGATGAAGACTTTGGTCTTGCCCAGCTGGTACTGGTCCCGGTCCATGTGGACTGAGTTGAGGAGGTGCAGGACCCCCTGCCGTTGGTCCCCCCTCCACTGAGGCCAGCTCTCCTTGGTCAGAATGGCGTACCTGCAGAACCAAAGTCTCCGTCAGTAAACATGTTCAGTTAGCATGTCACAGCGGTTTGGGCAGTTAGACCTCTTACCTCTGCAGGAACTTGTTGAAGACTCTTCTGTAGGCGTATCCGGCGCGGCGGACTCTGATGTTCTCCCGCAGACCCAGGTACTCCACCTGGTGTCTGACCCGGTTGTCCTCCCAGTCCCGGGGCTTCTTGGACTCGTTGGGTTTGATGCAGCGGATGTAGTGGGGGGTGCACTTCATCAGCGTCTGGACCAGACTGTTTGCTTGTTTCTATGGGGGGGTGGGGTGGGGGGTGGGGTCAGGTTCTGCTGATGGTTCCTACTGAACTCAATATGAAACTCTCTCTCACCTTGATCTTTGTGCTGGCAGTGCTCGGACGCCCCCTCTTCTCCGCCTCCAGGTTCTCCGGGAACAGCGCTCTGATGAATGGACTGACAACAAACACACCACCAACAGGGTCAATGTGAGGTCATTCTGAGGTCAGAGTTGAGTTTATTCTGAGGTCAGAGCTGAGTTCAGTCAGATCGCAGTTTGGTGACAGAGAGGGTGCCAGATCAAAGATTCAGAGCTGAGAGGACTCAGATTAAGATTTAGAACATGGGGAGTAAAAATACACAAACTCCTGTGTGTACAAGTGTGTATAAATAAAAAGTGTGAGTGGTTGAGTGTGTATACTGTATTTATATAAAGTGTATGTGTGTGTCTATATATACTGTATAGATAAAAAGTGTGTGTGTGTGTGTGTGTACTGTATATATATGAAATGTGTGTGTGTGTATAGAAAAATGGAAGAACTCACAACTCGCTGCTCTGCATCAGCTCGATGATGTCATTAAACAAAACGTCTCTGTTCCTCTCACAGAAACCACTGACGTCGTATGACACCTGGACGAACAGGAAGACAGGTGTGAAGACAAATATGAAGACAGGTTGCTTTTTTGTTAATAAAGTCAAAAATATCAGAGCCCTGTTTCTGCCCTGTCCTGCTGTTTTGCAACAGTTTGAGCCAGTGTCTCTGCCCACCCTTAACAAAATTGTCAATCAGCTTAAACCTGCCGGATGTCCCAATGATGTTATCGCCCCTTGCCTCTTTAAAGAGGTTTGGGTAATCATTGGTCCTGCAGTCCAACAATTAATAAACAGCAGTCTTGCTTCAAGCTGTGTTCCTTCCTATCTTAAGTGGAACCCTTAATCAAAAAGCCTAATCTAGATTGCTCTATTTTGACTAATTTCAGACCTATATTGAAGCCTCCTTTTATGTCTTAATTCGATGATTGTGGCGTTCCTGACATTTTTCAATCGGGTTTTGAGTCATTTCACAGTGCTAAGTCTGAGCTTTAAAGGGTTTTTAATGATCTTTTATTGACTCTGATGACTGAGCTCTTTTCATGCTTTTAGACCAAACAGCTGACTTTGACTCAGTGGATCTCTCATCGCTCTCCTCGAACTCTGTGTTGGTTTAACAGGTTCAGCTCAGCTCTTGTACCTTATTTTAAATCCACGGTTTTAAAGCTTGGTGTAAAAGTTGACAATGATTTTAAATCAACAAATCAACTCTGTTGTTAAAACCAGTTTAATCATCTGAGGCTTTTCTCCAAGATTAAATCGGTTTGATATTTTAAGTCATTCCTGTTTTTATTTCCACACTTTGGTTGGACGCTCTTTACGTCTGTGTTAATCAGGGTTCTCTCAGACACTTACAGTTTGTCCAAAATGCAGCTGCTCGTCTTTTAACAGGTAAACCAAAACATGACCACATCACTACGATTCTGGGGTCCCTCCATTGGCTTCCCGTTCATTTTAGAATTCATTTTAAAATGTTATAGTTTGTTTTTAAATCTTTAAACGGATCAGCACCACAGTTCATCTCTGACCTCTTTAATATTTATATCCCCCCACGTTCCTTCAGGTCTGCTGATCAGCTCTACCTCGTTGTTCCTAAAACTTGTTTAAAAACCTGTGGCGACCAAGCTTTCTCGGCTGTGGCTCTGAAACTGTCGAGATGAAAACATCCCCGACTCTTTCTACTTTAAAATCACGTCTTAAAACTCATTTTTATTCCTCCGCATTTAGCTCAGCATGAGAGTTGTGTGATCTCTGTCCTTTTATTTCTTTTATGCTTTTGTGTTTTGATTTCATTCATTTTATTTCATTTTAAATGTTTTTTTTTTGTAGGTACAGGTGAAGAGGTGAACAGACAGGTGAACAGATAGACAGGTGAGCAGACAAACAGGTGAACAGGTGTTGTGCATACCTTGCCGGCGTAGTGGTGGATAATGAATCCTTTGTTCCAGCTGCTGAAGTGTTCATGTGACCCGATCTGACCCTGAAGCTTCTGCAGCAGAGTCTGATCTGCCCCCTCACCTTTGGCGTGCATCGTGGCGCACACGTCGTCCAGGATGCTCATCAGCCCCGGAGGATTCTGGGAAACCATCAGAGACATAATGTAAGGTTCACAGAGACAGGCTCCTGTAATCTCAGTCCTGTTCTGTGATTGGTGGACTCACCACTTTAGACTCGATGAGGTCACAGACCACCTTGTTGTTGAAATAGTCGATGGGGGTCCATTTGATCCCCTCCTGGACATACTCCTCCTGCACAGACACAGAGACACGGTCAGTGTGACGACCCTGAAGGAGGCAGGTACGAGCCTCCTGAAACAGGAAGTGATGACATGATGACATCACGCAGTACCTGTTCAGCCTTCAGCGTGAGTTCGATGAAAATCTGCTGCAGCTTCTCGTTGACAAAGTTGATGCAGAACTGCTCAAAACCGTTCCTCTGGAAGATCTCAAAGCCGTAAATGTCGAGGACTCCGATGTTGAGCTCCTCCTGGTCCTTTTGCATGGCTTTGTTAACACACTGTCACACACACACACACACACACACACACACACACACACACACACACACACACACACACACACACACACACACACACACACACACACACACACACACACACACACACTAGTGAGGTTAGTCCAGGGTCCTCATTTATCAACAGTGTGTAGAAAAGGTTCTAAATTCTGTCGTAGGAATGAAATGTCGAATGTGCTTAAAAACAAAAAAATCTGTATTTCTCAAACATGCGGACACCTGTCGTATGCACGCTATTTATTAATCGGTGATGATAAATTCCACCTGTTCTTTCCTAGCGTGCTTGTTCATGGTTATGGTCATTTACATTCAGAAACGCCCCCAATTGACCATACATGGTATCAACAAACCCTTTAAAATTGTGTGAAGGAATTTTTTCCCCCTTGCTGAAATCATGGAGGTGCAGACTCACAGAGCTGTTCTGCAGAATGAAGGAGTCGTGCACTCCTCCAACAACGTTTTATTTATTTATTTATTTTTATTCTGGCATTTAAATTGTGTATATTGTATATAGTTTTATTTTTCTTCTCCCTTTTTCCTTTTCCTAAATTTTTTTCTTAATTATTACATTTATTTAAGTTCTTAATATTACAATCTTTATTTTTATAACTGCATTATTGCACTCTTTGTGATGCTGCTGTGACAAAAGAATTTCCCCCATGGGGAATCAATAAAAAGGAATATTCTATATTCTATTCTATTCTATTTAACAGATCCATATGTGCATCTCATATTATTGATCACTGATTGAATGAAATCCTTTCCTGTTGACTGAATTTATTGTGTGAAGGTGCTTTTATTACGATGTGGTGAAATCTACGGCTCCAATTATGTTTGGGAATCCGGCAATAGCGTGAAATCCTCGTTTTATTTGGGCTTGTTGCTGATGTGTGTTTGGGAACTGGATGTAAGCTGAGGTCAGAGAAATTATAACATCAACTCTGCCGACATGATTCTGCTTTGCGTTGGCTGTGAAATGTTGTATATGTCGCCGATCTCAGGCTGAAATGTTCGGGTTAGGATGGATAGGAGCTGGATGGTCACTGGGATGATGGCTTTGGTGCGTTTTGTCTCTTGTTTTAAATCACGGATCATAAATCCATTCAAATGTTTTTGGGGAAGCGGTACCTGGTGAGAATCCACTCTGTGTTCTCACTCAACAGATCAGCATGCTCTTTGAAAACGGGCTCCCTTAGGAGGAGCGGCTTCTTCAAGTCCTCCAATAGTCCAAAATAAGCTATGATACTTGTATTTGTACTTGTTTTTTTTACTTGTTTTTGTATTTGTACTTGTATTTGTACTTGTATTTGCACCTGTATTTGTACTGATATTTGTACTTGTTTTTGTATTTGTACTTGTATTTGTACCTGTATTTGTACTGATATTTGTACCTGTATTTGTACTTGTATTTGTACCTGTATTTGCACTTGTATTTGTACCTGTATTTGTACTTGTTCTCGAACTTGTATTCATTCCTGTATTTGTAATTGTATCTGTACCTGTAATTAAGTGGAAATGTTGATTAGGCATTTCCACTTATTGTTATTCTCCTATTTCTTTATTATTATAATTTTCTTCCGCCGTTTTTTGGCCCGTTATAATCCTTTCTTCAGTTTCTGCGATTTCAACCATTCAAATTTTAAACTATTCCACTCCTTCAGAACATGTGCGGATGTATTTTAATTTTTTCTACCCTTTATAGTTTTTGATTTTTTTAACTATTTGTGCTAAAATTTTAACATTGAAGTCAATGGGGAAATCTTCCAATTCTTCAACCTTCTGAGCCTTATAACTTCAGCATACTTAGAGACCTCCTTTTTGCTTTAAAATGTTCATTAACTTGTAGACTATTAATGTTGTATTCAATTTTTTGATATCTTTTACACTTTTCCCACAATTTAGCTTTAAGCAACTCATGGTTTTCAGCAAATTTCAGGCTTTATAATGGGTATGTATTGGAAGAGCTAGAGTGGAGAGCTCCTCTTTTATCGACAGAACCTCGCTCGAATATATCGCTCCCACGCCCACAAATTTCACTCCACAGCCATAAGAAATACATCAAAATGGAGGAAAATAAGTCCTGCTTCTCACAAAAGAGGTTTCAACTCATTCAATCGTACCCCTTGGCCAGCAGGTGACCAGTTGTCCAAAAAGGCAGAGATTCTTATCTTCCACCATAATGTAATCTTTCTCTCAGAAAATCCTGATCATCACTCAGGCTCAACACTTGTTTAACTCGCCGCATTTTTTAGAGTACAGACATGAAAAACACATCATTGTGTTCATGAGGGGCGGAGGATTCAAACGATGTTCTTATTGTAATTTAAGGAAATCGTGCTATCTGAAGAAGTTTAGAGGCCCTAAATTCACTGCAGTTAGGCAGCTTCTCATTCAAACAGTTGATCAGTTAATGCCTATCTCCACCCACAAACTTTGAGCTACAGAAACTATTCTAGGCTTGAAAAATTCAGCTTATTGAGGACACTTTGGGGTGTTTTAAGGATTGTGATAATAAATTGTAATAATGTGTTCAGCAGAGTCTTGTGGTTCTCACAAGCTCCTTATCATGAATATATACAGAGGTTGACCATCAGGGCCTAGTTGGAGAGCTATTTCCTCGGTTTCAAGCCTCCTCTCTTCTGCTGCAGTGACACATCTTCCTTCGCCATGGTACCCAATTAGTGCGCCTGGAGACACACAGCTGACTGGAAAGCTGCTTTTAACGGCCATATGAGACACATGAAACCAGGCTCAGCATTTGGGATTTAGAGACCATTCAGGGCTCCAAAAATTCAGCTCATTGAGGACATTATGTGGTGTATTTAGGATTTTGTTAATTAATTGGATCAATGTGTTCAGTAGAGTATTGCAGTTCTCACTAGTTCATTATCATGATACAGAAGATGAGCATCAGGGCATAGTCTGAGATTTTGTTACTCAGCTTCAAGCCTCCTTTCTCCTGCTGTAGTGATGCATCTACGGTCCCCATGGCAATCAATCAGTGCATCTGGAGACACACGGTTGACTGAAAAGCTGCTTCTAACAGCCATATGAGACACATGAAGCCAGGCTCAGTACACAGAGCACTAGGGGTTACATTTAAATCCCTTCATGAGAGCGCTTTACAAACTTCAGACCCTATCTCCTCCCACAAACTTTGACCTACAGAAACCATTCAGGGCTCCAAAAATTCAGCTCATTGAGGACATTATGGGGTGTACCCAGGATTTTTACTCATTTAAATTTTCCGCACTTCAAAATTAATCCCGTTATTAATACATTAATCAATTAATGAATTCTTCAGACAAATTTAAACTCATTCAAGCTGATTTAATCCTAATACTTCAAACTTGTCTAATACTTGAGGAAAGTTTTCCCATTTTAAAATCATTCTCATTATTTTGCATTTTTTAATTCTTCAAACAGATTCCCAGTTTTACTACTACAATTACTACTTATATCACTTTAACTTGTATCTTCACTTCTACCTCCACTACTCTTGCTTCTCTAAATATTTTTTTATGGCGTCTCTAACTTTTACTGCCACTATTACTTCTACCACGAGCTTTACTACTTTGATTTCTACTTCTTCTATTCTAAAACTACTTCTACTGCTTACATGACAACTAATATCACTATTACAACTACTTATTATCATACTACTTCTAGTACTACAACTTAAACTTATGCTACTTCTCACTTTTCTGTGTTTTAAGGTCATTTTCTTCCTTATCCAATTTTTTTTTGCAATTTCAGACAGTTTTTCTAGCCTTATTCAGCATGAATGCAATTTTAATTTATGAAGCACATTCATACTATTTGTACTTCAACAATTTTCACTTTCATCCAACTTGCTCTACTTCTTCTTCAGCCCTTTAACCAATTTTACATTTAAACCTTCCTCCATTTTTTTTAGCAGTTTAGCATTGCTTCTTCAGCTTTCAGCACTCAGCATTTCCACACATTTTCTGCAAGGAAATGCAATTTTTCTAGCTGTACTTGTATTCGTACTGATATTTGTATCTGTATTTGTACTTGTAAGACTTCTTCTGATGTTGTCCTGTCTCAGCTGATTTTATAGCTTGTCACACCAATCATTCAAAATGTCTGATCAATAACTAATTGATCAATTTCATACAGAGGGAACAGAGAACATGTGTGAAGTTTGAGATTGCTAAACGCTGTGACTCCTTTAATGGGTTCTAGTCTTAGTTTCACTGTTCTGCCACTAGGGTTTATGTGTAAGTGTGCTCAGAGTTGGGCTTCAATGTACTCACATTCCTAAGAACAAGTACAGGTTGATCAGACTTTAGGTGGGAATGTTCGTACAAACTCATTACAAAAACACATCTGTACAAACGCAGCGTTGATAAATGAGGACCCTTGAGTGTGGACTAACTCTGTGTGTGTGTGTGTGTGTGTGTGTGTGTGTGTGGACTGACATCGACCAGGTAGTCGAAGAGCCGGGTGTACAGGGCCTTGGACAGGGCGTCTCTGGAGAAACAGGCCTGCTCGGTGTTCAGGGTGACGGAGATGGACTCGGTCTTGCCGCCCCACTTACTATCCATGATCCTGCTGGTGAGTTTACTGCAGAGACCGTCCTGTGGGATCCCCAACAGGAAAGCCGGGAACGCCAGGACTGACGAGGACACACAGAGAGGTTACAGCTGAAATAATAAGCTCAAAAGTTGTGGGTTGTATAGAATCAGCTGTGACCTTATGACCTCTGACAGTGGATGCCATAAGCATTGATCATCCTTTTAACGATAACCTCCTGTCATTGGCTGGGGTTTGTTAGGCAGCAGGTGAACCTGGGTCAGAGTCACCATAGACACATGTGACCACCCAGGACCTGTCATGTAACACGTAGAAAAAGTGACCATTGTGGACCAGCTGCAAATACCAGGGACAAAAGGGACCATCGCTGACCCCTTACCCGGGATTTCCACCACATCTGGAACGGCAGCAATTTTCACCGTACGCCAATTCCTACTGGATTCGTTTGTGAGACGAATTTCATGGCAGATTCGGGACAGCGGTAATCGCGAGAACTCACAAGAACCTGCGGATTCACGTTCAATCGCAAGATAACGAGTTGTCTCTATAAAGACAGCCACATAGACATATAAGCAGTAGATTGTGTCCTTCCAGAGGAGAAAATCTACTTCTAGACTTCTAGAATCAGCATCTCCTCATCCATAGTGTCATCGGGGTGAAATGACGTCTAAAAACCTTTCACTTGTTCGTCTCCGCGCATTTGCATGGTGTGAAATACGATCCTCCTGAAACACAGAGTGTTTTGTTTTGAAAAGAAGCCGGATGTTTTATTTTGTGTCTGTGCCCGACTTCCTTTCCAGCACGGGTTAATCTGTGCCAAACTTTATCCAGCATGCTCTGGCATCCAGAAAAAATAGAACCCTTCAATCAGCTGTGGGGTCTGGCAATCCGCAGAGGAACGGAAAGAAGCCGGTGGAAATTGACACGTTAACTTGAATGGTTACGATCAGCTACGATCGGAGGATACAACCTTTTCATAGATGTTCAGGATGAGGTGGAAATTGGGGGTTATGGACCACAGCAGACCTGAGGCTAAAGTCCCGGGAATCATAAAGGGACCACCATCGGTCCAAAAGGACTTTCCCTTTGGGGATCAATACAGTTCTACGATTGTAAAAAACAGGCAGGGGTGTCATCCTTGTCCTACCAGTCAGAGTCTCTAAAATAAACACATGAGCATCAGAACTGGACCAGAACCAAAGACAGTGGCCTGGAGAAAACTGACAACATGGTCAACCAGTTACTTTGCCTCCAAATCTCCCAGATCTTAATCCAGTCCAGAATCTATGGGATGAGCTTGACACTAACTTTGTTCACATCTTAAGTAAGGAGCACACAAAGAATTTTAGGGGCACAATGAAAATTGATCAAATAATGTGTGTCTTATTGTTCGACCTTAGTACTATTATTAGAAATCAATTTTAGGTCAATTGGTCACATGACATGGAAGCTATTGAAGGAAAACAGCCTTTTCTGAGAATATCAACTGGTAATTTATTGATGGTCCCTTATTCAACACCCGACGTTGACAGCTATAGAAGCGATTGTGACTCATATCTCAAATTCAAAAGCATTAGCAGAAATGCTTTTTCATTTCAAAGTCATGGCTGCACTATTTGACTCAAAAATAAAAATAAATAGCAATATTCCAAAATGCATTTTCATTTTCTTCTTCAAGACTGCTCACTTTGTGACTAAATTAAAAAGCAAAAGCAAACACTTGGTGTTAACGAAGATATATTGCAAATATTTCCTCCTTTAATGTGGAAAAAAATCGATGGATTTGAGATATTTTGCAAATAAACAAATTTTTATTTGTTGAGGAGCACCTGTACTGAAATCCCAAATCCATCGATCAGTGATGAGAACAATGAGGAGTATGAAGTCCGTTTGTCCGCTGAAACAGATAGCCTACTTTGAAATGAAAAAGCATTTCTGCTAATGCTTTTGAATTTGAGATATGAGTCAAAATTGCTTCCATAGACAGCAAGGGTGCTGAGTAGATTTAACCGCACTGCTGTTGTTATTCCCGGTTGTGATATTTTTTTGTAGGATGGTAAGGGAAAGTCCCACCTCCTTCGCTTCTGATTGGCTCGAAAATCTGGAAATGTCATCACACGCTCAAGCCAAACGCAGACTGTTGGTTCTGTACATCGAACAGAACATTACAGAACATTATCGCACTTCTGAATCTCCTAACCCGACAGACAATGACATTTCACAGCCATAAGGAATAACCGATCAGAGCCTAGCACTTCTAGCATATCAGGCCCTATCGCATATCAGGCGAGACCTTCCCCTACCGTCCTACAAAAAAAAATCACTTCCCAGTTATGGACAGTGAGAAGACACCGGTAGATCCTCAGTGAATTTCCTTCTAATATCCAACCTAAAACTAACTTCACTGCGTATTTACAGGAAAAAAAAAACATTTGTTGATTTTTTTTTTATGCGTACATGTGACCCTAAATACATTTTTTAATTCGCACACATCTATTTTTAGTTGCAAATGAGAGTGAAACGGTTGCACTGTCGAGGCCTGTATGGAATGAGCTGGACCAGCAAGTTTGAACCATTAAGGACCCACCCATAACCTCCAGAACAGACGGTTCCTCATGTGGACCTCTTGGTGCCAAATACCACAGAACACCCTTAGAGGTCTGGTGGAGCCATCTCATCAGGTAAAGGCTACTTTGGCCCAAACCTGATGTGAAGGGGGTCCACACCATCTGAGTCAGGTGGTCCTAAAGTCTCAGCTGATTGGTGTAAAGAGTGTGTCCTCACAGTCCTGACTCTCCACCGCGGCGTAGTTGTTCTCCTCTCTGAAGCTGATGTTCCCCAGGTGGAGGATTCCTGCAACCAGCTGGAGGACCGAGTCCTGATCGTCCACAGACAGACCCACTACTGACATAGCCTCCTGAGGGACAGACAGACAGTCAAAGAGACAGTCCAGGAAAGACCCACTACTAACAAAGGCTCCTGACAGACAGATGAGTACAGACCATAGTATCAGAGAACTCCTTCTTGTCGTTGACGTCCTCCACCGTGTACGTTCCTGATTGGTTCAGGTAGAAGTAGTAGTCAGGGGTCGTGACTCCAAGGTTCTCTCTTTGCTCCCCGCTTGCCCCCTCCAACAGCTGAGGTCAGAGTTCACAGAGAGGTCACAGAGGTCACAGAGAGAAGGTAACAGAGTCTCAGTTTTCAAAAACCAGAACCTGGAAAAATCCAGACAGCAGATCCTGAACCCAACTAGACCTTGAACTTTTCAGGAACTGCTGATCTCATGTTGACCAGGACTGGGTCTCTGCATTAGGACTGGGTCTCTGTCTGAAGACCTGGTCCAGCAACCCCCTCAGACTGTACCTGGTAATAGATGTGGAAGTTTCTCTCTCCAGGATTCTGCGAGACGACTCGACTCTTCTCCAGAAGAAAGTTGGAGATTTTCCCTCCATCAGGCGCTCCTCCTCGACTGAACTGGATCTCAAAGTATTTACCCTGAAGAGTGTGTGTACACAGGTTGGTAGACAGGTTGGTATTGTACAGTAATACTGCAATAGAGTTTGTATTTGTACTTGAAACTCACAAATCTGCTGGAGTTGTTGTTGCGGACCGTCTTGGCGTTACCGAAGGCCTCCAGCAGAGGGTTGGACTGCAGGATGATGTCTTTAACATGCTGAGCTCGCGCGCACATGCACACGCACACGCACATGCACACACACACACACACACACACGCGCACACACACACACACACACACACACACACACACACACACACACACACACACACACACACACACACACACACACACACACCTCAGTCCTCTTATCTTCAGAATCAGAGGACTTTAGGAAGTACCAGTACAGTGCATTCGGAAAGTTTTCATACCACTTCACTTTTTCCACATTTTGTTACGTTACAGCCTTATTCCAAAATGGATTAAATTCCTTTTTTCCCTAAAAAATTCTACACAAAATAATCTATAATGACAAAGTGAAAAAACGTTTTTTTTCCAACATTTTGCAAATTTATTAAAAATAAGACACTCAAATGTTGCATATAGATAAGTATTCACACCTTTTGCTATAAAACGAAAGTTACGTATGTAACTAAGGTTCTATGAATCCCGAATGACCACCAGAGGCGGTGCTTTAAGCACTGAATGATTCCCTTCGCACATGCTCAGTTCGAGCATTTGTACCAAAATAGTCACGCGTGACCCCGGGATGAACCGGCAGAGGTTATTTATTCCACCAGTCACCGAGGGTTCAGTCCCTACAGAACTTTCTCGCAAGAACACAAGGGTTCTGAGTGACGAAGTGCTCTGGCGGTCAATCAGGATTCATAGAACCTTAGTTACATACGTAACTTTCGTTCTATTTCGTCCCTCCTGACCGCCAGAGGCGGTGCTTTTAGCACTGAATGACTTATACCAGCAAAGTCACGAGAAACCCCAATTATAAACCTCAGAGGGCGGAATCGGAGGACTCTGGAAGGAGAACCACACCCAATGGGTGGGGAGTGGCCGCATTCACCCTATAGAATCTTGAGAACGTGCCTGATGACACCCACGAGGCAGCGGAGCAGATCTCCTCGAGGGGAACTCCCCTAAGGGCCGCCCATGAAGTGGAGACACTCCTCGTTGAGTGGCACTGTATCCTGGATGGCGTGGGATGGTTACTAGCCTGATAGGCGTGGCTGATCGTGTCTACGACCCAGTGGGACAGGCGCTGCTTAGAAAGAGTGCTGCCTTTATTTGGGCCACCATAACACACAAATAGCTGATCCGACCGGCGAATACGCGCAGTGGCTCCAATATAGGCCCTGAGGGCCCGCACCAGGCACAACAGCTCCAGCTTGTCTGTCCTCTCTCCCGGCGGAGGGCTAAACTGTGCCAGCCTAATAGGCTTGTTCAGGTGTGTCGTCAACAGTACCTCTGGTAGGAAGGCCGTGTTGGGCCATAGAGTGACACCTGAACCCTCTGGGTTCAATTCTGTGCGTGACAAGGGTTCAAAAGGAGCCTTGCATAGGGAGTCCAGTACGAGACTGAGGTCCCATGCTGGTGCTCTTGGGGCTCTCGGAAGATTTAATCTCTGAGCCCCCCTGAGAAAGAGCGACACCAGACGGTGGCTCCCCACTGTGCAGTTATTGACCCCAGTGTGCTGGGAGGATATTGCTGCCACGTACACTCTTAACGTCGAAGGGGTCCGGCCCTTATCGAGGAGACCTTGCAGGAGCTCCAGGATTGCGGGCACCGGGCAGTGAACTGGGTCCCTGCCCCGGTCCCTACACCAGTTAGAGAACAGCTCCCACCTGTTCTCGTACTGCAGCCTGGTGGATGGTGCCCTCGCGTTCAAGATGGTATGTTGAACCGTCTCTACACAGCCGCTCAGCAGCGGCTCGGGCCCCCCAACGGCCAAACGCACAGCTGGAGGCGTTGTGGGTCTGGATGCCATAACCGCCCCCCTAGCTGCGAGAGCAGGTCCGTCCTGGCAGGGAGGCGCCATGGCGTCCCGTGACAGAGTTGGTGGAGGAGGGGGAACCATATTCGCCCTCGCCAGAAAGGGGCCACCAGGAGAACGGTGTGGCCCTCTTGAGCTACTCTCTGAAGGACCTGGTGAATTAGAGGGAGAGGTGGGAAAGCATAGAGAAGTGCCCTCGGCCAGGGGTGGGAGAACGCGTCTTGGCCCAGAGGGCTGGTTGTCTCCGCTAGGGAGAACCAGAGCGGGCAGTGGGTCGACGCCTCTGAGGCGAAAAGTTGGCCCCTTGCCCTGCCGAAGCGGCTCCATATGGTGTGCACCACGTCTGGGTGAAGGTGCCATTCTCCTGATGGAGGCTTCTGGCGGGAGAGAAGGTCTGCCACCTGGTTCTGCTCTCCTGGTATATGCACGGCCCGCAGGCTCATCAGGCGAGGGGCTGCCCACGTCAGGAGGTCCATTGACGCCTGTAGCAGCCGCGCAGATATTGTACCGTCCTGATGGTTTCTGTGGTATACGGTCGAAGTATTGTCCGACCGACAAGAACATGTTTGCCTGCCAAGTAAGGCAGAAAGTGCCTTAGGGCCAAGTGCACCGCTTTTAGCTCCAGCACATTGATGTGGTTGCTGTGGTCTGCCACAGACCACTGTCCTGCCCTGCCACACTGCGCCCCAGCCCAAGGGGCAGGCGTCCGTGGCAACGGTCTCCCTGCGGGATGGGACGGCCCCCATAGGGACACCCCTTACAATGTAGGCCCTGTCCCTCCATGTGGCTAGGGCAAGGAGGCACTGCCGTGACACGACAATCTTCCGGTGCCTGTGTCGCTCTGGGTCTAGGTGGAAACTGTTCAGCCACCTTTGCAGGGGCCATAGCGCCAGCAGGCCCAGCGGCACGACGGCCGCAACGGACGTCAGCGGAGGCGGAGGAAGGTGAGGAGCGGCAGTTGCCTGCCTCTCTTGAAGGCTGGCAACAGCCTTAAGATGCCGTCCACCCGACTGGGGGACGGACGTGCCACCATCGTTCTGGTGTTTAGGGCCAGACCAATAAAGGTTATGGTCTAGAACAGTGCCAGGCAGCTTTTCTCTGCATTTACCTTGAGTCCGAGGCTCGCCACATGGGACAGGAGGTGTGATGTCTCCCTGGCTGCCTGCGCCTGGGACGGAGCGCAGATCAGCTAATCGTCCAGATATGGCAGTATCTTGGTGCCCTGGGACTGCAGAGGTTGGAGTGCAGCTGCCACTACCCTGCTGAACACTCTCAGGGAGGGGGAGAGCCCGAATGGGGGCACACGGAATTGCCAGTGGCGGCCTCTGTAGGCAAATCGCAGGAACCGGCGGTGTTGCTTCGCAATGGGAACATGAAAGTAGGCGTCTTTCAGGTCAACAGATGTGAACCATTTGTTGCGGACAATGGACTGTAGCACACCCGCTGTAGTCAGCATATGAAAAGGCAAGGTCTTTAAGTACCTGTTCAGTCCCCTCAAGTCCAGGATGGGCCGGAATCTGCCAGTCTTTTTGGTGACGAGGAAGTATGTAGAGTAGAACCCCCTGGAATGCAGCAGCGGGTCCACTGCCTCGATGGCACCCTTGGCCAGGAGGGCGGATAGCTCCTGGTGGAGAGCGAGGGCTTTTGCCGGGTCGGCAATGATGGTAATCCTGACCCGGCTGGCTGTGGGGGGCTGGCGTCGGAACTGCAGCTTGTACCCGTGGGTTAAGGTGGTAAGAACCTATGGGTCTGCAGCTTGAGCAGCCCAGCGTCTGAGCTGCTGCTGTGTAAAATATCCGACGGCCGGTCCCCCGGGCTCAGCGTCTGCCCTGCCGTCCCCTAGGGGCCCTGGAAGCGGGGGGTCCACCAGGGTCCGGGGCTCGAAACTGCCTAGAAGGCAGGCGGCCGGAGTCCCAAGAGTCCCGGGTCTGCCTCTGCGTAGGCCGCTGAGGCCGCTGACCCCTACTCTGAGCTAGTGGCAGCCGGACTCCAGAGGCAGCTGGGGGGCCCCTGACCCTGCCAGAGGGAGGCCTGCTGGGGGGTGGCATGCAGCGCATACTCAGCAGCTGCTGCCTGGTCTGCCCGGCCTGGATCGTCTGCTCCAGCGCCTCTTGAGCACGTGGGCCAAAAAACGCTCCTGGCTCCACAGGGAGAGCCCGGAGCGTTTTCCTGGACGCCTCAGTCAAGCCCGACTGGGAGAGCCAGACCTGGCGTCGAGCCTGTACCAGGTAGGACATTGTCCTTCCAAGCTCTCGCGACATAAGGCCGAATGCCTCTAGTGCCGCGTCACAGAAGGTGACAGGTTCCTCGTTAGTGTAGCCCTCCTGCAGAGATGCTGACAGGGCAAGCAGGAGGTGTGACAGGGAGTTCCCAATCCTAGCAGCACGTGCTGCCGCATCGTAGCTCCTGATGAGCAGGTCGTCCGTTAGCCTGCACTGTGGACGGGGATACCTAGTATCCCGTCGCAGAGCCTCGTCGGGGGAGACAATAAGTGACGCAATGCTGGGCTCAATGGCCGGCATGTGATCCAGGCCGACCCCTGCAGTGTCATGCATTGCCGCCAGGGTACGACCATCTGCTGAGAGGCGGGAGCAAGCCTTGTAGTCTCTCCAGCAGGCATGCAGCTCCTTTATATAGTCCTCTGCATGCGGGACAGCGAATGCAGTGGAGGTTGGCCTGCGCCTGAAGAAGGCGCTCGCAGGGGCTGGCTCCGCCTGCCGTGGTATAGGCAGACCTAATCGCTCCAAGGCCATTCGCAGGATGGCGCGCATGGAGCCGTCCTCCTCTGGCAGCAAAGTCTGAGCTTAGGAGTGAGAGCCCTGATCGGACACCTGAGAGACCCCGTCTCCCTCGCCGCCATCAAGGTCACCATACTCGTGAAAGTGAGTAGCCGATGCCGCTAGGGAGAGTGTATCCTCCTCCGGGACTAGGAGTGGCATGGGCGGAGTGGGCCCCCCGAGCCTCCTCCGAAGGGGACCCAGGCTGGTGGGCTTGAAGCATGGACCTCATGCAGTCCAGCTCGGCAGAGAGCTGCTCCACCTTTAATGAAAGGCGGGAGCGGTCAGACCTCGACGTTCTTTTGGAAGTGGGGGCAGCAGTGGCTGCGTGGGCCCGGCGTTTTGAGCGCCTGGTCCTGGGCGTGGATTCTTGGCCCGATGGGGGGAGGTCATCGCCACCTTGTGGCGGATCTACCTCCGCCAGCCTGGCCAGCCTTGCCGCCCGAGGCATGTAGCTGCAGTTCATGCAGGGGTCCCCCTCAAGTGCCTCCCTGAGGTGTTCGGGTCCAAGGCAGGCTAGGCAGAGGTCATGTCCGTTGTCTGGCTGGAGGTCAGCCTGACATGAAGAGCAGTAGTGGGCGCTATCTATCGCACCGAGCAGTCCCAACTAGGCCAGGGCGCTGACGCTACTGGTTGCTGGGCAATTGACGCCGTGAGCTGTGGAAGGGAGCGCGAACGCTGCCTGCGCCAGCGGAGGCTAGCTTTAGCTGGATGGAAGGTTGCTTATACTGGGGGGGAGGGAGCGCGAATGCTGCCTATACCAGTACGGAGTTGCAATTAAGCTGACAGTAATAAAATCAATCAAAAAAATAAACAAATAAGCAAATAAATAAGTAAATAAATAAGGCTATTCAGCAAACAGAAGAGCACTTAAAGTGACCAGGGGCGCTAACGCAACTGGCTATAATGGTCAAAGCCAACAAAATAATGCTATTCAGCAAAAGAGCACTCAAAGTGACCAGGGCGCTAACGCAAGTGGTTGTAATGGTCAATGCCAACAAAATAATGCTAACCAGCACAAGAGCACTTAAAGTGACCAGGGCGCTAACGCAACTGGTTATAATAATGGCCGACACCAAACAAATACAAAGCTATTCAAAAGGGCACTTCTGATGCCTAGCGCTAGTGGACAAAAGACAACTATACAACACAATGGTGATTTAGTACAGCAAAGGAGAGTGGGGCAGCGTTCTAACCGCTTACACCACTGAGGCCGACTACAACAACGATAGCGTCGGCTGCCGCCGGATGGCGACACCACGTACCAGCACGAGGAGAACTAGCTTTGGCCTTGGTTTTTTCTTTTAACAAAAAGAACGAAACGGGCAGACTTTTAGCTACAGCAAGTAACCGAAGCGTTACGCTTACATTCACGGTACTCAACCATATGCAGGGGGGAAACGGTGCGCACACAGCCTCTACCAGCATAGGTTGTGACTTGTAAAACAATGCAAGTCTGCTAAACAGGCTTAATGCAACAGCAACCTACCTTGTCCGGAGGAGAGGGGGACGACGACCCTTCCTTACCGGGCGAACGCCACAGCATCCGACGAAGTTGGTGAAGCTCCGCTCAGTCGGAGATAAACAGTAGAGATAAGGAAACAACTCAAAGGAAGTCACAGTCCCTGGAGGGTGATTTTCGCTACCCCGACCTATGGCCACGGGACTACCAGCGACTTCACACACAGATTAAGGTAGGTTTGTTAGAAAAATGCCTCTCATTGCAAGTTTGTGACCTGCGCATGAGAAAGAAAAAGGGACTGAACCCTCGGTGACCAGCGGAATAAATAACCACCCCGGTTCATCCCGGGGTCACGCGTGATTATTTTGGTACAAATGCTCGAACTGCGCATGCGCGAAGGGAATCATTCAGTGCTTAAAGCACCGCCTCTGGCGGTCAGAGGGGATGAATTCAAAATTAGGCTCAGGTGCATCCTGTTTCCACTGATCAGCCTTGAAATGTTCCTCCAACTTGATTGCAGTCCACCTGTGGGAAATTCAGCTGATTGGACATGATTTGGAAAGCCACACTTGTCTATATAAGATCCCACAACTGGCAGAGCACGTCAGAGTACAAACCAAGCCATGAAGTCGAAAGAATTTTCTGTAGACCTCCGAAACAGGGTTGTATCAGCGCACAGATCTGGGGAAGGTTACAGAAAAATATCTGCTTCATTGAAGATCCCAAAAAGCACAGTGGTCTCCATCACTAAGAAATGGAAGACATTTGGAACCACCAGGACTCTTCCTAAGCTGGCTGCCCAGCCAAAATGAGCAAGCGGGGGAGAATGGCCTTGGTCAGGGAGGTGACGAAGAACCTGATGGTCACTCTGACAGAGCTCCAGCGTTCCTCCGAGGAGATGGGAGAACCCTACAGAAGGATCACCATCTCTGCAGCACTCCACCAGTCAGGCATTTATGGTAGAGTGGCCAGACAGAAGCCACTCCTCAGTAAAAAGCACATGACAGCCTGCTTGGACTTTGCTAGAAGGCACCTGAAGGACTCACAGACCAGGAGGAACAAAATTCTCTGGTCTGATGAAATGAAGATCAAACTCTTTGGCCTGAATGCCAAGCGTCATGTCTGGAGGAAACCAGGCACCGCTCACCACCTCGCCAATACCATCCCTACAGTGAAGCATGGTGGTGGCAGCATCATGCTGTGGGGATGTTTTTCAGTGGCAGGAACTGGGAGTCTTGTCAGAATCGAGGGAAAAATGAATGCAGCTAAGTACATCGAAATCCTTGATGAAAACCAGCTCCAGAGCGCTTCACTGGGGCGACGCTTCATCTTCCAGCATGACAATGACCCTTAGCACACAGCCAAGAAGACAAAGGAGTGGCTTCAGGACAAGTCTCTGAATGTCCTTGAGTGGCCCAGCCAGAGCCCAGATTTGAACCCGATTGAACATCTTTGGAAAGACCTGAAAGTAGCTGTGCACCGACGCTGCCCATCCAACCTCACTGAGCTTGAGAGGATGTGCAAGGAAGAATGGGAAAAACTCCCCAAATCAAGGTGTGCCAAGCTTGCTGCATCATACACAAGAAGACTGGAGGCTGTAATCGCTGCCAAAGGTGCTTCGACCAAGTATTGAGTAAAGGGTGTGAATACCTATGTATATGCAACATTTTCTTATTTTTAATAAATTTGCAAAATGTTCTAAAAAAAAGTTTTTCGCTTTGTCATTATTTTTGTGTAGAATTTTTTAGGGGAAAAGGGAATGTAATCCATTTTGGAATAAGGCTGTAACATAACAAAATGTGGAAAAGGTGAAGTGGTATGAATACTTTCTGGATGCACTGTACCTCTGAGCGGTATTCTGTATCCTCACCTGGACTTTGTCTCCGCCTCCAGACACTTTGGACACGTAGCTCATGATGTATTTGGCGGCGACAGTTTTCCCTGCCCCGCTCTCTCCGCTGACAGAGACACAAAGATTAACGATGATACGGTGACACTGAAACCTGCAGAGCGCCTCTAGAAACACGACAGAGTTCAGCTTTTCCTGTTTTCTGAGGAGGGCGGAGCTTCTGTGATCATCTCTGCAGGCTGCTGTCAATCAAATCTAACGACCTAACCACAGATCAATCATCATTACAGTTCAAGTGTTTGATTAGCCTGGTCTGACAGGTAGAGCCAATCAGGAGCTGTGATTGTGTCAAAGTCCCACCTGATGATGACACACTGGTTCTCGCTGTCAATCATCATGTTCCTGTACATGTTGTCAGCCAGAGCATAAATGTGGGGGGGGTTCTCATACTGAGCCTGGAGGGGGTGGAGACACGGTTTAGGTCATGTGTTCGTGTGTGTGTTCGTGTGTGTGTGTGTGTGTGTGTGTGTGTGTGTGTGTGTGCTCTCACAGCTCCCTGGTACAGCTCCACCTCTCTCTCGGTGAAGTACGGCAGCTGTTTGAAGGGGTTCACTGAGATCAGAACCGGACCGATGTAGGTCTGACAGGAAGAAACGATTAAGGGCGAAAACGTTTGAACCCTGACTGAATAGAGAGCAGCTGATTGGTGGTTTATGTCCGATCAGTCACCAGCATAGAGAAGTAAAGAGACATGGAGTAAATCTGAGGCTTTGTTCAACTGTTTCAATAAGTTAATTTGAAATCAATAAAATAATCTTCTTATCAATTCTCAGCATTACTTTGTATCTAAATTTTGTAGTTGGTTATAAATGGGAAAACGTTCAGTGAGCGGGTAGTTATGCAAAATGGAATATCTCCTCACGCTATGCAATCAGGTCTTGTCTAACCCTGTCAATGAGTAGAGTAGAGTATAGTATAGTACAGTATAGTGTAGTATAGTATAGAATAGTATAGAATAATATTGTATAATATAGTAGAGTACAGTAAAGTGAAGTATAGTTTATAGTATAGTGTAGTATAGTACAGTATAAAATAGTATAATATAGTATAGTACAGTATAGTATAGTATGGTACAGTATAGTATAGTATAGTATAGTGTAGTATAGTACAGTAAGGTGTAGTATAAAATAGTATAGTATAGTATAGTATAGTGTAGTATAGTATAGTTTATATTATTATAGTATGGTATCGTATAGTACAGTATAGTGCAGTATAGTGCAGTATAGTGCAGTATATAAGAGTAAAGTGTAGTATAGTACAGTAAAGTGTAGTATAAAATAGTATAGTATAGTGTAGTATAGTATAGTTTATATTATTATAGTATGGTATCGTATAGTACAGTATAGTGCAGTATATAAGAGTAAAGTGTAGTATAGTATAGTGTAGTATAAAATAGATTAGTATACTATAGTGTAGTATAGTGTAGTATATAATATTATATTATAGTATAGTACAGTATAGTGTAGTATAGTATAGAATAGTGTAGTATAGTGCGGTATATTACAGTACAGTGTAAAATTGTATAGCATAGTATAGTGTAGTGTAGTATAGTATAGTATTTAGTAGTATAGTATTTAACAGTATAGTATGTTATGGTATAGTATAGTATTTAGTCGTATAGTATTTAATAGTATAGTATAGTATAGTGTGGTACAGTATAGTATAATTTTGTATAGTGTAGTATATTATGTTATAGTATAGTATATAATAGTATAGTATAGTATAGTATACTATAGTATAGCACAGTACAGTAAAGTATTAATGTCACTTTATTTTAACATTATTTTGAAATCATTCCTAAAGAATCTTTACATTGACCAACATTATCCTTATGTTATCCCTACATTATCTCATACATAAATTATCCTTTTATGTCATTAACATTATCTTTACAGTTACCTTTTGACCATTCTAAAGAACATGGATCACCCATTGCACAACACCTTGACGGACCAAAGGGCCAATGGTGGTGGACGGCTCCTCCCTCTTCAGTGCAGGACAAAAAGATTCAGAAAATCTTTTGTACCAACAGCCATCAGGCTTTATAACTCTTGTGTAAAAAGTAGATAACTTTTAGAGACATATTAAGTGAGACACCAGACAATCCCCTTCGGGGATTAATTAAGTTATTCTTATCTTCTTATCTTATCTTACATTATTCCAACATTAACCCTCCATTATCTGCACATGAAGCTGTGATCGAGTCCTTTTGGCTGCCATGGTGAACAGTGATCTTTTTTTTTTAAGTCCATTTTGGACTTTGGTATTTGGATGTTGGCATGTTGTACTTGTTCTGAAACTGGACTGAGTAATTGTACACAGTGATGGCACTGAAGTACTGCGTAAAGGATACAAAGATGTAGTCGTCATTGTATCTCTTCTTCAGGTTCTCTGTGATGGCGTCCTCGTTGATCTTAGACAGCAGCACCATGTCGTCCACGCCGCTCACCTTCACATTCTGAGCCTGCCAATGGTAACGCTCCTTACTGCCCTATAGGAGTGGGGCATAGAGGCACGGAGAGACAGAGGTTTACACAGTTCCAGTGTATAATGTAGCAGACACTTAAAACTAAGGAGACAGGAAAGAGGACAAGGAAGAGAGACAAACTTTAATCAGTGTGAATAAAACCTAAAGGGTTGAAGTGAAAACTCCTGACTGGAGCGTTAAAACAGACCAACTCTGACAGGACCGATCTTTGGGTTTATGGGACGTTCTGATTCGTCCGCGTCTCTCTCTCTCTCTCTCCTAAATTCCCAGCATTCCTCTGTCCTGCAGGATCATGTTAAGGAGAAGCCGCCCTGACACGCTCGCCTCCACACACACACACACACACACACACACACACACACACACACACACACACACACACATACACACACACACACCTGAGTGTGTGCATTGCTGTTTTAAGCTCTTTCAACACACTCCTCCTTTGTCCTGGTGTTTCTCACTGCAGGTTTCCCTCCACCCGTTTGATCTGGACGGTTATCATCTCTGAGTCTGCTGGTTTGAAATCATTTTGTACCTGATGATGATGATGATGATAATGAAAATACCTGCAGATCAATTTTTGAACTCAATCAGCTGATATTGAAATCAGTGGCATCCACTAATCACAGCTGACCCCTCCCACCTTTACAGACAAACACTGCCTCTTCTCAGAGCCGCAGTTAACCCGTTAACAGGAGTCAGAACATGTTGGATCTGTATGCGGAGCTCAAACTGGAGCTAATATTATTATTATTATTATTATTATTTATTTTCTATATTAATATTAATATTTTAATATTTAATATCTTTATCGTTTTTATTCTCATCCTGATGGATTGGATTTGATCAACAGCTGACATGAAAACACAGGAAATTCATGTTTCCATAGTTACGTAGACTCTTCTGCTTCAGAAGAGTCTTCAATCCAAATTTTTTGGATTGAGTCAGAATAATAGAATCAGTCTTTCTCGTTAATAGTAATTTTCTTTATCTCATAATTACTTATTTTCTCGTATTCTTTACTTTCTGGATCATAATTTTGACTTTTTACTCAAAATTGTTAAATTAAAAATTAAGAATAATTGTGTCATATTTTAACTTTTCTCATATTTTTGACTTTTAATTTCAAAATCATGAATTTTTAACTTTTTGAAAATGATTGAGGATTTTGAAATGTTAAATCTGATTACAGTGAGATTTTATCTCATTGTTAAACTCTGTCATGGTTTGATTGATATTGATAATTTCTCATGATTTTTACTTTAATTCTCATTATTATGACTGTAAAAATGCTGCAGGACTACATTTACAGCTCAGTGAGAGTTGAATCTGAGAGTCCTCGTCCTGAAGGATCACACTGGGTCCGGACTTTTAAACATCTTTAATGATGTCTTAAGTTTTAGAGTCTCTGCAGCAGGAGCTCAAATCACCAGGACTGTCCAAGATTATTTTTATTATTAAAAACAATTTAAAATGACGGGATCATCAGTAAATGGTTTTCAGAGTTTGTCTGCAGTCAGTTCTGAAATATTACCAAAACAGAAATCTTTTTAAATGATCATTTCTACTTTTGTTTCTTTGAACGATACAATACACGCACAATCATAGAAATTCTTCACCTGAAGAATTTTTTTTTTTCTTACAGTGTAAAAAAAACTTCCTTTTTTCTGAGCAGGAAACAGATGAGTATGTTTTTTTTTTTAAATGTCTTCAGATTTCTGAATATTGAATATTGGAGATAATGCTGATCATGTTGTAATCTGAGCAGAGAGGATTAAGACTTTCTGGTTTTTAATAATTATTTATCAACGTGAAGCTGCTGGAAAAATAACTGAGGAAAACAAACTAAATAAAAGAAAACCATTATCATAACTTACATCTGGACGACATTCAGGTTTTTGACCCCTCTGGGCTCCTGTACTCGACCAGGATTGGAAAACCGATTACTTACTCACGATCTTTAAACGATGAATTAATCATTTCTACAGACTATTTTAGTTCATATTTATTTAGCATTGTTTAATGTCGTATAAGGAGAAGTTAAATTTCACACTTTGGTCAGGATTATCATCTATAAACGTGATTTTGACCCTTTCTGAACCTCATTAAGTTCTTCAAAGTGATTTAATCTCGTTTTTTAAATAATTTAATGGACATAAATAAAACTTTGATAATCTTTTTTATTTACGGATATTTTTGTTTATCGGGAAACCCCCCCCCCCTTTTTTTTTTTTGCTCAATTTTCTACTTTTTTTCCCCCTCCCAGCCCAAACAGCTGCTGAACCCTGAACCCTGAAACCTGAACCAGAACCCTGCAGGACCAGAACAGGAGCCAGGTCCGAATCTGAACCAGTTTCAGAACCTCTTGGAGAACATGGATCCTGCTCAGATCCAGGACTACAGGTCGTCTTAAATCCTGGTTCGGGTTTTTTTTCAGGTGGTTGAAGGTTCGTGGACTCACCATGTCTGCGGCTCCTCCTGGTCCTTCTCACTTCCTGCTTCAACCAAAAGTTGAGAAATCTTCAGACACTTTCAGGTGGATCCGGATCCAGATTAATTCGGGTTTAACCCGGATCGGATCGGTCCGGTTCGGACGGGTTCTGGTCGCTGGATTCAAACTTTTCTTGAAGATTTTTCAAACATTTTCTCCTCGGCCTATTTTTTTGTCTTATTGACTCCTCCAGGCTCCAAATCTCAACTCTGTGCAGGTGTGGGCAGGTAAAGACCCGGCCCACCTTCTGCGCCGTGAGGAACTCTGGGAAATGGATTCTTGATAGAGCGGAGTAAAGAGCTCTGCTGCCACCTTGCGGTCCGCAGGAGAATCTCTTCACACAACGATGTAGACGGACAGTTTAGTTTTTAACACAGAAATTGTTAATATTTTTTAAACGAGTTTTTTCACCTTTTTTTTTTTTTTTTTAATTTTATCCACTGAAGCTGTTTGTATTTATATTTAGTTTTAGTTCAGGCTGTTTGTATTGTTTAGGTTTAAAGCAGCTCTGTGGTTTTTACAAATGCAGCTCAACAAACTAGAAAACAGTGAAAGTTCAATTTTATTTCATCCGTTTTTGAAGAAAGTGGAAATGTGATTTTTTTTCAGACTCATTACTCACAAACTTGAAATCTTTTCTGTTTTAATTTTGATCATTTTGGCCCACGGCTTTATAAAACTTCCAGAGGGTCTGAGACAAGCTGCAAATATGGGATCTTTAAACGTAACCTAAAAACTAATCTATTTAGCCTGGCTTATATGTAAAGCAGCATTCTTTAATTACTATTATAATTAAAAAAAATTTTTTAGTAAAACTTTTTACCTTATTTTATTAATAAATTCAAGTGTATATTTTATTGTCTGTTTCAGTCTATTTTAATAACTTATTTTTCTTGTCATGATGTAGAAAACTTTGAGCTGCAATTTCATTTGTATGAACAGTGCTGTATAAATAAACTTTCATTGATTGATTGATAAAAGTGATCAGAACATTTAATTTTTAATTTAAGTTGATCTTTATTCACACAGAATCCATCTGTCCTGACTGACTGATTAATTCAGGAAACACAAACACAGTCATGATGCAGACTCCACAGAATGACCGTGTTGATGACCAGCACGCAGATCTGGCAGTTTTGGTGCTGTGGGCGGCGCATCAAGAGCAAGAACACACCAACCTCTTCAGGAAATGGACCACAGCGGCCCTGTTCCTGAAGCCCAAAGGACCCTCTTGTGTCTGACTGTCCTGACCATATACTGTATCTAGAAATGGACGCTGTCTGCCTCCTCTCTAGGTGAAGCCACTCTCAGAACAGTGCCCTCTGGTAACGGTCTGCAGTATAGGTCATAAATCCCGCCTCCTTTATAAATTAATGACACATAATATAAATGTTTCTCCCCCCTGGTTGTGATGTTGACATGTAGTTACTGTCAGACTGGTTTGTGCTCAAGTCCTCTTTTTTCTGTACAGCTCCATTTTTAAAAGTTATTAGTGGGTTCATGTTTTCTATTGATTGACACTTGATACAGCCTATTGGCATTCAGGGATTGCGTAGCTCACCTGGGGGATACGCTGTTTGAGCCGAGCATCATCACAGTGACTCTCCCGCCGAATGCCCACAACGCTACTGCACAGCGCTGGTTTCATGAAATGAAGAAAAATCCTGGAATTACCGAGACATTTTTGGCTTCAAATCCGTATACAGGCGGGAGGAGGAACCAAGTTGTCCATAGTATATACAGTCTGTGGTCCTGACCTGGACCTCTTGGAGACTCTCTGGGATTTCTGTCCGGAGGAGGATAAGAAATTAAGATCCAGACCTGCTAAGGCTGCTGACCGCACTGATCATCTGGTGTGAGCGAGTTTGAGTTCATGGGGAAGGAGTCCAAACTAATCAGACCTTGACGTGTTTTTTAAAATCCTGATTGTTTTTTAAATTGTTGAAATATTAATTACGGAAAGTCTGGTTTCTCTTTAACTTTACTGTTGTCTGAATAAAATCAAATAGTTATCACAGAATGATTAATGAATGATCCTGTGTTTCTGAATGAACATATATTATTGTCCTGCTCTTATATTTATATAAAATTATATTTGAGTCTCAGGTGACGGACATTGACTGTGTTTGATACTCAGTGTTTAAAAAGGATGTGGTGTTTATAAATGAGAAGAGAGAGCGTCTGCAGGTGGACTCTATTTTAATGTTCAAACTGTTCACAGTCACTAAAGAGTTAAAACAGGTAAAAAAAAACACACACTGGTCCTTTAATCTGATCCACACCTGTAAAACAGCCCATCTGCTCCGTGTTCACAGTTCAAACTAAAACTGAGCTGCTCTCTTATTGGCCAAGAGTCCGGCTGAGCGGCCAATCAGGAACATACGCCCAAATATGGAAAGAAAAGGAGACGAAAAAGAGACGCTGTAACAAGAAAACCAACAGAACACCAAGGAAATGATTGACATGAATACCTGACAGAGACACATAAATGAGGGGAGAGGGTCGAATTAAATAATCAACAAAAACGTCAGTCAGTGGAATCAGAGAAGAAGAAGAAGAGGAGGAAGAGGCTGGAGGTCTCTGCTTTGGAGTTTATCAGTCTGTGGACAGTCTCTGTTTGTTCAAGCTGCTCTCACACACAAACATTCACTCATACACACACACACACACACATGCGGGCACACACACACACACACACACACACACACACACACACACACACAGGTTGGGGGTGGGGCCTGGGGTCACATGATGCCGTTGGTGAGGTACTGGAAGCCGTCGTAGAGTTTGGTGGTCAGCGACCTCATGGATCCGTCCACCAGCTGGTCGATGAGGAGCTGCAGCTGCTCCTCCGTCAGGCTCATGTGGAAACGCTCCTTCAGCCCTCGCATGGTGCTGGAGCCGTGGAAACAGGGCAGCTGGGAGCCTGGGGGAGGGGCCACGGGGTCAGTACAGGTACGCACTCCTGAATATATATGTGTGTGTGTGTGTGTGTGTGTAAAAAAGGGTGTGTTACCTTGCTGCATGATCTCCACAATCTGCAGCACTCGGTCCATGTGTTTCCTCGCTGCAATCAGACCCTGAAGCATCAACATCTTATAGTAGTTAAACATGTCGCCATCCGGACCTCCCATCACCTGAAGAACAAGAACACTGCAGGTTAGGACACACTCTTCAGGTCCCTCGATCACCCGAAAAACAATAACACTACAGGTAAATACACACTCTGCAGGTCCCTCCATCACCTGAAAAACAAAAACACTACAGGTACCTCCATCAGAGGAAAACGCTCTCTGGTTTATCAGGACGATTTTCCTCGTCCCCCCAGGTCCACCTTAAATGGACTCAGGTCCAGAGAGGTCCCTGGTCTCTCCGGTCTATATCTGGTCTACATCAGAACAGGTAAGAACCAAATTTCTCAGCTGAACTCACATCGACGAACTCTGCGGTGAGTTTGAAAGCCGATGTTTCGAAGCCTAGGTTTTTGGGCGAGCTGGACAGGATGAAGCCAAAGTCGATGTGAATAATGTGACCATCAGCGTCCAATAGGATGTTCCCGTTGTGCCTGAAGGACAGAGAGAGACAGAGAGGTCACATGACTGTGTGAGCATGAGCAGGAGGAGCTTTGACGTCACAGCCTCACCTGTCTTTGACCTGCAGCAGGTAGCAGATGAGGCTGTATCCGGCACAGCTCTGCACAAAGTTCCTCTGAGCGGTGAGGAAGGCCTCGGTGGTGGGGGTGCCGTGCTCCTGCAGGAAGTAGTCGAGCAGAGACAGCTGGCTCTGCTTCTTTACCTGGTGCAGAGAAACAGCGTTGACCACCGGCTCGATCATCCCACTGTCAGACGACAACACCAGGATCTTATAGGGCTTGATCCAGAGCGGGACGCGCTCCTGCTCCCAGATGGACTGAGGGGGGAGTAAAGAGGAGGGACATTAGGAGGAGGGGTCTCTGTGAGGGGGGGACGGCGTACAGGAGAAGGAAGCAGACGAGGAGGACAGGAATGGACAGAAGAAGAAGAAGAAGAAGAAACCAAGCGTTACCTTGAGCTGCTGCAGCACCTGGAAGGCGAGCAGCTCCTGTCGGAGGTCGTCTCCACATTTAACGATGACGGACAGAAGCCTCCAGGTGGGGAGGTGACCGTACGGAGAACCCTCTCTGATCCTCCTGCAGGACAACAGCGAGAAGAGCATGAGCGGGATTCAGGGAAGTCTACGCTGCTGCAGCATTCAATCAGTGAGTGATATTTGATAAGGGGGCGTGTCTGTCAGTCCAAAGACATTCACTGATGCTCCTCAGTTACCACTCCTCCAAATTCCTTCCCCTCTCTCAAACGGCAGGTTTTAACTCCTCAAGGACAAAGGGGGCGGGATTTTAGAGAGCTGAGATCCAGGGAAGGTCAGCAAAGACAGACGACAACCCGCTCTGCCCACAGGAGGCGTCAAAATCAACACAAACCACAGGGTCCTCACTGGAGTGAGACAGTTAAACTTTACTCACCGGACCTTTTCCTCCCACGGCTCCTTCAGGGCCACGGCCGAGGGGTCCTCAGGGTCTCGTTTAAAGGTGGTGGGGGCCTGAGCCAGCTGCTCCGACAGACGCCGCCTGCAACACACACACACACACACACACACACACACACACACACACACACACACACACACACACACACACACACACACACCTTTATTCACTGCTTATTGATCAGGTGTAAATTAGAGCATGACATGGGAGTGGATTTTCACTCCTGTCCCGTCCCACTCCCAGAGAAAAAATCTCGTCCCGTCCCAATCCCGGACTGGAGTAAAAAAATTAATCCTGTCCTGTCCCACTCCCGTAGAATGACTCCCACTCCCATCCTGCTCCCACTCAAAATTACTCCCACTCCTGTCCCGGTTCTGTTTGAATAAAACCAAACGTTGAAAAAACGTTGCATTTTTTATTTCAGGTAAAACTGAAGTGCACTGCACTTTTGCCTAAAATAAAAAACTTTTAGGTTAAAGTGGCAGCCGAGTCAGAGTGGCTGCCGTTGCGACACACATAATTTTCACTTCCGGTGGTGACAGGAAGTCAAACCACTGTTGTAGTTCTTTTTTGTTGCTAGCGCGGTCAAGAGTGTTGGCTCTTACTGAGAGATGACTACAAAAATGGACGCATCTGTTCATCTGGTTGTTTAACGCGGCTGAAAATGATCATCTATTAATGTTGTTCCCGCTCCTGTTGCTTTTTTTCCCGTCCCGTCCCGATCACAGGATTAATTAAAAAATGACTCCTATCCCGAGGGATTCCCGCGGGAATCATGTGAAATGTCATCCTCTAGTGTAAATGCAAGAGTCTGTGTGTGTGTGTGTGTGTGTGTGTGTGTGTGTGTGTGTGTGTGTGTGTGTGTGTGACCTGATATCTCCTGCTGCGATGAAGACCGGCTCTTTGCTCTCTAGGCTGGTGATGGAGTCCACTGAGAACTGACTGATGTTATCACAGCTGTTGGTGTGGACCTCTGGGAGCTGAAGGACAAACCGACCGAGTCAGAACAGAACCAGGTCTTTACACACCATCATCATTATCCTCACCATCATTATCATTATCATCATCATCATTCTAATTATTATCATCATCATTCTCATGCTCATCATAACCATCATCATTATCATTACCATCATCGTCATCATTATCATCATCATCACCACCATCATCATCATCATCACCATCATCATCCTCAGTACAATCATCATCATCATCATCACCATCATCATTATCATCATCACAATCATAAATACCACCAGCATCATCACCATCATCACCATCATCATCATCATAATCATCACCATCATTATCATTATCATCATCATCATTCTAATTATTATCATCATCATTCTCATGCTCATCATAACCATCATCATCATTACCATCATCGTCATCATTATCATCATCATCACCACCATCATCATCATCATCACCATCATCATCCTCAGTACAATCATCATCATCATCATCATCACCATCATCATTATCATCATCACAATCATAAATACCACCAGCATCATCACCATCATCACCATCATAATCATCACCATCATCATTATCATCATCATCCTCAGCACAATCATCATCACCATCATCACCATCATCATCATCATCCTCAGTACAATCACCATCATCATTATCATCATCATCACAATCATAAATACCACCAGCATCATCATTACTACCATCTACATCATCACTATTATCATGATCATGATCATGATCTTGATCATCCTCATTATCAACATCACCATCATTATCATCATCATCACCATTGTTATCGTCGTCATCACCATCATCATCATTATCATCATCACCATTATTATCATCTTCATCATCATCACAATCATCATTTTCACCATCATCATCATTACTACCATCTGCATCATTACTATCATTATTATCATCATCATCATCATCATCATCATCACCATCATCATCACATATAACCAGTCCCTCTTCCATGTCGACCAATCACAGCCCCTGATTAAAAATCAGGCAGGTTGTTTAAGATGACATCGCATGAGCAGTAAACTCTGCCTGCTAAAGGAGGAGCTTGGTGACGTATACAGCACCTGTGAAAGTGATGACATCACTTCCTGCATCTCACCTCCACCTGCAGCTCTCCGATGTCGTCCACAGACCACGCCTCATCGTCGTTGTCGTAGTTTGGGACAGTGGAGAAGCTCCCTGCTCTCTGCTCGGCAGTCATACCACAGTCCGGAAGGTTCTCTACAGAGCGGGTGCTCCTGATCCGGTTCTCTGGGATCCGGATCGGGACGCTGGATGTCTCAAAGTTCTCGCACTCCAGAACCTCCACATAGATCAGGTACGGAGCCTGAGGAGGGTCACAAAGATGAGCATCACCATCATCAGAGATCATGAAGAAGCTGTGAGGCATCACTCTGTTGACAATTCAGGTACTGTGTAAAACAGGTACTGTGTGTGTGTGTGTGTGTGTGTGTGTGTGTGTGTGTGTGTGTGTGTGTGTGTGTGTCACCTTGTCTTTGGAGTTTAACACCACAGCCTGAGTGTGCGGCACACGAACCACATGGTGGTCGAAGGCGGCGGTGGGCAGCCAGACCCGGGCGGGCAGCTTGTGGTTGAGCAGCGAGAGCTCGGAGATCAGACGCTGAGTCTTCTGCTCTTTGGTGGGAAGAGTCGCTAAACGTTTCCCAATCCCCATCAGAGACTTGATGAACTCCCTCTGAGGAGCCAGGCGCACTGGCTGGGGGGGGGCGAGAGTGAGAGAGCGAGGAGATGTTAGTGTGGAGTTTCTGTTCTGGACTCTGTGTTTGTGGTTTGTCTGCTGGTGTCCTCTCAGGACTTCTGGACAGAGAGACAGCTACACAGGTGAACAGATGAACAGGTGAGCAGGTGTTGGTTTAGTGTTTGTGTGTCAGCTCTGAGTCTGAACCGGCCTGACTAACAGATCATCTCAGGCTGACAGCAGGGTGTTATCTGCTCCGACCTGTGAGCTCAGGAGATACTGAGAAACTGAGAACCAGGTCTGAGAGCTCAGAATCAACGCAGGAAATCTCAAAGAAATCCACAAAACAGGACAATGTTACCAGGGGAGAGCAGATGATGAAGAAGAACTTAAACAAGTGAACTGAAAACTTTTTTTCAGCTGATCCTGAATTATAAAGAAGACTGGATCAGGAACTACAGAGACCATAGAGGAAACAATGAAAACACAATATGAAGAAATAACTGAACATGAAACAGTCGAAAAACTGGAGAAGGAGCTGCTGCTGTGCAGGGGTTTATTAACAATGATATTAATAAAAAAATATATAAATTAATTAATAGATAACTAACTAACTAACTTACTAAATATGTATGTAAATTAATATATATATATATATAAATTAATTAATAGATAACTACCTAACTGGATAAATAAATATATAAATAAAAAATATCTAAATTGATTAATAGATAACTAACTTACTAAATAAAAAAAAGTAAATGAATATATACATATATACGTAAATTAAGAGATAACTTTCTAATTAAATAAATAAATTAATTAATTAATATATATGAATTAATTAATAGATAACTAACTAATATATAAACAAATAAAATATATATATTAATTAATGGATAACTTACTAACTAAATAATAAATGAATATACAAATAAATATAATTTATTAATAGAAAACTAACTAAATAACTAAATGTATAAATATATATATATATTAATAGATAACATTCTTTTTAACTTAATAAATAAATATATAAATAAATGAATAAATATATGAAATAATTAATAGATAACTTACTAAATAAATAAATAAACATACAAATAAATTAAAATATTTATCTTAATTAATAGATAACTAACTAACTAAATAAATAAATATAAATAAATAAATAGATAACTAACTACCTAACTAAATAAATGAATTTAAATTCAAAAAATATTTGAATTGATTTATAGATTAACTTACTGGATATATAAGAAAAATAAATAAAAATATAAATTAGTTAATAGATAACTGACATAAATAAACATATAAATAAATAATTAAATGAATATATAAATTAAATAAAAGATAATCTACTAAACAAATAAATAAATCCTTTTTTTTTTTTTTTTTGTCGGACTCATTAAGACCAAAAGGACACTGTAAAAGGAGCTGCTGCGATCTGATTGGCTTTCGTGCTCTGACGCTGACACACAAACACACTGAGCGAGAAGAGATGATGACGTCATCAACAACGTAGATGCATCCTGATTGGCTCACCCACATCATTGAACAGCTGATTGGATCAAACTGAGAGAATTAAATGAGAGTGGGCGGAGTCTTCAAACGAGCAGCAGCAGCTGATTGTCTGAGAGTCCGCCCCACACTGAACCAGAACCAGAACCAGCACCAGAACCCACAGACTCCATCCAGACTTTATATCCCACAATGCACCCTGCAGAAGGAAACACAACTCAGGTGAACTTACTGGACCTGTCTCAAACTCCAGACTGTCTGAGCTGGAGCTGCTGTCCTAAAGGGTCAGAGTTCAAAGGTCAGAGGGTTTAGAAAGAAGCTCTTCTCTTGGGTTAGATTTCTGAATTTAAAATACAGAAGGAAAAAACCTAAAAACCAGGTCAGTTGGTCCTGGTCATCCTCATCATCATGAACATCAATAATCCATAAAGTTAAATCAATCATCAGACCTGTAGGTGGCGCTGTTGTTACCTCATCATGGCAGCTGTTATATATATATAAACATATACACTCACCGGCCACTTTATTAGGTACACCTGTCCAACTGCTCGTTAACACTTAATTTCTAATCAGCCAATCACATGGCGGCAACTTAGCGCATTTAGGCATGTAGACATGGTCAAGACAATCTCCTGCAGTTCAAACCGAGCATCAGTATGGGGAAGAAAGGTGATTTGAGTGACTTTGAATGTGGCATGGTTGTTGGTGCCAGAAGGGCTGGTCTGAGTATTTCAGAAACTGCTGATCTACTGGGATTTTCACGCACAACCATCTCTAGGGTTTACAGAGAATGGTCCGAAAAAGAAAAAATATCCAGTGAGCGGCAGTTCTGTGGGCGGAAATGCCTTGTTGATGCCAGAGGTCAGAGGAGAATGGCCAGACTGGTTCGAGCTGATAGAAAGGCAACAGTGACTCAAATAACCACCCGTTACAACCAAGGTAGGCAGAAGAGCATCTCCGAACGCACAGTACGTCGAACTTTGAGGCAGATGGGCTACAGCAGCAGAAGACCACGCCGGGTGCCACTCCTTTCAGCTAAGAACAGGAAACTGAGGCTACAATTTGCACAAGCTCATCGAAATTGGACAATAGAAGATTGGAAAAACGTTGCCTGGTCTGATGAGTCTCGATTTCTGCTGCGACATTCGGATGGTAGGGTCAGAATTTGGCGTCAACAACATGAAAGCATGGATCCATCCTGCCTTGTATTAACGGTTCAGGCTGGTGGTGGTGGTGTCATGGTGTGGGGAATATTTTCTTGGCACTCTTTGGGCCCCTTGGTACCAATTGAGCATCGTTGCAACGCCACAGCCTACCTGAGTATTGTTGCTGACCATGTCCATCCCTTTATGACCACAATGTACCCAACTTCTGATGGCTACTTTCAGCAGGATAATGCGCCATGTCATAAAGCTGGAATCATCTCAGACTGGTTTCTTGAACATGACAATGAGTTCACTGTACTCAAATGGCCTCCACAGTCACCAGATCTCAATCCAATAGAGCATCTTTGGGATGTGGTGGAACGGGAGATTCGCATCATGGATGTGCAGCCGACAAATCTGCGGCAACTGTGTGATGCCATCATGTCAATATGGACCAAGCTCTCTGAGGAATGCTTCCAGCACCTTGTTGAATCTATGCAACGAAGAATTGAGGCAGTTCTGAAGGCAAAAGGGGGTCCAACCCGTTACTAGCATGGTGTACCTAATAAAGTGGCCGGTGAGTGTATATTCTAGATATAAGGTCATATCTACAACTGAAATAAGGGTTAGTCAGGACTGCTCAGATACCATTCTTCTATAGTTTCCTGTTTGTTTTCTGTTTGTTTCCACCTGGGGTCCGTTTCACGTAGGTGGTTCAACAAACTCTGAGTCAAATCCTTAACTCTGAGTTGATCTACTCTGAGATAGGAAACTCTGAGTTTCTGGTTTCACAACGCCTGATTTGAGTCAGTTTTAGCAACTCCGAGTAGTTTGACCTGGAGTTAAGCACGTGCACGCCAGACATAAACAGCCAGCATCCGTGGAGCCCAGATTCATTGATCAACCAATGGAAACAGGGAGAAGGAGGGCAGCATTTTTTACGCAAGTGGAGCTGGAGGTACTGATGCAAGCCAACAGCGTTTTACAGCACGTTTTTAAAAGAAAGCCTTGGAGCTACCTCGCTCATCTTAGCGCGGTAGCCAGCGGTCTCGCTAAACAGTCTTACAACGCTGGTTAACAACCTCGTAAGTTGATCCAGCTTTGCCATGAGCGCGTGCACGCATGTAAGGCGGAGTCCGACGCATCTGACCAATTGCGAACATGGACCAGTCTAGAGTGTCATAGCCGGCAGGAGAGCGAAGGACTGCGGACATAACAAACGAGGAGCAGGAGACAGACGATCATGAGAAAGTATGAAGAATTCAAATCTATCATAAACCTCAAAAGCAACACCGTCGACGCTGCAAAAGCACGGAGTGAATGCTGGCAGAAAATTAATCTTTGATGCCATTATCACCCTGAAATAGCACTGTTCAACATGCGCTTTTAACTAAGGTGACCAGATGTCCCCGATTTCCGGGGACAGTCCCCGAATTGGATGATCTGTCCCCGGCTAAAGCTGTCCCCGAAAATGTCCCAGATTTAAGCGTTTCATGAATGAGAACAAAAATGTTGCATGTGGGCTAGAACAACGGTTATTACAGTAGGTAGGAAGCACAAGTAAGCAGTCCTGAACAACAGTATTTACAGGGGTTATTACAAGGGGCGCGCGTTGCTACTAAATGGTACCGAGATGTTGTCTGTGATCACACAGCCCATGCAGCCCATGCCCATTTATTTCCAAGATGAATTCATTCATTTGTTCATTCCTATCGTGTTTACATTTTTTGTGTGATATGTAGGCCATATGAGCCTTTCATAAAGGTGTTCACACGGAAAAGTAAGTGGGTCCGTGCAGTCCCTGAAAACTCTCGCGAGCCGGAGTGCTCCTTGGACAATGCGAGCACCGAGGTCTATAGGATCCTCCAAGAACAGACAAGCTGTTTTTCGAGAGAGCTCATTGGTCAGTGGGTGGGGTTTTTATACTCGGTGAGTTCAATCTGGAACTTAACCTGCCCCCGGAGCAGGTTAGCTGTTCAGCGTATGTTGCCATGGAGACTCGGCTTGCTAAGAAGTGAACCCGCGTCGTAGAACAGGAAACCCCGAACTTATCCTCGAAGTTACCTTGCTAAGCAGTAATCCTGCTTCGTAGAACAGGCCCCTGGTAAGGTTCACGGAGTCTGTTACTATGGTAACTGACCGCGAGGTTGAGTTACCTCTCTTTGTGAAACAGGTTAGAGTTACCCCTCTCTCTCTGGTTTAACTGACCCTCCTTTGTGAAACGGAAAACACAGAGTTACTCTGATTTCAGGGTTAACAGACTCTGAGTTTCCATTAAACCTGCTACGTGAAACGGACCTCTGGAGAATGACTTTTAAGACCCTCACTGCTCACTTCCTTGACTTTTTGGTTGTCATTTGCGCTGACTGACTCCCATGATGCATCATGTCATTGTCTTAGATAACCCTCAGAGTGAAGCAGAAGGTCCTGACCAATGTTGTCCAGATCTCACCTGGACTCAGTTTTTTTTTAATCCTCATCCCTGAGCCTGAGACGTGTTCATGATGTTGTTGTCTGTTGACTTCTTTAAAAGTCAACTCAAAACTTATTAATTTGCTCAGGCTTTTGTTTAATTGTTTTGGGGCTGCTATGACTGTTTAATGTTGTTGTTTTGGTCTTTTTATTTGTTTGTACATTTTTATTTTTGTCTATGTGAAGCACATTGTGACTTGTTTTGTCTGTGAAAAGTGCTACACAAATAAAGTTTACTTATTTCCTTGTCTTCTAGGACTGGGCGATTATATGATCGGGATTAATAATCGGGATCAATTTCAGTTTGATCACAGTGATCAGCTGTGAGCATATTCACTCGATCAAACATGGCGTAAATGTGCATCACAACAGCCAATCAGAGTCAAGCTTTTCCTGCTCACTTCTGTAAGTTGCTGGAGTACACAGGAAGTAAATAGGACGATGAACATGGAGCTAAATGCAGAGCTGAGGGCAGCAAAATAGATGTCCATCATGACTCTGAGTTATTTTCCGAAGATGTTCTTGTTGAGAAGTTATTCAATGTTGGTTGTGTGGCAGTGGTTCGGGTATCTCCAAAGTGACGTCGAGTAATTAAGCCGATGTGTAAAGTATGTCGGTGGTTGGTGCCTCAAAAACCGGCAACACAACAGATCTGTTTTATTATTTGAAGAAGTTCTTCCCAAGTGATTATGAGGAAAACATGAAAATGAAGGCTGAGTCTGTACAGCCTGTCACTGCTGACAGCACAAGTAGAATTAGCAGTTTAGCTACAACTAGCGGTGCAACCACCAGACCAAAGCAATCAATCAATCGTACCATCTATGTTCACATCGTCTAGCGTTTACAGTTTAACGTTTACACACCGGGAGATTTTTTTTCGTGCGATTATTTCAGACGTCAATATTTTTTTTCGAACCTGTATCCTGTCAATACAAGCGTTCAATTCAGCGACGTTTTCCCATCCTGCGATATTGCAGCATTTATTTTTTCGGATAATGGTCGATTTTTCCAAAGTTTCACAGACTGTGTGTCCACTTCTGACCAATCAGATTGCGTGTTGTTGCAACGTCAGATTCACCGGTATATCCAACATGGCCTGGGAGAACAGGGTGCTTTTTGATAAAAGACACAAACATTACAAAGATAACGACCTGAAGGACAACTTATGGAGAGTCATAGCATCAGATTTGTCAAATGACGATAGTTTGTGTGCTTTAACAGTTTGCTAAACGTTGCTGTTTTAACTTTCATCTGTGCTAAGTAACTTTAGTTTGTAAGCTAACCTGTTCAGATACAACATACCATATGTATTTTCACTGTCTCAAAATCAATCACAGCGTTGCTGTCACAGCACCATTTGGTCTCGGTTATTACCTTACGTTTATGGATAATAGTTAAATGTTCTTATCTGGTACTGGCCCCAACTCAGTATATGCTATCATGACAGACAGCCATCTTAACACTAGTGTCTAATCAGAAATGAAAAACACTCAGTCTGCTGTTGGGTCAGTCTTCTCACTTCCACCCAGGACGCGTCTTTTTTCCCCCCGGAAAGTCGCAAAATTGCATCGGGCTTGATGTGTATAGTCAGGCGCGTCAAAAATCACATCCGAATATTACATAATTTCACGTTGTATATTTGCGTCGTTCCTGGTGTGTAAGGACCTTAAGGCGTCTTCATTATCCCTGAAGAGGCGTTCTGTTTTTTTGGGTCTTGCATACCTGCAAAAACACTGACTGTAAACTAGTTCACTGTATTATTTAATATTTATCTAAATTTGTTGTACTGTTGAGTTAAAATGATTTTTATATTTTTCCAAGTGACCTGGTTACCTCATCCTGACTGCTCTCCACCTTGGGGTTGCTCGCTGTTCTCTTCAGGTTGCTGCTCAGACTGATGCTGACTGTGGCGTCAGACTTGGAGCGTTGGTGTGTTCGTTTGGATGGTGACAGGCTGTGCTCTCCTCCCAGAGCTCCAGGGCCAGCAGAGGGGGACACCACAGGACAGAAAGGCGTCAGAGTCAGAGGGTCTCTGCGGGCCCGAGGCCCCGCAGGTTTGAGTTCATCAGAGAGGATGAGTTTCCTGAGTTTGGTTCCTCTGGAGTGACGCTGGGTCGAGATGTGCATGTCAGAGGAGTACGCTCCCAACAACCAGGCGCACTGCAGGCTGAACGAGATGCTCTGTCTGCAGCGGTGAACCTGCAAGACAACAAACAGGGATTACACAAATCTGCAAGACAACAAACAGGATAAAAGAACAGAAAACCCTCCAAAACAGAAGTCAGTGATCCAGGTCATTTTTACAACTCTTTTACACTAAATTATTTTCACCACAATAAGGAAAAAACGGAAAGTTATGGAGTCTAAACATTAATCTACAAAACTCTGAGTATAAAAAGACTAACAACAAACTCTGAGTTCATTCAGAGTCGTATCCATGTGAACTTTTTGGTTTCATGGCCTTTGGTAGTTAGCATTAGTAAATTTTGGCCCCTATCTCCTACCACAAACTTTGACCTACAGAAACCAATCAGGGCTCCAAAAATTCAGCTCATTGAGGACATTATGGAGTGTACTTAGGATTTTTATTCATTTAACTTTTCCCCACTTTAAAATTATTCTCATTATTCATGCATTATTAAATTCTTCAGACAAATTTAAACTCATTCAAACTGATTCAAACCTTTCTGATACTTCAACCTTGTCTAATACTTGAGGATTTTTAATTATTCAATTTTTTTTTCCATTTTAAAATCATTCTCATTATTTATGCATTATTTAATTCTTCAGACAGATTCCCAGATTTACTACTACAATTACAATTATTACCACTACAACTTGTATCTTCACTTCTACCTCCACTACTCTGGCTTCTCTAAATATTTTTTTTACTGAGTCTCTTACTTTTACTGCCACTATTACTTCTACCCAAGCTCTATTGCTTTGACTTCTACTTCTTCTATTGTAAAACTACTTCTACTGCTTACATGACTACTAATATCACTACTATAACTACCTATTATCATACTACTTCTAGTACTAAAACTTTAACTTTTCTGTGTTTTAAGGTCATTTTATTCCTTATCCAATTTTTTGGCAATTTCAGACAGTTTTCTCGCCTCTTTCAGCATGAATGCAATTTTAATTTATGAAGCACATTCATACTGTTTGGACTTCAACAGTTTTCACTTTCATCCAACTTCCACTTCCTCTTCACCGCTTTAACCAATTTTACATTAAAACCTTCTTCTATTTTTTATTAGCAGTTTTTGCATTGCTTTTTCAGCTCTCAGCACTCAGCATTTCCACGCAATTTTTGCAAGGAAATGCAATTTTTCTAGTTATTATTATCATTCAACACACCTCCACTGTTTTTTGGACCTCAACTACTTCATACTTCATACTTAAACGTATTCAAACCATTCAAACTTCAAAATATTCATCTCATTGAGGACATTCCGGGATGTATTCAAAATTTTCCTAACATTCATACTTTCCGAGATATTCCAGGTTTTCCGACCGATTTCTCCCATTAGAAATGCATTACGGAATGTTCAAATTGGCCCTTTTCTCACATTTTCTTCAAACAACTTCAAAAGCCTTCAACTCCTCTATACTTCCAGGTAGAAACTTCATTCAAAACCAAAATATTCACAAATTCGTCAGCATTATTCCAAATCTTCAACATTTTTAATCCCATTTGTACTTTTCAAAATATGAAGATTTGTTTCAAACTTTGTTATAATGGGAGTCAATGGGAAAAGGGCTTCAGACGTAGTCAACTTCAACCTCTTCTCATTCATTCATACTTTCACCTAGAAACCTCATTCAAACTTCAAAATATTCACCTACCTTTAGATATTCACTCATTCATTCACCATCTTCATAGCATTCAGACTTTTCTCACAGTGACAGTTCAAAAAGTCACAGGATTTTCTGACCTCTTCAGGATTTAACATTAGTGTGTATTGCACGGAATGTTGGCAGCTAGAGTGCGTGACCTCACCGCTAGAGTGAGACAGGCTGAAAATTGATCCTCAAAACTTTGTCTTTACAAAAGGATTGTGGCAACTCACTTCAGTCTACACAGATAATATTTGGTACAGTGATGGCTAAACTTGCTGTCACTCTTCATCTCAAAAATCAAAGCCGTAGGACACACACAGTGGCTTGGGCAGACACCAACTGCCACAGACATCCCCCAAATTTCTCCAGCTTAATCCATTGACTCCAATATAAACGTGATGTTATGACTGAGGTCATAATTTGTAGAGTGTCTGCTGTGTGTGTGTGTGTGTGCCCTGTGTCTTTTCTGTCAATCTCCTATGCAAATAGGTATGTGCCACATCCGTGCGGTCATTGGTGGGTTGGTCTACATCCTGGACAGCGATTGGCTGAAACAGAAAACCACCTGCTATTTGAGGAGCCAAGATGGCGGCCACCGTGTGCAGGGCTGCAGGCATTCCTCATCCTCCTCATCCTCTCCCAACCGGCCACACTGTTTGCGGCTTTAAACCGTGGAGTATTTTGTAGTGTTTTCTTTGAGTAGTAGGGGTGGACTGCCAGTTTTGTTAACCTTATTTTCTCCTGTGTATTTTAGTTAGGGAGGTAAGTCTTTTGTCATTTGTTTCCTTTGTTTGGTTAGGTTAGTACTTACTCCACAGACAGGATCATTTTGGTTGGTGTTTTGGCCTTGGTCCACCCTGAAGCCTAACCACTCAGCCTTAGTTATTTTTCTATATCTATATGTTCATTTACTAATTTATGTAAATAAATCATTTTTCTTTAAATTGAAACAAATCTCTGTTTGTGGCTACTTGGGACTTGGGAAAGATGAGGCCTTCTCATGTTGTGCCCTAGGCACCCCTAGACTGGAGCGTAACAGTGAGAGGAGGATTTTCAGAGGAAACACAAACTGGACATGTTTGTAACTTGTGCTAGTGAAGGCATTTTTGGTTCCTCAGACACAGAAGTTGTATCAACGTGTTCAGACGGGTCTTGTGGTTCTCACAAGCTCCTGATCATGAAGATAGCAGTTACAGAGGATGAGAAATATGACGTTGTTTGGGCATTACGTTCTTAGGCCCGAACTACACGTATATGGATATTTATTTATCAGGATATTTTTTTACTCTCGTCTAAATAAATGTATCTGTCCACACGTGTTAGTTCTCAAAAATATCTGCGTCCACACGTAGCCTTCAAACTCAATCCTATCTGGTGCCATTTAAAAAAAATTCAGGAACAAAGCTACCTGATTGGCCGATGAATCGTAACAGCGTGATGCGTCATGCATTGTTTGCGAAAGCTACGCTAGTGCGTCGGGTCCATGTGACGGACCATGTGACCAATAAATGTATTGGCCGCAGCAGATGCGTCTGTGAGCTGGCTGACTGGTGGATGTAATTGTATAAAACAAGGTTCACTTGAAAGGCTGAAATTAGCCCCAAAAGGGCAAAACAAACATAAAGAATAACCTGTCCGCCATCGTTGTTGCTGTTTTTCTTTTTAATTCGCATGCGCGAGCCGCGGTTTGACGTCATCGATCCGTACAAGTCCAACCACACGAATCCACTATGGATACGAGATACGGATATTTTTTTATTTCTCCACTTGTTTTTCCGGATTCAGATTTATCCGGTTTGAGTGCTCCAAACTCCCGTTTTGGTGTGGTAGGGAGGCCTAATCGGACATAAATATGTGCGGTTTGAAATATATCCGCATTCGTGTAGTTCAGGCCTTAGCCTCAAGCCTCCTTTCTCCTGCTGTAGTTATGTATCTATCATCACCATGGCAACCAATAAGAGCACCTGGAGACACACAGCTGGCTGGAAAGCTGCTTCTAACAGCCATATGAGACACATGAAGCCAGGCTCAGTCCACAGAGTACTGGGGGTTACATTTAAAACTCTTCACTAGAGTTATTTGACAAACTTTGTCATCTATCTCTTTGCACAAACTTTGAGCTACAGAAACCATCCAGGGCTTAATAAATTCAGCTCATTGAGGACATTATGGGGTCTAATCAGGATTTTTATTCATTTACATTGTCCCCATTTTTCAATCATTCATTGATTATGCATCATTTAATTCTTCAAACTCATTTAAACTCATTCAAACTGGTTCAAACCTTTCTGAATCTTCAAACTTCTCATACTTTCAGATTATGATCATTTTAATTTTCCCTGTTTAAATCATTTTCATTCTTAATGCATTATTTAGTTCTTTAAAACAAATTCCAACTCATTTAAACTGAATCAAACCTTTCTGATACTATAAGCCTTTCGCATACTTAAGGGTTTTTAATCTCTTTTTTTTTCACATGTTCACGTTTCACAAATTAAAGATTCTGCCATTCGCAATAGCAGCTTAGCGATAGCAATTTCAACTGAAGCAATCCTACTTGCATTTTCTTCAGAAATTGCATTTTCTAGTTGTTATATAAGGATTTTAATTATAATTATTATAATCATTATTATCATTGTTTTCATTATCATTATTATCAGTATTATTATAATTATCATTATTTTCATAATTATTTTCATTATAATTATTATTACTTTTAGTAGTAGTAGTTTTATTATTTATTATTAGTATTATAATTATTTTTATCAATATCATTAGCATTATTATTATCAATATCATTAGAATTATTATCTTTATCAATAATATCGTTATTATTATAATCATTATTATTATCATTATTATCATTATTATTATATCTATTAGTGCTGCACAATATTGGAAAAAACTAACTGATTTTTTTCAACCCTGCGATATATATTGCGATATTAAAAAATACAGGAATTTTCACCAGATGACCTGACTAGCACTTTATGCTGAAATCTTGTGGACAATTAACCTGCACTGATCTTACCTCTTTTTGTGAATGTTAGTAGAATGGCTTCTGTCTGTCTTAAAGATATTTTTAGCATACTTCTATTGTGCTGGGACTTGTTATCTCTCGTTGTGGCAACTGATGAAAGGCACTGCCGACAAAGAACATGTGTTTGGTCGATATCATCCTTGTTGTAACCGAAATAATTTCAGAAAACTGACATTAATTTTTCTTTTTGGCAACAAGTCTTCCTTTTTCGGTGGTTTTCTGTTGTTTGTTGCTCCTTTTGCAATCCTTGTTTTTGTTACCGGTGTTATGTTATGAGAAATGCACGTCCTCCGGGAGTTGCATGCACCTCGCGGAAACGCGCACCGCTTATAGTAGAGTTATCCATGAAAATGTTCAATTTAAACCGATACAATTCTTATTTGTGGGGCTAAACAGTGATAACAGTGATTAAGGAATGTACTGAATGTAATTCTTGGCGGGCATGCTGTCTCAGTACAACACCAGTAGTGCCAGCGACTCACTCCATGTGCTGGGGCGTGGTTTACTCCTCTCTGATTTAGATTGATAGCTGGTAGGGGGTAGTCTGGTTGGCAAATAAGTAAAGAACAAATGTGATTGGTGGATCGCTGCACAGCACATGCAGAGTCACATGCAGTGTATCTCAGTCAGCTACCCTTGAAATTAGATGAGTTCATTCACCTCCGACATCGCAGGCTCTGCAATGTGACTATTGCACACACGTACATCGCGATGACGATGCTCAAACAATATATCATACAGCCCTAATATTTATCATTATGATCATTATTATTATAAGTACAATACAATACAATATACAATAAGTATTATTGTTATTATTGTAATCATTATTATTATTATCAATAATATCATTAGCATTATTATTAGCATCATTATTATTATAATCATTATTACTATTATCATTATTGTCATTATTATCAATATTATCATTATTTTTATTATTGTTAAAATACGCTCCAGTCTGGTATCTGATGAAGACCATGGAGGAGGATGAAGCTCTGGGCGAAGCTTGAGAAACATTTACTAATAAAGCCTGACGGGAACTTAAAAGAACAGGGTCATTCTGACTGTAGAGTCTACACCCCCCTGCCCTGACCACACCCACCACATATGGCTTGATGGCGTCTCCCACGTCCTCGTCCATGTGGATGTACATGTTGAGCAGCTGAGGGAGGAAGAAGTCCACGTCCTCATGTGGGAAACTGAAGAGCCGGTTCCCGATGTACGCCTGTACGCCTGGCTCCTTGGAGTTATGCAGGTAGGAGATCGCCATGGAAACGTCAAACAGCTTGGACTCAAACAGACGGAGCAGCCATGACTGCTTAGAGGGATTGTGTCTCTGTCGCCGCCGGGCGCTCTTCACTGAGCCGGGGGCAGGGCCATCAGGGTCGTCCTCCTCCTCATGGATCTTTATTGGCTTCACAATCCCCATCGGCGTCGAGGTAGCAGGGGCGGCAGGAGCAGCAAGGGTGGCGGAGGCGGTGGGGGTTTTAGGGGTGGTGGAATTGGGGTCTGGCCCCTCCTCGTTCTGCAGGTCAGTGACATCAGAGTCCACCTGCTTGAGCTTGACCTGCTCCAGCACCTCCTGACACGCCCGCTGAGCCACCTCTGCATCAATCACCAGGCTGAGCTCACCCACCCCCTCAGTGATCACCCCAAGAGGGGGGGTCACCGCCTGAGGGGGGCCGCAGGAGGACGAGGGGGTGGAGGGGAGAGACAGGGAGGGGGAGGAGGAGATAGAGAGGGAGGGGGAGGGACAGGGGCTGTTCTGATCAGAGGGGGCGGGGGAAAGCTCCGGCTCTGTGTCCTCCATCATGGTTGGGAAGCTCCGCCCTTCTCCACTGAAACACAAGGGGAAGGGGGGTGGGGAAATGGTCACTTTCAAAGCAGATTTTATACCTCAACAGTTCAACTTCACCTTCACCTGAAATCCAGGATCAGTACTGTCCCCCTTTTACTAAGACCTGCTGACCCTGAATGCCCCACTGAGGCGCCTTCACTGCCCACTCAATCACTGTCACTCATACGGCTGTTTCACAGTGAACACACCTATGAAGGTATTTTTGGTGCAAAAGGTTTGTGGGTCTGTAACATGTAATGTGTAGTTGTGTACAGTGATGTGTATCAATAAATGTGAAATCCGCACTCCATGAGTTGTGTACCTGTAGATTTTTTGTGTGTGCTTGTCGTTTTTTTTGTATTTCCACAAGTACAGCACAACATTTACACATTCACAAATCTTAATTACAGGAGCGCGAATCCTATTTTACAAGTCAATGATTCAAACTCTGACATGCTCACATTTTTGGTGTAAAACATATTTGTGCACCTGTATGGATCAATGTGAAGTTGAGGATAAAATGTGAGTACAAATCTTTATGTGAACTTGTGCAAAAAATGTTACATTTATGTACAAAACCCAATTTCAATGAAGTTGGGAAGATGTGTAAATCATAAATAAAAACTGAATACAATGATTTGCAAATCCTTTTCAACCCATATTCAATTGAATACACTGCAAAGACAACATATTTAATGTCCAAACTGATAAACTTAATTGTTTTTTGCAAATAATCATTAACTTTAGAATTTGATGGCAACAACACGTGACAAAATGTTGGGAAAGGTGGCAAAAGATACTGAGAAATTTGAGGAATGCTCATCAAACACCTATTTGGAACATCCCACAGGTGAGCAGGCTAATTGGGAACAGGTGGGTGCCATGATTGGGTATAAAAGCAGCTTCCCCAAAAATTCTCAGTCATTCACAAGCAAGGATGGGGCGAGGTTCACCACTATGTGAACAACTGCGTGAGCAAATAGTCAAACAGTTAAAGAACAACGTTTCTCAAAGTACAATGGCAAGGAATTTAGGGATTTCAACATCTACAGTCCATAATATCATCAAAAGGTTCAAAGAATCTGGAGAAATCACTGCACGTAAGCGGCAAGGCCGGAAATCAACATTGAATGCCTGTGACCTTCGATCCCTCAAGCGGCACTGTATCAAAAACCGCCATCAATGTGTAAAGGATATCACCACATGGGCTCAGGAACACTTCAGAAAACCACTGTCGGTAAATACAGTTCGTCGCTACATCTGTAAGTGCAAGTTAAAACTCTACTATGCAAAGCAAAAGCCATTTATCAACAACATCCAGAAATGCAGCCGGCTTCTCTGGGCCCGAGCTCATCTAAGATGGACTGATGCAAAGTGGAAAAGTCTTCTGTGGTCTGACGAGTCCACATTTCCAATTGTTTTTGGAAACAGTGGACGTCGTGTCCTCCGGGCCAAAGAAGAAAAGAACCACCTGGACTGTTATTGACGCAAATTTCAAAAGCCAGCATCTGTGATGGTATGGGGGTGCATTAGTGCCCAAGGCATGGGTAACTTACACATCTGTGAAGGCAACATTAATGCTGAAAGGTACAGGTTTTGGAGCAACATATGCTGCCATCCAAGCAACGTCTTTTTTCAGGGACGCCCCTGCTTATGTCAGCAAGACAATGCCAAGCCACATTCTGCACGTCTTACAACAGCGTGGCTTCGCAGTAAAAGAAAACGCTTTTCTGGTCTGAGTTTGATCAGTCAATCTTCCTGTCAGTGCGTAGAGCAGTAGCCTACAGTAAATCTACAGTATATAGTATACTGTAGATGTATTTTTTAGAACTTAATAAAAATTTTAAAAAATCGGCCGATTAATCAGTAATCTGATTTTTTTCCCCCCTAATAATCGGTATCGGCTTCAGCCATATCCATATCAGTCGGGTCCTTATTACAACCACTGGAATCTTCCCCACAAATCACAGAATGTTTTTCCTACAGCTACAAATCAAGTAGTGCTGCAACTAACGACTATTTTTTTGTCGACTAGTCTTCCGACTAGTCGTCCGATTAATCACGATTAATCACTATCTTCTTTATTTATAAACACCTATTTCCGGAGTGTCGGCGTTTCAGGTGCTCATGCATCGCCGTGGTGCTGCCATGGTAGGAAAGCTGAGCTTTGATCGACGTGTTTTTTTGGTTTGTTCTCCGTAAAATGTTTCCAAACTTTTGAAGTTTTGGGTCGGAGTTTTGGAGCGTCTTTTTCAGTTTGTTCTGCCATAATGTGTGCACTCTTCTTCTGTGTTTGCTCGCGGGATGTAAACAGCGAGCGCTACTGCCCCCAGCACATCCTGTAGTGCACTGCATTGATAGATGAGCATGAGGCGCCGGCATGTGATTCTTAACAACAATAACACGACGCGTCGACGCTTCGTTTTCGTGTCGATGAATTTGTCGCGTCAACGTAATCAATTACGTCGACTAATCGTTGCAGCCCTAAAATCAAGTCGTTGATCTGAGATTGACGGGTTTTACAACCAATCAGAGGTGATAGCATTTCAGCAGATGAACTGTTTATTTAGAATTTGAGGCACAAATTAAAGTTTGATAAATACTCAAAATAAGAAGTCACAGCCAGACTGAACAACCTCTCCACATAAAATCAGAGCGCTGCAGTTTTAACAACTTTTAACCCCAAAAAACAATCAGCTGATTCTTAACAACACAACATTACTTTGTTGAATTTTTAATGAACACGAGTCCAGCTGCAGACCATCAGGAGGAGGAGGAAGACTCTCATTCTGAGTATTTGTCTGTTTCATTTAAAATTTTAGAATATTTAATTTAAAATAGATAAAGTTTATCAAACATGGAAATGTGCCATCCTCCTCACACACACATACACACAGCTGTTACTGAGTGTGTGTGTGTGTGTGTGTGTGTGTGTGTGTGTGTGTGTGTGTGTGTGTGTGAGAGACAGGCTGTAATCCCTGTGAGCAGATTAGAGATTACAGAGACACTCAAACACAGAGTGTGATGTTTGACGGTTAAATCAGAAGCTGAAAAAAGATCACTTCTGGCAGATCAATCTGATTGGTTCAGAAAGAATAAAGGCGGGACCTAGGACTGGGCGATTATATGATCGTGATCGCGATAAATTTCAGTTCGATCACGGTGATCAGCTGTGAGCTTATTTACTCGATCAAACATGGCGGAAATGTGCGTCACAACAGCCAATCAGAGTCGAGCTTTTCCTGCTCACTTCTGTAAGTTACCGGAAAAATAAACATGAAAAGTGAACAGAATGACCGAACATAGAGCTAAATGCAGAGCTGAGGGCAGCAAAATAGATGTCAGCCGTGACTTTGAGTCATCCTCCAAAGTTCTTGTTAAAAAGTTATTCAACGGCTCTCCAAAGTGACGTTGAGCAATTAAGACGATAAACCGGCTACACAACAGATCTGTTTAATCATTTGAAGAAGTTCTCCCCGAATGATTATGCGGGAAGCATGAAAATGCAAGTCTGCACAGCCTGTCACTGCTGACGGCACGAGTAGCATTAGCAGTTTAGGCACAACTAGCAGTGCAGCCACCAGACCAAAACAGTAGTCAATCATATCCATATCTGCCAACACTCCCGTTTTTCACTCTCCCGTGTTTCAGACCTCTCTCCCACCCACATCCCGTATTGTCATTCTCCCGGGAATCTCCCGTAGTTTGATGGTCCACGTTCATTCATGAATCAGATCACTATATTTGTTTCCAGACAACCAAAGATTGTCCTGTGTTTCTGCTGAGCCTCACAGTCACTGGATTGATACTTTGACTTTACAATTTGGGATGATTCAGGTCGGTTTCAGCTGTAAACTATATTAAAGCAGTGTTTGTTGCAAAATGAACGATTCGATGAAAAGAAAACAAACGCGAAATAAGCGAGAGTGAAACATATGAGGACTTTAACACCAATATTAGTGGACTAAATAAGTTCAAGGCATATCGTACCTATCTTTTTTTAATTTTTATTACCATTTGTTCTTGTTAAAACAAAACAAAAAAAGTGTGCAGCTTCACTTATACTTATTTGGATGAGCAATTTAATTACAAATACTCTCATAATGAAATCATATCCACCATACAAGGTCACCCCAAAACTGCCCAGCGTGCGCCGCAAAAATCTCCTGGATTTTATAACCCAAATGTTAAAAGGTATGCATATCATCTACGTTTACATTTTAAAGCATCTTCATTATCTCTGAGGGAGCGATTTGTTTATTTTGGGTCTTGCATACCTGCATTAACACTCAGAACTGTAAACTAATTCTCTGTATTACTTAGTATTTATCGACATTCGTCGTACTGTTGAGTTAAAATGTTTTTTTATATTTTTCTAAGTGTATCTTATTCAATTTTGCTTTTTTATTTACTTTTGTATGTTAATAAAATGTTGAACTAATCTCTAGTTTTTTTTTGTTTTTAGTACAGATGCTTTAAAACTGGCAGCTTAAAAAAAATCGTGATAATAATTGAGATCGGACAACATGACAAAATAAATCGTGATCATTTTTTTTGCCAAATCGCCCAGGCCTAGCGGGACCCTCCTTAACTGTCAAGATTATATGAGTTCTGAGTACAATCTCTCTTTAATTTAATATGTTTGATACTAAAGTTGGTATAACTAGAGAAGCAAGCGGTCAGCAACATTCATCTCTGGAGGGGGTGTCTAACTCGGTGTTACGGTGAGTCTGACCCTAAATTAATTTTATGAATTAATATCCATTTAATTAAACTAACTTAACATTACTGAGATTTTTAAGTGAAGAAAGAACATTTTTTACTCTTTCTCAGTATCAGTCAAACTTTATGAACTTTATTCTGATGACCTGATAGTTTGTCTCTCAGTCTGACTGTTAATCAGTGTTTGATTATCTGAGAGGAATAAAAGGATTTTAATGATCAGGTTAACTCAGGTTTATAGGGGAGAGTGGGGTAAAATGATCCATTTTTCATATTTGGGATCACGCCATCAAGTCAATTCTAGTTTTGTCTCTAACTAGTGTATCTGCATATATTTCAGGATGTTGTTCATCCCTGCAAACCAACAGAATGAGTGTAAACAGAACTGTAATCTTGATAATATAGCATGACAAAAAAAGGGGTCTCCTATGGTCAACTTACCCCGTGTATGGGGTAAGTTGACCATAGAGGCGGGGTAAGTTGAGCCGTATCCCTACTGACCCCCCCACTCTCTGTCCCCCCCAGCCCTGCCTCACCTTGTCTCTCCCTAAATAACAGTTACTTCTTCACATTCATGTGTATTTTTATCTATTATTTAACTGGTACAATCATTCTTTTCATTATTATTACATATAACTGCTAAAAAGCTGTTTTATAGAAAAAAACATTTGAACATGAGAATGTCTTTAAGGCTATGTTCACACTGCAGGTCAATTCCGATTTTTTAACCATATGTGACGCATATCAGATTTTTTCATGTAAGTGTGAACAGTGCAATTCAGATTTTTTCAAATCCGACCCAGGCCTCTTTTGTATGTGGATATAAATCGGATATGTATCCGATGTGACTGCAGTGTGGACGCTCAGCTCGCGTTCATGCGACCCATACATCATCAATATGCGACAAATGTCACCATTGTTTGACGACACAAACAGGCGCGGAAAGCCATTTGTGCGCATGCGGGTCACTTCACGGACGCATTCCGTTCACATTAGATGCCGCATTCGTTGTTTTAATGTGAACAACCGCACAAAAACATCGTATTTAACAAAAAATCAGAATTGTGCATCATAACCTGCAGTGTGAACGTAGCCTGTGGCGGTGGTTCTCAGCTAGTGGGTCCCGACCCAAAAGTGGGTCGTGGACATGTTATGGATGGGTCACGAACAGCTGGTCAAAAAAGGACATATTTAATGCACATCTGATGTTTGACATGTCTTTTATTTTGAAAAATAGTTTATTTTGAAAGGCACGTGTTATGTTGTGGCTCTCCTCGGTTTCTTATTAATGTGGCATGAATGCAGTAAAAATACATGTTTTTTATTGTCTTTATTTTGTGCAATTTGATTTTTATTCACTTTGGTCCTCCTCAGGTTCTTCTGCATATGCTCTAAATGCAGAGAGGCAAATAAGTCAAATTTCTCATTTTGCTGGTCTCCATTTTGTGCAATTTGATATTTTCTGTATATGTACAGTATATCACAAAAGTGAGTACACCCTTTAGATTTTTGCAAATATTCTGTTATATCCTTTCAGGGGATAACATTATCCTACTGAAACTTTGATATAACTTAAAGTAGTCAGTGTGCTGCTTGAATAACAGTATAGATTTATTGTCCTTTGAAAATTACTCAGTACACAGCTGTTAATGTCTCTACAGCTGGCAACAAAAGTAAGTACACCCCGCAGTGAACATGTCCTAATTGTGCCCAATGATGTTGTTTTCCCGCCCTGGTGTCATGTGACTCGTTAGTGTTAAAAGGATTCAGGTGTAAATGATAAGCAAGGCTGTTAAATTTGGTGTTTTGGGCACAATTCTCTCTGAACGCTGGACAACATGGCACCTCATGGCAAGGAACTCTCTGAGCAGCTGAAAAAAAGGATTATTGCGCTTCACAAAGATGGCCTTGGCTATAAGAAGATTGCCAACATCCTGAAAATGAGTTGCAGCACAGTGGCTAAGATCATACAGCGGTTTTCCAGGACAGGTTCCACTCGCAACAGGCCTCGCCAGGGTCGACCTAAGAAGTTGAGTCCACGTGCTCAGCGTCATATCCAGAGGTTGTTTTCCAAAAATAGACGTGTGAGTGCTTCCAGCATTGCTGCAGAGGTTGCAGAAGTGGGATGTCAGCCTGTCAGTGCCCAGACCATACGCCGCACACTGCATCAAATTGGTTTGTATGGCCGTCGCCCCAGACAGAAGCCTCTTCTGAAACCGCTGCATAAGAAAGTCCGCAAACAGTTTGCTAAAGACAATGAATCGAAGAACATGAGTTACTGGAACCATGTCCTGTGGTCTGATGAGACCAAAATAAACCTGTTTGGATCAGATGGTGTCCGGCGTGTGTGGCGGCACCCTGGTGAGGAGTACCAAGACAAATGTGTTTTGCCTACAGTCAAGCATGGTGGTGGCAGCATCATGGTCTGGGGCTGCATGAGTGCAGCCGGCACTGGGGAGCTGCAGTTCATTGAGGGACACATGAATTCCACTATATACTGTGACATCCTGCAGAAGAGCATGATCCCTTCTCTCCGGAAACTGGGCCGTAGGGCGGTTTTCCAACATGATAATGACCCTAAACACACCTCCAAGATGACAACAGCCTTGCTGAAGAAGCTGAAGGTTAAAGTGATGGACTGGCCGAGTATGTCTCCAGACCTAAACCCAATTGAGCACATGTGGGGCATCCTCAAGAGGCAGGTGGAGGAGTGCAAGGTGTCCAACATCCATGAGCTCCGTGATGTCGTCATGGAGGAGTGGAAGAAGATTCCAGAAGCAACCTGTGCAGCTCTGGTGAATTCCATGCCCAGGAGGGTTAAAGCAGTGCTAGATAACAATGGTGGTCACACAAAATATTGACACTTTGGGCACAATTTAGACATGTTCACTACAGGGTGTACTCATTTTTGTTGCCAGCTGTTTAGACGTTAACAGCTGTGTACAGAGAAATTTTCAATTGACAATAAATCTATACTGTTATTCAAGCAGCACACTGCCTACTTTGCATTATTTCAAAGTTTCATTAAGATAGTGTTATCCCCTGAAAGGATATAACAGAATATTTTCAAAAATCTAAAGGGTGTACTCACTTTTGTGATATACTGTAACTTTAGTAGTTGTTGTCCTCAGTTCATGTGCTCTGAAATGCAATTAACTCAATAATATAGGTGTATTTATGTTAAAGATTTGATTCTTCAAAGGTTTTTTATATTAAAATTAAATTTTCTTGGTTTGAATTTTATAAAAGTGGGTCGCGACTTTTATAAGGACCATGAGACAATGTGGGTCTCAGAGTGAGACCAGTTGAGAACCACTGATCTAAGCTAAAATGATGGACTTTTATGTTAGGTTTTTGACCTCATGTTGTAGCTCATAGATACCACAGTTGATGTATAACAAATTTAAAATGATCTTGTTTGGTCTGAACACAATTCTAATCAAACTTATGACAGACTAAATTCACTTTACAGAGTGAATTTTTTTTTTTTTTTGTAAATAAATGTCTAACCCCTTCACCCATGTGCATCGAACCTTCACAGACTCCACGAATTGATGAACATCTCTTAAATATTTAGTCTCCTGATCAATTTTTTTTAACATTTACAGGAAAGGGGGGGGGGGGGGGGGGCTCAACTTACCCCACTCTCCCCTATTTCTATTTCACACCCGGACTCTAAATTTGATTAGATTCAGATTTTTACCGACTTTAATCTTCGGTTAATCGGTTAACCGGCTGGTGTTAGTCCGGTCTGTGTGTATTTTTGTCCGGATAGTTAATATTAAACTGGTTATACTGTTAGCATGTTAGCTTAGACGCAGTTAATCAAATAACTAATCACTAACACTGCTTTAAACTCTTTATTTAAAGATTTTCACCGAACAGTTTGGAGCCAAAATGTTAAAAAAAATCGTTAAATTCCCCACATTCCCCACAGAGTGTCAGTTTGTTCACACATATTTAGATATTTAACTGAAAAATGGTCCGGGTTAGCATTAGCATTAGCCGTGGGTATAAGGCCAACTGTTGCTAATTCCACAACTGTACGCTAAGCTAACAGCAGTTCCTCCACAGTCACTGGTGAGATATCCGCGTGCACAGAGGTGACTCTGTCTTACCTGCTGACAGGGTTAGAGGCTCTGAAATGAAGTTTTATTCCCAGTTTGTCTCCATTGATTCACTCTGACCGTCATGTCAACAGCAGCGTACGGCCAGCAGAGGGCGCTGCTCACTCTTCTTTTGCTGCAACTGCTCTCAGATGGGTAGTGTCAGTGCAGCTGCGCCATCTGCCGGACAGGAGGAGGACTCACACACACATATACAGGTAAAGCATGTACAGTACCTGAGAATATGGACCTGTGATGTCCGACCTGTTTAACTGTGTGTTTGTGAGAATAGATCCTTCTGATGGAGGCATTCTCATACTTTCGATTATTACGTGGATATGCTGATTAAGCATTGTTATTCCCGGCGGCCATTTTCTTTCTTTATAATAAGAGCTAAGCTGCGTCCGAATTGCCAAGTAGTAGTCGAAGTAGTATCTAGCATGTCCGAATTGGCCACCGGAGCGAGTAGCATGCTACTTCAGATACTACTTCAGATGCTAGACACGCCCACATTGTAGGTTGGTCTCGGTGCATCCTACGGGCATGCTACTGACCCAAAATGCACCGCGGGCTTCTTCTTCGTCCTCTTAAAAGTTGTAGAAGCGCATGTGATGCTAGCGCCACCAGCTGCTGCCTATTTAGATGCGTCGCGAACGCCGGCTGGCCACAGCAGCGCGCACCATGTCGGAGCAGCAGCAGCAGCAGGCGGGACCGCAGCAGTACAGATGTAAGTTTCATGTAACTTCACACACTGTCCTAAAAATGTGCGGTTGTATCTCTTTGTCATGTCATGGTGTCATATTTGCCCAAGTAATCATTTTATGAGCAAGTGGCGACATCATGGAGGTAAAGCTCACTTATTCCATCATTAAACTGCACAGCTGCAGTACTACAGCCAGGCCCGCAGATGAGGGGCTTCAGTTACCACTGTCTGCACGGGCGCAGTACCTACTCTCTGCCTGCGGGGGTCGTCTTTCCCCACCGCTCGTCTAGTGTGTCCGAATTGCGCCAACGTGTTTAGTATGTAGGAGTAGGATCTAGCAGTAGCACGTAGCAGTAGCATGTAGTATCCGAGCGGGCAGTTCGGACGCAGCACTAGAGTGATGATGCTGGAGTGGAGAGCTCCTCTTTTATCGACAGAACCTCGCTAAAATATATCGCTCCCACGCCCACAAATTTCACTCCACAGCCATAAGAAATACATCAAAATGGAGGTATATGTGTCCTGCTTCTCACAAAAGAGGTTTCAAATCATTAAATCCTACCTCTTGGCCAGCAGGTGACCAACCGTCCAAAAATGGCAAAGAACCCTCCCATTGGCCCTAATGTAATTTTTCTCCAAGAAAATCCTGATTATCACTCAGGCTCAGACCTTTTTAACTCACTGTTGTGGCCACATTTTTTAGAATACAGACATGAAAAACACATCATTGTGTCGATGTTCTTTTCATTCTGGGATTTAAGGAAATCACGCTATGTGAAGAAGTTCAGAGGCCCTAAATTCACTGCAGTTAGGCAGCTTCTCATTCAAACAGTGGGTCAGTTAATGCCTTTAATCTCACAGCTGTAAAGGGTGCAATCATTAACGTGACAAACACACACAGTCTGACAATGTCTGTGCGTGTCTATCTGTGTCTAAAAGACCTGCATGTACACACAGTTAATATGTGTCTGCTTCACCACCTATCTCCACCCACAAACTTTGAGCTACAGAAACCATTCTGGGCTTCAAAAATTTAGCTCATTGAGGACATTATGGGGTGTTTTGAGGATTGTGATAATAAATTGTATTAATGTGTTCAGCAGAGTCTTGTGGTTCTCACAAGCTCCTTATCATGAATATATACAGAGGTTGACCATCAGGGCCTAGCTGGAGAGCTATTTCCTCAGCTTCAAGCCTCCTCTCTCCTGCTGCAGTAACACATCTTCCTTCGCCATGGCAACCAATTTGTGCACCTGGAGACACACAGCTGACTGGAAAGCTGCTTCTAACGGCCATATGAGACACATGAAACCAGGCTCAGTACACAGAGTACTGAGGGTTACATTTAAAACCCTACACTAGAGTGCTTGACAAACTTCAGCCCCTATCTCCTCCCACAAACTTTGAGCTACAGAAACCATTCAGGGCTCCAAAAATTCAGCTCATTGAGGACATTATGGGGTGTATTTAGGATTTTGTTAATTAATTGTATCAATATGTTCAGCAGAGTCGTGGGGTTCTCACAAGTTTCTTGTCATGAATGTAGCCGTTACAGAGAATGAGCATCAGGGCATAGTTTTGGATTTTTTTTCTCAGCTTCAAGTCTTCTTTCTCCTGCTGTAGTGATGCATCTACGATCCCCATGGCAACCAATTTGTGCACCTGGAGACACACAGCTGACTGTAAAGCTGCTTCTAATGGCCATATGAGACACATGAAGCCAGGCTCAGTACACATAGCACTGGAGGTGACATTTAAAACCCTTCACTAGAGCGCTTGACAAACTTCGGCCCCTGCCTCCTCCCACGAACTTTGACCTACAGAAACCACTCAGGGCTTCAAAATTTAAGCTCATTGAGGACATTATGGGGTGTATTCAGGATTTTTATTCATTTAAATTTTTCCCACTTTAAAACTCATTCTGTTATTAATACATTATTCAATTCTTCACACAAATCCAAACTCATTCAAACTGATTTAAACCTAATACTTCAAACTTGTCTAATACTTGAGGATTTTTAATTATTCAAATTTTCCCTGATTTTAAAATCATTCTCATTATTTTGCATTTATTAATACTTCAAACAGATTCACAGTTTTACTACTACAATTACTACTTATATCACTTTAACTTGTATCTTCACTTCTACCTCCACTACTCTTGCTTCTCTAAACATTTTTTTACAGCGTCTCTAACTTTTACTGCCACTATTGCTTCTACCACGAGCTTTACTGCTTTGACTTCTACTTCTTCTATTCTAAAACTACTTCTACTGCTTACATGACTACTAATATCACTACTACAACTACCTATTATAATACTACTTCTAGTACTACAACTTAAACTTCTTACTTTTCTGTGTTTTAAGGTAATTTTCTTCCTTATCCAATTTTTTTTTTGCAATTTCAGACAGTTTTTTCTAGCCTTATTCAGCATGAATGCAGTTTTAATTTATGAAGCACATTCATACTATTTGTACTTAAACAATTTTCACTTTCATCCAACTTCTAGTTCTTCTTCTTCTCTTTTTTTTTCAATTCATTATTTTTTTATTGATTTTATAGTTCAACATGTGCACATATAACCACATCCCTAAGACAATAACATGGAAACAAAAGACGGTATACGGTAAACAAAACACAAAACAAAAACAAAACAAAAGACAACACGTAATACAAACAGTGGGCAAGCAACACTAAACTCTTTACAGTTTGCAAAACCATATTTGACAATAATGCAGTATAGCAGTATTCGATCATTCCAACATTTTATTAGTTATGTCACTCCCATACAAAATACTTTTCTCCATTCTTCTTTTAAGAAACCAACAATTGGTGACCAGTCTCTGACAAATTCATCTAAATTAGTTTGCTAGTTTTTCATATCATAAATTAATATTTGGCGGGTCTTCGTCTAACCATTTCTGTAAAATTGAGACTCGTGCAGCGTACAAAGCAATTCTTAAACTATACCTATGCTGTACCTCATAGTCTAGATCTAATCCTGATACCAAGTTAATTGGTTTTAAGTGTATGTTTAATTGAAAGGCTTTTTGTATTTCCTTTCCTGTATTTCCCTGCATTTCAAGCATTGCCCAGAGCAATTTGGATCATATTTCATACGTATAATTGGGGTTATGTGCAGTCTGTGAATAATCTTAAATTGTGTATCATGGGTTTTATTGGAGCATGTGATCTTTTTTGCATTTAGCAGAATCTTTCTCCACTCTTTAACATCAACTTGGCATCCAAAATCTTCTGCCCACTTTGTCCTACTTCCAATATTATGGGTATTGGCAAACATTTGAGAATATATGTAACCAACCACTGTCCTATTCAAGGACGATGCTTTCAATACAATTTTTTTCTAAATTGTTCACCCTTGCTTCGTACTTGTAAAATGGTATCGACTGGATATAGCTCCAAAGTTGCAAGTATCGAAAAAAATGAGCTTGAGGTAGCTTAAATTCGGACTTAAGTTGGGCAAAGGATTTTAAGATATCGCTCAGGAATAGATCTTGGATCTTAAGGATACCAGCATCTTTCCAAACTCTAAACCCAGTATCAGAGCAGGATTGGGGAAAGTCAGGGTTATGGCACACAGGAGCAAGAATAGTATACCGATTAGTGACACCAAAATGCCTACGAATCTGGTTCCACGATTTAAGAGTATTTCTCACAATAGGATTTTCACTTATTCCAGGGAGTGAAATTGCCCCATTGATGAACAGCAGTTCGAAAAGAGCCGACCGACAACCGACGGCCTATAGGTCAAGGAAAGTTGAATTGGTATCATTTCTTATCCACTCCGCTATATATCTAACCTGAGAAGCCCATATAATATCCTCGGTAATACATTCATTTTTACAATGGCAATCTGGCCAAGTAATGATATTGATAAGGGGTTCCATCTTTGAAGGTGTGGTGAGACGCCTCCTCATCTTGTTTTATTTTGGCTGGACTTCCTTTGTTTCCCTGTTTGCCTGGTTTGGCTTTACTCTTTTCCAGGGCTTCCTCCCCTCCCCCGGCGCTGAGGCTGAGTGAGACCACACACCTGCTCCACATCTCCAATCAAGGCACTTTAAGAAGCCTGCAGCCCTCAGTCTCAGCGCCTGAGTATTGTCTACCCTTCCTCGTGGTAAAGACGCGTCTCCTGGCCAACTTCGTTTGTATAACCTTCAGAACTTTGCTCCTCGTGACTCTTTTCATGTTCAATAACTCCTGTCTCCTCTGGTTTTTCCTGCAGTGTCTCCAGCCCACACGACAGCCAGCCAACCAGCCTACCGGACATCCTCTGTTTGCATCTACTACCTTTTGTTTGGACATTAAAATTCACTTTAAGTTTATCTCTGTTTCCGTGTCTGCTTCTGGGTCCTCCCCACGAACCTGCCTCACCACAGAAGGTCTCTTTTAATTTTGCTCACCACTGGGTCTGGGTTCATTTTAATAAATTCCTCAAAATTGGGAGAGACGTGAATGCCTAAGTAGTTAAAGCCGTTAGGAGACAGCTGGAATGGAATATGATAATAATGGAATTCCTCAGGTCAGGACTCAGCTGTCCACCTTCACTTGAAGGATACGGGTCACTCTTTTGAGGACAGCGATGTACAGGTGTTGGCTCGAGAAGACAGATGGTTTGAAAGAGGAGTTAAAGAAGCCATCTTTACCAGGCTGGAGAAACCTTCTCTGAACAGAGGGGGTGGACTCAGGCACAATCTCTCTGGCACTTACAATGCAGTTCTCAGCTCTCTCCCCAGGAAGCTCCACAAACATTCACACCTGGAACCACATGACTCAGGTGGCATGAGTCATGTGGTCACATGATAGGAGTCGCTAACAACCCTTTCAGGATAACGACTTGGGGGGGGACACACCGAGAGATGGGTTTCTACGACCCATTCTTTTCAACTCCAGCCAGTCGTTAACTGTCCCCCTTCTCCAGTAAGATAAATATCTGCTCCTGACACTAGCACTTTTAGAACTGAAGAAGCTTCTTGGATAAGAGGCGAAACGTCTTCTCAACTCTACACAGTCCAGTTGCCTGTTTTTAAGTCTTCAAGATAACCATGACCTGAGATGAATGAGAATCTACATGGACATATTGGATCACACTTTGGGTCGGATACCCTTCAGCTGGTCCGGGAGCACGAGAAAACTTGCAGGAAGATGGCGGGTTACAGAAACCACCTCCGCTTCAACCTAAGATGCAGACAGCAAGGACTTGTTCCCAAAAGCCTACGCTTGTTTTCCACCGTTAAAGGGCACAGAGCAGACAGCATCCTTTGCAGGACACAGAAGCAGCTCCTCAATGAAAGGATTAGGCAGGTTAACTTCACCATCGAGGCCTTACAAGATAAAATACATCACACCAAGGAGACACTGGCATCCCGACTTCCAGAGGACATCCTCAACAAAGTCCACAACTTTGTTGACAAGGCTCAGAACTCTCAACACAACAAAGGCAAGATAAGGTAAACACAGAAATTTGACAGACTGCTCTCCAAGCACTCAAAGAGTCCATCAGAACTTGGTTGGAGGGACAAAACGGACAGCCACATAGATACCAACATGCAAGAAAAGTGGGTGAAGAATTTGTCAGACAGGGTCCTCACTCAGCCGGAAAAGGAAGTCCTTTACAAAGGACTTAATTTTGCAGTTACCCCTGAACAGATCCCGGTGGTAGACCTTATCACAGCCACGGAGTCAGCGATCCGCAACAACCATCTAGCGGTCACGGAGGCAGAACAACTTAGGTTGAAGGTAACAGCTGCTCTCTCGAATGCCAAAACACCTCCTTCCAACCTGACCATGCAGGAAAGAAGAGCCTTGGCATCACTGCAAAAAGATGAAAACATCACCATCCTGCCTGCAGATAAGGGGAGATGCACTGTGGTACTCAACACCAGGGATTACCATGACAAGGTAACAAGCCTTCTCAGTGACACTGCCACCTATGAAACTCTTAAACGGGATCCCACCAACAGCTACAAAAAGAAAGTTATCAGTGCACTTCAACAGCTCGAAAAGGATGGAGTTATCGACCGCCCACTCTATTACCGACTGTACCCAGGGGAAGCTGTCCCGTGCATTTATGGATTACCAAAAATACACAAGGAAGGGGCGCCCCTTAGACCTATCATCAGCAGCATTAACTCAGTCACATACAAAGTGGCAAAACATTTGGCCACCATCCTAGCTCCTCTTGTCGGCCACACCACTCACCACGTCAGAAACTCACAGGACTTTGCTGAGAAAATCAAGGACATCAGGTTGGACCCAGATGAAACCATGGTTTCCTATGATGTCACATCACTTTTCACATGTATTCCAACAACAGAGGCAGTCCAAGCAGTAAGACAACGCCTCTCACAGGACAGCACACTGGAAGTCAGAACCAACTTAACCCCGGACCACATCTGCTCCTTATTGGACATCTGCCTCAGCACCACCTATTTCCAGTTCAGAGAGCGCCATTACAGACAGAAACACGGATGCGCGATGGGCTCCCCGGTTTCTCCAATAGTGGCAAACCTGTACATGGAAGATGTAGAGAGGAAGGCCCTAACCTCTTTCAAGGGAGCCGCTCCTAGCCACTGGTTCAGATATGTGGATGACACCTGGGTTAAGATCAAAACACATGAAGTAGAGGCCTTCACTGACCATATCAACACAGTGGACAGCAACATCAAGTTCACCCGTGAAGATGTCAAGGACAAAGTATTGGCCTTTTTGGACTGTGCTGTACACTTGGAGGCAGATGGGTGTCTCAACGTTGAAGTGTACAGGAAACCAACACACACGGATCAATATCTACTCTTTGATTCCCACCATCCTCTGCAGCACAAACTGGGGGTCATCAGAACACTCAACCACCGGGCTGAGAACATTCCCACGAAGAAAGAAGGTAAGGAAAAGGAACAAAAGCACATCAAAAATGCCCTGACAACCTGTGGATACCCTAAGTGGGCCTTTGTAAAGAACAGAAAGAGAAATAACACTGAACAGGAAAGGGAGGAGAGACGCAAGAGCACTGAAATCCCTTGCGTTGCAGGCCTGTCGGAAAAACTCAAGAGGATCTTTGGCAAACACCACTTTCCTGTTCATTTCAAGCCTGGTAACACACTAAGGCAAAGGCTAGTCCATCCCAAGGACAAAACACCGAGACATAAACAGAGTAATGTGGTATATGCTGTCCAGTGCAGCGAGGAATGCTCAGACCTGTACATTGGGGAAACTAAACAACCGCTTCACAAGCGCATGGCTCAACACAGGAGAGCCACTTCCTCAGGTCAGGACTCAGCTGTCCACCTTCACTTGAAGGATACGGGTCACTCTTTTGAGGACAGCGATGTACAGGTGTTGGCTCGAGAAGACAGATGGTTTGAAAGAGGAGTTAAAGAAGCCATCTTTACCAGGCTGGAGAAACCTTCTCTGAACAGAGGGGGTGGACTCAGGCACAATCTCTCTGGCACTTACAATGCAGTTCTCAGCTCTCTCCCCAGGAAGCTCCACAAACATTCACACCTGGAACCACATGACTCAGGTGGCATGAGTCATGTGGTCACATGATAGGAGTCGCTAACAACCCTTTCAGGATAACGACTTGGGGGGGACACACCGAGAGATGGGTTTCTACGACCCATTCTTTTCAACTCCAGCCAGTCGTTAACTGTCCCCCTTCTCCAGTAAGATAAATATCTGCTCCTGACACTAGCACTTTTAGAACTGAAGAAGCTTCTTGGATAAGAGGCGAAACGTCTTCTCAACTCTACACAGTCCAGTTGCCTGTTTTTAAGTCTTCAAGATAACCATGACCTGGATGAATGAGAATCTACATGGACAATATGACCTAATAAATCTGAGCTTGTTGCGCTACCAAGTGGTAGAGCAAGGGATTTACAAAAATGAATCTTATATCCAGAAAACCTAGTAAACTCATTTATTATCTAACAGTTGGAATGGAGGATAATGGGTTATTTAAAAATAGAAGAATGTCATTGGCAAATAGAGAAATCTTATGAGTTTTTGTTTCAGTCTGGATACCGGTAACTGATGTACTGGACCGAATCATTTCAGCTAGAGGTTCCATTACTAGCGCCAATAACAAGGCAGACAGAGGACATCCCTGTTTTGTGCCCTTACTAATTGAAAAAGATGAGGAAGTTGTCCCATTGACTGCAACAGATGCCTGTGGAGCCACATATAACAGCTTGAGGTTTTAAACATATACTTCCACTCAGTGCGGTCAAACGCTTTTTCTGCGTCGAGAGTTACAACTAAAGAGTTTGTTTTCTTAATTTTAATGTACTGCATGATGCTCATTATTTTCTGATATTAATGTATGATTGTCTTCCCTGTACAAAACCAGACTGGTCGTTTCTGACGATTTTAGGTATTATATTATTAAGTTTAGATGCAAGGAGTTTTGCTAGGATTTTACAGTCAATGTTTTGAATGCTTATTGGCCTATACGATGCAGGGTCATGTGGGTCTTTATTTTCCTTTAGTATTACATTAAAGGGGACCTGCCACCAAAATTTCATACCCATTTTTATCATTTTTTTATAATCCTTGATGTCCTCTGATCATGTTTGCAACATAATTTTAGCTGAAAAGTTATTTGATGGTTTGTTTTAGTATGCCTAAAAAACCTTACAGGAAAACCAACTGGTTTTGGCTTATTAACATTTATGGTAATGAGCTTTGCTCTGATTTGATCGCTGCTGTGAAGCCTGCTGTGCTCTGATTGGCTCAGCAGTGGAGGTTCGGATTTCGGTTTATCCATTGTTATTATGCTAATGCTAATAGCATATGCTAATGTGTGCTAAAGTAAGGTGCCCAGATGTCTGTAATGATATCCGGGGATATTCGGTGCGGCGGCGGCGGTGCAGGGGCTGCAGGGGCTGTGTGATCACAGACAAAGTCTCGGTACTATTTAGTAGCAGCGCATGCCCCTTGTAATAACCTCCTTAAAAACTGTTGTTCAGGACTGCTAACTTGTGCTTCCTACCTATTCGGCTACTGTAATAACCGTTGTTCGAGCCCACACGCAACATTTTTGTTCTCAATCATGAAACGCTGAAATCGGGGACATTTTCGGGGACAGCTTTTGCCGGGACAGGTCATCCAATACGGGGACTGTCCCCGGAAATCGGGGACGTCTGGTCACCTTATGCTAAAGGCTAAAAATGGCAGGTATTAAACCATTTATTTTAGACCCAGAGTCCGAAGAGGAGGTGGAAGTTGAAGAAGAAGCCGGAGAGCTCTAGCGGTGTTTTCTTATTCATTCTGCCCAGCTTTAAGTTCATTTTCCCAGCAGTAAACCCAAGGAAACACCGGTCGTTTGGAAGAGCCCCATTGCGGATACAGTGGTAGCTGGGTCTCGCTCTGGAGAGTGATGTTCACTGTGACTGGGTACGAGAACGAGAGAGTGGGCGCGGCTCACCGAGGACACGCTCGTGAATAATAATGAGCAACGTCAGAGCGAGGTCAGATGGACCTGCTTTTTCAATTGACCTGGTTTACCCGTTCCTTTATTTTAAACCTTTACAGAATGCAAACGACTTAACGGTTTGTTTTCACATTTACAACATAAGACGAACATAATATGGACCTTATCTGACACAAAAAATACAAAAAATTACATTTTTATGGCAGGTCCCCTTTAATAGTAGCCATTCGCAGTGATTGGGGAAGTTGTTTTATTGATAATGAATGTTTAAACATTCTAACTAGTAGAGGGGCAAGGGTCCCTTTAAGTATTTTATAAATCTCTGGTGGAAGGCCATCGGGCCCACAAGCTTTCCCAGATGCTAGTGTGTCAATCACCTCTTCAATTTCGTTACTACTGATATCCATATCAGCTAAGTTCTTATCCTCTTCTGAAATTTTAGGAAGGTTGATGTGCTGGAAAAAGCTATTCATTTTGTCTTCTGTTCCCATTGATTTTGAGGTATATAAAGATGAATAAAAATCATTAAAGGCTCTGGCTATTTCATGTGTTCGATATTGTAGCTTACCATTCTTGTCCCTAATTGCAGAAATTGAATTATTCAAGTTTGTATTATTAACTTTGACAAGTAACGCCCAGCTCTATTGGCGTGTTCATAAATTTTATGCTTTTGCTTAAACAAAGCCTTTTCTGCACTTTGGGACAGGAGTGTATTAAGTGCTGTTCTAGTTCTTATAATTTTCTCCCAGTTGCTTCTCCCACCGGTACACTTTTGCTCCATTTCAGCTTCCTGTAATTGTAATTCAAGCCCTCTCTGTTCTTGCAGCTTTCTTTTCTTCTTAGTTGTACAATAAGAGATGATTATACCCCTTAAAAAGGCTTTTATCGTTTCCCATAAGTTTGATGGGTTAGTATCGTCATTATCATTCTCTTGTATAAACCTTGCCAGTTCTCTTTGTGCCAATGAACAAAAGATAGGATCAGAGACTATTGATCTGTTGCATTTCCAACTATACCCCTACGAGCTACCAGAGATTGAGCTGACTAAGAAGACGGGAGCATGGTCTGAGATATGGATAGAACCAATATAGCATTCCTCCACTGAATCCGTGGGATGACAAAATAATCCAATCTGCTCCAGGATTGGTGGGGAATAGAATGAAAAGTATAGTCTCTATTATTAGGGTTTAGCATACGCCAAATGTCTGTCAGACCCCCTCGTTTAGCATTAGCTGAATAGCCTTTTGCCTGGGGCTTAGTATGGCTGAGGTAGCTGTCGGTTGTTTATCCCACATCCCATCTTGAACAGAATTCCAGTCTCCACCACAGATTGTAATAGGGCAACTATATTTCACCAATAAGGAAGTTAATTTAGTAAACATATTCAATTCGATGTTTGGAGCTGCATACACATTCAAAATGCTTACATTTTCGCCTTACAAAACCCCATGGAGAAATATATAACAACTGTCTGGATCAGATTCATAATGTTCTACTTTTAAAGACAAGTTTTTGTGACTTAAGATAGCAACTCCCCTACTTCTACTATTATAAGATGAAGAAAATACTTGTCCAACCCAGTCTCTTTTTAATTTAGAATGTTCCACACTAGTTAAATGAGTCTCCTGTAACATCCCAACAGATACTTTCTCCTTTTTCAATATTCCAAGAGCAAGTTTTAATGGAGTTTTTAAGTGACATAGGATCCTAAATCAGTACTATAGTATTGATTGTACTTTAACCACCACATGCATAATACATTATGAGATGCTGGTTTGCTGGCAACGCACACGGATACAAACACACTCACAGAACAAAATACAGTAAGAGAACAAAAAACAGGAAACAAAAAAACAAAAAACATTTACTACCAAATGCCAAGATGGTAGTAGTGCACCCTTGTGCGACATAAAGTAGCCCCCCCCCCCCCCCACTCAAACAGTAATAGGCCAAGCACAAGGCTAATTGACCTGCGATCTGCCTAACCATTTCCTCACCCTATATAGGAAGGAGCTATTGTCTGTCGTCTCAGAAGAACGAAACGTTATTTAACCAGAACTGCTGTCGTTTCGTTAGTTTCTCTTATATGCAGTTTAGTTTTGAATCACTTAAAAAAAAAATGAAATCAAGAGAACTATAGTGCTTTGTTGACCTAGACCTTTTTTTTAGAAATTATAAAATATAATAATCATGTCGGCCACATTGCTGAACCACTCCAAAAAGCCAAGCAGCAGACCTAGACGGCTGCACTCCAAGAACACGGGCATGCTGCTGATATTGCTGACATACAGCCATCCAGGCCCATCACTCAACCCCTCAGAACAATTCAGCAATGCGGCCAACATGAAAGTATTAAGAGAGTAGCCTTCACATGGCTAGCAGAAAGTAACAGGATAGGTAAATTAAATAATTGGGTTCCATAGCAATTAATTAAACTGAAATACAAACACGCTATCATTGTGATAATCATGCTGACGTAGTCGATATAGTTGTTATCCCACTTTTGTCAATCAAAAAAAATAATAAAAAAAATAAAAACATAATGGAGTATTTCAATGTTAACATCAAGACACCATCATATTACCTAAATTAAAATACATAAGTTTAGTAATGACCGTAACAGAAATAATGTTGTGTATTGGTCAAGAATTGGTCAAGAATTAAACTAAGGAGAGCAAACCAGATCAATCAACAGTCATTAATTGGCATAAGCTTTGAACCATCAGTGGGCCATTAAAATAAGTAACGTTTAACATATTTGTTTCTTTTGTGTCCAAGACCCACTGGTGAGACTGTTTTCGAACAGCTCAAAATACACATTAACAAAAAGTCGCCGGCGACAGAAAATGACATGCTGCACTTTTAGTACCGTAACTCTTGAACCATTTGCGCTATCAACATAATTCCAACGGATTCTGAAAGCTGAGACTCTAAGCTTTGCGCTGATATATGATACATTACGGTAAGGACAGCGGCCTTGTGCTGATTCGCGGATCAAAACACATGACGTGAGGGAGACTTTGGAGCAGAGAGAGTGCAGATCTGGGAGATTCATCGGAGATTTAGCGGAGTTTTAGCGGAGTTTTAGAGGTAATTTAGCTGTTTATCTTTGTATATATTATATTAATCGTTGTATATATTATATTTAATGTTGTTTATCATAGTGTTAGAGTTCATTTTATAAGTTTTGAGTGTCGTTTTGCCGTGTTTTGTGCCGTGTTCTTGCCTTAGCACGACCGTTTTTAGCTAGTTCCTTTAGTATTGATTGTAATAGTGGAGGCAGAAATGTTGAGATCTGCAAGAAAGATGAGACTTCCAGCTCAATTTGTGGAGGAGGAAGAGAAGATGGAGATGCAGGAGGAGGCAGGGGGTGTGTCTCCATCCCAAACACAGTAAGTAAATAGTATGCATACTCCCAAATTTAGTTCTAATATAATGATATCATTATTTGAATTCATAATATTTTGTAAATAAATACTTTTTATTTATGATTATCTCCTCAATACATTTTTACAGATTCTTCTGATGAGGGACCATCAAAAAGGACAAGGCGGGGACGAAGTCTGGTCTGTGGCCAACGCAGGCAGCACAGCAGCAGCAGTGGTGGTCCTGATGCTGCTGGTGATGCTCCTGCATGTCATTCACCACAACTGCAGGAGGCCTGGAAGACAGAGGCAGACCCTGACCTAGGCCTGGACGATATAGAAAAAAAGCATATCGATAAAAAATAAATCATATTGATCGATATCAATAATTATCGATATAATTATTATAATTATTTAACATATATTTTAATTGCAGCCCTGGATGTTTTATGCTATTGCTTAATGACCTACTTTTAATAAAGAACACAGAAGCACTGAATTCAAATTCAAACCTTTATTCAACCACCTTTTTTATTTTACCACAACTGAAAGTTTTTAAAAAAAGAACTAAAAAAAAAAAGAAATCAACTTAAGGGGCCTGAGTGACGTCAGTAAATACTGACAAACATAAAGACTAAAGTGACCAGAAAATCTGATAAATAAATATTTAAATAGTCTTTTGATGAAAATAAACAAAACAAACAAATATATAAATAAACAGAATAGCTTTAGGTGGGAATAACATACTACCAGTTTTAACTGTGTGAGAAACTGCCCACAGCCTGGTGTCTGAACACTGAAATATTTCTCCCGGGGTCGAGAGATTTATTTTTTTTAATTATCATGTGATTGACTTGATACGCAAACTGAGCACGAGAAGCAGGACTTATCCACGCCGGTGTTGTGTCGTAGAATGCACCCCTGCCGAATGCACCCCCTGCTAGTAGCCATGATCCAAATACTCGCGTCTTTGTAAAATATGAGCTCATTTTCTTCCACTTTAAGAAGCTAATGAGTGGACGGGATGCAGGGGTGCATTCTTCTCACCTTTTCAACCCCTGACCCATTTTCATGACTGAAGCGCTGTGTTTGAGAAATACTTGCGGCCGGGCACTTCATATCGCGGGTCGAGAGTGGCTAGAAGCTGGTCGAAGCCAGGCTTTTCAACGGTAGTTATTGGCAGTATGTCCCTCGCTATGCAGCATGTTACTGCATGGGTGATGTCCTTATGCCGCTCGGGCGCTTTGTCGTATTTTGACAAGAAACGAAGTCCAGTTTGGTCTGCTTCACTTGCTTTGTGCTGGTGCTGGCAGCGGTTCCAGAGGATTCCTCCGACGACGACGTGGAGCCGCGGCGCGGCCGACACAGCTCGTACTCCTGCGGGTGCGACCGGTTTAGATGGTAAAACAAGTTGGTTGTGTTACCAGACTTGGTTTTTATTAATTCTCTGCAAATTTTGCAAACGACCGCTGTTCGCTTTTTGTCAGACTTCTAAAAACCAAAACATTGCCATGCTGGTGAACTACTGACAATGTCCTCCGCTTCTCCTTGCTGTATCATTTTTTCTAATACACGTGCTGTCTGTTGTGGTTTGATAGGGGCTGGGCTTGGTGCCATAGCGTACCTGGGTCTGCGTTTGTGATTGGTTGGGAGGAAGTAATGACTGTAGCAAAAGCTACATGATAGGCTATGATGAAAAAGAAAGGGAAACTGTGTTTTTCTATCGAACATTTTATCGACCCGTTTTTTTTCTATCGCACCACACGTCTATCGATCGATATATATTGTTATCGAATTATCGTCCAGCACTACCCTGACCCTCATCCAACAAGTACATGGGAGGGGTGGACACTTCTGACCAGATGTTGGGCACCAACTCTGTCCACAGGAAGACCAGAAGATGGCCCATGACTGTGTTTCAACACCTTGTGGATACAGCTGCAACAAACAGCTATATCCTCCACAAAGAAATCAGTGTGACACAGAAGAGGAAGCTCATGACACACTAGGCTTTCCAGGAGAAGCTGTGTGCCGAGCTGCTTGGTGTGCCACTCAATCCACCGCCCAAGACCCCCACACCCCCCACTCAAGGCTGCTTTCCTGTCCCCACCAGCAGAGGGCAGTCAATGGAGAAAAGGCAGAGAGACAGCCAGGGGAGAAAACAATGCACTCCCTGGAAGTGTGAAGAGTGTAGAGTTGGACTCTGCCTTCAATTAGATAGGAATTGCTACAGGGAGTTTCATTCCTAAAAAAACGCCTGGTTATTAGTAGACTTTTTCAAGCAGTAACAGGTGAAAAGAAGGTTCCAGGAAAACAAAACTGCTTGAGTTGTTGTATTATAGTTCAAATAATGTTTTTGTCATCTCAGAATCTTTGGACCTGTACATCTTAAGTGTTAACAAATACAAAACTTTCTAAAAAATCAGTTCCGTTTTTTGTTTTTGTTGTAATTTCACACAGTTTAACTATACATAACATGTTAAAAATGTAAAATACTTGAGAGATTTTTAAGTTTAACTTATCTTGAAGAAAGGGGCAAAATATTTCACACAAAAGACACTTTTTGACACATTTACAGCTAAAAAAAGAGAATAATGACCAGGCGGACTGTTAATATTACAGGCTTAAAAGGGTTAAAAGGCTAACTAAAGTAAGGTATACAATAAGCTCTCAGGGGAGAAAAAAAGGGGGGGTGGGGGCTCATATTAATAAACTTAAATTAATTTAGCAAAGATGAAAACAGTACTAGTTGTAATAAACCAAGAACAAAACTAAAATGAATTTACCAAATCAACACTCAGTAATTTGTTGACTTGATCTTTAAACCATCCGTGGGTCTTAGGATACCGTTTAACATAGTGGAGTTCTTCTTCTTCAGACCTTTAACCAATTTTACATTTAAACCTTCCTCCATTTTTTTTAGTAGCTTTGCATTGCTTTTTTAACCTACAGCAATCAGCAGTTCCACGCATTTTCTGCAAGGAAATGCAATTTTTCTTGTTAAACTTATTATTCTTCCGTACCTTTTTTGGACCGCTTCTCCTTCAAACTTTGTGCGATTTCAACCGTTCAAACTATTCCACTCCTTCAGGACATGTGCGGATGTATTTTTTTTTCTACCCTTTACACTTATTGTTTTTTTTTTACTTTTTGTGCAAAAATTTTAACATTGAAGTCAATGGGGAAATCTTCTAATTCTTCCTTTTATTCTTCAACCTTCTGAGCCTTATAACTTCAGCATACTTTCACCTAGAGACCTCATTCTTGCTTTAAAATGATCATTAACTTGTCAACTATTAATGTTGTATCAGTATCATCATTTTCCACAATTTAGCTTTAAGCACCTCATGGTTTTCAGCAAATTTCAGGCTTTATAATGGGTGTGTATTGGAAGAGCTAGAGTGGAGAAGACTTTTTCAATCGACAAAACCTCGCTCAATATATCGCTCCCACGCCCACAAATTTCACTCCACAGCCATATAAAAAACATCAAAATGGAGGAAAATAAGTCCTGCCTCTCACAAAAGAGGTTTCAAATCATTAAATCATACCCCTTGGCCAGCAGGTGACCAACTGTCCAAAAATGGCAAAGAACCCTCGCATTGGCCCAAATGTAATTTTTCTCCAAAAAAATCCTGATTATCACTCAGGCCCAGACTTTTTTAACTCGCTGTTGTGGCCACATTTTTTTAGAGTACAGTCATAAAAAACACATCATTGTGTTCATGAAGGGCGGAGGATTCATATGATGTTCTTATTTTCATTCTGGGATTTAAGGAAATCACGCTATGTAAAGAAGTTCAGAGGCCTTAAATTCAGTGCAGTTAGGCAGCTTCTCAGTCAAACAGTAGGTCAGTTATTAAGTGGAAATGCTGATTAAGCATTTCCACTTATTGTTATTCTCCTGTTTCTTTAATCTTATTGTTCTTCCGCCGATTTTTGGACCGCTTCTCCTCCTTCAAACTTTGTCCGATTTCAACTGTTCAAACTTTAAACTATTCCACTCCTTCAGGACATTATGGCGTCTATTTTTTTTCTATCTACCCTTTATACTTTTTTTTTTTTAACTTTTTGTGCAAAATTTGTACCATTAGAAATGAATGGGGAAATCTTAAAATCTACCTTTTCCTCTTCCACCTTCTGAGCCTTATAACTTCAGCATACTTTCACCTAGAGACCTCATTTTTGCTTTAAAATGTTCATTCACTTGTCGACTATTATAGTTTAACTCAGTTTTTTGATATCTTTTACAGTTTTTCCACAATTTAGCTTTAAGCAACTTGTGGTTTTCAGCTAATTTTCAGGCTTTATAATGGGTGTGTATTGGAGAGGCTAGAGTGACGGTTTGAAAAGCTAGAGTGCAGACCTCGTCTCTGATGGACAGACCCTCGCTCGAATATATCGCTCCCACGCCCACAAATCTCACTCCACAGCCATAAAAAATACATCAAAATGGAGGTATATGTGTCCTGCTTCTCACAAAAGAGGTTTCAAATCATTAAATCCTACCCCTTGGCCAGCAGGTGACCAACTGTCCAAAAAAGGCGGAAATCTCTCCCATTGACCGTAATGCAATCTTTCTCCAAGAAAATCCGGATCATCGCTCAGGCTCAGACTTTTTTAACTCGCTGTTGTGGCCTCATTTTTCGAAGTACAGACATGAAAAACACATCATTGTGTTCATGAAGGACGGAGGATTCGTACGATGTTCTTATTTTCATTCTGGGACTTAAGGAAATCATGCTATGTGAAGAAGTTCACAGGCCCTAAATTCACTGCAGTTCAGCACCTCTTAGTCAAACAGTAGGTCAGTGATTAGCCTTTGATCTCACAGCTGTTTAGGATGCAATCATTAACGACACACACACACACACACACACACACACGCACACACACAAACACACAAACACCTTCTTGTAATTGTTGCTTTGTGAGGTCTACCTTGCAGTTCAGCTGCTTGTACACACAGTTAATATGTGTCTGCTTCACCACCTATCTCCACCCACAAACTTTGAGCTACAGAAACCATTCTGGGCTTCAAAAATTCAGCTCATTGAAGATATTATGGGGTGTTTTGAGGATTGTGATAATAAATTGTATTAATGTGTTCAGCAGAGTCTTGTGTTCTCACAACCTCCTTGTCATGAATATATACCGAGGATGAGCGTCAGGGCCTACTTGGAGTCCTGTTTCATTAGATTCAAGCCTTCTTTTTTTGATTTATTATTTAATTTGTAAACTAATTTAAACTCATTCAAACTCATTCATACCTTTCTGATATTTAAAATCTTACTGATACTTGAGGATTTTTAATTATTTAAATTTTCCCTGTTTAAAATTATTTTTAATATTTATGCAATATTCCATCCTTCAAACAAAATCCCACCTCTAGAGCTACAACTACTGCTAATGTCAATTAAACTAGTACTTTCCCCTCTACTTTAACTGCTGTTGCTCCGATTTCTACTTTCTCTACTGCTGCTATTGCCTCTATTTCTACTTTCTCTACTACTTTGACTTATACTTCTTGTTTTCTCAAACTACTTCTACTGCTGACATGACTACTAATATCACTACTCGATTACTTATCATACTACTTCTAGTACTACAACTTAAACTTATGCCACTTCTCACCTTCCTGCCTTTAAAGGCAATTTCCTTCTTCATTCAAAATTTGTGCAATCATAGACATTTTTCTAGCCTCTTTTAGCATGAATAAAATTTCCTTTTATAGAGCATATTCATAGTATTTGTCCTTCAACCAATTAATCAATTATCCAACTTATATTTCTTTTTCACCCCTTCAACAGCTTTAACATTTATACCTTTCTCCATGTTTTATGAGCAGTTTAGCATTGCTTTTTCTTATTATTCTTCCGCCGATTTTTGGACCGCTTCTCCTCCTTCAAACTTTGTGCGATTTCAACCGTTCAAACTTTAAACTATTCCACTCCTTCAGGACATGATGGCGTCTATTTTTTTTCTTTCTACTCTTTATACTTTTTTTTTTTTTTTTTACTTTTTGTGCCAAAATTTTAACATTGAAGTCAATGGGGAAATTTTCCAATTCTTCCTTTTTTTCTTCCGCCTTCTGAGCCTTATAACTTCTGCATACTTTCACCTAGAGACCTCATTTTTGCTTTAAAATGTTCATTCACTTGTCGACTATTAAAGGTGTACTTAGTTTTTTTGATATCTTTTACAGTTTTTCCACAATTTAGCTTTAAGCAACTTGTGGTTTTCAGCAAATTTTCAGGCTTTATAATGGGTGTGTATTGGAGAGGCTAGAGTGATGATGTCATCGCTAGAGTGGACAGCTCCCCTTTTTTTGACATAACCTCGCTCGAATATATTGCTCCCACGCCCACAAATTTCACTCCACAGCCATAAAAAATACATCAAAATGGAGGTACATGTGTCGTGCTTCTCACAAAAGAGGTTTCAAATCATTAAATCCTACCCCTTGGCCAGCAGGTGACCAACTGTCCAAATAGGCGGAAATCTCTCCCCATTAGCCCTAATGTAATTTTTCTCCAAGAAAATCCGGATCATCGCTCAGGCTCAGACTTATTTAACTCGCTGTTGTGGCCACATTTTTCGGAGTACAGACATGAAAAACACATCATTGTGTTCATGAAGGACGGAGGATTCGTACGATGTTCTTATTTTCATTCTGGGACTTAAGGAAATCGTGCTATGTGAAGAAGTTCACAGGCCCTAAATTCACTGCAGTTCAGCAGCTTCTCCATTCAAACAATAGGTCAGTTAATGGCTTTGATGTCACAGCTGTTTAGGATGCAATCATTAACGAGACACACACACACACACACACACACACACACACACACACACACACACACACACACACACACACACACACACACACACACACACACACACACTCTTGTAATTGTTGCTTTGTGAGGTCTACCTGGCAGTTCAGCTGCTTGTACACACAGTTAATATGTGTCTGCTTCACCACCTATCTCCACCCACAAACTTTGAGCTACAGAAACCATTCTGGGCTTCAAAAATTCAGCTCATTGAAGATATTATGGGGTGTTTTGAGGATTGTGATAATAAATTGTATTAATGTGTTCAGCAGAGTCTTGTGTTCTCACAAGCTCCTTATCATGAATATATACCGAGGATGAGCGTCAGGGCCTACTTGGAGTCCTGTTTCATTAGATTCAAGCCTTCTTTTTCCTGCTATAGTTATGCATCCAAGGTCCCCATGGCAACCAATTTGTGCACCTTGAGACACACAGCTGACTGGAAAGCTGCTTCTAATGGCCATATGAGACACATGAAGCCAGGCTCAGTACACATAGCACTGGGGATGACACTTAAAACCCTTTCCTAGAGCGTTTGAAAAAACTTCAGCCCCTATCTCCTCACATGACCTTTGACCTACAGAAACCATTCAGGGCTTTAAAATTTAAGCTCATTGAGGACATTATGGGGTGTATTCAGGATTTATATTCATTTAAATTTTTCAAATTTTAAAGTCACTCAGTGATAATTTATCATTTAATTTTTCAAACTAATTTAAACTCATTCAAACTGATTCAAACCTTTCTAATACTTAAAAACTTTCTGATACTTGAGGATTTTTAATTATTTAAATTTTCCATGTTTAAATTAGTTTTCATATTTATGCATTTTTCCATCCATCAAACACAATCCTACCTCTAGTAGTACATACTGCTAATGTCAATTAAACTAGAACTTTCCCCTCTACTTCAACTGCTATTGCTCCTATTTCTACTTTCTCTACTGCTGCTATTGCTACTATTTCTACCTTCTTTACTGCTTTGACTTATACTTCTTTTTTTCTGAAACTACTTCTACTGCTGACATGACTACTAATATCACTACTCGACTACTTATCATACTACTTCTAGTACTACAACTTAAACTTATGCCACTTCTCACCTTCCTGTCTTTAAAGGCAATTTCCTTCTTCATTCAAACTTTGTGCAATTTAAGACATTTTTCTAGCCTCTTTTAGCATGAATAAAATTTCCTTTTATAGAGCATATTCATAGTATTTGTCCTTTAACCAATTAAACAATTATCCAACTTATATTTCTTTTTCACCCCTTCAACAGTTTTAACATTTATACCTTTCTCCATGTTTTATGAGCAGTTTAGCATTGCTTTTTCAGCTTTCAGCACTCAGCATTTCCACGCATTTTCTGCAAGGAAATGCAATTTTTCTACTTGCCTTTGATGTCTGACACCTGTTAAGAAGGATTAATTAACATACACACACACACTCTAACAATGTGTGTGCATGTGTCTCTCTCTATCTATGAGACCTACATGTACACACAGTAAATATGTGTGTGCTTGAGTCCCTCTCTGTCTATGAGACCACAAACTTTGAGCTGCAGAAACCATTCAGGGCTCCAAAAATTCAGCTCATTGAGGACATTATGGGGTGTATTTAGGATTTTGTTAATTAATTGTATCAATGTGTTCAGTAAAGTCTTGTGGCTCTCACAACCTCCTTATCATGAATGTAGCCGTCACAGAGTAAGAGCATCAGGGCATAGTCTGGGATTTTGTTTCTCAGCTTCAAGTCTCCTTTCTCCTGCTGTACTGATGCATCTACCGTCCCCATGGCAACCAATTAGTGCACCTGGAGACACACAGCTGACTGGAAAGCTGCTTCTAATGGTCATATGAGACACATGAAGCCAGGCTCAGAACACAGAGCACTGGGGGTGACATTTAAAACCCTTTACTAGAGCGCTTGACAAACTTCAGTCCCTGTCTCCTCCCACAAACTTTGACCTACAGAAACCATTCAGGGCTTCAAGATTTCAGCTCATTGAGGACATTATGGGGTGTAATTAGGATTTTTTTTCATTTAAATTTTTCCCATTTTAAAGTCACTCAGTGATGATTTATTATTTTATTTTTCAAACTAATTTAAACTCATTCAAACTGATTCAAACCTTTCTGATACTATAAAACTTTCTAATACTTGTGGATTTTTAATTATTGAAATTTTCCCTGATTTGAATTAGTTTAAATTAGTTTTAATATTCATGCATTATTCCATCCTTCAAACAAAATCCCACTTCTAGTACTACAACAACTGCTAATATCAATTAAACTAGTACTTTCCCCTCTACTTCAACTGCTATTGCTCCTATTTTTACTTTCTCTTCTGCTGCTATTGCTACTATTTCTACTTTCTCCACTACTTTGAATTATACTTATTTTATTCTTAAACTACTTCTACTGCTTACATGACTAATATCACTACTTTGACTACTTATCATACTACTTTTAGTACTACAACTTAAACTTATGCCACTTCTCACCTTCCGGCCTTTTAAGGCAATTTCCTTCTTCATTCAAACTTTGTGCAATTTTAGACATTTTTCTAGCATCTTTCAGCATGAATAAAATTTTCTTTTATAGAGCTTTTTCATACTATTTGTCCTTCAACCAATTTAACAATTATGCAACTTCTATTTCTTTTTCACCCCTTCAACAGCTTTTACATTTAAACCTTTCTCCATGTTTTATTGGCAGTTTAGCATTGCTTTTTCAGCTTTCAGCACTCAGCATTTCCACGCATTTTCTGCAAGGAAATGCAATTTTTCTAGTTTTTTTTATGATATTTGTACGGTGGCCGAGAACCGCCATTGCAAATAAAAAAGAATGCAAAAAAAAGCCATGATTTAAGTTAGAGACACAAGGAAAAAAAAAAGAATGGAACAATGAAAGTTAATGACACAAAATAAAAAGTGGCAATCCAAAAAAAAAAGAGAAAGTCTCTTACAGCGAACATAAAAGGATGCAAAAAAAAGAAAAGAAAAAACTAGCAATGCAAAAAAAAGTTACTTAGTGCAGAACAAAAGGATGCAAAAAAAGCCACAACAGAAGTTAATGAAAAAAGTAGCAATGCAAAAAAAGGAAAAGTTTCTTACTGCGAACATAAAAGGATGCAAAAAAAAGCCACAACAGAGGTTAACCATTAAAAAAAAGTAGCAATGCAAAAAAAGTCACTTTCTGTAGAACAAAAGGATGCAAAAAAAAGCCACAACAGAGGTTAACCATTAAAAAAAAGTAGCAATGCAAAAAAAAAAAAGTTTCTTACTGCGAAAATAAAAGGATGCGAAATTAAAAAGCCACAACAGAAGTTAACCATGAAAAAAAAGTGGCAATGCAAAAAAAAAAAAAAATGAAAATAAAACTTTCTTACTGCAAAAAAAAAAAAAAAAAAAAGGATGTACAAATAAAAAAAGCTGCCGGGGACCAATAATGAAGATGCACCGGTGTTTTACGATCTTGGCACAGAGGACGATGGCGAGAAGATGAGCAAAGAAGTAAGTGGAAAGGTTATTGTTTAATTTCGCTTCATAAACTTTTCAGTGTTTCATTTTTTAAGACCATGTAGTTCCTGAATCCATATGAAGTTGAACCGAAGCTGTTGCTACACCGACATCCTCCATCCTATTTGCATCTTTTTATTTTTGCAGTAAGAACCTTTTTTTTTTATTTTGCGTCGTTAACTTCCAATGCTGCTTTATTTTTATTTGCACCTTTTTTTTTTTGTTTGCAGCAGGCTTCGTTTTCTTTTTTTGCACCAGTACCTTCTATTGTGACTTTTTTTTTTGCATCCTTTTTTTTATTTGTAGCAGTGGCGGTTCTCTGCCACCGTATGTATGATTACAGAGGCCAAAGTGTCTGCTTCTCTGAGTTTAGACCTGATCATCCCAGAGTTATAGGACTTCCTTCTTTATTAATCAGATAATTATCATGTTAATTCAGGGAAAAACAGACACTCTATTAATCAGAATCATTTCTCTTAATTTCACTGGTCGTTATCTCGTTGATACAAAACAACAGCGATGAAGAAATTCAGAAGTAATTATCTCCTAAATTCACTGACACATTTTACCTCATGACCTTTGTGTTAAATACAGAGTGGCCTACCATAAAACAATATCATGAAATTTAACTATATATATATATTTTTTCAAACTATTATTAACAAAATCAGATTTTTCTTTTACATAATCTTTTTCCTGAACCGACGGTGGATTCGCATTCATCTTCAGGTACAGCATTAACCTGAGATTATTAACCTTATAGTTCAATACTAACATCAGTTCCTCCTGTTTAAACAATACTTTAATAATAATAATAATATGATAATATTGATTATATTGTGGAGTTTTACTGATGGATTGATTTGTTGATATCATTTTCATGATTAATCCTAATCTCCAGTTACTGAAAATAAAGTTAATTTAAAATCAAACACAAACTTCTCATCCAAAGAAAAACATGTGTTTGCAGTGATCTTGATTTTGTTCCTGGAGCTGTACATAGATATGTGTACTGTATATGTTCAGTACATATATGTGAGCAGTACGGGGCGCTGCAGACAACAGGGACCTGATGGACACTTGACACAAAACTTATAAACCTGATCAGCCGTAACATGACGTTAAAACCATAGAAAACATCTCAATAAAACAATAAAAAATAAAATATTCTTCTGTTTGATAAATGAGATGATTTTATTCAGGAACAGACAGTGAGAAGGTTTTATTAAAGTGTCAGAGATAAATCCAACATGGCAGAAAACTCTGAAGCTAACAGGCTACATGCTAATCTCTCAGTCTGACCCTGTTCTGACCCGGGTCTGTACCAAGTCTGACCATGGTCTGACCCCGGACTGGTCCAGTTTTGATCCTGCTGACTTGGATTAACCACTAGCCGGAAACTCAGAGTCAGTGTTGGCTCAACCTCAGTGATTTTAATGATACTGATCTAAGCTCTAGTTTGACTTGGTTAAGATCGTCTCACTCGCTCAGGTGTGCGCTCGCTCAGGTGTGCCGTTACAGCCAGATATCAGAGGTACAGTCTCCACCAGGATACCTGAGCTCGTGGGCCAGAGCCGGACCCTCAGGCTCTTTACCGAAATCCACCAGGAATTTTTCATTCAGAGTCAGACCTCCTTTATCTGTGTTCACATCGATCTGCATCATCACAGAGCCCTCCCTGTGGGAGACAAAGAGAGAGAGACAGACAGACAGAGAGAGACAGAGAGACAGAGAGAGGTTATTCTGGGTCAGATCTCAGCGGGCCAACAGTGTAGACCAGCGTTGTTCCAAAACCCTTTATGTGGATCTGAGGATCCAGACGAGGGAAATCAGAGGAGTGGTGAGAGAGTTTACACAGAGAAGCCTTCCCTGAAGTCTTTTCACTGTCCGACACACCCCCTTATCAAATACCACTCCCTGATTGGACGTTGAAGTGTACAGAAGCTCTTCTTATGTTGAAATCTGTCATTAAACTGTGAGAGCTGAGACGACAAATCTCTAAATATTGAGGATCAACATCAACTCAGTAAACAGGATCAGAGTCTTCCAGAGTCGCCTTAAAACGGTCCTCTTATCTGATATCACAGATGGATAAGTCTAACCCCTGATTTCCACCACATCCTGAACATCTACTAAAAGGTTGTATCCTCCGATCATATCTGATCGTAACCATTCAAGTTAATGTGTCAATTTCCACCAGGTCCTTTACGTTTCTCTGCGGATCGCCTGACTCCACAGCTGATCGCAAGAGTTCTATTTTTTCGGGACGCCAGAGCATGCCAGATAAATTCAGCACAGATTAACCCGTGCTGGAAAGGAAGTCAGCCACAGACACAAAATAAAACATCAGGTTTCTTTTCAAAACAAAACATTGTGTGTTAGGCGTGTTTCAGGAGGATCGTATTTCACACCATGTAAACAGGCGGAGACGAACAAGTGAAAGGTTTTTAGACGTCATCTCACCCCAATGACACTATGGATGAGGAGATGCTGATTCTAGAAGTCCAGAAGATCCGGTAGGAATTGGTGGATGGATTGGGATGGCTCCGGATTGGAGCCATTCCGGATACAGTGGAAATTTGGGGTTAACCCTTTTCAGGGTTAACCCCAAATTGTAATTGTATTAACATGTTTCTTTCCTTGTTCATCTCTGTTTTTCTTCATTAAACTGTTTTTTTAAAATGTTTTTATGTTTTGTTATGTTTGTGTATTGACTATAAAATATCAAGTAGCAGCAGTAGTGGTAGTATTCATGTAACAGGAGTACTGTAGTACTGTGAGTACCTTATCATGTCAGGGTAGAACTGTTTGTCCCAGCCGCTGTACAAAGACGTAGTCAGGTAGAGTCTGCGACCGTCCAAACTCAGCTGCAGCATCTGAGGACTGCCTGGGATACGCTTCCCCTGAGAGACAGACAGGTGAGGGAGACAGGCGAGAGGGGTAGACAGGTTAGACAAGTGAGAAAAGGAGACAGGTGAGAGGGGGAGACAGGTGTGTAGATGGGTTGACATTGAGACAATTATAACAGCAGAAAGGTCAATAAAGGTCATTTAAGCCTAAAGGACATCATGTTGAACAAACAGACACGTCTACTCCATCCTGTCTCACTGCTTCCTGCCACCCTGTGTCCTGTCTCCCTTCTTCCTGTCTCCCTGCGTCCTGTCTCACTGCTTCCTGTCTCCCTGCCTTCTGTCTCACTGCGTCCTCCTGTCTCTGGTACCTGGATGACTCGTGGCGGCGGCTGCTGCTGGCTCTCTGGGTCTTTCAGGACTTTGACCGGACCGTCGTTTATGAGACTTCCTCCCAGGAACACCTGAAACACACGGACAGGTAAGCTCTCTCACAGTACGGTCTCACCTGCTCGTCATTGGACAGGTGTATCAACATTCAGACCTGGCCGACCAATCGGGGGTTCCTCCTGTCTGTGATGTCATACTGCCTGATGTCACCGTGCAGCCAATTACTGAAGTAGAGGAAGCGATCATCCAATGAGAGCAGGATGTCCGTGATCAGACCTGAGCAGAACGACAGGTGAGGAGTTAGACAGGTGAGAGAACCAAGGTCAAAAAAGGTCACATGTCAGATTGACGAGTCAACTCGACCAGTAACAAGATATTTAGACAAGGTCACATGTCAGATACAAGTTAAGAAAACAAACAGACAACAAGTCACATGAACAGGTGACCATTTAGACAGACAGGTGGCAAGAAAGGTAGACATGCAATACGTCACTAAATTTCAAGTCAAAAGATTGACAAACCAGTCAACAAGACAGGTAACGAGTTTTTAAAAAGGGTTACAAGTCACCTGAGGAGGAACGAAGAGGTCAGTTACAAACAAATAAAACAGAGAGGCAACAAGTCAGATAAACAGACAACAAGTCAGATAAACAGGCAACGAGTCAGATAAACAGGCAACGAGTCAGATAAACAGGCAACAAGTCAGATAAACAGGCAACAAGTCAGATGAACAGGCAACGAGTCAGATAAACAGGTGATGAGTCAGATATGCAGAAATAGAGTCAGATAAACCGCCAACTAGTCAGATTAACTGGCTACGAGTCAGAGAAATAGGCAACAAGTCAGATAAACAGGCGACGAGTCAGATAAACAGGCAACGAGTCAGATAAACAGGCAACAAGTCAGTTTAACAGACGACGAGTCAGATAAATAGGCAACGACTCAGATAAACAGGCAACGAGTCAGATAAACAGGTAACGAGTCCGATAACGGGCAACAAGTCAGATGAACATGTGACGAGTCAGATAAACAGGCAACGAGTCAGATAAACAGGTGACAAGTCCGACAGACCAGTCACACACAGACAGGTGTCAAGTCACACTGATTGGTAACACCACTGTCAGACAGGTTACGAGTTACTCAGATGAGGTAACAAGTCAGACGAACTGTTGTCAGCTCAGGTGGACAAACTGGTAACAAGTTAAACAGATGGTAACTAGTCAGTCAGAGAGACTCACCAGGCATCTCAGGAAGCATCCAGCCCTCCACCTTTTTACTGGGAACGCTGATCACCTTCTCTGCTGCCCAGTCTCCTTTCTGTCAGTCAATCAATCAATCAATCAATCAATCAATCAATCAATCAATCAATCAATCTTGATTTATAAAGCCAAATCACAGCAGTCGTTATCCCAGACACTTTCTAAAAGACCAGGTCTAGACCAGGTTTAATGTCTCACAAAGACCCGTCCTCCAGGTGGGAAAGACTCGACCCATCTGGACCCACATGAGTGAAAGACTTGACGGCATTTATCTGGTTACCATGGAGATTCAGAACTTCCTTTAACAGGTAGAGAGCCTGGCGACACCTGAGGTTGTTTTCTTTATGAAGAGCCACAGGACCTTCCTATGTTTATGAGGACAGTCCTGCAGAGTTCAGAGCTCCAGCTGTTTCAAGAGGACCTTGTGTCCTCACGAGTTTTCTTAGGAACTGTTTGAGCTCTCGAATTTCAGGGTTAGACCATGGAGCCAGTTCCAGGTCCTTGACCTTGAACCACTCTCTGGTCTTGTATGGTCTCAATAAACCCTAACTGGGATCTTTCTGGGATGGGGACTCTGAGATACCTGGATAAAGGGCCCTGTGGTCCTCAGTTGGGGTCATGTATTACTGACCGGTGTTTTGTAGAACCTGAAGACGTTTCCCTGCAGAGCACAGCCCACGTATCCCTCCGTGGCTCTGGGGTCATGCAGGAACCGGACCTCCAGGGGGATAGCACCCTCCTCTCCCATATCGATGGTCTGGATCTTCCTGTGTGTGGTCCAGTCCCAGATGTTGAGGGAGGTTCCGTAGTGACCTGAGACCCGAAGAGAAGAACCTGTGTGAGCTCAGGTCCTAGTCTTTTCAAAGGTACAAGAACTAGCAGGTGGTTCCTCTGTTGACCTGCTGAGGAACCTCATGTTGTTTGAGGTTCTCAGATCTTGACCCCCTGACTCTAAATGACTGGAGCTGAAGGTGGAAAACCTGAAACCCTGAGCCTGACCCGGGCTGGGTTTGTGATCTAGATGAAGGAAGTTTGGGGCCGTACATACTTCACAAGGATAAGACCGCTGATCATGTAACAAAAAAGGCAGTAAGAATTATTCATAATGTAGGAGACAGAGGACATACTAACAGATTGTTTATCTAATCAGGAATACTGAAATTCAAATATTTAGTAGAAACACAAACACTGGCTGTAATAAAGCAAAAAATAGAATTTTATCAGAAAGTATACAACAACTGTTTGATATCAGATCAGATGATGGAGAACAAAGGAGGACTTTTTCATTTGTACGGACAACTCTGAAGCAGTGTGTATCTCTGTAGTGGGGGTTAAACTATGAAACTGTCAAAGTAATAAACTGAAGACAACTGTACAAATCTTTAACAAGCCAAGAAAATGTTAAAGGAAATGCAATTAGAAATTAGGACAAAAGTAACCAATGATTCTTGTAGAAAAGTCAGCTTGAAATGCTGTCTAATATTTATATTTATTATTATGTTTGTTTTGTTTACTTTATGGTATGACTGCAGTATAGATCATTGACCGATAAATCCATTTGAAACTCTTTTCTGTTTGTTTTGTTGTATGAATGTTGCTCAGTGATAGATTATTAGAACAATTAGACTTTGAGTGAGGGGTTAGGTAATATAAGATGTTTCTTCTTCCTGCTCCCTTCCAACCAATGGATAAGAAATGTTGTAATGTGACATGATATTGTCAGATTGAGAAATTGCCTTGGCTTGAAGAAAGAAAGAGAAAGAAAAGGAGGATCATATGAGGTCCTCAGTACCTTTCTCAAAGACCTCTCATCATGTGGACTCCTGCAGCTGGATCAGACCACCCTGCTTCAGGTTAGTGAACAACACCGACCCCCCTTGTATTATCTATCTTGGACTAAGACCAAGGATCTTGTGTAACTGGAGGAGGTCTTACATTAATCATACACTAGAACCTGGTCTCCAGCAGCAGAATAGACCTACACTACAGGCCAAGTTTTTGTACAGCGCCCCCCACTGTCCTATCTGATATGCTCTCTAGGTGTTGTTGGACACTAAGGTGAGGATGTTTCTGTCCTGTTTTGATATGAAGGACAAATGGAACAAAATGACTGAAATATCTCTAAACTCTGGACCTACCTTCTTGAAATGTACGCACTGTTACTATGATTCTTCTCTCCCTGTGTAACAATACATATATTTGTATGTTTATTTTTCCATTCCTGTTCTTTTCCAGTTCTCACTCTTTACAATTATTTTGAACTGAATGTTTAATAAAAATAAGTTTCAAAAAAAAAAAAAAAAAAGGTCTGTTCAGCGGGTCTGATGTAAGAACAGCGCCTCCTAGAAGTTCCTCTAGAGGATAACAGGAGGATCCCCTCTGCTAACTGGTCTTTAGTTCAGGTCTGTACTGGTCTGGTTTGGTTTGGTCCCTTAGCTGTGGGTCTCTATCAGGGGCTTTAAAAAACTGTTCTGGTTCTAAGACCTCAAAACCGGACCACCAACCCCCCCCCCCCCCCCCTTACCATCTTTGACATGAGCTGGATTGAAACCGTCAGCCAGAGCTTTGGGCGCCCCCCACTCGGTGCTGATCATCACGTTGTGTTTGGGTTGGTACCAGAAATCATATCCGAAGGACGCAGCTTCACCCGGGTGCTCCCAGTTCCCGACCACCTCAAATGTCTCACCGTCCAGCAGGATGAAACCACCTGAGGGGACGACAGCAAACATGTCAGGGGCGGGGACGGGGGTCAAAACCTGGTGTCGGATCAGATCTGGTTCTAACCGGTCCCAGCTATTGTCATGGAACATTCAGGAACAGCTCTATCGTGGTTCTACCATGTCAAAGTTTCTCTGTCCCACAGAAAAGATAGGAGACCGTTCAGATCCAGACCCTCAAATTCAGATAATCTGAGAGGACTCATAGGACGGATCTACTCCTGGGAGACTCTTCAGAGACGAAGAGGGTTTATGGTACATACAAGAGTCCTTTAGAGTCCTTTACCCCCAATTTCCACTGCATTCGGAACAACAGCGATTTTCGCCATCTGCCAATTCCTACCAGATCCATTTGTGAGGCGAATTTCGTGGATCGCGAGAACTCACGAACCCGCGGATTCATGTTCAATTGCGTGATAATGAATTGTCTCTATAAAGACAGCCACATAGGCATATAAGCAGTTGATTGTGTTCTTCCAGAGGAGGAAATCTACTTCTAGACTTCTAGAATCAGCATCTCCTCAACCATGGTGTCATCAGGGTGAAATGACGTGTAAAAATCTTTCACTTGTGCATCTCTGCCCGTTTGCATGGTGTGAAATACGGTCCGCCTAATACACAATGTTTTATTTTGAAAAGAAGCCTGATGTTTTATTTTGTGTCTGTGCCCGACTTCCTTTCCAGCACGGGTTAATCTATGCTGAATTTATCCGGCATGCTCCGGCGTCCTGAAAAAATAGAACTCTTGCGATCAGCTGTGGAGTCCGGCGATCCGCAGAGGAACGGAAAAAAGCCAGTGGAAATTGACATGTTAACTTGAATGGTTACGATCAGCTAAGATCGGAGGATACGAGCTTTTCGTAGCTGTTCTGGATGAGGTGGAAATTGGGGGTAAGACCTCCACCGATGATGGAGTCCGTCATCTGAGTCTCACCCTTGCCGTTGCCCTGGGGGTCTCCCATACAGCTGATCATGATCTGTCCGTTGGCGAGGCAATGGGTGGTGTGTGGGTTCGCCAAGCCACACTTCCAGAAGACATCGACGGGTTCGACCATCTGAGGAAAACAAACAAACCATCACACACTTATCAAAACTTCTCCTGAGAAGAACTTCAGGATTGTGGTGCCCCCTGTGGAAAAAGGGTTAAACTGTTCTTTTAAAGGTTTTCGTTTTCTCAAAGTTTGTCTCTGAATACAGGAACATGTGAGGTACTGGACTAAGGGTCTGTCTGGGCTCATTCTGGATCAAACCAGGATGACTCTGAAGGTTTCAGTGAATCTGACTGGACTATAGGGGGCAGCAGGGGACCACAGCAGCCCACGTGACCCTAACGAGTACCCAGACCCGGTTGCAGAGTCTCAGAAAGGAGGATTCATTTATGAAAGAGCATCTTGTCCCCAACTGTGACTTGTGTCACGATGGTTCAAACATAGATATTTTAATTTAACCTTATTTAAATTAAAGGATTTAGACTAAACTGCCTTTAAATGATCCAACTTTTTATAAATTCTCTTGGTTCCATATTGAATCGGACAATTCTGATCCATTTCCTGTGACCTTAGGGAAACACCGAGCAGTTCTCCAGGATCCTCTTCTCAGTCTTTATCAGAGTCTCTGACTCAGCAGACTGACGGACATGTTTATTCAGATCCTTTATCGCCAACAACAAGATCAACAACATACTTCAGAGAGTCAAGATTGTTTATCTGCAGTGAACTCAGGATGACCCCCCCCCCCCCCCCCCTACATTTTTTAATTTAACCCTTAAAGTGGGTCTGAAAGTTTGTTTTCTTTAACTTTACAGAAACCAGCTGCTGTCTTCACCGGGTCAAGCTGAATCAACACTCCGAGTCTGGGTCTAAACACGCTCTCCTGGTCTAAACTGAAAACATACCTTTTTAGTTTTTAACTTAATTTTATATCATTAACTTTGTTTGAGTGTTTTAGCATTTATCTCTTTCTAGTTTTAATGATAGGATCATCTTTTATTGAGCTATTTTGGTGCTCTTATTTTAGTATCTTTAATCTTTATTCTATGTTGCTTCGTTTTTAGATTTTAAAAACTCCAGTGTTTCCTTATCTTGAGTTTTAAAATGGCGTTTCCTCAGTGCACATTAAGGCCCTTTTTAAGTACATGCATTTTAATTCTGTTTCTGTTTCTGTTTAGATCATGGGATGGGAATGAGGGGTTGGGCTGGGGTAGATTTGGGTTTTCTTTGTTTCTTTTATTCCTTTTTCTGTGTAAAGCACTTTGTGCTACACGGTCGTGTCTGAAAAGTGCTATATAAATAAAGACTGATTGATGATAAACCTGCTCTCCTGATCTTTACTTTAAAGATCTAGTAAAAGAACATTTATTAGTCAAACAGCTCCTTATTTAGATGAAGCTACTTTGTAGAATCAATCAGTGTTTGTCTGATTTACTTGATATATTTAAGGTCTGCTTAAGTATTGGGTACTGTTTCTGTGAATTAATTTAATTATGTGGAATGTATGTTGATATTTGAACATCTGATTATTTCAGAACTATAGCTACAGTGTGAAAATGAATAAGGTCCAGTAAAATGTGTCTGTTGTTTGTATTGTTCTAGTTTTGTTGTTTTGTTTTTGTCTTGTAGGCAGTTGTGAGTTGTTGTAGTTATTAACGTTGTCTTTGTGTTTGTGGCGTGATGTTTTTTTTGTGTCTTTGCACTAAGATGGAGAGCTAATTGTTAATGTAAACTCCAGGAGGCCTTAGCCACAGCTAATGGAGATCTAAATAAAGGAAAATGAAATGGTCTAAACCCTTACTCCTGGTCTGAACCCGTTCTCCTGTCTTTCTGTGAATCCTGGGCCTCCCCGTAACACCAGACTTCAGGACCAGGATCAGCACAGCCACCTCCAGACTCCTTATTTCAGCCACTGCAGACTAAGAGGACCCCACAGAGACCATGACCCTTCAGGACAGCTGCTGTTTTTGTGTGTTTGCTGACTCAGCTTTTCCTCAGTTTTTTTTTTGTTTTTTTTTTTTTTTTTCTGAAATTCATCTGAAAACAAACAGATCTACTCCAGCAGATGTTTGAATTTTAGAGGTAAAAGCTGCAGATGTTGAACTTTGATGAAATTTGAATCTCTCCATCTGTTTACTTTCAAAGTTACGTAAAGTTAAAGTCAGAGCTCTGTCAGCCAATCAGAGTCGCTCAGCTCCGCCCCTTAACTGAGAAACTGCAGAGAGGACCTGAACATGAGCTGGGCTACAGTTTGCTGCAGTCAGGTCGACTCCGTGCGTACCTTGTGTAACCGTGGTGCCCTGGGGTCAGTGCCGACGTCGACCACATAGATTCTGGAGGAGATGAGTGACGGCAGAATCAGACGGTTACGTTTCTTGGTGGCATCTCCAAAGCAGCTGCTGCAGGCGTTCCAGCCGCTGTGATGAAGCTCGTCACGGAGGTTTGGCATCGGCAGCCGGTGGATAACCTTCAAAGGTCAAAGGTCACAGCAGGTCAAAGCAGAGCTAAAAACTCTCCTCACATTTTTGTGAAACAATGAGAGGAAACAGTTTCTTTCAGCAATGTGTCCGCTTCATGTTTCCTCCGTCGTTACCTGCTCAAACCTCAATTCTTGTATGATACCATACAATTCCATATTTTATCATGACATATTTTATCATACAATATTTTATCATGACATATTTTATCAAACCATATTTTTTATACCATATTTTATCATGATATATTTTATCATACCCTATTTTATCATGATTTTATCACACCGTATTTTATCATGCCATATTTTATCATGCCATATCCTACCATGTCATATTTTGTCATATCATATTTTATCAAACCATGACAAAAGTTATCATTTTATCATGACATATTTTATCATACCATATTTCATCATGACTTAATCTATCATACGAAGTTATATGGAATCAGTACATGTGGTACTGTGACAGAGGCGGGTCCGCTCTTTGTACCTGACAGTACGTCGGTGACTCAGGGTCCACGTCCACAGTGGCGAGATAGTCCGGTTTTTGAATGTCGGTGTTCCTGTAGATACAGGGCAGATAGACGATCTGCTCCCGAGGACCTTAGACAGGAAAACCAATCAATCAGTCAATATATCAATCACCTCCCGCCGTGTGACCAAATGTGTTTATATCTGTGCTCAGACTGACCCTTCATGGCGTCCAGTGGGGTGGCGTATCCTGGTCCACATCCTGTACAGTTGGCTGTAATTTAAAAAAAAGACGGAACAGGTCAAAGGTCATCACCTTCCTGACTCTGTTTTTACTACAGAGGACCACACAGAAGTCAGAGGTCAGACTCGGCTCCTCTTAATGTTCTGCTGGAGTTAAATGCTAAAGTTAGCGCTCTAACATGCTAACTCTTCCATAGACATAATATACGTAGGCGCCTCAAAGCCTGACACTGCCTATTGGAGCTCACATATCAGCGCGGCCGCCATCTTGGATGGGTCCCCATGCGCCTCCAGTGCATTAAGGTAGGTAGGAATAATAATAATAATAATAATAATACATTTTATTTGTTAAGCGCTTTTCAAAGACTCAAAGACGCTGTACATAGCTAAAATCATATATCAGTATACAATAAAAATACATCAATATACAATAAAATACATCAATATCAATTAAAATCAAGTAAAATCAGGTAAAATCAACAATCAGGGGGGGGGGGGGGGGGTAAGGAAGATGAAAAGCAGTGCGGAAAAGGTGAGTTTTGAGCTGGGTTTTGAATTTGGTAAGGTTGGAGCAATTTCTGAGGTCCAGTGGGAGTGAGTTCCATAGGGTGGGGGCAGAGACTGAGAAGGCTCTGTCCCCCCAGGTTCGGTGCTTGGTCGAGGGTACTGTGAGGAGGTTGGCATCAGCGGAGCGGAGGGTGTGCGGGGGGATGTAGGGGTGGAGAAGATCTTGCAGGTAGGGGGGGGCCTGGTTGTGGAGTGCTTTGTGGGTGAGAAGGAGGATTTTGTACTGAATGCGATGGGGGATGGGGAGCCAGTGTAGGTTCTGGAGGACGGGGGTGATGTGTTGGTGGGAGCGTGTATGGGTGAGGAGGCAGGCGGCAGAGTTCTGAATGAGCTGAAGTTTATTGAGGAGAGTGGAGGTAGTGCCGTGGAGGAGACTGTTGCAGTAGTCTAGACGGGATGAGATGAATGCATGAATAAGGGTTTCGGAATGCCCAACTCTCTGAATCTGTGCCTGATTTTGGTTTGTTACAATGGCAGGGATGTAGCAATAATACAGGACAATGTCACACATTCAAAATAAATCGATCCTATTTGTGAACTGTATTCCTACGTGATCTGGTTTCAATACTGCGTTGGGTTTTTCAACCATAGAGTGCGAAAAAAATGGGCATAGTCGCTTGTTCTCCATTGACCCCGTTTGCCTCTTAAGTGAGCCTGGAGTAGGGACTCATCCAATATGGCAGCGACGCTGGATTACGCTCTACGTATATAATGTCTTTTCAGCATGTTAGCATGCTAACATTAGCTAACTAGCATTAACGTCAAAGTTTTCAAAACTTTCAGATTTTTTTTACTGAGACTGGACTGGACTGGACCACCCAGACCCAGTTTATCAGCCTGAGACAGTCCTGGTTTATTATCACAGACCCACTGAGCAAAAGACGGCTAATGGACGTTTAGTTTTTTTTAGACCTAATTTCAACCGTCTTGATTCTGTATATTTTTAGACAGAATTTAGACTTTGCACTTTAACCCATTATTTGATATTTATTTATTTCAAAAAGCAACTGAGTTCCATAATTGTTTTTCAAGTACTTAACCAAAATATTTATGATAGCTGTTGAACAATGTACAGTGTAGTATAGATATAGCCCAGATTTAGATTTAGTCTAAATTTGGTCTAAATTTAGACATCTAAAAAACCTTTCATTTTTAGACTTGTGGTAGCCTGATTTTAGACCAGTCAACTACGCTACATTTAGACGGCTATTAGACCTCTTATAGACCAAAAAATGCTCAGTGGGGAGGCTGAAGTCCAAATTCCAAAGAGACCTGAAAAACACCGTCAGGTTCTGGTTCTGGACTAACCCGGTCTCTGTCTAACCAGCTCAAACCTCAAACAAGTGAAGACCGTAAATCCATGAATCTGTTGCTTTTCTGACAGAGACAAAGAGCACCAACCAGGACTCTGGGTCAAAGATATTCAAGATATGTGGGTCTGCCAGACTTTGTGAAACTGATCAGTTTTTGTACAAACAGAACCACAGACCCGGTTCAGGTTTCCCTTCAACAGAGGAGCCTCTGTCTCGGACCTTGAACCTCCAGCCTTCAGCAGCAGAGACAAGGTTTTCACTTCATCAGATCATCTCAACACGTCTGAGAAAGACTCGGACCTGAAACCGAGTTTTTAAAGATAAGAGAGAGGACCCTCAACACATGCACTCTCTCTGACACCCAGCAGGGGGCGACTTTAGTGATTCTGAAATCTAGTCTGACAGTACAGAAGTCTCAGCTGATAGAGTCTTCTCCAACACAGGAGGACAGCAAACTCCAAGGTCATCAAGACGACGGTTCCTCCCCTGAACGCAGAGCAGGCCCGAGGCATAAGTGAACTAAGGCTGTGTCTCATTTCAGTGACCGCATCAGGATAAGCGCCCTCGAACGGCGCATTTGAAGTGTGCGTGAGGTCATCACGCGGCACGAACGGTGTCTCATTTGGCACGAAATGCTAACTGCGCTTCAAATTCGGTCTCAAAACCACACTGCCCCCGCCCCTTTTTCAAGCGTGCATATACGCACGCTTTCGTTCCGTTGGTATCCCAGAATTCTTTGCGTGCCGCTGCACAGCTGCGCATTTCAGGTGAGAGGCTGGACTCGCTTGGAGACACAGCGCGTCTTCAAAGAAAATACAAGAAATCCAAAAACAGCAGACAGTCAGCTCAGGCTGTATGAGAGCATGATCTCTGAACTCACTAAAATCTGTAAACCAAACATTATAGATTTAGAGACGAACTGATCCGCTCTGCTTCAACTATCAAAAACATTAGAAATAAGAAAGCTGACAAAACTACAGCAGAGGATCAGGACAACATCGAGTTTTTTTTTTTTTTAAGACTTAGAGATTAAAGTTGTAAACTTGGGAGAATAAAGTCATAAAGTAAATAAAGTCATAAAGCTGCTTTTGTGGAGGGGGAAATGACTGAAGCTGGTCATCTGCAGGGTTATCTGTGGATGTATCAGTGGGTCATTCAGAGAGTTTTTGTGGTTTTTCAAGAAACAATCAAACTGATGATCAACATTTGAGATCCAGAGGGAGTTGAGCTCCGACGAGCACCACGTCTCTGACACCGGCGGTAACCTACACCTGCAGAGACACCAACATCTTATTATGGCATATGGATTCATATCATAAACTAAAGCTCAATGTCATTCACGGATATTTACGGCTGCATAAACGGATATATCCTCAGCATATTCATTTCTGCCTCCACAAAAGCAGCGATTTCCTTCAAGTACACCTGTTTTTTTCCCCGTGGAAAAGACGTATTTCTCATATATTCTTTCTTAAGTCTTTATACTTGTGACAATGTGATGCTGATGTGCCAAAGGATGAAGTATCTCCTTGTCTGTGAAACCTATACTGAAGTTCCTTTAAATGCTTCATGGCCCTAATTTTCACAATTCTCCTCTGAAATAACAGGTTACGACTTTATTCTCATAAATTAATGACTTTATTCGCGTAAATTCACGACTTAAATCTCGAAAAAAAATTCTCAATATGGCCCTCATACTCCTTCATACAAAACAATCATTGGTTGAATTTTGTGGAAATGATCTGTGCTTGTATGTATCTATTGTCTTGTGTCTGTGCAAGATTGCACAGTTAAAAAATAAATGCTGCGCTCCGCAGCTTTTCTTCAAGCCAGTCGTGACGCGATCCTGACGGACAATCTCACCCAGTAGTCCTTGAGCCGGACCAGATGTCGGTACCACTTGGGTGGGCAAAACCTTACATATACTAAATTGTTTTTAGGGTCAATATAAGTAAATTAAAAAATGATAGACTTTTCATAGGGGTAGCTTTTTATATTTTTTCTCATTTTGTTATTTTCCTCAATAGGCGAATTTTTGTTAACTCCAAAAGCAACACAGAAAGTCAAAAGCACATTAAAAGTCATACTCTTTTTGGGTCACACTGCTCTTTTCTATAAATGAATCAAACCTGTGTCTAATTAAATGAGTTGATGAGGTGGGAGTGGCCCAATTTGATGGGGGAGCAGTTCTTTCAGGTATCATAGCACTTGAGCCAAGAACCAAAATTTCACATATCGGTACCACCTGGGTGGGCAAATTCTAGTTGTGATTTTTTTATTGCTATACATCCCTACAATAAGTTTTTATATGATAGACCTTGGTAACTGGTAGCTTTATTGTAGTTATCACTCATTAAAGTAATAGAGTGCAGCTGTTCAAAAATGAAAAATCGCCTTCCTTCAAAATTAGCTTTCTTTCATTTTAACCTCTCATTTAGGTGTGTTTGAACTATTGGCTAGCCATAGAGACTTGTATTAACCCCCTAAGTAGTATTTCAAGTAATTTATCTAATACAGGTGTGTATATATAAGCTTCAATTAGCCAATTGTCAGGTCTAAATCAAGGTCTAAATTAAGGATATTTTTTTACTTAGAAGTAGAAGTAAAATAAATGCAGACTAATGGCATTATAATAACACAACTTTAATATGACACTGACATATTTTCAATGCAGGAACTCAATATACAATCATACTGGCTGGTGCAGGGCAAGAAGACATTAGCAACAAAATAAGATCTACTGATGTATATACTCTATACAATCATCTGAGAAAATGCTATCCTGCAAGTGTGTGAGGACATGCAAACCACCAGACTGCGCCTGTCTCAGCAATGGGCTGAAGTGCACAAACCTGTGCAAATTACAAACTTGTGCCAACCAATACAGTGAGGAAGAGCCCCTTGCACACCCGGCAGACTCAGATGTAGAAGAAGATACAGATACTGATGTCGATTACTGATGTTGATTAATAAATGATGACCAAAAGGAGCTATGTTAACAGACCCACTGTGACTCAGTGACAGTATTATGTACTAAGCCAAAACTTGACAGTCATATTTGCTGTCACTGTTCCTTATGGAAAGAATAGGACTTTGAATAGGAATTTGAGTTTTTCTCAGATGATTGTATAGAGTGTATACATCAGTAGATCTTATTTTGTTGCTAATGTCTTCTTGCCCTGCACCAGCCAGGATGATTGTATATTGAGTTCCTGCATTGAAAATATGTCAGTGTCATATTAAAGTTGTGTTATTATAATGCTATTAGATTAAGCTACCAGTTACCAAGGTCTATCATATAAAAACTTATTGTAGGGATGTATAGCAATAAAAAAATCACAACTAGAATTTGCCCACCCAGGTGGTACCGATATGTGAAATTTTGGTTCTTGGCTCAAGTACTACAGGGTACTCCAGTCCACTCCAGTCCGCTTAAGTGCGCTCAGCCTGATGCGGTCGCTGAAATGGGAAATGGAACTTCCTGGTTGAGTCGTAAAATGTCCCCGCCCTCAGGCTTATGTCACGACTGACTTGAAGAAAAGCCACAGAGCGCAGCATTTATTTTTTTAATTGTGCGACCTTTCACAGACACAAGACAATAGATACATACAAGCACAGATCATTCCCACAAAATTCATCCAATGATTGTTTTGTATTAAGGAGTATGAGGGCCATATTGAGAATTTTTTTTAAAGACTTCGAGATTTAAGTCGTGAATTTACGAGAATAAAGTCATTAATTTATGAGAATAAAGTCATAAGGTTACCTGTTATTTCAGAGGAGAGTTGTTAAAATTAGGGCCATGAAGCATTTAAAGGAACTTCAGTATAGGTTTCACAAACAAGGAGATACTTCATCCTTTGGCACATCAGCATCACATTGTCACAAGTATAAAGACTTAAAAAAGAATATATGAGAAATACGTCTTTTCCACGGGGAAAAAACAGGTGTACTTGAAGGAAATCGCTGCTTTTGTGGAGGCAGAAATGGATATGCTGAGGATATATCAGTTTATGCAGCCGTAAATATCCGTGAATGACATTGAGCTTTAGTTTATGATATGAATCCATATGCCATAATAAGGTGTTGGTGTCCTTGCAGGTGTAGGTTACCGTTGGTGTCAGAGACGTGGTGCTCGTCGGAGCTCGACTCCCTCTGGATCTCAAATGTTGATCATCATCAGTTGGATTGTTTCTTCAGAAACCACAAAAACCCTGAATGACCCGCTGATGCATCCACCGATAACCCTGCAGATGACCAGCTTCAGTCATTTCCCCCTCCACAAAAGCAGCTTTATGACTTTATTTACTTTATGACTTTATTCTCCTAAGTCTACAACTTTAATCTCTAAATCTTAAAAAAAACAACAAAAAAAAAAACTCAATGTTGTCCTGATCCTCTGCTGTAGTTTTGTCAGCTTTCTTATTTCTAATGTTTTTGATTGTTGTAGCCGAGCGGATCAGTTCGTCTCTAAATCTATAATGTTTGGTTTACAGATTTTAGTGAGCTAAGAGATCATGTGCTCATACAGCCTGAGCTGACTGTCTGCTGTTTTTGGATTTCTTGTATTTTCTTTAAGGACGCGCTGTGTCTCCAAATGCACGCTTGAAAAATGTTAAGCGTGCTTCGCATTTTGTGCCAAATGGGACACTGTTCGCGCCGCGTGATGACACCATGCACGCTTCAAATGCGCCGGTCGACGCCGTTCGACAGTGCGGTCTCTGAAATGAGACACAGCCTAAGGCTATGTTCACACTGCAGGTCAATTCTGATTTTTTAACCATGTGTGACACATATCAGATTTTTTCATGTCAGAGTGAACAGTGCAATTCTGATTTTTTCAAATCTGACCCAGGCCTCTTTTGTATGTGGATATAAATCAGATATGTATCCGATGTGACTGCAGTGTGGACGCTCAGGTCGCATTCATGCAACCTATACGTCAACAATATGCGACAAACGTCACCATTGTTCGAAAACACAAACAGGCACGGAAAGCAATTTGTGCTTTGTGCGCATGCGGGTCACTTCACGGACGCATTCCATTCACATTAGATACCGCATTTATTGTTGTAATGTGAACACACAAAAAGATTGGATAGAACAAATCGAACAAAAAATCTGAATAGTACATCATAACCTGCAGTACTAACAAAGCCAAAGCCCCGTGGCCAGTAGGGGGCCCCCAAGAGCGATAAAAAAAAAAGTTTTTTTTTTTTTTTTGCATGTATGAGTGATGCTTTCTGTATGATCAAATTATTGTAAAAATAAAATAAAGTAAAAACAGTTTAGGGCTGCTGCTGATGTAGGCCTATGATTCTTACTGCCGATATGTCAAAGCTCCGCCCACCATTCTGTTCTTCCTGCTGTGAAATGTTCACTGAGCATCTAAAGAGCAGATAGTTGTGGGACAAAACAATGTCGCTAAAAAGGACATATCCTTCAGGAGCAGAGAAAAGAAAGAGGAAGAAGAGAAAAAACGCCAAGATAAAGGTATGTTTCCATGTCATGGAATGTTAATCGAAGAGATTTGTGAAGGTGTGTGAATGATCAACAATCAATATTCTAAGATAAAAACTTCAGTGTTTTCAGTGAACGAGCGTACATCACTTTGTCCAAACAGGTTTTTACTCCATGTTATTTATTTATAATATTATTATTATCATTATTATATGAGTATATTAAACTCTCATTAATTTTTATTTTCTGCTCATAAATAAACAGGAAACAGTTTCTGTTGGTTTTTGTCTGCCTGGTTTTAAAGTGACCTCCTTTCAGGACTTCAGCGGCTCTGAAGGAGTTTAATGTGAATCTGAACCACAGACTAAAACCAGGACACAGAGACTACAGCGGGTCTACAGCGCACAGGAAGTCTGGGGTTGTTTACACATTTCTAGATCTCTCTCTCTCTTTGGTCTTATCTCGGATTATCTTTATCACCTTCTAACCAGCAGCTCATAACCCAGTCACTGATTAACGATCAGAATTATTGATTAACCTGATCTGACCTAAGCTCCAACAGGTTACATCAGACCGTTTCACAAAGTAGTCTGCGCACACCTGGACCTGAATTTCAGGTTCAGGTCTACAGCGAAATGTTGGCTCAGGATCTGACCTGGATCCTCTCCAAGAGGTCGGATCAGATTAATGAGGATAATAAACAGAGAGAACGCAGATCTAAAGATGAACACAGGATCACAGAGATCCTGGGGCCGGTCTGAGGTGGATCTGCAGGGAAGTTTACAGGAGAGCGAGAATCATCAGCCCTGAAGCCGCAGAAGAAGATCATTAGAAGAAGATAATTAGAAGAAGATCATTAGAAGATCATTAGAGAGAGAATCTTACGGACTGTTCCTTTAACTCCCAGATCTTTACAAAAACAGAACAAAGGTCAGAGAGCCGCCCGCTCAGACCGAACCCCCATGAGAAAACCAGAGATCTGAGCAGCTGAGACACAGAGGAGACAAGTTAAGGAGTGAGGGAGAGAAGGAGAGAAGGAAGGATGAATAAGGAGGTAGAAGAAGGACAAACTCACCCATCTCTGAGCAGATCCTGCAGGTCCCGGAGTCGGTCGGTCTGGACCTCCTTTTGGATCAGAGCCACAATGAAAAGTGTGTGTGGGGGTGTAGTTTAGTTTGTTTCACATCAGGGCTCAGCCAATAAGGGGAAGGGGGCGGGGTTACACATGGGTCTAACATGGAGGTAATTAACCCTCTGAAGCCCAAAAAATCAAACTTGAATATTAACACAGAAAAACCTGGACCTGGACAAAAAATGAGGACAGGTTTGGACTCTGAGGACGGACCGGACCCTAAGGATAAACCAGGACTTAGAATACAGATCAGAACTCTGCAGGGACAAGTCAGGACCAGCAGATAGATTTGGACTCTGTGAAAACACCTGGACCCTCAAAAGAACCTTGACCCAGAAGACCTTAATCTGTGCAGAAAGGTCAAAGGTCAAAACTTTGCAGGGGCAAGTCAGGACCAGCACACACACACACACACAGAATGAAAAGATCTCCAGTGTTCTACAGGAACATGTTAAAGAGACAGTAGGTGATTTTTTTTTTTTAGCATTTTGTGTGTATAGTGTGTATAACTGTCACAAACAACACACACACACACCTGCACTGAGAGAGTTTCTCAGTTCTTTTACAGAGAAATGAGAAATCTTTACAGTCATGATAATCTGATCATTTAAAGTGTGTTTGATTTGAGATGATCATCTTTTTCAACTTCATCCTGTTCAAACAGGAGAAAACCTGCAGTTAGACATGATCCTCAGGGATAGAGGTTTTATAACGACAAAGTGATGAGAATCACAGCCTGAGAGTGTGTGTGTTTGTGTGTGTGTGTGTGTGTGTGTGTGTAGAGGTCAGCTGATAGAGCGTCAGCAAGGAGAAAGTTCAACAGTTACATCAGGACAGAGCGACAGGAGAGAACCGGTTTGCTGACAAAAACCTGATACTGGTCTCACACAAACGTTAACCATTTAACCCTCTGAGAGAAAAAACACCTCATGACATCTATGATAACATGAATATGTTCACATGAATGTTTATGAATGTCAACATGAATATGTTTATAAGTTTATAAAAATGTTTATAAAAGCAAACTAAAAACATACCTTTTTAGTTTTACTTTTACCGTACTTTTTACACTATAAGGTGCACCATCAATAAACACGTCTATTCGCGTCTATTTTCATACATAAAGCGCACCGGATTATAAAGCGCATTAAGCTTAACAAAACAGTCAGATAAATCAAACTTTAACTCATTCAATAACTCCGCGAGGCAACGGTAGCTGCAGTGGTCCGACAAGCCAAAAGGATTTTAAGTGTGCCTTATAGTGCAAAAAATACAGTAACTAAATTTTATATTATTAACTTTAAGTGTTTTAGCATTCATCTCTTTCTAGTTTTAATGACAGTATCAACTTTTATTGAGCTATTTTGGTGCTCTTGGTTTAGTTTCTTTTACTGTTGTTTTTATTTCATTTATTTTTTTTTTCTTAAATTTTATTCTGTTACTTTTTTAGATTTTAAACTTCCAGTGTTTCCTTACCTTGAGTTTTAAAACGGCGTTTCCTCAGTGCGCACATCAAAGCCCTTTTTAAATTCATGTATTTTAATCCTGTTTTTATTGTTCTTAGATCGAGGGGATGAGGTGTTGGGTTGGGGTAGATCAGGGTATTATTTGTTTTTCTTTTATTCCTATGTAAAACACTTTGTTCTACATCAGTTTTGTATGAAAAGTGCTATATAAATAAAGACTGATTGATAAGTAAAAAAAGAGATTTCCGAGATTTATACTGAGGAACTGAACCGGGCTGACGGTTAACGATTGGTAAACTTCATTTAGTTCTTCTGATTGTACAATAATGATAATCCAGTTATATAGATTATTTACATGCTTTTATATTTAACTGTTTTTTCCCCCCAACAAAACAGCTAAAAAGAAACAGAAAAATTTAAAAAACTTTTATACAGTAACATGTTTGTTAAAGTTATGACAGAGGAACAACCAAACAGGTCAGAAATTGTAACGCTAAAAAACATCTGCAGGAACATCTCCAACTAATAAGGTGAATGTCCAACAGGTTAGTCACATGACTGGGTCCAAGACAGACTCTGTGAGAGAATGCGTGACGCGAACAGTTCACGCCTCCGTTAAAGGTGGGGCTGCTGGGCCACCACCCGTTTTTCTGGCATCTGCCCTCTTTCTGTTTGCTGAGTGAAAGTCTAATATTGAGTGTAGTGTGTGTTGGTTTAATATATGTACATTTACATACTGAGAGTTAGTTTAATATTCCTAATCATTTAACGGAACATCATAAGAGAGTAAAATTCATTTTTGAGTGTGAAAAGAGCATTTTCTAAGGGATCAAACTGCCACTAAATACTTGACAATGTAAAACATGATCAAAATGATTCAAGCAGTTTCCCTGCAACAGTCTGTCATTGTGATTGCACGAGACTAGATTTAAAGTTACGCATTGACGCGAGCAGCGATTTCCTCCCAAGCCCTCTCCCTCTCCTTTGCAGCTGCTGCTGCTAAACTAACTCTCAGTATGTATATGTACATATATTAAACTAACACACACTACACTCAATATTAGACTTTCACTCAGCAAACAGAAAGAGGGCAGATGCCAGAAAAACGGGTGGTGGCCCAGCAGCCCCACCTTTAACGGAGGCAGAGGAGCTGCCCCCCCCCCCTTCGACGATCGCAACCCCCACCCCGTAGCAGCGATCGTCGGACTGGTGTGCGTGTGTGTGTGTCTGTGTCTCCTCTGCCTCCGTTAAAGGTGGGGCTGCTGGACCACCACCCGTTTTTGTGTTAGTTTAATGTTCCTAATCATTTAACGGAACATAATAAGAGAGTAAAATTCAGTTTTGAGTGTGAAAAGAGCGTTTTTTAAGGGAACAAACTGCCACTTAATACTTACTTGACAATGTAAAACATGATCAAAATGAGAAAATGCCGATGTCTCACCCGAAACTCTGGGTTTACTGAGTTAAACCTGCTCCCGAGCAGGTTAGGTTCACGGAGTCTGTTACTGTGGTAACTGACCGCGAGGTTGAGTTACCTCTCTTTGTGAAACAGGTTAGATTTACCCCTCTCTCCCTGGTTTAACTAACCCCCCTTTGTGAAACGGAAAACTCAGAGTTTCCCTGATTTCAGGGTTAACAAACTCGGAGTTTCCACTAAACCTGCTACGTGAAACGGACCCCTGGACTGGAAGGTCCTGATCTTCAGGGCATAAAAACAGAAAGGACTCTGGAGTGGGAATCACCGCATGGAAAGGACAACTGGACTTTTATCTATGAGGATCTAGAGTAAAACTCGTCTATTCTTTTTTGTTGTTTGTTTTAAAGAAAAGGGGAAACTAAAAACTCAGGTGTGGTTTGGTAAATCTTAACTGGACCTCCTTTAGGAAAATCATGGACACTGTGAGGACTGCGGTCAGCGCTTTGAATGACTCGTTATCAGCGCAGAGTTCAAAAGGCAGAAAACAAGAGTATCAAGGACTTCTTTATCGGTTTTATAGCAGAGGGGCCGCTTGATTTACAGCCAGCAGGACCACACACACAGCACACACAAAACAGAGGAATAACAACACACTGTTAATTATAAAGGACCGCGGCTTTAAATAAAAACCATGAAAGACTAATAGTAATGAAGACAAGAATGAGTCTTTTTCAGGGTCCTGGGTCTGTTATAGTTCGTCACTTAAAACAGTAATCGTAAATCTTTAATACCTGAAAATCGAAGCACAAGAGTACGTCTTAAAAAAAAAACAGCTGTTTTTACGATAAACACAAATATATTCACCAAAGTGACACATTTGACCATCTGATGTTTACAGGATGAGATTTTGAGAAGACACTAATGACAAATATAAAAGGACACGATGAGAGAAGATTGTCCACAGGGAGGCGTCAAAGTTGACACCGTTGAAAAGTTCCTCATGGGAGCTTTAAAGGGATATTCCAGCATGAAATTAATTTAGGCTCAAACCCACTGTAACACCGAGTTAGACACCCCCTCCAGAGATGAATGTTGCCGACCACTTGCTTCTCTAGTTATACCAACTTCAGTAACGACCGCAGGATAGCAATACACAGCAGTCTGAGGAGCCATAAACAAACCTCAACCAAAACACCACTCTATAGCCACAAATAATGCTCAGAACAGCACCTAACTTCATCAACAGTACATATAGGGTCCCAGCCATAGTACTAGCCACCGAACATCTTTATGACTTTGACTAATTTCTTTAGCAAAGAGACTAAACACAACTCACCTACCCTCTTCCAGCAGATGCTTGCTTGTAGCGAGACCTCAGGCCAGTCCATTACGGACTACAGCGGGTTGACGCAGCTCAAGGAAGAACATTTATGATCATTTCTTCATGGGAATGCAATCAGACTGAGACACTAACACAGAAGAACTACCGCATCTGCAATATTCGTCTCTGGAGGGGGTGTCTAACTCTATGTTATAGTGTGTTTGACCCTAAATTAATTTCTTGCTGGAATATCCCTTTACAATAAGAACGTATATATTTTTAATACGTTTTTCAGCACCGGGGTTGTTTGGGTTAAGCTCTTGTAAAATCCGAATAAGAGTTTTTGGGTAAAAATTAGAAAACAGTAAAAACTACAAACAGGAATTCAAAATGGAAGATGTTTATTGGATTCATGTTGAACAGTTTGAAAGTCCTCTGTACATCAGCACCAAACCATCGACGTCTGCGGGAGTCCGACTAATCAGAGATCAGACAGAGATCTAAAAACAGAAAGTCATCATCACCATCCTCTCTGATCATATGATCTTCTTCACTTCCTGTGATCAAAACCAGCGAATCAGCTTTTAGAACTCCTCGTTATTGTCATACAAACAGGATCCACTTGCATACAGTTCTCATGTCACATGATCGCTCAGCTGCAGGTTCACAAAGTCCTTGAGCATGATTTCAGGTACCCTCTGTATAAAAAGGCACCTTTAGAGGCTGGTTCAGGGTCCACATTAGACATACCGGGTGGAACCTATCTGAAGAAATCCTTGTACTAAAGGAGGACAAGGACCAAAACCAGGACTGGATGGTCCTGATCTTAAGGGCATTAAAAACAGACAGGGCTCTGGAGTAGGAATCACCGCATGGAAAGGACAACTGGACTGACTGCTACTTACTAAAAGTAAGTCCAGTTGTCTTTTCAACGAAGAACTGGAAATCATAGATGCTGCGTCCACTAATGAGGTTTAAACTGAACCATGAAAGAAAAGACCAGATAGAACCAGGATCCAGAACCACTGGAGACCTCTCTGTATCAGTCTCCACCAAATCTCAGTGTCCCCCCTATCTGTCTCTGCTCAGTCCTGGTTTTACTGTACCGGTTCCTCATGAGTTCAAGTCCCACTGGGTCTCTGATTCACAGCGCCATGAAGTCAAAGACTGACTTTGGCCTGATGTGCACTGTGTCCCCTACAGTTTTGGTCACCCAACATCCAACAGACTGACCAGCAGCACAAAAATCCGGCATTAGTTCACCTAGACCCTTCATCCTGTATCTCAAAGGTGCGCACCATGTCCTACATGTGCCCCGCCTCACTAGAGTACTAACTGAGACATAAGAGGGCAAAGCCAAGATCTCAAAACCATGTGGGTTCTTGAGACACTATCAGGATCCCAGAACAGCAACACCGTCGACAGGGAAGACACGAACGGTCGGATACTCTGGATATCCAGATATTAGTCTGTGACAGTCAAAGGGTTTAATGTTCACGTTGATTTTCTTTGATCAGCCTGGAATAGACCGGGCCCGTCTGGGATCAGGGTGTATCAGGGCACCTGGTCTGACCACATCAGACCTAAAACGTTCTCAGTTTCCAGAGGTGAGTCCAAGCTGATCAGCTGGTCTGAGGATGAACCTTGACCTCCCTCTAAACTTGGAGGTCAGGAAGAAAGACCGTCAGACAAAAAAACAAAAACTAAACACTGTAAATATGACAAACAACGACACAGACATGAGGTCCATTATCAGTCTGAGAACGTCTCAGACACTTGTTGAACCCACTGTCACCAAAAAAACGTTTCCGTGTCCATGTTCAGACCCAGAGCAAGTACCTTACAGTAAGGTCTGCTGGACTGGATCCTCTCCTCATTGGTGGATTCAGTTTGTGGGTGATCTGGTATCTCAGTACTTTCTTTAATGCAATCCCTGGTCTCAAACCTAGATGTCCTCTCTGAAGGACACCCCGGTCAGGTGTGGACATGTCTCTCTTTCCTGGCTAGCTCTCGTCCATCCTGTTGTTGGCCCCGCCCTCCGCCTCCACGCCTTCAGTCCTGCTCTTCACCGTTATCTTCCATTCATCCCCGACCTCCTCTCCTATCACTATCCTGGTCTCTCGCCTCTCCTTGTTGACCTCCCTCCTGTCCTCTTCTACCTCCTTTCCTTCCTCCTCACTGTCCTCCTCAAGCTTCTTCCCCTCCTCTTTCTTGTCCTCCTCTGTCTCCATGTTGTCCCTTTCTATCTCCTTTTCTTCTCCTTTGTCTTTGTCTGTCTCCTTCTGAGGTTTTTCCTCCCCTCCCTCCTTCTCCTTCTCATCTATCTTCTCCTTGTCTCCTTTTATCTTCTTCCTCTCTATTTCCTTCTCCTTGGATACCTCCGGTTCCTCTCCTCCATCTTGTACTTCTTCCTCCTCTTCTGTGTCCTCCTGCTCAAATATGCCAGGAGAATCCTCCTCCAAAGCATCCGGCCCCAGTAGGGTGTCTAAAAGTGTCTTCAGGAGGTCCAGCTGGATGTCTTTTAGGTTCTGATTGGGGGTCTTGTCCTCCTCTGTTGCCTCCTCCTCCTCTTCTCCTTCTCTCCTCTCTGGCAGGAGGCCTGTCAGGTTAAAGGATTTCTTCCACAGATGAGGGAGCTTGTTCAGGCGAGTCAGGCCCTCTTCCAGCCAGTCCACCAGCTGCTGGGCCACATTTTCTTGGAGCTGGTGTGGTGAGGTCTCCTCCAGCTCTTCAGGGTTTCCAGTGGTGAACTTAGTCCATCGGGACAGCAGGAACCTCTGCAGAGCCGGCTTCATGCAGACCTCCAGAGGCTGCAGGTGGAACGAGCACCCTCCAGGAATCACTGCTGGGAGAGTCCCGGATCCGCTGATGGTGGTCAGGAATGGTTCCCCCATGTGCTCCCGGTGACGGTCCAAGACCAGCATAGATTTTCTGGGCTCAGTGAAACCAGACACGTGTTGGAGCCACACCTGTTTAGACCACAGATCCAGGGCTTCGTCCACCGTCAGATTCTCAGAGCCGGCCTCCAGCAGGATGAACTCAGGTCGCTCTTTGGCAGGAAGCTGCCTGTTGGACAGAACCAAAGACGGCAGTATGGTACCATCTGCCAGCATGGTCAGGTACACGGTGACCAGAGGGATGGACCCGGTGAGCTCGACAGCATCTGAGCGACAGGACTTGTCCTGAACCAACCTCAGATCCACAAAGAAAGACAGTTCATCCATGGCAGCTACAGTCCTGTCTGAGAGCTTCTTGTCCTGGAAGACCCTCTTGGTAAACTCCCTGAAGGTCTTGATCTTGGCCTCCAGAGGAGGAGGCAGGGTGCGGGCCAGTGAAGCCGCCTTACTGACACTCAGTGGGGCGAGCTGATGGCGCATCATGAAGCTCACGGCCCAGTCGTAGGAGATCCGGAAGGAGTCACTGAAGCCCCCCTTCTTCCTCAGGGTGGAAGCTTTGTGGAAAAGGTTGCTCTCAGTGATGGGGAGCTGCTGTTCATGCATGGACAGCACCCAGCCCACCATGCGGTCCTCACCACCTGACTGGACTTTCTGTTCCTGCTCAGTGTACTTGAAACGCTTCCTGGCCTCCTTTAGCCAAGTCCGGATTAGCTGAGTCTCCGTAGAGAAGACCCTGGAAGCCTGGTGGAGACCGTCACACAGAGCTGATAATGCGATCCTCAGCTGACGGGCGGTCAGGAGATCATCCCGCTCTTTGGAGCAGGGCAGGACAGCTGCCTGCTGGATGGGAGTGTTTGTGGTTGACGGCAGATGAGACTTTAAATTTTTTTCTTCTGTGTTATCTTCATGTACATCTTCACATTCTGGATCCATGTCATCCAGATCTTCCAGCTTCTCACTGTCCGAAAAGTCAAAGTCCTCCACAGGAGCCATGGCATCGTACTGGTTGTACTTGGGCTCAGGAAACTCAATGGCACCGCTGCAGCACAGAGAACAAGATATAAACATGATGACCATATAAGGCAACAGGAAAGACCAAAATATGTCAGACATTGGGACCCCGACACACACACACATCACTCATAACTGATTCAGAGCTCTGACATTCACACACCAAACTCATCTAAACTCACAGATAATCAAATATGAAATTTTCGGTCTTACCTTTTAATGTCCTTGATAAATCCAATTTTAGTGGAAACTGTGAAGACACCAAACATGGAATTAAAACTAAAGTATCCACAGACACAGACAGATCTGACAGCACATTATGAAAATACACAGGAGCTAACAATTACACAATAACAATTTAATAACAATTAAAACCCACAATTATCTTGATAATATCGTGTTAACAAGTCCACAATATGAAGTCCCTCACTGATGTGGGCCTTCTGCCTCCTCACTCCAAATTATTGCCTTACTCCAATTAAGACCGGACAACTGAAGTGCATGTCAACACCTTGGTCTGACTATAATCGGAGTTTGAGAACTCTGATTGGAGTCGGAGAACTCCGATCAAGACACCCAGATAATGGTTGAAATTCGATTTTCTCTACCAGGTAACCAGCGTAGTTGGAGTATGATTGGACAATGCATGTGTGCATGGGGTCGGAAACAGCGCCGCTGAAAACACCCATATTGCCCCCTAGTTTTGGAGAGGAGGACATGTTCACGTCAATAATTTGATTTTCTCAGCTGTATGTATACGCGGACAAGGAGAGAAGTCTGATTCGGTGAAAAAAAAGAATTATGGGATTAGTCCGATTAAACTGTGCATGTAAATGAACTGAGTGATGGCTGTTGTGTTGATTCTGTTGATGTTGATTCTGATTCTGGAGCTGGGTCCCAAATTAGCCAAACTTTCAGCTTTTTGGAATGAGTGTTGAGCGACTTTATTTCCTGTCAGTTTGACCCCGATGCCTGCGCTGACTTTGTTTTTTAGTGGTCAGAGTTTGGAGGGATGAACAAAGACAGGAATTTGATTTTATTAAAAAGCTTTGTTTGATAATGGATTTATGTTTGTGCACCAGTGATTAGTTTTAAATGTGACCTGGTACAACGTCATGCATGAGACTCCATCAAGGTATTTCTGGGCTCAAATATTAATGGTTCGAGTTTCAGGTTTTGGGGTTTCAAAAATTCAGAACCAGGTCCCAAGTAGTCGTTTTCCTTTTGCTCTGACCAAATGCATGAACACAGGAACTACATTTTTTTTGAAGACCTATCAAGTCTTTAAAGGTATTGAGACGCTAGGTTCTGCGGAAATGTGATCAAGATGCTACAGCCTGAGAAAATACTGACCTCTGTTCTGAGGAGACAGACCATGAAACTCCCAGAAGCAGCTTGGCTCTTTGCACAAGTTGACTTTGCAGGTGGCGCAGCCGTTCACACTCTCACGGCGGATGTTCTTGGAGTTGCAGTTCTTACACCTCTTGGAGATGCTGCTGATCTTCACCATCCTGTGTCTCTGTTTGACGGGTTCCTCAGAAACCTCTGACCTTGTTGCTCGAGAGCTGGCCATCTCCATGTTTTCAAAGTACTTCTGAGCACACTTGGCAAGCTGGTTCCCTAAACGTTTGCGGAAGTTGACCTGAGTGAAAAGGCCTTCCTGCACCCAGGGGGGCGGGTTCTCCTTGCGGCTTTCTCTTAACACTATGAAGGCGTTCACGATGCTCAGATTCACAAGAAACCAGAAGAGACTACGCCAGTGTCTGTCCTGAGGGACTCCCCCCAGAGGGTTGCAGGCCAGCAGCTGCTTGCAGATGTCGACCCCTCGCATATTCTCTTGCAGAAGGCGGAAAGCCATAGGCCGGTTAATGGGGTCGAGGCCACCCACCTTGGTCTGGGATCTTCTCCAAACGGTGTCAGCTTCCCCTGCAGCTGCGTTGGTTGACAAACAGCCCATCTCTTTGGTGTCTCTCCATCGAGTGGCAAGCAGCGGACCACACTGCTTCTGCAGGAAGTCCCCTGCCTTCTCCAGCTGACCTTCCTCCCACAGCTCTCTGGGCAGGATGGGGTTGGGTGGAGGGAAGGAGCTGGAGGCGTAGATGCCCTGGTCTAGAAGCTTCTGCATTAAGGGGATGGATGTGAGGGTATTAGCCAGGTACAGCTGATGGTGTTTTTCCTCCAAACCTTTCACCAGCTCAGGTACCACAGTGAAGCCACGCTCCTGGCCCGTCTTCTCCCCCACCTGGATGAAGAAGCGATGGCAATAGCCGGACTTGGAGTCACAGAGGAGCCACACTTGAGGCTGAGTCTTTGGATTCTCTTTGGCACTGCAGCCCTCCTCCTCTGGGCTGGGCAGCAAAGCCCGGTCGATGGTCAGGCAGCAGTTCGCCTGGTAGGTGCTCCACATGGCTCTGCTCAGGATGTCCAGCATCGGTCTGAAGATGTGCAGAGAGTCACGGGGTCTGCTGGTGCCCCGATGCTCCTCTGTGGCGAAGCTCCCCATGCGGATCTTGTCAGCGATCTGTTTGAAACGTTTGTAGCTCATGGCGCGGTAGAAGGTGTAGCTGTTGTCATAGTGACTCCAGGACCAGTAGTGTGCTGGGTCAGGAAGGTTCTGGATCCCCATCAGGATGACCAGACCAATGAAACCTTTGATTTCATGAGTGGTGACAGGGACCCACTCTGAGGTGCGAGTGCCCAGGTACTGGCAGGTCTTGACATGGGCGTTGGTCTCGTTGGTGATCAGCTCGATGAGCGTAGCGGGGAAGAGCAGGTTGAAGTAGTCAATGGCGTCACAGTTCCTAGACAGGTGGTGCTGAGGTCCACTGCTCTGAGTGAATGGCAGGATGGAGGACTTGGCACTTTCACCTTCACTGTCTGTTGGATCTTTCCAAGAGTCTGCTGACTTCCATGACGGATCAGGCAGCTCCTTGTTCCGGCCTGGTTCCTTCTCCTCTGAGAGATGCTGCTCTTCATTGTCCAAGAACTGGATGTCTGGATCGGTGAAGGCTGAAAGAAAGGTTAAAAAACAAAAACGAGACATTTACAATCAAAGTTTACCGAAACAATCAAAGATCCTGTAGAAACTAAATCAGTCACACCATGAGACACCACCGACCAGAGTTTACTTTTACCACATCGTGCTCAGAACCTGGTTTCTGGTCGGTCTGAGCCCTTAGCGATGACGTTAGAGTGAGAGCTGTTGGAGGTAGTAAAAGGACGAGACAAGGACAACCTAGTAGGGCAACACAGTTATCATCTACTCTCAGGTATATTCCTCTGATGGGGGTCCACGCTCGTACATGACACTGAAACTGACAAGCCTGACCACCACACAAGTCTCAGACACAAACCCCTCCAGAGTTTGTCTCCACTCATTAATGATCCATCAGATCTGCATTAGAGCCGGAGGGGGGTCAGTGTGGAAATACTGATCCAGTATTCAGCACACTTTTTAAAATCCAATTAAGACTTTAGTTTAAAATCCTTTTAAGCTCCAAACATCTTGACTCTCCTCACCCTCTCCTCTGTCTCACTTTATTCTGCTGTAGTTATCAGACTTCCTAAGACCCCAGGCTGTTCTTACATATTTTCAGAGTTGCCTCATGTTTCCCTCCTCCAACCTTTTCTCCCCCGTGTTTTTGGTCCTAACGCCAATTTTTTTCCTGCCCTTGAATGTTCTGGTTTTCTTTCCTCCTCTCTTCTGTTTGGGGTTAGTTCACTCGAGTTTAACCAAGTTTAAGAGGCTCTGACTGTTTTCTGAGTGTGTCCTACTTAAAGACTAGAAGGAGTGAGTTGGATGGATGGTATCAGTCCTGTATGCGCCCCCCAAACTTCTACATCCTAGTTCATTTATAGAAATATGACAGAGCGGTGCAAAGTGTCTAATAATTGTTTATAAGATCCTTATGGTCACCCTAAAATGCATGTCCTATCAAAAATCTAGAGCTTTAGAAGCTCAAAGTTAGATGTGTTGTGACCTTAAAATCTTCCAATTATTCCAATTTAAGACCTTTCAAGACTTTTCAAGGATTTGCAGGAAGTCTGTTTCTGTGGATGTTTGGGCGCTGAGCCAGTCCTGCAGCTGGAGATGATATCTCAGGGGTGTTAACCTACAGTTATCTCCTGTAAGTGGGGCTCAGATCCTGACAGAAACTTTATGTAATCACATTGTTCGTTTTTTCTCTCTTCCTGTTTCCTCGACTGCACGGCGTCTGAGAGGAATGAGGGTTAACCCCCACTCGGGTCAGGTTTATTTTCTTTAGCTCAGTCTGAGCCAAGAGCTGGACGCTCGCCACGCTGTGGAGCAACACATCTGCGTGAAGCAGCAGCAGCAGTGGGACAGTTCACTCTAACCGTCCTGTCGATGTTTGATTTGTTGGTCTGGGGTCACTCAGAGGTCAGGCTGGACGCTGACAGATTCAGGACGATGTGTTTATTTTAGAAAGTTTCATATTTACAGACTCCAGAAATTCACATCAGATTACTAACAAAAACGTGTTTATGAAAAGCACAGGAATTATGTCAGGAGGTTGTATTGTTTATGTAAAGTGATTATTATTTGTGTTCCCATGTTTACGTAAAGCTGAGGGAGGGATTCAGTCTGCAGCTCCTTCAGCTCAGGGTGACCTCAGACAGAGTTCACTCTGAGCTGGACGGCGAGCAGGAAGGAGGATCTGTGTGTGTGTGTGTGTGTGTGTGGTGGTGGTGGTGGTGGTGGTGGGGGCTCATGATCAAAATCAAAACCTTTTTATCTGTTTATCTTTTTATTTTACTGTTGTTTCAGATGCTAAAATCACTCTCAATAAAGCTTATTATGGACCGTTTATTATTGGAGGAGCCTGTTTTTGTCATATGTTCTGTTTATTTAGTTTTTCGCCTGGTTTTGTGATTTCAGTGTATTTTCCTTGTGATTTTTTCCTAGTGTTTCGTTTCCCTAGTGTTCCTGTTCCCCTGTAGTCTAGTCTTGTGAGTTTTCAGTTTGTATCTGACCCCAGTTCCCTGATGTACTCAGTGTTTTATTCATTATCAGTCTTTCCTGTTTTATTTTAAAGTAGTTTATTCTCTGTGTTCCTAGTTTTGTTTTACTTCCTTAGTTTTCCCTCCTCAGTAATTGTCCTCACCAGTTTCTCAGTGTCTCACCTGCCTCTCATTTCCCTGTGTGTGTATATAGTCCTTGTCTTCCCCTGTTTCTTTGTTAGTTCATTGTGAATGTATGTCTTAGTGTCTCCAGTGTCTTCTGTTGGTTTTTGCCCTTTCGGGTTTTTGAGTTGGACATTTTATAACTAAGTTTTTGTTGCTTTTTATTTAGTTCATTTTGAAATAAATCATTTTTCTTCTGCATTTTGTGTCCTTCCCTACGTTGTTTCACCCTGAACGTGACAGTTTTTACGATAAACTGCCAACGTGTGTGTGTACAAACTTACTGCGGGGCCGACATGTGGCGCTGTAGTGATCCGGGTTTGTCAGCAGGTGTTCAGCCATCTGGTCAGCTGAGCGAGGCCTGAAGTTACAGTCCGAGCAACACATCACGTACACGCTGACACACACACACGCACACACACAGAATAAGGTTATGAGACTTCTCTGGACCTGAACCAGTTTAAGGTGGACTGAGGGGACTGAACTGTTCTAGAGTCTGATGGATCAAAATCTAACACTCATTTGAAAAGGACAACTGGACTTACTTGAGACGTTTCGCGAAACGTCTCAAGTAAGTCCAGTTGTCCTTTTAACAAAGAACTGGATATCACAGAAACTGCATCCTCAGTTCTAGACATTATCTCCAGGTTTAGGAGCAACATCTGCATCCATCCAGACGAAGAGTTTTTCAGGAGGCTTTCAAAACCACCAAGTTCTGTAATTTTGGATCAGGTACCAGCATCTGGACTGTTTTAGAGCCATTGTTGAGGTTTGTGGACTCTGAGCGTGTTCATGGTTTTTCTAGGTAGGACAGATGATCTGAGACTGATGAGTTTGAGGGGCTCTCACCATGGTGGAGGCAGTCTGTGCAGAGGAAGAACTTCGTGTTTGGATTTTGGCACGTGGTGACTATGAGAGAGAGACAGAGAGAGAGAGAGAGAGAGAGAGAGAGAGGAAGAAAGGGAAAGACAGAGAGAGAGAGAGAGAGGAAGAAAGAGAGAAAGAAAGAGGAGAGAGAAAAAGAGAGGAAGAGGGGGAGAGAGAAAAAGACAGACAGAGAGAGAGAGAGAAGACGAATCAGAGTCACAATGACAACAACCATCATTTCATCAGTTAACATGCTCAAAATTGCCCAGAATTCTGGGTGTCACTGCAGTACAGTCAGTTGAGACGCGGCTGACAGCCTGGGTAAATACTATCAGAGTACTGTAATACTGTAGTAGAACTGTAATACTGCTGTATTGTAAAACTGCAGTAGTACTGTAGTACTGCAGTAGTACTGTAACACTGCAGTAGTAATGTAACACTGCAGTAGTACTGTAAGACTGCAGTAGTTCAGTAATAATGCAGTAGTACTGTAATACTGCAAGACTTGTTATACTGCAGTAGTACTGTAATACAGCAGTACTGTAATACTGCAGTATTGATGTAACATTGCAGTAGTACTGTAATAATGTAGTAGTTCTATAATACTGCAGTAGTACTGTTATACTGCAGTAGTACTGTGATACTGAAGTAGTACTGTAATACTGCAGTGTTGTAATACTGCGGTAGTACTGTCATAATGTAGTAGTACTATAACACTGTAGTATTGTAATACTGTATTAGTACTGTAATACTGCAGCAGTACAGTAAGACTGCAGTAGTACAGTAATAGTGCAGTAGTACTGTAATACAGCAGTACTGTAATACTGCAGTATTGATGTAACATTGCAGTAGTACTGTAATAATGTAGTACTGTAATACTGCAGTGTTACTGTAATACTGCAGTAGTACTGTTATACTGCAGTAGTACTGTTATACTACAGTAGTACTGTGATACTGCAGTAGTACTGTAATACTGCAGTATTGTAATACTGCGGTAGTATTGTCATACTGTAGTAATACTATAACACTGTAGTATTGAAATACTGTATTAGTACTGTAATACTGCAGTAGCACAGTAACACTGCAGTAGTTCTGTAATACTGTAGTAGTACCATACTGCAGTAGTACTGTTAAACTGCAGTAGTACTGTTAAACTGCAGTAGTACTATGATGTTGCAGTAGTACTGTAATACTGCAGTAGTTCTGTTATACTGCAGTAGTACATTGATACTGCAGTAGTATTGTACTTCTGCAGTAGTACTGTAATACTCTAGTAGCACTGTAATACTGCAGTTTTACAGTAATACTGTAGTAGTTTTGTAATACTGCAGTAGTACTGTAACACTGTAGTAATACTGCAATACTGCAGTAGTATTGTAATACTATAGTCGTACTGTAATACTGCAGTAGTACTGTAACACTGCAGTACTGTAATACTGCAGTAGTATTGTAATACTGCATTAGTACTGTAATTCTGTAGTAGTACTGTGATCCTGCAGTAGTGGGAGTACCCCTGCAGCTCTTACTGGATCATGTGGGCAGCGTAGGCTCTGGAGCAGCAGCTGCTGTACGGACACAGCAGACAGCGGACGTGTGTCGGGTAGTGGGCGGAGAAATCGGCGGCATCGGTTCCACACTCCAAACATATGAGGCGCTCGTCCTCGAAGAAGGAAGTCCTGCAGGAGGACAGACATACGGGGGACAGTTTACAGGCAGGTTCAGGGATGGGACCGCACAGTCAGCTGACCTCAGACTCCTCTGTCCCAGTATCAGGTTTTCGTCACAGCCCTCATGAGCTAGCTGACCTATCCTTTTGCGCCCCCTTCAGGAGAAACCACGCCACAGCTCTCAGCCTGACCTGTTGATGTTGACTCTGCGGTTCATGGACCTCTTGGTCGGGGATCGGGGGTTTTTGGAGGACGAAGGACCCCTCTGGATCAGAGACTTGGGGTGCTCTGTCTTGATGTTGATTGGCTGGATGAGGGGGGAGGAGCTGTGGAGCAGCTTGTGCACCGGTGATGTCATCGGCGGTCTAAACTTCCCATAGGTCCTGATGGTCACCTGGAGACACGAGGAGAGACCACATCACTGTCACAGCAGGTCCCAGTGGTTCTGAAAGTCATGGAGGCTGAAAGGTGGGCTGACCTTTGACCCCGGCGGCAGCCCCTCCAGCTGAGCGGGTCGTCTGAAACTGCGATGGTTCTCCTGTTTGTGCTGCATCTTATCTTTGAGGTAGATGAACTGAAGACGACACCTGTTACAGTGGAAGGCCTGGTTTACCTGAGCAGGGGGGACAGAACCACAGAGAGATCATGGACCAGAACCACAGACATCGGCGCAGCTGACTCCATACCCGACAGTGTCACACATGTAATACACAGCCGTCATGGTCACCATGGACTCAGTGGTTAGAGTTACAACCTGAAGGACAACCTGAACGAACCAGCCAGACTCATGACATTACAGACCTTTACCAAAATAGGAGTCCACTGATCAATCAATCAGCTGTTTTCAGTCCTCAGAGCGATGATATGTGTTCACGCTCATCTAAACCTTTTAACAAGCGACACCACATGGACCATCATCTTGCAGGAAAACCTCGTCTACACAGATGGATCACACTGTTGAGTCCCTGTTCTTTCTAATGTCCTCACAGTCCACCTGCAGTTTCCTCAGGGACCAGCAGGGGGCCCTACCCTGTACTGTACAACAACAGCAGTCCATATAAGAGACAACTGAGGCCCGCACTACACGTATATGGATATTTATTTATCAGGATATTTTTGTACTCCCGTCTAAATAAATGTATCTGTCCACACGTGTTAGTTCTCAAAAATATCTGCGTCCACACGTAGCCTTCAAACTCAATCCTATCTGGTGCCGCTTAAAAAAAAATTCAGGAACAAAGCTACATGATTGGCCGATGAATCGTAGCCGCGTGATGCGTCATGCATTGTTTGCGGAAGCTACGCAAGTGCGTCGGGTCCATGTGGCGGTGTGGCGGCTATAACAAAGCAGACGCCTCTGTGAGCTGGCTGACTGGTGGATGTAATTGTATAAAACAAGGTTCACTTGCAAGACTGAAATTAGCCCCAAAAAGGCAAAACAAACATAAAGAATACCCTGTATGTCCGCCATCGTTGTTGTTTTTCTTTTTAATTCGCATGCGCGAGCTGCGGTTTGACGTCATCGATCCGTAAAAGTTTAACCACACAAATCCACTTATACGGGTATTTTTTTATTTCTCCACTTGTTTTTTCGGATTCAGATTTATCCGGTTTGAGTATTCCAAACTCCCATTTTGGTGTGGTAGGGAGGCCTAATCGGACATAAATATGTGCGGTTTGAAATATATCCGCATTTGTGTAGTTGGGACCTGACTCCAGGCTCTGCAGGTCACTTCAAACCGACAGGATCTATCAGACCGGTGTGTCTGACCATAGATAAATATAAACACTAGATGGCTGACACAGGATTTTAACCAATGGAGACCAACGTCCGTGCATGGTGGCCATCTTGTTTCAGGCAGCTCTCCCACTCATAACATTCCAGTCTACCGTTTATGTAACATTTAAATAACGATAGATTGATCAATTTTAAACAGATTTTCAAACAGTTTGGTTTATAACAAACCTCAGAGTTTTAGTTATGTTCCTGTATATTCAAGAGTAATTTTAAGCATGGATTTTCATAAATAAACATTGAACAGATACGTAGAGCAATAGCTTTAGGCCTACACACACAAGGCAGTTTTATTAAATCATTTATATATGAAACATTTAAACATTCCATGTATGTTAAATTAGCAATATTTCTATGTTAGGGATAACTATAATGACATATAACAATAATATATAAATATTTATTTTCAATATAAATTTCTGCCTCATGTTTCCATTTTAGATGTTTTTAACAAACCAAACAGTTCGGAAATAATGTGCAACTTAAGTTATGTTGAATCAAAAGAGCATTTCTGCCTCTTTAACTGATGTAAAATTACTGGGTCAACTTTGTAATATGTACTTGGTCTCACTCATAGTGAGTCTGTTAGCCAAGTTAGACAGCTGATAAACACAAGCACATCCACAAAGACTGACACTTAGACTAAATAAAAAATAGGCTGCCATGCAAGAAATTATAATCTCGATTGTGGTCTCAACTTTGACAAAGTGACTCAAAGTTAACCCTTATATACGTAAAACAACTGTGCTTCAGGATTAAGTCTTTCTTTTTTTTTCCAAGTAAATCTTCCATTTCAATATGTCCAAGCATCCCGACTCATAGCCACATTGTTAAAGTCTGTAATAAACTAAAACATTTGTAAATCTGTCAAGATTTCAGCGAGTTAAGGGTATTTTTGATCATACAGATTACTCACCTCCCGTCAGCTACCACAGAGCGTACCAGAATGGTAGACTGGAGTAAGATGGCCGCCGTGTAGGGACGCAGGTGACTGCACCTCATAGAGTCGTCTAGCCTTTCTTATAGGTATCTATGTGTCTGATGACAGATGAGCTCACCTGGTGTCTCAACAGGTGCTGCTGGAAGCTGGCGGGGTTCCTTGTCACCTTCAGGCAGAAGACACACAGCAGGAAACGAGTGTCTCTGTGGAAACTGGTGAAGTGCTGCAGGACGTCCGAGTAAAAGGATGAGCGATACGAGCACACCTGAAAGACACACCTGAGTTAACGAGGCCTGAGCACGGAGGCTGAGCCGGGGTCAGAGGTCAGGCTCACCTGGCAAATATAGGGCATCTCTCCTGGTTTGTGGTTAGACTTCATGTGGTTCAGAAAGGCCGGCTCATTCTCAAACGCCCACTCACAGATACGACACATACCTGGGGAGGGGGCGGAGAGCAAGAGAGAAAGAGCAAGAGAGGGGGGGGGGATTAAGAACCTGATCTGATCCCAAATCTTCCCAAGAAAGATGAGTCACAATCTAAAAGGAACAGAGACAGGTGAGTCCTCACTCAAGTCCCAAGTCCAAGGGTAATTCCACATCCAACCCCAAATTTCCACCGCATCCGTAACGGTGGCGATTTTTCGCCGTCCGCCAATTCCTACCGGATCAGTTTATGAGGCGAATTTCGTGGTGAACCACTAACAACAGTAATCGCGAGAACTCACAAGAACCCGCGGATTCACGTTCAATCATGCGATAACGAGTTGTCTCTATAAAGACAGACACATAGACATATAAGCAGTAGATTGTGTCCTTCCAGAGGAGGAAATGTACTTCTAGACTTCTAGAATCAGCATCTCCTCATTAATGGTGTCATCGGGGTGAAATGACGTCTAAAAACCTTTCACTTGTTCGTCTCTGCCTGTTTGCATGGTGTGAAATACGATCCTCCTGAAACACAGAGTGTTTTATTTTGAAAAGAAGACAGATTTTTTATTTTGTGTCTGTGCCTGACTTCCTTTCCAGCACGGGTTAATCTGTGCTAAATTTATCCGGCATGCTCCGGCGTCCGGAAAAAATAGAACTCTTGAGATCAGCTGTGGAGTCCGGCGATCCGCAGAGGAACGGAAAGAAGCCGGTGGAAATTGACAGGTTAACTTCAATGGTTACAATCAGCTACGATCAGAGGATACGACCTATTAGTAGACGCCCATGATGAGGAGGAAATTGAGGGTAAAAGTAGCTGAAAAACACGAGTCCCAAATTAAAGAGACCATCTAGTCTGAGCTACAGGTAAGACCGCTGAGCTTCAAGTCAAGACCATCCAAAACTCATCCAAGGTACAAATTCAGACCTTAAGTCTGGACCAGTGCACATGTCCACAAAAAAGAGTCTGGGGAGCTCAACATGGTTCTGGTTTCATTGGTTGGTTTAGAGAGACCAGTAGAACAGGTGTATCCTTACAGGAGGTGAGAGTGGACCCGTGGACCTGGTCCTGGTGGCTCTTCAGCTGATGTGGAGACGAGAACTGTCGGTAACAGAACTTACAGCACCTCCTCCCCTCAATCGGTCCAGTCCCGGTCAGCTCCGAGTGCAGGACGATGTGCTGCATCATACTGCAGGTGTGCACGCACACACACACACACACACACACACACACACACACACACACACACACACACACACACACACACACACACACACACACACACACACACGCACACACACACACACACACACACACAGAGTAAAATTTACATGTTTGCATGCTAATCCAGTCAGTCCAGGTACATTCAGGTCCTGTGGTTGCTCTGGGCTCTCACCTGAGGTTGTTGTGGGCCAGGTGGTTGCAGATCTGGCAGGTAAAGGTGGGCGCTTTGATCCCCAGGGGTTGAGGTTTCCTCAGACTCAGGTCTCCTGGAAACGTCCCATAGTAAAACTCCTCAACGCTCATCACCACCCGGGGGGGCTCCAGGGTCAAACGAGAGACGGTGGTGAGAGAGGGGGTGGGGCCAGGAGCTATTAGGTGACACAAACAGACTGTCACTCAGAAATGTAACAATGGTAACACAATGTAGTAGCATCATGAGTTTAAAGTCAGCGATTTTTGAAATGTAAACTTCCTCTTTCACAATAAAAGCCTGAAAACTCTCAGTGAAATCTGTTATCTGGACTTTTGTGGAAGAATTTACCTGGAGGAGGAAAACCATCTTTGATCTGCAGACCTTCAGACATGTAAAATCAAACAGGAGACGAGGAGTAGGAGGTGGAGAAGAAGGAGGAGGAGGATTTCTGCTTCCACATTTAGTTCCTAAGTTTTCTAAGAAGTTCCTGATCGGTTTTTCCAGGAACTATGTAGTGCTAAGAACTCGAGTCATAAATCTGATTAGAGCTTTGGTGATTCTAGTGAACTCTGAGACCAAACAGCCCTGTAGATGCCAGTTCTTTGTGGTAGGCATGATCTTTATAGTATTTGTATTGTGTGATTATATGCAGAGATTTATTTTTCCACCACTGAGGCCGATTCGATATGCATCTCGATACACCGCCACCAATTCGGAACATTAACGATACACTGAGGCTCCCGTCAATACGATGTGATTCAAAAATGATTTGATAATGATATGACGTCATTATTAAAGGATTCACTTTGATATTATGTGATCATTCAATACAGTTGTGTACGAGAGAGTATTTTTCCACATCAGGTTTCTTACCTGAAAAGCACAATCCTGCTTTACTCTCTGTATTAATATGAGGGATGCTTTTAATTTTTGGTCATTTTTTTATGGAGCAAATCAATAAATCATATTTTTAAAAAGACTGAACAGTCAGAGCATTTAATTTTAATAATAATAAAGAACTCCTAATTATGTTCTCTGTCTCTATAATTATACAAAACGTATAAAACTTCACAGTTAAACAGTTTCCGTGAATGCAGAATTAGAAATGTGCAAATAATATTACCAGAAACACATCTTACTGTCAGCGGAGGGAGGAGCAGCCACACAGGTATCCACACCGTGTCGTCTTTTCATGTGCGTTGCCAGGTTCGTTGTGCTGATGAAGTACTTAATAGCCGCACGGCATTGTTTGTTAATTGCGTGCGTCTTGTTAAGTTGACCTCCTCGCTTGAAACTAGGGGTGTGCGCGGTTATTCTGATATTCGTGCAAACGGGGCTGTCCTTACTATCCGTTTAGTAAATAATATTCGTTTATGCTTCTTTTTTTTTAAATTACGTTTTTACCGTCATGTCTTAATAAAAGTGTGCATTAAACAAGCTAAAATGTGTGGATCATTTGCGTGCGACTCTTTCTGCCTGGCTTGCTGCTCTGGGCTCGTAGCGCTGGCCTGCAGCATGCATGGCATCGTGGGTTAACTTCCTCAGAGTGAATAAACACATGCGATCAGCCAGAGCGATGTCGGTGAGAAAAAAGAGCAAAGCTTGGGAGTCTTTTGATTTGCTGTCAGAGATGTTGAAAATAAACGTTGTTGAACATGATGTTGTCTGACTCTGAAGACTCTTCATTTTGTGCTTATGGTGTGAGGCAGGCCGATGACGCAGCGGGCTGCTTGGCTTGAGCGTAGCGGGGCGGAGCTTAATTGCTTTGATCTTTCACGTACTTTATGTCATTCTCCAGCGCTAAAATAAGATTCTGTAACATATTTTAATATTTTAAGCATGGCTTTCATGTGCTCATTATATTTATTTCAGATGATATCTGGCCATATAGATCGACATGTGCTCAATTTGGACTATTTTCTGGGAGTTAATTAATTTTCATGTATTCGAATATTCGGTTTAAAAAATGGTCGTTTAAACGTCAGTGAAAATAACCGCTGGGAACATCCCTATTTGAAACCCTGAAATATTGCCACATGTTTGATTTGTGTGTCTTTTTTGGTGCGTTAAATATCTCATCGCTGCTGCTGTTGTTCTTGTTTGCTTCCATATTTGTTGTGTACAACACCTGTTTGCGTCAGTGCCCGAGGATGCAATAATGCATTCAGCTTACCTCGGAAAAGAGGATAGGACAGAGAATAGATACTAGAACATGAACTTATCGATTTAACGAGATTTACCGGTGAAGACAGGCTAAAAGAGATGCACCACAAATTCACCCGTAATTTATATCCAACGCTCCTTAAATCTACCGGGGCAGTTGCATCGCAAACGTTTGTATCGGACCGCCGACACGAATCAGTGAATCTCGACATCCCAAGTGTTCATGTCCTCCTCTGTTTGTGTTTAATCCCAGGGAGCTGTGTCTGTGTGAGCCTCTCCCCCCCACTCTACAGATCCAGGATCTAACTCTCTCAGGTGGTCTTTACACGAGTACGAATTTGTAAGACATCAGTAAAATAAACTATCGATCTAGTGATATTGACACACGGAGACGCGTATTTGTCCATGACTCCGCATCTTTTTTGAAAACGGGTCTGCAGGTGGATATCTGGGTATTCGTCTTCATGCCGTAGTTGGTGTAAATAGATAAGTCCGGAGAAGACGGTGACCTCATAGCACCCCTCCTCCTCCTCCCTGCCCCCCAACCCACATTGTCACACGCACAGCATGTACAGTACAGGCCAAAAGTTTGGACACACCTTCTCATTCAATGTCTTTTCTTTATTTTTTTATATGACTATTTACATTGTAGATTATTACTGAAGGCATTAAAACTATGAATGAACACATGTAGAATTTTGTACTTATAAAAAAAGTGTGAAATAACCGAAAACATGTTTTATATGCTAGTTTCTTTAAAATAGCCACCCTTTGCTCTTGATGGCAGAAGTACCTTGTCAGGGTTACTTCAGGCACTCCTGTGAAGTAAAAACCATTTCAGGTGACTACCTCATGAAGCTCATTGAGAGAACAGCTAAAGTTTGCAGCGCTATCAAAAAAGCAAAGGGTGGCTACTTTGAGAAATCTAAAATATAAAACATGTTTTCAGTTATTTCACACTTTTTTCTTAAGCACATGATTCCACATGTGTTCATTCATAGATTTGAGAATTGTAGCAATCAAGACAACCCTGGGTGTGAAACTTACACATTCCTCACAGGAAAGTTTCCTTATCTGGTCCCAGGAAACAGGATATAAATCTTTCCAGACGTGTTTACACTTTCAGGTTACCTAAATGACCCAACCGGAGGTTGACTAAACCTCTGACTCTTCACGATTGGTCGATTCGGAGAACAGAGACAGAGTTTTGATTACCTTTCAAACTGACTCCATTTGCTGACCATCTAAATAAACATTAACCTCAACCCATTAACATTAACCTGTGTGAACATACGGACCCCAGGATAAGGGGGGACACTGACCTCCAGACCTCAGTCGTAAAACCCTGCTCGACCATACACTGATAAAGACTACATTCCTTTGGTGAAAGAATACAAATGACTGATCCTGACATCTTATGCATTCAGCAATGTACTAATCTGTCTAATCATGAAATTTGTGTTAAAATGAGATGTTTCCCGTTGTTCTATGTGCTCCAGAAGCCGAGTTATCGCTCTGACAGAATAAATCCTTTATTCTTTAGTTCTTTAGACCAACACCTTTCAGACTGTTTCATGAACTTTTAAGAGTTAAATTTATCGACTATGAATCATAACTTTACTATAAGTGACAGAAATAGTTTAGAAATGTTTGGTTTATATTGTAGATGTTTATTTAGTATTTTTAACCATTAGGTGGTTATAATGTCATTGAATAATCTGAATGTGAGTATTTAGAATCCATTATTAATCATGATGACGTTCATTCACATGTATTTACTCTTTTGTTGTTCACAGTTTCCATGTGTTACTATCTGTTTCATTTCAGAGTAATTTAGCATGTTCAATGTGATACTTAAAACATAATGAGAATGTTTGATGTGATCCTACACTTCATTCATATGTGTTTAGTATCAAATTATTTATCATGAAACCTAGCATTCAATGATATTAATCATAGTGAGTGAGTATCAGATCTGACTCTTTTACCAGCCAAAAGTATAAGTTAGATCATATAATCAGAGATCCAAGTTCATCTCTGCTTGGAGACCACACGACCCCTCCTCTGTCTCCTCACACACACACGCCAGCCACTCCCAGTGTGAGAAGATAAAACCAGTGAAGTGGGGTTGCTCACTCTTCTTCTGCTGACTCTCTTGTGTGCTGACTCTTCTCCTCTTTTTCTCTTCTGCCCACACCCTTCTGTGGTGCGTTTCTTTGTTTTCTCTTAGAACTTTTTCTTAGTCTTCTAAGTTTTACGCCACGTGTTGCTTCACATTGATTTTCTTTAACATCGTCTTAGTTCAAGTTTTGAAACTTCAACTTTTTGTGCGCATAGCAATTCAAGATTAAGCCTTTGATTGATTTTTCTTTAATTTCGCGAAGCCATTTTTGAAAGTTTTCTCTGCTTGAGTCTCGTTTTCTGAGTTATCTGCATGATGAAAGTCACCTCTGAACGCAACCCAGCAGGCCCAGGTCATCCTCTGTGCCAGAGTTTTTGAGTGAGACCAAAGAAGTACCCAAACAAGCATCCACAGGCGCCAGCTTTACTCTAGGCCCGAGTGCTACAACTCCTGGCCCATCCTTCGGCTGACCTCAGTCGTCTTCTGAGCTGAACCGCTCGAACCCGCTGGTAGCCCGGACCTTCGGAACCTGCTCCATCTTCTCCAAGGACCAGTCTCACTTAAGTATGCAAACCTCCAGAGCTCCAAAGAGGGCTGGTGCTGTCTCATGCGTTCATAACTCAGATATCCACTTATTCTAGTAATCTTAGATTCCTCCAAATCCACATCCGAGTTTATCTCGACACCAAAGTTAGTGTAGGTTAATATGTTAGCGCATATTCACTCACTATCATTAACTTTAGTGCTCCTAGCCTGACTCAGAATCTTTATTTATTCACCTATTATTATTTATCTTCATTACCTTATCATCATTTATTGCATGTATGTTGTACCATCATTTATCCTGTAATAAACAGATAATTATTTTTTTAAGTTCTGGTCTGTTAGTGTTCTTCCAGAAGTGGAGTCCCTGAAATTAGAATTTCGACTTAAGATATGAGACTGATCAGGGTTTTTCCTGGCTAAAATTGAGGCAGAGGTGGCACCATCCTGACCATGCGCCACGACGTGCATGTATTTGTTAATTCAACCGATTCACTTTCTTTTACAGGTAACATACTTTAAGTTAAGGGTTCAAAAAAGAGTGTGACCATTATTACGTTAAAGCATTCATTTATTAAAACTATAAACACAAATCAGCTGGCAACTTTAAATTGAAAGTACACTTAATCCACACATCTCGCAACCAGACAGAACATTTCAGCCTCCTCTTTTTCATTCTGTAGAACCTTCTCATGCACTCCTTGTAGTCCAAGGCCTCCTGGTCTGGTCCATCAACGGCCACCTTACAACAGACATCCAAGTGCCTCTCCTTCAGTCTGTTCCACAGAGGTGTCTTCACCTTAAACAAAACAATTCATCATGCATTAAGTATTTTTGTTTTTATTCTGATACAGACATGAAGAGTGATAGTGTTTTCAATCATATATATGTATAAGCTGCAGTGTCCTCCCTAAAGAACAAAACGACAACCAATTATTTCTTAAACTATCTAAACTACGTTATTTATTTTTTGTAACTTTATTAGTTTTTTTAGGTACTACCATCTTTAATATATTTCTCCTTCTCTTCTGCTGCTTTGTGAATGGCTGTCACCTCATGTCTTTTTAATGTGTCCAGCCTGTAGTTGGTTGATGGCTGTCTCACTAAGGAGCCTGCTGTGTTGGGGCACAGTGCTTTTGGCATAAATAGCAGTGCATGCCTTCTTCAGTATGCCTGAGCCAGGTAAATTGATTGAGCCACTGCTTGTCAAAGCCACTGGCTCTGTGTTTTTGAGAAGATCTGGAAAGAGGAATAAAAACCACGTACAAGTCGGCTTTGCGTTGTTATGCTCCTAATTGGAAACTAATTAATTAATTACCCTTGCCTCGCCGACTCGTCCTGTCCTGCATTCTGACCCTCGCGATCACCAGTCCCTTGTGAAGTACTTTCAGACCTGACACAAATTTCCACGTTGTCACCAACATGAATTATAGCATTTTAACTGCCTGTTACGTTTTTTCTCTGCTGTGTTTCACCTGGACTCTTGACTTTCCTCCTCGCGAGGTCGCTTTTTAAAGTACTGGCTGATTTTGCCTGTCATAACTGCAACGCTAAAAAACGGAGTAAACTTTTTTTTTTTAAATAAACACGACATGCTTGGATGCAAAAAAGAGAAGCAGTATTTACCTGTTTGTACCATCCGCCAGGGAAAATCAGGACGCCGACAGCACCAACTAGCGGGAAAAACACTTGAAAAAACATGATTCGATCCGTTTCTTCTTCGGTAGATGCTTCAGGTCTTTCCCTATTATTATTTATCTTCATTACCTTATCATCATTTATTGCATGTATGTTGTACCCTCATTTATCCTGTAATAAACAGATAATTATTTTTTTAAGTTCTGGTCTGTTAGTGTTCTTCCAGAAGTGGAGTCCCTGAAATTAGAATTTCGACTTAAGATATGAGACTGATTAATTAAAACTGACTTGATGTTTGATTTCTGAATTAAACTTTTGTTTTCTTTATTTTCCCACCATTAAGGGTGGGTGGTGCCCCTTTCAATGAGTGCATAAATGTCATAATTTGAGATTATTAATCTTCAGACATTTATTATAAATTCCAATCGCTACAGTATTATTTTGGTGCGGCCTTGTGAGGCTCATTACAAATCGCTACAAGAATCTACAATTTAAATAGTAATGAAAACAAAGAAAATGCATTGAATGAGAAGGTGTGTCCAAACTTTTGGCCTGTACTGTATGTATGCGCATTCTCTGTTTTTTGTGCTTTGTGGCAATTTCACAGTGTCACCTTTAGGCCGGGCGTATGTACTAAAGGATTTTGCGTGGATTTTGCGTTGTCATGTAAATGCACTAAGCCTATGTACAATACGATGTGTAAACAGCGATACATGTTTTGGTGCCGACGCCAAGACAATACAGGGCCGTCCTCGTGTGAGGAGAGCCTCAAGTCATACCGGCACTCAGTGAGGTGAATCTGGAGACTCCGTTGGCTGAGCCTGAAGGGAGAGCGGGAGAACCTGCCAGCTTCACAGAGTTAGCTCCGCCCACTTGAGTCATCTGAAGTTTAACTGTTAAAAAAAATGATCGACCAATCAGCCAGTTGGTCATGAAAATAATCAGCCAATCAGATGTTCCCAAATTTCAGGTGACTGACCGGATCCCGGCGTGCTTGTGCGGATGGTCAGCGTGGTTGGCAGCTGCACAGTGGTGTAGGCGGAGCCAGGCTGGCCTCTTGAGGGGGCGGGGCCTGTTCTGTTCTGGCCCTGTGGGAGGACAGGAGACACGGCCACACTTGGTCTTACCAGCTGACCCAGAGAGGGTGCTGTGGGGACAGGAAGATTTCTGATCAGTAACACGTTAAATCAGAGCTCAATGATCAGATCAGGTCCGAACGGGTTCGTGTGAGGGGGGGGGGGGGGTTGCTCGGCGTCGTACACTGGATCAGAGTGAGCGGCTGAACCGTCTGACCCGGCTGCAGGTTCTGGAGGTTCTGCAGGTTCAAGACCAGAGGAGCTCCGTGATTGACCATTGGGAAACCCTGTCGAGTCACAAACAGATGACATCATAGCTCGTGGTTACAAGTGTGTGAACTCGAATGACATCATATACGTCAGCGGCACAGTCACCGACCATTCAGATGCAACCATACAAACAAACAGACAGAGGGTGCGTTTGATTTCGTACCTGTGTAGTGAGCAGGATGGGCTGGGTGTTTCCTGTCCCAGGGGCTGCTGGGAGGAGAAAGGTTCCCCCAGCTGTCTGCGTCAGGATGAGGGGTGGAGCCTGCGCCATCAGGGGCGGGGCTGGGGCCGAGGGTGAGGGGAGAGGAGCGACTGAGGAGGAGGGGGTGGAGATCACACAGGAGGAGATGATCTGAGGAGCGGGAGGAGCTGAAGATACAAAAACAGAGAGATTAGAAGTGGTTGTTCGAAGAGGACGTCTAAAATCAGACCGATGTGTTTCATACCCGTGGGAGCAGGTGAGGCTGGGGGGGGGGCGCTGGGAGGCGGAGTCTCAGAGGCTGGCAGAGGAGAGAGAGAGTCCTCCACTACAGAAACACAAAGAACACAGGTAAGGCTGAGGTTGATCTGGGAGGTCTAAATGACCCATCAGTTTGAAGGTAAATGTGAGTGTGTGTATGTGTGTGTGTGTGTGTGTCTCACCTGGCTCACAGTAGCTCTCCATGAAGTCCATTTCGTCTTCCTCCACGCTGTCGTCCACCTGTTGCCATGGCTCCAGCTCCTCCTCCTCACACTCCATGAACAACTCTGTATCCATGTTGCTATGGAAACCAAGAGAAGCTGTCAGCATCACTCTTATTCCACCTACAACCACTACCTCCCATCATCATCATCATCATCATCATCATCATCTATTGGAGTTGTGTTTGCTCCTGTCCTTCTGCACTGTGATTGGCTGAGATTAATTAAAGTTAATAAGTGTATATCTGAATTAAACACGGACTCTGAGTTCAGCTCAGTAACCACACAGTGACCAAATAAAACCTTAAAACACTCTTGAAAACTTGACTGTACAGAGAAAAACAGAGACAAAATCCTCATCACACAGTTGGCTGTAACTAGTATTTTTTAAATTTAAATAACTAATAATAACAATAATTCTATTTATTTAATTCTAAAAATGGGATCAGTACATATTGATGAACATTGACATGTAAATATGTGGGATTATAGTCAAATGGCTAATTTCCATCCCCAGTCCCAAAGGCAGGTTGATGTTAAACATAAAAGCAATAATGTTAAAAGTACAAACAACATGACTAAGATGGTAAAACACTGACAACATACACATAATATACATAAACAACGTACACAGACTAAAAACTAAGTGACCAATAGTAAGGGGACCAAAAAGATTAAAAGAGAATCGTGAAGTGCTAATTAGAGTGTCATGTGATAAAGATGTTTAAAGTGCCATTTGCTACAGTACAGCGACAAGTGCATAAGCGCCAAATTACATTGAATTGCATGATGTGCAGTACAGTGCAGTGAACAAATTAAGAGTGGTACCCCAAAGCAATTAGCCAATTACACATGACAAACAATTTTAGACTTGATTTTGATGGCAGGTCTGGTTTTCCAACAGCCATGACTTGAGATGTTAAGTAAAAGAAGTAAGGGTTGGGAGTTCACGTATGGTGCTAGGTATTTGGTTCCAGGATTGCGATGCACGAAAGGAGAATACAGCTTGACCAAAGACACTTTTCCTGAGCAGCACAACACAGTCACCTCTAGAGCTTGCTCTGGTTAGATTTTTTTTATAAACTTATGAAGTGGAGGTGGAGCCTGACTATAAATAATTTCAATACAGAGTCCATGTATTTTACTATGTTGTCAAAATTTAGTCGCTCAAGTTTTTTCAGTATCAGACAGTGATGGCACATATAAGGTTTTCTATCAAGTACCGTTAGGGCCTGTTTATAGACCGTTTCAATTGGCTTCAGAGCTTTCTTACAAGCTGTTGCCCAGCTAGTTATGCAATAAAGCATGTGTGGCATAATCATTCTGGAGTCAAGTTATTTGTAATAAATCTGATGTTCGATAAGTTAAATCTCATTCTGTGCACGATCCTTTTTATCTGCTGCTTAAAGCTAAGTTGTTCATCCAGAATGATTCCCAGATATTCAAATTCTTGAACTACCTTGATTTTTCGACCTTCTACAAATACATCAGGATTGTAGATACTTACTGTTTTTAAGAAGTACATACAGACAGTTTTAGAAATATTCAGGTGTAGATGTGAACTCTCAAGCCAGTGATACACTTTGGTCATAGCATCAGTCAGTTCTACGGCAGCTTGCTTTTTGTGTTTTGCATGAACAAAGAATATATATAAAACAGTATATATATAATATAAAATTAGATTGGGGTTAACTCAGTGCCAGTGTGGATAAACATTCTTTTATGGTAACAATCTAAAATCATACATAAAAATGATGAATTCTGACTAAGACGAGGAAGCCAAGACTGCAAACATCCTTCATTCATACCATCAACACTTATTTTTCATTATTATGAAGGTAATAATAAAAATAATAATAATAAATAATAAAAATAATGATAATAGTAATAATAATTGTCATAACAACAATATGAAAAATAATAATAACTGTCCTAACAATAAAAATAACAATTGTCATAGTGATATTAATATTGAAAATAACGCCAACAACAATATTAATAATAATAATAAAAACAACAACAATAATAAAAGTAATAATAATAAAATTAGTTTGGGGTAAACTCAGTGTGAGTGTGAAAAAAATTAGGTTTTTATGCTGACAATCTTAAATCAGACATAAAAATTATGAATAAAGTCTGACAGAGGATGAAGCTAAGAATGCAAACATCCTACAGTCATAACATTAACACTTATTTTTCATATTGAAGGCAATAATAATAGTAGTAATAATAGTCACATTGAAAACACCTATAATTATAATGATAATACAAATAATAATAATAGTAGTAGTATTAATAGCAATAATGATAGTAAAAGTCATATTGAAAACAGAAATAATAAATAAATGATAAAAAATATTAACAATAATAATAATAATAATAATAATAATAATAATAATAGTGTTTCTGTCCGTGTTGACATTTTAAATAAAGTTGTTAAACGCGCAGCAGCGCGGGGTCACCGTGGGTGAACTGACCCGCCGTGGCCGCAGGGGGCGCTCCTCTCCAGGCTTTGTGTTTGTTTTCCCCCCGGTTCGGCGTTCCTGTCCCGTCAGGAGGTAAAATATCACCCGGTCTGAACTGAGGACCGTCAAGAAGTCCAGTTAGACCGGTTCAAACATGTCCCGGGTCTCAGCGTCACCAGAACCGGACAGCAGACCCGGTTTTGCCGCGGTGTTTGGACTCAGCACCGCCCCTCCAGCAGCAGCGAGCTCTCACACAAAACAAACGCCTCTACGGTTACCCTGCTGCTCCAGCAGAACCAGTCTAAGAATCCAAAAGGTCGAACCGGACCAGGTTCGGTCTTACCTGCTGGGGCTGGAGGCAGCGCGGTCCGGACGGGTTCACTTGGTTTTTCTCACGCCGCGCTTCAGTTCAGTTCGGAGCTCGAGAGACGAAGGCGTGACTTCCGCTCCTTCACAGGCTCTGTTTGGCCAATAACGAGTTACGTCATTCGCTTTATCAAACAGCGTGCTCTGTGATTGGTCGATGAGAATTCTTGTGGAGAAACTAAAGATTCGTGCAGCCTCAGAAAGATGCGGGTTCTGTGGACTTCAGGGTCCGAGAAACTCACAGGGGGTGAAGGTCTCCGTGAGTCCGGACTGAGAGAGACTAAAAGACACAACAAACACTTCAGCACAACAACAACAACGGAGCACTGTTAGGGCACGACGCCATTTTGGTTTTGTTGTGTTGGAGAGGGGCGGGGTTAAGTAGTGACGTCGTTGGAAAGAATGGAAATTTTATAAATCCTTAAATATCTATCTATCTATCTATCTATCTATCTATCTATCTATCTATCTGTCTATATATATATATATACTGGTAACTTAAGACAGAATCTCTTAACAAAACTTTAGGAAATATTTGCTGTTAAGAAGCTGAATAATGTCTGTACAAATAATTATAATATTAATTTATGCAATTGCTATGTGAGTTTGTTTGCTGCATGTTCTGAGTAGTTTACACCTGTAGATGGCGCCTGTGAGTCAGAACAACAAATATTTCGGCCGTGTTGTTTCAGAGAGAAAAGTGTTTTGGACGAAATCCGAAAATGCACTTTTGGGCCATTTTCAGTGCATCCCTACTTTATAGTTAGCAATATAGTTTCCAGATGTATTTATACTCACTCACTGTAAGCCCTGGCCTTTTAGATATCCTGGCTGATATCACGCTGATATCCTGGCAGGAACGGAAGAAAGACAAACACTAAGCTTTTCCTCAACAGCTTCCAGCCTGTCTCTGTTTTTAGTTGTTTTTTTTTTTACAAAAAAGTATTTGTCCACTGTCACCCAGTGACATAGAAGAGTACTGACGCTGACTTTATTACAGCACAAACACTCAACAATGGCACATAAACACTCGTGGATTGAACACACACACACACACACACTCACAACCACTGAACCACCACTTACAATTATCTACTATTACCTGCACTTTATATCCGTAAACCAACTTAAAACCTTTCAAACCTCATTTTCACTACTGTAAATACATTCAATATTGCACTACTGTATAATTTATCTGTCACATAATCATATTTATAGACTGTTTATAGCCTGTACATACTTATAGTTATAGCATATTCATAACAATGTTATATACCCGTGACATACTCATGTATATATCTCCTTCATACCTGTTAGGTCTAAAACCTGCAACATTTACCTGATAACATATAAAGAAGAGAAAGACAATGGTATATACTCGAGGAGAATGGACCGAGATAGCTTCAGGTACCATCTCGAAACCACTCTGAAAGGTATTTCCGCCCAGTCTCTTTTATTTAGGGTTGTCCCTGGTCACACAATGTTTCTAAAGGGTGGGGAAAAATATGTGTAGCAACGTAAGCACTCTCATAAAGCATAATAATGAACAACTTGTGAATATGTGAAGGTCAAGGCGGCATCTAACGAGCTCCTTCTGATAAGCGTGTCCTCCCCTTATTTCCTTCCCACGATTCATAGTGGAGGATACATCACACACACCTGCTGATAGGAGAAACGAGTTCACAGAGAAGTTAAGAAACATTCATGTGCTGTGTAATTAAGCTATTGGAGAGAGAAGTTAGAAAACACTCTTATATGATAAAAATACTCTTATATGATGTATAAAAAGAGGTCAAAGGAGTTTATACTTGTAGTATAAACTCTTACATAAGAATATGAGGAATAATGATAACTTCTATATACATTTATGCACATTATTCTAACATTTCCCTCCTGTTTATCATTACTTTGCTCAAATTCTCATAATCCCTCTAGTTCAGCCACTTCTCTCGATTTTCAGCTGCGAGTTCATGTTTATAACTACAAAGAATTTACACACGGAGGTACAAGATGTTGCTTTAGTCAGAATTATACTCATCATCCGGACTGGGGCACAGGTCAGGCCATTGAGTGTCATCAAGTCTGTCCTCCTCGTCCTGCTGATGGAGCAGCGGGTACAACTCCTGCATCTGCTGCTCCACAGGGGACAACGCTGTGGTGATAAGACGGTTAAGAAGAGAACAAATACAGAAATACAACAACATCCACACAAGGTCAGAATAGCTGCAAAAACAGCAACAGAGATAAGGACTGAATCTACAAGATTTTTGTATTTTCCAAATACATTCATCCAATCATCCCAAAAGGAGTTATCTATTCCTGAGTGGTCTTTCATTTTGCTGTGAAGCGTTTTTAGGCCCTCTATGGCTCGAGTGAGGCTGCCATCAGCAGCAGTGTTATCAGGAATGAACGTGCAACATGTTTCTCCAAACATGGCACATACACCTCCTGTTTCTGCCAGCAGCATGTCAAGGGCTATACGGTTTTGGAAAGCCATCAGGGATGTTGCAGATAACTGCGAGTGACCGGCCTGAAAACCAGCCTCAGTCCAATTACCTAGCTTTTGAACGTTGAAATGGATGTAGTTGATTCTGATTCGATCTATATTTTTGTTCATTGTACACCAAGGACAGACGAGAGACTCAAAGCCTGCAGCAACTTGATTTACTAGTTTATACTCATCTGGTACCTCACGAGGAACTATCTATATAAGTCGGGTCTGACTCTGTTTGCTAATTTCTTTTTACTCTGGAGTGGCTCAACAAAGGAATAAGACTAACTGCAGAGATTAAATTTGCCACACTGGTCTGGAAAGTTACAACAGTTAGGATTAAAGTCTCTAAGGCCCTATTATCAGTCTGCTGTCATTCAGGTACAGCTACAGAAACACGTACAGGTTTGTTATGGTTAGGGAATTCCTAGTACAGACATAGAAGTTAGACGATTCTTCATTTTTACTAGATATTTTTGCATATCTGTACCACATGTTCACTTCAAATAAATCTTTTTTTAATTTTTTTTTATTTTATTGAGTGGGATTGCGAAGCATTCCCACTATATTTTATCCATATCTTTATTAATATTATTCTTCCACCATTTTTTAAATTATTATTTTTTTTTTTATTTTGATGTACCTTTAATAAACATAAGTATAAGTGTTTATTGACAAAACGAGCATACACAAAATCCCATTGTAAACAGAATAACACAAACGCCTAGTAGCAGTTAAGCTATGGTAAAGTTCTCAGTGTCTTCACCACATGAAGCAACTGTGGTGTCCGTCTGGGTGATTCATACCCCTGCTCACTGTCTCTCAGGTTTCCTCTCTGCACATGGTCGCCTTCAGAACAGCTGAATGTGATTTTTGATTGGTTGTCACACAGGGTGTGAGGACTATTGTTGTTGTCACTTCTCTTTCCTTCCTTAAGTTCATCTGAAGTTGTAAATAATGTTTTCAGTAGGTAAATTAACAGCATCAGGTTTAGCAGAAGTAAGATACTTAACTTCCCCATTTTCCTAAGCTCCTAAGGAATTCAACACCATCTAATCTTCACTGACATTGAGACGAACGCCCACTATAAGGACGCCCCCCTTTGAAGTCAGACTTTCCTAACTAAAACCCATATAGGTTTTTTTTGCAATGGGAAAGATGTATCCAACTACTTCTTTGTGCTATTTTTACTGCTGTGGGTGTCATTAGCAGTACCCCTTTTTTTTTTTTTTTTACTCCTTCCACTTACTTCAACGTATTCAAAACCATTCAAACTTCAGGAGATTCCAGCTTATATTCAAAATTTTCCTAACATTCTTCCAAGATATTCCAGGTTTTCCAACCAATTTTTCTTATTAGAAATACATTACGGAATTTTTAAATTGGCCCTTTTCTCACATTTTTACACAACTTACACAACTTTAAAAGCCTTCAACTTCTCTATACATCCAGATTATGATCATTTTAATTTTTCAGTTTTAAATCATTTCATTCTTCACTCAGTATTCAATTTTTTCAAACTAATTCCAACTCAATTAAACTGATTTAAACCTTTCTGAATCTTCAAATCTCATCTCTTTCGCATAATTTTTGAACTTAAACCATTTACAATAGCAGCTTAGCAATTACAATTTTAGCTGGAGCAATCCATCTTGCAATTTCTTCAGAAATTGCATTTTCTAGTTATTATTTATTTATTTATTTATTTATTTCATTTACAAAATGAGTTCCATTGTCACTGTAGATTCGTTTTGGAATGCCAAATCAAGAAATTATTTCTCTACGCAGGATTTTTGCTACTGTTAATGCATCTGGATGGGTGACAGGAAATAATTCTATCCATTTAGTGAAAGGATCTATTAACACTGAACAGTATTTCTTTCTCTCACACTGATTTAATTCTATGAAGTCCATGTGTATGGCTTCAAATGATGCATTGGTTGGTGGAAATTTGCCTCTGTTTGGTTTTATATTGTCTTGAGCATTATGTCTACCACAAACTGAACAAATCAAATAGTTAATTATTTATTTATTTTATTTTTTAAATAATTTACGAATCAATAGGGGGTAAAGTGTTGATTAACTACTACACTCATCCCTCCTGTCGAGACATGGCAAGGCCCATGACTCGCTATTACTGCCTTTAAAGCTCTCTCTGTTTGCTGATCTGACAAAAATCTTTCGTTTGGAAAACCTAATCTGTGGCAGTTTATGTCCAAGAGCTGTTTTTTTTTTTTTTTTTTTTTTTTATACTGGAGTCACACAAAAAGGTTACAGGTAAACCATGAATCATTAACTATATCTGCGGTTTTATGTCTGCATAATGTATTCCTTCTCCAACAGACTGTTGCAGCTCGGCTATCGAAGGGACAGATACAGGAAATCTGTCCTGCCACAAGCTATTGCACTGTTAAATAACACACATATGTCAGACAGGGACTCACACCTGTCTGCTGTATAGTCCATTTTTAAAAACTCCTATCACATCAGATTACCGAGCACCTTAAATTGTCTGTATATCTATCATCCCATCTGTAATATTTCGTATTTCATATTTATCACTCATTTCATATTTATTACTCATTTCATATTTATTACTCATTTCAATAGTCCACGTTCTTCATATCTCACTTTTATCTCTTAGGATGATTAGCATATTTAGCCTATATTTATTGTATATACTTAGTATTTTTATTATTTTTAGTCTGCATTGTACTTCTTCTTATATTTAATTCTATTTTGTATTTTCTTTTTGCTGCTGTAACAAGAGAATTTCCCAGTTTGGGATCAATAAAGTATATTTATCTATCTATCTATCAAAAACATATATATTTATTTATCTTCTCCAAGTTGAGCACTTCTTCCTCTTCTGTCTCTTCTCTGTTCACACTTTCTCTTCATTTCTGTCAAATAACACTTGCTGTCTCTCCCTCTTTTACTCGTGCTTGATACTTTTTTCTACAGCTCTTCACCTAGTGACCAAAGCTCTGCAATTCTCTGATGTTGTGGTTCACGACCTTGGTCAGGGTACTATTCTTCACCTCTCAGCTCCTGTGATTCATAAACTTTTGTCAAAACTTCTACTTCCTCTATCGTTTTCTCTATTGAAATTCCTGCCTCTTAAACTGCTTCTTTCTTGTTCTCTCTGTCATAGTCATCAAATGGTTTATCATCTCTCTTATTATCCCATAGTCGTCCTATTTATCTCATGTAGTATGAAATTCATTGTCACATTTGGAGTTAATCTTACGTTAAATAGCATTATAGGGAGGGCTTTAATTCCAAGTTAGCTTTGGTGTTCTCTGCACTTTACTATGGTTACTTCTTTAAGTTCCAATAAGGTATAATATCAATCAGTTGGTTCAAATGTTTAACAGGGATGCCAGCTGAGGTCAGAAAACCTCTTCTTCTCCAACGACACTTGTCTACATGTACAACTTATACTTCATAGACTGTAACAGTTTAGTCACAGTTTTGTCTTTTAATAGCTACATGCTTCTGCATAGGGAGGGATTCTTTGGCTGCTGTGTCTCTGGAGGAGTCAAGGTCGTAACTGGCCTCTGATGTATCATTTTATCATTTGTGCAGAGAACAGAGACTGTACAGAGAATTTAACTTGCTATAAATTTGCAGTCTGCATTAAACTTTTCTGCCTTTTTAACTGCCTTTTCTACCTTTCATTTCTGCATTATTATCAGTATTATTTTTATAATTATTATTATTAAAGTTGTCTTTACTTATAGCTTTTGATCTCGTCCTGACTGCTCACGCCTTCCTCCCTTTGATTTGTTATTGCAACTACGGGCTATATGTCCCTCCTTTCCACATGCCCAGCAACCTGTCCCTCTTTGATTTGCTCCTCCTGGTCTGGGCCTATCTTGTCCTCTACCTCTGAACCCTTTTCTGCTTGCTTTTGCTTCCTTTTTCCATTCATCAACCATTTGACTCCCATATTTTTGTGCTTTCTTTATATCACCCTCTGATTTTTCGGTTATGGAGTCTTGTAGTTTATTTAATTGGCTTGTTCTTAGGCTGCCATCGAATCCAAATTTAATTACCTATAATTCGAGGATTTGTAATTTTTCGGGCTCTGAAAACTGAAAACTGAAAACTTTCCAGTCTTGACTTTTTAGTTTGTCTAATTTAGCCTTACTGGCTCCCGTCCCCATTTTTATGTGTTTTGGTCCAGCTTAGGTGACACCTAGGGTGTCCTATTAAGCTGGGTTCTTTCAATGGGGTAGTGAAAAAATTCCTTATGTGGTAATTCTCGCTTCTACTCTTGCAAGTGGAGAATTCTTGCCTTTGCTTCCACAATAAGGTCACTACTTACAATCCCACTGTTTTGGTATGAACAGGATATATCTAGTGATATATCTCTATTCCAATCACTCTCACACTTTCACAATCACACTTTTAACACGTGTTTTGTTCTGCAGAATTTTCTCAATCAGGCCTTTTTCCCACGGATTTCTAGGACCCGCGCGTCCTTTTTTAACGGCTTTGTAGGACCCGCGCGTCCTTCAATTTAACTTTTCCAATCTGGACTCTACCGTCCTTTTTTCTTTTTTTTGTTTGGTCTTTTATAGATTCTCTACACGGAGCGAATCTCAATCATTCCACGTTTCTTTTTATAAAAGGCCAACTCACCACTTGTCTTTCCCCTTGGCTTCGGATTTCCGTCAACCGTCAGATCCCAGCAGGCAGGTCGAGTCCAGTTCCTCAAAGAGAGGCTGCCGTGGCCACGGTCTTATCTGTCATCCACCTCACCTGCTGGAATCGTCAGGTCTATTGGAATCCGGCTCGAAGGACCAAAGAAATGTTAGGTCTAAAACCTGCAACATTTACCTGATAACATATAAAGAAGAGAAAGACAATGGTATATACTCGAGGAGAATGGACCGAGATAGCTTCAGGTACCATCTCGAAACCACTCTGAAAGGTATTTCCGCCCAGTCTCTTTTATTTAGGGTTGTCCCTGGTCACACAATGTTTCTAAAGGGTGGGGAAAAATATGTGTAGCAACGTAAGCACTCTCATAAAGCATAATAATGAACAACTTGTGAATATGTGAAGGTCAAGGCGGCATCTAACGAGCTCCTTCTGATAAGCGTGTCCTCCCCTTATTTCCTTCCCACGATTCATAGTGGAGGATACATCACACACACCTGCTGATAGGAGAAACGAGTTCACAGAGAAGTTAAGAAACATTCATGTGCTGTGTAATTAAGCTATTGGAGAGAGAAGTTAGAAAACACTCTTTTATGATAAAAATACTCTTATATGATGTATAAAAAGAGGTCAAAGCAGTTTATACTTGTAGTATAAACTCTTACATAAGAATATGAGGAATAATGATAACTTCTATATACATTTATGCACATTATTCTAACAATACCGTGTACATTTGTAAATATATTTATACTTGTTAAGCATTTCTGGATGGATGCAAACTGCATTTCGTTGTTCTGTACTTGTGACATGTGCAATGACAATAAAGTTGAATTCTATTCTATTCTTCTATTATTTGCAAATTGAATAATTTCCCACGGCCGCAGCAAACAGGTTGAAAATCATTGGATTAGTTTGTTTTATGAGTATTTTATTATTTACCAACCCAGTTCATTAACAGGGGTAATAACTTTTCATGGTAAAAAATGAATTACATTAAAGGGGACCTGCCATCAAAATTTCATACCCATTTTTATCATTTTTTATCATTATTTGATGGTTTGTTTTTAGTATGCCTAAAAAACCTTACAGGAAAAACAACTGATTTTGGCTCATTAACATTTATGGTAATGAGCTTTGCTCTGATTGGATTGCTGCTGTGAAGCCTGCTGTGCTCTGATTGGCTCAGCAGTGGAGGTTCGGATTTTGCTAATGTGTGCTAAAGTAAGGTGCCCAGATATCTGTAATGATATCCGGGGATATTCAGTGCGGCGGCAGCAGGTACTATCTCGGTACTATTTAGTTGCAGCGCACGCCCCTTGTAATAACCCCCGTAAGAACTGTTGTTCAGGACTGCTAACTAAATTCGGCTACTGTAATAACCGTTGTTCGAGCCCACACGCAACATTTTTGCTCTCATTCATGAAACGCTTAAATCTGGGACATTTTCGGGGACAGCTTTTGCCGGGGACAGGTCATCCCATTCGGGGACTGTCCCCGGAAATCGGGGACGTCTGGTCACCTTATGCTAAAGGCTAAAAATGGCAGGTATTAAACCATATATTTTAGACCCCGAGTCCGAAGAGGAGGTGGAAGTTGAAGAAGAAGCTGGAGATCTCCAGCGGTGTTTTCTCATTCATCCTGCCCAGCTTTAAGTTCATTTTCCCGGCAGTGAACCCAAGGAAACACCAGTCGTTTGGAAGAGACCCATAGCAGGTACAGTGGTAGCTGGGTCTCGCGCTGGCTGGAGAGTGATGTTGACTGTGAATGAGTACGAGAACGAGAGAGTGGGCGCGGCTCACCAAGGACGCGCTGGTGAATAATAATGAGCAAGGTCAGCGTGACGTCAAAAGGACCTGCTTTTTCAATTGGCCTGGTTTACCTGTTCCTTTATTTTAAACCTTTACAGAATGCAAACAACGTAATGGTTTGTTTTCACATTTACAACATAAGACGAACATAATATGGACCTTATCTGACACAAAAAACACACAAAATTACATTTTTGATGGCAGGTCCCCTTTAAATTAATGAAAGTGGTTCAGGACTCTGTGAGAGACTGCATGAGCTAACAGTTCAACAGTTTCAAAATAAAAAGTTCCTGAGTGTCCATCTTTAAAACTCGTCTTAAAACCCATTTTTATTCAGTGGTTTTCAACCCTGCATGAGACTCGGCTCCTGTTTTAGTGTTTTATGGTTTGTTTTTAGTTGTTTGTTTCTATGTTTCTTAATTAGTTTTTAAAAACATTTAAATTATATTTTACTTTCTAATATCTGCTTTTATTTTATCCATTGTTTCGATAGTTTTTTATGTCTGCATGGTTTTGTCTATTTATGTACAGCACTTTGTTCAGCTGTGGTTGTTTTAAAGTGCTTTACAAATAAAGTTGAGTTCATCATCTACAGAACATCATATCATTCAAAGATTCAGAGGATCTCTGTACTAAAGGGGGACGAAGATCAAAACCAGGACTGGATGGTCCTGATCTTTAGGGCATTAGAAACAGACCGGACCTTGGAGTGGAAATCACCGCCTTAGGCGAAACGTCTCAAGTAAGTCCAATTGTCCTTTCAACAAAGAGCTGGAATCATAGATGCTGTGTCCAAATTCTGCAGGGATTACAACAGCATGGCTCTGTAGGAGAAGAGTCCTGCTGAGAAACTGGACTGAAAACCTATGGAGCATCATGACCCCAAAAACAGGACCAAGGAGACCCTGAACTGTTGAGCAGCTGAAGTCCTCTATCAGGACAGAATGGGACACAGTAATGGACCTTTTTTTTTTTAGAATAAGAGTGGGGAAAGATGTCTGCTGTGTGATAATGAAGAATAAAAGCCCTCCTCTCTCTAAAACACTGAGATCCGTATGAGAAAAGAGTCCTTCAGTGATCTGGACCAGGTTTCCTGACATGCTGTGACATGTTTGGAGCTCTGTGGTTCCTGCATATCTGATCCTTCCGGTTCCATGTTTGGCCAAGAGTCTCTAACTGATCCCAGCGCAGCTTTGTATGGAGGATAATCTGCTCTAATCTCACTTAATCTGCCCCCTCTCCTCCTCCCCCTCTCTGCTCTCTGCCCGGTCCGGCTCGGTCCCCCTTCAGTCTGTTCTGACCTGCAGGGATGAAATCTGCCGCTTCGGAGAGCTTCCTGGTACGGCCATGGCCCGAGGGCAGCGCCGCAGGCTCGGACCTGAGCGAGGACGGACGTGGAGGTCTGCTGCTGAGGACTGGAGCCGTGCTGGGAGTCACTCTGATCTGTAAGACTTTATTCAGCCTCCGTCTGTCTGTGGAGAGCTCTGACTGCTCTGATACCAACCATCATTTATGCATGTCCTGTTGTTGTTTGTGTGCATGAAGTTAACCTGCAGCCTGCAGCAGTGTGTCTCTGACCTTCAGACTAAACTGTTAAATAAGTGGATTAAACCAATGCTCAGATCAAACATTGGCAGCTACACTCACTTCTCCATGTACAGATGTCAGCATGTGAGCGGAACCAGCAGAACCAGCAGAGAGGATGTCTGATAGGTTTTGTAGGTCCATGATATAGATCCTGAGGTCAGAGAGGTTTTATATCCGCCTCATGTACAAACACGAGGGGCTGAGATTAATACAAACACTGCAAATGATGCAACACAGCTTTAATGCGGAGCAGATCTAGTGTGGAGCAGATCTAGTGCAGAAAAGCTCTAGTGTAAAACAGCTTAAGTGCAGAGCAGATCTAGTGGAAAACAGATCTAGTGTAGAGCAGATCTAGTTCAATTCAATTCAGCTTTATTTACATGGCACTTTTCGTACATAAGGAAATGCAATTCAAAGTGCCTCACAGAGGCTAAAAACAACAATTAAGACAAAAACCCAACCCTTCCACCCACACATACACCCATGGACCCACACGCACACAAAGACACACACACACCCTCACTCACCCACACATACACACACACACATACAACCGCACACAGTGTGAGAAATTTATGATATAAATTAAAGAGACATGGCCTGACACCGAGACATTACATGAGGAAAGAGCTACCTTTAGGAAACACTGGAGATAAAATGGTGAAAAGAGTAAAACCTGATGGACTAAAATAAGATATAATAATATTAAATGAACAAACAAATAAAAGGGGTAAAAGAAGTAAAAACCTGTGACGGGAAATTTAAAAAAAGGCTAAGAACAGAGATAATGAATAGAATGACATAAAATAAACATTAAGAACTTTGATTAAAAATGTTTTTGTTTTGACTTTGGGTAAGGTTAAAAGGCTTGTGCCGGAGGACCTCAGGGTCCGTGAGGGTTGATATGGTAAAAGTAGATCTGATAAATAGGAGGGGCCAAGACCATTAATACATCTAAAAACTAATAAAAGAACCTTAAAATCAATCCTAAAACGGACGGGGAGCCAATGCAGCGATGCTAGAACTGGCGTTATATGCTCCCGCCCTCTGACCCTCGTCAGCACTCTTGCAGCTGAATTCTGTAAAATCTTGTAGTCTTGGTAGAAGTGTGTCTCTCAGGCCTTCAGGACCAGTAACTAAAACCTCTGTTTTGTCCTGGTTGAGCTGCAGGAATTTGGCTGCCATCCAGGACTTGATGTCTAAAATGCAATTAAAAGGGCATCAATTGGCCTGCTATCATCAGAAGACACGGCCATGTACAGTTGCACATCATCAGCTTAGCTGTGGAAGCTGATGCCGTGCCTCCTGATGATGTCCCCCAGGGGAAGCATGTAAAGATTAAATAGAGTTGGACCTAAAATTGACCCCTGGGGAACCCCACACATAATTTTATGGGTTCATGAGGAACATGTATCCATACTTACTAAGAAGTGTTGATCAGTAAGATAAGAGGTGAACCAGTTAAAAACAGTGCCTGAGAGGCCGACCAGGTGCTTAAGTCTATTTAATAAAATGTGATGGTCTACTGTATCAAATGCGGCGGTTAGATCCAGCAGGACCAAGACTGTGAGATTGCGATTATCTAAATTTCACCTGATGTCATTCAGAATTTTTAAAAGGGCTGTCTCAGTACTGTGGTACTAGTGTAGAACAAATCTAGTGCAGAGCAGGTCTAGTGCTGAACAGCTCTAGTGTAGAACAGATCTAGTGCAGAGCAGCTCGAGTGTAGAACAGATCTAATGCAGTGCAGATCTAGTGCAGAACAGCTCTAGTGTAAAGCAGATCTAGTGCAAAACAGCTCTAGAGTAGAACAGCTCTAGTGTAGAGCAGATCTAGTGTACAACAGATCTCGTGCAGAACAGCTCTAGTGTACAACAGATCTAGTGCAGAACAGCTCAAGTGTAGAGCAGCTCTAGTGTAGAGCAGATCTAGTGCAGAACAGCTCTAGTGTAGAGCAGATCTAATGCAGATCTAATGCAGAACAGCTCTAGAATAAAACAGCTCTAGTCTAGAGCAGATCTACTGTAGAACAGATCTAGTGTAGAGCAGCTCTAGTTCAGAGCAGCTCTAGTGTAGAGCAGATCTAGTGTAGAGCAAATCTAGTGCAGAGCAGCTCTAGGACAGAACAGATCTAATGCAGAGCAGATCTAGTGTAGAGCAGGAGCACACTGAGGGACATTAGCAGCAGGTCATGACGGTCATACAGACATGTATAGTTGGAGTGCCACTTGTTTTTCTCTCTTTACACACAGAGACGTTATAAACTCAAGCGGACTCAGATGATCAGCAGAAAGTCGACGTGAATAATTTCTCTGTTAGTTTTAAATGAGTCAGGAGGTTTGACTCCACCCCCTCCACCCCTAAAGGGTTACGCCCCAAAATAGAGAGCAAAACAGAACACTTATTAAAGTGCATGAATGTGTGTGTGTGTGTGTGTGTGTGTGTGTGTGTGTGTGTGTGTGTGTGTGTGTGTGTGTGTGTGTGTGTGCGCGCGCTCAGGTCTGGTGGTGCTGAGGAGGTGGATCGCAGGTGGAGTGTGTCACTGTTCGGCTCGTCTGGATGGAAAAACGGTTCTGATCACCGGAGCAAACACCGGTATCGGCAAGGAGACGGGCAGAGATCTGGCACGCAGAGGTCAGAGTGTGTTTGATTAGTAAACCTGTGGGGACATGGGGGTGTGACACACACCTGGACACACCTGTTGAGTGATCCAATCACAGGTGGACGCCCCTCAGTATCAGACCTTTCTCTAACTTACACTGTCATCATCTTTTCATTACAGGATAATTCAGAATTTTATTTCTTCTCCTCATTAATGAAGTAAAAACATCATAAATCTGTTTTCATGCAGATCTGTCATTGCTGTGGTAACCCTGGAAACACGCCCTCTAACACAATTAAAAAGTCAGATTTTCCTGTGAGTGAGCGATAAATCAAACACAGCACACCCCGGAGGACGTCCTCGATGGTTGGGTCGAGCCTGAACTCTGCTGGGTGTGTATGATTTGTTGTATTAGTCAAGATTGTGACAGGTGTGTTTGATTTGTTCCAGGGGCCCGGGTGGTGATGGCATGCAGGGATCTGACCCGGGCGGAGCAGGCGGCTGAGGAAATCCGAAAGTCGACAGGTAACGGTAACGTGGTGATCAGACACCTGGACCTGGCTTCAGTTTACTCAGTCAGACAGTTTGCCAAAGACTTCATGGACAGCGAGGACAGACTGGACATCCTCATCAACAACGCAGGTGAGCAGGTCAGCAGGTCAGCACACCTGACACCTCTCACTCTGTCTCTGTCTGACTCCACCCCTCTCTCTCCACCTGTCCTTCTGCACACCTGACACCACTCACTCTGTTTCTGTCTGACTCCACCCCTCTCTGTCTCTCTCTCTGTCTCTCTCTCTCTCTCTCTCTCCACCTGTCCATCAAGGAGTGATGATGTGTCCAAAATGGCTGACGGAGGACGGCTTTGAGACTCAGCTGGCTGTCAATCATCTGGGTCACTTCCTACTAACCAATCTGCTGCTTCCCATACTTAAAAGCTCCGCCCCCAGCCGTGTGGTCACCGTATCTTCCATCGCCCACATAGGAGGTATGACCTCTGACCCCTGATGCTGATGTTTGTTGGTTGGTTAGTTGGTTAGAGTGATATTTAAACAGGAATTTAGTTGGTCCTGTTATTTATTTATTTATTTATTTATTGATGACATTTGACAATATCACGTAGATTGTTAGGTTGGTTAGTTATTTGGTGAGTAAGTGAGTTATTTAGTTAGTTATTTAGTTAGTAAGATAGCAAGTTAGTTAGTTAGTTATGAGATAGTTAGTTAGTTAGATAGTTAGTTAGTTAGTTAGTTAGTTAGTTAGTTAGTTAGTTAGTTAGCTAGTTGATAGTTAGGTTGGTTAATTATTTAGTGAATGAGTGAGTTAGAGGGTAAGTGAGTAAGTTAGTTTAGCGGTTGTTGCTTTACTGGTTGATTCGTAATAAAGTTATCAAGTTAGCTGGGCACAATTTAGTTATTGGAAGTTGATTTGTGGTAAGATAATTAGTTAGTTGGATTATATGTATTTTGGTTGCGTAGTTACATAAGTGAGTAAGATAGTAAGTCAGTTGGTTAGTTAGTTAAATTGTTAGTTATTCACTTAGTTACATAGAAAGTAAATTAGTTATTAGTATAAGTGGTTTGTTACTTCACTGGTTGTTGGGTTTGTAAGTTGTTCAGGTAAGTTGGTCTTGAGATACTTAGTAAGTTAAAAAGTTAGTTGGTAAGCTTTTTCAAAGGTTAGTTGCTTAGCCGGTTGTTTAGTTAGTTGATGGGTAGTAAGTTGACTGGTACAATAGTTTGTTAGGTATACAGTTACTAATCAACAGCTGGTTAGATAGAAAGTTGGTCAGTAATTTAGTACTTAGGTTAATTGGTTGGTAAGTTAGTGAGCTAGTCAGCATTTTAGTTATTTAGTTAGCGAGTCAGGAATTTGGAGTTTTGTTTTGAGCTAGTTAGCCACTATGAACTATGTGAAATTATTAGTTAGTTAGTTAGTTAGTTAGTTGAAGAGGTAGTCAGTCATTCAGATAGTTTACCAGTTTTTCGCTCTTAACTTATTCTTTTTCTAACCCCTTTAGGTCAAATCAACTTTGAGGACCTGTTCTTCAGCAGGAGGCCGTACAGCTCTTTGGAGAGTTACCGACAGAGTAAACTAGCTAACGTCCTCTTCTCCAGGGAACTCGCCCGACGACTCAAAGGTCCGAACTCACACTCAACACCATTAACACTCAGTTTACCAGCGTTAACCAGGGACTTGGTTTGTTGTTTACCGGTATATATCCGCTGCTGGACTCTGCCTCTAGTGGACGGGGGGGAACTGGAGTTGGACTTTTTAACATAGGGCTCCATGAGGACTGACTCATTTTTGGAGGCAGCCTCTAGTGGACAGGAGGGGAACTGCAGGTTTGATTTTATCCTGGAGGTTTTAAAGCATATAGCGACCTCAGAGCTGTGATGTGATTGGTTATTCAGCAGACATGTTTGTGAACTCTGTGTAACCTTGACCCGTCTTTAGGTTCTGGTGTGTCGTCGTTCTGTCTCCACCCGGGTGTGATCTACACTGACCTGGGTCGTCACGTCTACAGCTGGTTCCCCCTGCTGGGGACCCTGATGAGCCTGCCCTCCCTGTTGCTCATGAAGACCCCATGGCAGGGCTGTCAGACCACCCTGTACTGCGCCCTGACCCCGGACCTGGAGGGGAGGTCTGGGTGCTACTTCAGGTACAGTGAGGACCATCTGGTCCGGAGATAATCAGTCAGAGTGACGTCCTCGTAGACCAGGTAAACCACCTCATCTGTCTTTACTTTCAGTGACTGTGCAGAGATGGAAACGGCTCCAGAAGGGCAGGACGACGCTGTGGCAAGGAAGCTGTGGGAGGAGAGTGCCCGACTGGTTGGATTAAAGGAGACCTGCTGACCTCTCTGATTAATGTAATAACATAAATGAATGTAGGAACTCATTTCACTTTGCTCTTTAAAGACAGTGTGATAAAAAAATTAAAAAATAAAAAAAAACGTTGTGTTTGAGTTATAAGAACACTGTGCCTGATTGGATGCTGCGTTACTGCTGACCTTTGACCTGCAGACATATCACAGCTGTTTTTGTAAAAAGCTGGACCACAGGCTTGCTCCAGCAGCTCAAAATTTCTGTAGTACAGCTTTTCCAGATTTAAAAGTTCACTCTGATTCATTAAAACTAAAAGCTTTTAAATGTTTTTATAGAAAACTCTAATAAAGTAACTGCAACGTGAAATAGCTGACCAATAAAACATGGTGGAAAACATTCCCGTCTGCTGACCTTTGACTCTCAACACTTTTAAACCTCATTTCGAACATAGTGGGGAATGACCACACAGACAGTGAGCTTGTATTAAAGGTGGGGTCGGAAGGAATCTGTTAAAGAAGCATCTTTTTTGTGGTGTATTTACAAAAAATCTTTCAATATCAGTCAATAGTTTTTAGTTATTGATGACATTTGACAATATCACGATATCTCTGTGTTCTCTTATGTCTGTGAAGTAAACATTTTAACATTTTTTTAGCGGTCTGCTCTTTCTGACTGTAAACAAAGCCGTTCTCCACCTCCCCGACCTGATTGGTTGTGAGGCAGATGCTGCTCCCCCGTGTCGTTCACGAGCCCCACAAAGTTAGCGTGCTACAATATCGGACAGTAGAAACCAACCAGAACAGGGTTTCCCCTACATGCAATTGATCATGGCGCACCGCCATGGCTAAAGCTGCCACACCTTAAAAAAAAATTGTTTTTATCTCACATAATTCTACCTCGGACTCATATGTATCACCAGTGTTTTCCCTACATTTATTCAGCAGCGGCAATGCTAAATTACGTGTGCCGCTACTGAAATTTCACATGATCATTAATATCAATGCGCCACAAATTCTTCTACCCGCACTGTGTGAGCACAACAACACACAACGTTATTTCCGACTTGTTGTGAGTCATCAAGGAACGCATCAAATCCTGTCGGACCCTCTTCTATCAACGTGAAAGGTAACATTCAGGCTTATACACGGTCTGTATAGCGAGTAGCGCGGGTAACATAACGTAAATTTAACAGTGTAGCTCCTGGAGTGGCAAGAGAGTGGGGGTAACAACGACTACCCCCACCCCCACAACACACACAAACACACACACCGCAACAGCTGAAAAAAATTCTAGGGGAAACTGCAGAAAATACGGAAAATTGTCTGAATCCTCCTTTAACCGCGACTGCCAACACAAGCAAGAAAACAAAGTAAATACCGGAGACTCTGGATAACAGGCGCTTAAAAAGGAGGTAGACTGGGCAAGAGCTAAAAAGCCGGGTCAACATAAACGATGGGGGATGCTTCGGGATCTTGGTGACCCTGTAACCTTTCTGCTGGACAGGTAAACCGCTTTAACAAAGTAAGCCAAGTGTCTGTAACAGAAGTGTTTCTTGTCAAACGGGACCTGCTGTAGCGTGTTGTAGCACCGCTAAACTGTTGACCTCAGGTCCTGGACTATGTCACTTTATCCTAGTTGTAGAAGTCCTGCAAACATTGTGTTTGCTGGTAGTCTGTTGGCATCTACAGTAGCACCAATGCTTTTGACTTTCACGTTGACTGGGCCCCATATGTAATTATCTGAAGTATTTATCTGCATTATATCTGAATTTAATTGGAACGATATGAGCGAGCAGGAGCATCTGTTTGTGGGCGGGGCTTGCTGGAGCAGAGAGGAAGGGGAGAGGAGGAGCTGAGGGGAAAACTGGTTGGGAGGGGTAGAGTTTACATTCAAGATTTCTCCTAAAAACTGGAACTTCCTCAGATCCTGACTACCCCACCTTTAAAGTGGTGTTTTCTTTTACTCCACAAACTAAGAGGTTGGCTGTCCAAGAGGAAAGGAAGCAGAGGGGAGCTGACCTTTGTGACCTTCAGCCAGCTGTACCTGATTAGCAGTCCCAGCTGAGTCAGCAGAGTCCTTCAACAACCAGGAAGCTGCTGCAGATACAGCTGACATCCAAAGGGGGTGGGGGAAACCTCAGGAACAGGAAGGAAAAAGAGCCAGGACAACAGACAGCAGGGCCGTAACTCCAGTCAGAGTTTCAGCAGGTCTGAGAGGTGATCCCAGATGGATGCAGTGCACTGATGCACCAGCAGGGGGCAGCAGAGCCACACAAATAAAGTCCCTTACTCTTGTCTTGAAATACATAATAAACAGTTTAATTTTTATGAGAGAATATAAAATTAAACGTTTTATCACGTTGACACTGAAAGAGCAGCTTCTTCGTCCAGAAAGATGGCGTCTCTTTACAGAAAGGGAACCAATGAGCTTCTCCAATGTACTGAGAGGGTATTTTAACAATTAATCATGCAATTTTTCAGGAGGAGGGGGGTTCGATCCCACCCCTGTTGTGTTCAGACCATAGACTGTATATAAGATGGACGCCGTCTGTCTCCTCGCCGGGTGAAGCCGCTCTGAGAACAGCACCCCCTAGAGCCTGGCTTCAGTACAAGTCATAAACCCCACTTCTGCCAGCAAAGTGAATGGAGCGGCGGACGGCCTTTAGAAATTAATTACACAGAAAATACACTTTTCTCACCCCCGACTGCGATGTTGACATGAAGTTATTATTAGACTGGTTTGTGTTCAGGTCTTTATTTCTCTCTGCAGCTCCATTTTAAAAAGTTATTAGGAGTTATAAAAAAAGGAAATTGCGTTATTCTCTACACTTTGCACTTGCCGGTTGTGCGTCGCTCTTTTTCGTTCATCATCAAGACCAATCGGGTTTGCTAGCGGAGAAGAGGATTAAATTTTTCCATCGTTTTTCTCTTTTGTTGCATTGGAAAAATGAGTTGTTCTGCAGTAAACTGTGTTAACCGACATGTGACATGACTGCTGACACATTTCACATTATATTAGGAGAAGTGGAACTTACTTATTCTTGGTTGCGACGAGCGGGGAAGCTATTGGCGTTACGAATGAAAGGCTGGAAGGATATCCGGGGGGGGGGGGGGGGGGGCACTTTTTGAGCGGAGCGTCTGCGTACAACGCTACTGCGCAGCTTTGGTTTCAAGGAAGTGGAGAAAAACCAGGAATTACCGAGAGCTTTTTGGCTTCAAATCCGTATACAGGTGGAAGGCGGAACCAGGCTGTCCATCTTACATACAGTCTATGGTTCAGACCTGAATAACGGTGGATTATACTGTAACAGGATCAGCACCGTGGCCTGGTATTGTTGTCGTTCTCGCCGCCGTCGTGGTTGTTGTCACCGTTGTTGTGATGTGGGTTGTTCTTTAATGGAGTGTGTTGATAAATAATCCACAGATCAGCCTCGTCTCTCACTTTGAGTGGTGTGACCCACTTTGATGATCTGATCTGCGGGTGAAACTGACTCCAGATCAGCCGGCCTGCAAACATCTGCTGCAGCACACTGAACCAGATTACACTGATCCAGATGTGAGTTGAGGATCACACACACGCGCGCACGCACGCACGCACGCACGCACGCACGCACGCACACACACACACACGCACACACACACATACACACACACACACACACACACACACACACACGTCCTGCTGCTATGAGTGTGTTGAACACAAAGATCTCAGGAGGAAAATGTGTTTAATCCATAATCTATAATCTGTCCACATGATGAGAGGACTCTGTCTGAAAATATTAAACTGTTTGATTGATTTTCATACAAACTGAATTATAACAAACTTAAGTGTTATAACTGATTAAAGACAGGATGATACTCACGATTTTACATCTAAAATACTAAAATACTGATAATAATGTTCTGTATAATTATTGTGTACAGTAGAACTGCTGGTTTCAGTTTGTGGGGGAGGTGAGCTGTTCTTTTTTCCTTCTATGCAAACAAACACAAAGTTGTTCATGTGATCAAACATTTGAGAGGACTCGTCTCTTCACCTCATGCTGTGACAGAGAGAGGCACGTGGAATAAATGGTCAGAAAATAAAAAAAGTCTTTTAAGGCTCAAAGTGAATTTTTCATGATTAAGGAGTCATGGTTGTTCAAACTGAATAAAACAAGAATCATCCCTGTGTCAGTAAAAAGGGTGAAAACATTGAGACGCTGTCAGCTCTGAGCAAGTGTTACCCCAAGACGCAACTTTACTTAACTAAAAAGCTGGTTTAGATCAGATTTACAAAGACCCAGTTTGAAGAGAGGATCAGACTGAGCCACATCCTGTAAGACCAGACCCACTCCTCATCTCCAGCCACATCAGTGAAACACTTAGGCCCGAACTACACATATATGGATATTTATTTATCAGGATATTTTTGTACTCCCGTCTAAATAAATGTATCTGTCCACACGTGTTCGTTCTCAAAAATATCTGCGTCCACACGTAGCCTTCAAACTCAATACTATCTGGTGCCGCTTTAAAAAAGATTCAGGAACAAAGCTACATGATTGGCCGATGAATCGTAACAGCGTGATGCGTCATGCATTGTTTGCGGAAGCTACGCTTGTGCGTCGGGTCCATGTGACGGACCATGTGACCAATAAAAGTATTGGCCGCAGCAGACGCTTCTGTGAGCTGGCTGACTGGTGGATGTAATTGTATAAAACAAGGTTCACTTGCAAGGCTGAAATTAGCCCCAAAAGGGCAAAACAAACGTAAAGAATACCCTGTCTGTCCGCCATCGTTGTTGTTGTTTTTCTTTTAATTCGCATGCGCGAGCTGCGGTTTGATGTCATCGATCCGTAAAAGTCCAACCACACGAATCCACTACGGATACGGGATACGGATATTTTTTTATTTCTCCACTTGTTTTTCCGGATTCAGATTTTTCCGGTTTGAGTGCTCCAAACTCCCGTTTTGGTGTGGTAGGGAGGCCTTGCGGTTTGTGCGGTTTGAAATACACTCACCGGCCACTTTATTAGGTACACCTGTCCAACTGCTCGTTAACACTTAATTTCTAATCAGCCAATCACATGGCGGCAACTTAGTGCATTTAGGCATGTAGACATGGTCAAGACAATCTCCTGCAGTTCAAACCGAGCATCAGTATGGGGAAGAAAGGTGATTTGAGTGACTTTGAACGTGGCATGGTTGTTGGTGCCAGAAGGGCTGGTCTGAGTATTTCAGAAACTGCTGATCTACTGGGATTTTCACGCACAACCATCTCTAGGGTTTACAGAGAATGGTCCGAAAAAGAAAAAATATCCAGTGAGCGGCAGTTCTGTGGGCGGAAATGCCTTGTTGATGCCAGAGGTCAGAGGAGAATGGCCAGACTGGTTCGAGCTGATAGAAAGGCAACAGTGACTCAAATAACCACCCGTTACAACCAAGGTAGGCAGAAGAGCATCTCTGAACGCACAGTACGTCGAACTTTGAGGCAGATGGGCTACAGCAGCAGAAGACCACGCCGGGTGCCACTCCTTTCAGCTAAGAACAGGAAACTGAGGCTACAATTTGCACAAGCTAATCGAAATTGGACAATAGAAGATTGGAAAAACGTTGCCTGGTCTGATGAGTCTCGATTTCTGCTGCGACATTCGGATGGTAGGGTCAGAATTTGCGACAACAACATGAAAGCATGGATCCATCCTGCCTTGTATCAACGGTTCAGGCTGGTGGTGGTGGTGTCATGGTGTGGGGAATATTTTCTTGGCACTCTTTGGGCCCCTTGGTACCAATTGAGCATCGTTGCAACGCCACAGCCTACCTGAGTATTGTTGCTGACCATGTCCATCCCTTTATAACCACAATGTACCCAACTTCTGATGGCTACTTTCAGCAGGATAATGCGCCATGTCATAAAGCTGGAATCATCTCAGACTGGTTTCTTGAACATGACAATGAGTTCACTGTACTCAAATGGCCTCCACAGTCACCAGATCTCAATCCAATAGAGCATCTTTGGGATGTGGTGGAAGGGGAGATTCCCATCATGGATGTGCAGCCGACAAATCTGCGGCAACTGTGTGATGCCATCATGTCAATATGGACCAAGCTCTCTGAGGAATGCTTCCAGCACCTTGTTAATTCTATGCCTCGAAGAATTGAGGCAGTTCTGAAGGCAAAAGGGGGTCCAACCCGTTACTAGCATGGTGTACCTAATAAAGTGGCCGGTGAGTGTAGATCCGCCTTAGGCCCGAACTACACGAAGGCGGATATATTTCAAAGCGCACATATTTATGTCCGATTAGGCCTCCCTACCACACCAAAACGGGAGTTTGGAACACTCAAACCGGATAAATCTGAATCCGAAAAAACAAGTGTAGAAATAAAAAAAATATCCGTATCCCGTATCTGTAGTGGATTCGTGTGGTTGAACTTTTACGGATCGATGACGTCAATCCGCAGCTCGCGCATGTGAATTAAAAAGAGAAACAACGACAACGATGACGGACATACAGGGTATTCTTTACGTTTGTTTTGCCCTTTTGGGGCTAATTTCAGCCTTGCAAGTGAACCTTGTTTTATACAATTACATCCACCAGTCAGCCAGCTCACAGAAGCATCTGCTGCGCCCAATACTTCTATTGGTCACATGGTCCGTCACATGGTCCGTCACATGGACCCGACGCACTAGCGTAGCTTCCGCAAACAATGCATGACGCTGTTACGATTAATCGGCCAATCAGGTAGCTTTATTCCTGAAGCACCAGATAGGATTGAGTTTGAAGGCTATGTGTGGACGCAGATATATTTTTGAGAACTAACACATGTGGACAGATACATTTATTTAGACGGGAGTACAAAAAAATCCTGATAAATAAATATCTATATACCTGTAGTCCGGGCCTTAAACAGGATTTATCAGGTTACAGCAAGAGTACCCAGCTGCAGCCAAGATGGCAGACCCAGAAGATGAACTTCCGCAATACTCACTCAGAATTACTTCTCGTTGGGGGACTTCCGTCGCCGAAATCTTTCGCCAAAAGTTTGTTTTTTGGTCACATCCATGCTGTACGGTTCTATTGTTTTTTGGTCACATCCATGCTGTACGGTTCTAACGGAATTAATTCATCCAGCTAAAAAAACAAACAACATGCGGGAAGGTTATTCCAATGATCGATTTTTTTTTGTTAGAAGGGACTTCCGGTAGGGACTTCCGTTAGTTGGATTTAGTCGCCGGAAGCTTTTTTTTCGCTCCGTTCATTCCGTAAGAATTGAGTTGAATTTATTATTGAGCTAAAAACCAAAATAAAACCTTTTTGTATTATTTATGACTACTGTTTTGTTCTGATTTAATTCTGAAGTTTACAGTAATATGTATATATAGACTGATGTCCTGATAGCCTGATAATTATACAGCAAACATAATATATGACATGGTGTGCTTCCTGGTGAGCCTCTTCAGGATTGCTTGACTGTGGAAAATCCAAATATACAATAATTGTAGAGACACGAGACACATGATCTGTTCAAGGTTCAGAAGAGCCATTTAGCAAAAACACTTGAATTGCGATATCATTACAGACTGTGTAAAGAAATGGGAAATTGTCATACAACTGCTTCAAAGATTTCTTTAATATTAACAATTACAATAAATTGTAAACACACAGTAAAAAAATATAATCATATATACATATACAGGCTTCCACGTCCCATAATTGAGAGCGTTGCCGTCGGTGTGGTGGGGGCTTAAAATAGACTGCCACAGGTCATCATCTGTTCCGCCCTGAGTCGGGTGATGCCATGCTCTTGAAGTACTTTGATCAAAAGCTGAAAAACAGTAAAATAATGTGAACATTTGAAGTTATGCAGTATGGGTTAATTGTTGTTCTTGAGCTTTCCAAATGAATAAAAACAACCTCTTAACAATATCATCAATTTTCAAAGCAAGCTATATAGTTTGATCTACTCACCTCTGGGAGCATGACATCAAAGACAAAATCAAGCAAGTGAATCTCGCCTCTCTTGATGTTGTCAGATATGGTTGTTGCCTCCTCAATTAACCGCAGGAGCTCGAAGATCTTTTGAAGAAAAACACAGAAAGTAAACAGCTTTCAAATGTAACACCTCTGAGAGTAAAAATACTCATGATGGATGGCATTTTTACTTAGGCGGTGCTCACTCCAACATAGGGCTCTATTTTCGTGCGCGCCGGTGAGGCGGCGGAGGGCGGCGAGCCCCGCGCAGTTGTATTTTCGTCTGGCGGAGCCCAGCGTAAGGCCAGTTTGGTATTTTCGTGGCATGAGCCGCACGGAGGCGAGCCGAGATCCGCCAAGCTGGGCTTGGGTGGCGTGGCAGGGGGAGGTGTCGACAGAATCAGCTGGCGCAGTGACATTTTCGTGCTTGCCAACGGCGTGTAAAGTGCGCTGAAAGCTCGCCGATTCAAACCTGGTCAGCTTTCAGCGCAAGGCGGAACGCAGCTGGTCCAGTAGTATTTTGGTAGACCGGCGGCGTATCGACATACGTCACTGATGCCTCACCGGCAGGTTTCCACAGTGTCAGGCACATTTCAGTGCAATAAATAATCATCATCAACTATTAATCTGAGTCAGCACATACATTTAGATCTATATCGATATATTCTGATCTATATCTGATCTGATGAGCGCGTTTGGCACGCGTTTGGACACACAACCTGACCGAATCAACACAGCTGAAACCGCATCAAATTAAATTAAATATCTAGTAAATATACACACATGATGAAGTTAACAAGATATGTAATTCGTCTCCCTCCTTTTCTTTCTTCCTCTTCCTCTTATTTCTCGCACAGCTCGACCTGGACACGTCTCCGTGTCCTCTGTCCGTCTTGCTGCTGCTGCAGCTGAACAGATGATTTGTTTCAGTGCTCAGATGCGTTATCTACTTTAAGCCGACATACGGATATTATAATATTCAGTTTTGTGAGCCAAATTTATTTTATATGCCAACATCTATGAAAGAAAGAGCCAGGCCACGGAGCGCGATGCGTCATTTACGCACAGATGGTTCCGATTTTAATGCCATTTTTGGAGTTTATGTTGTGATCTGTGCGCTCAACCCACCTTTGTCACGTGAGGTTTGAATATGAGCAACTTTATGTGAGTGTCTTTATTTGTGGAAACGGGTGTTTGTCTTACCAGTGGGTCCAACATTACGCACACCAAATCCATCTGTGCTCATATGAGAGAGTGTGGAGGACACTTGTTGAGGAGCTGCCCTCTGTTGCCATCTTGTGGCATTACTGTCTTAAGACATCTCTTGATCTCTTTGACTACTCCATGAAAATAGTAATACGCCTCGCCTGTGGCGGATTTAAAGGCAAGGAGAGGAGCCTATGTGATTGGTGAAAACAGGTCTCGGCTGTGTTAAACCAACTACACGCCCTTTCTCCTCCCTGTCTACGACTTATGGTGCTGGGAGGAGCTGAGTTAGGGAGGGGGGATACTTACGCCGGGCTGCGCGGCTCACCAAAATACCAAAATGTGCTTGGGAACGCCTTGTCAGCGCGGCAGATCTGACTGACGCTGTGCTTGCGGCACGTCTCCGGCGAGGCACCAAAATAGAGCCCATGGTGTCCTTATCTTCAGATGCTGAGCCGGAGTGAGGTGGCGGGTTTCCTCCAAAGAAACATCCTGCCGGAGCGGATGTTTCCAGAAAGCAGATCATCGTGTAATGTCTGAAACCAAAGAGCAAGAGACAAACATGTAATCATCTGAAAAAGAAACGGTGGCTTTAACAACTGATAGTGCATTCAAAAGCAACCTTGGTCTGTGTCTTAGAAAAGACAGCACCAATTCCTCCACTGTCAACAGCATCCTTGATCCTGCAGAGAAATAAGAAAAAGAGCAAGCCCTCATTTTTCATCCTTTGCGTCTCATATTTTTGACTGATACTATGTTTCTTTGATAAATTATGTTATACCGAGGATGCTCAATGAAGTCCTCGCAGCCACAGTCAAAGGGCTCCATGTCAATTCCGGCACAATCTTGATGCAGCCAGCCCCTGCATGTCTTGCACTGGACCCATTTTACAAACTTTACCTCAGGGTAAAGCAATCTGATCAAATGAGAGACAAACTTAATATTAAACACACACGCTGTCCAATTGATTATACCTCTGCAGCACATTTGAATGTATAAATAATTTTCCCGCATGATTCGTGCATTTAAACTATATGTAAAAGTGGTCACTTCATGGAAAATCACTGAATAGGCCCCGATAATTGCATTTATTAAATTGAGTCTGCAACAAACCTCTCTCCTGTGGTGTTGGATGTCTGGTAGACACAGAATTTCATGGAATCTGCCATGCACACTCTTTGGACATCAGATGTCGTCTGTGTCATGGTTTCCTGGACAAGTCAATTTGAAAAGTAACATCAATTACCAAATACATCGAGACAATGTTGATCCATACAACTGTGTGCATTTTGGAGGACTCCCACTGAGATAATACTGTTTTTCGAAGGCAATTTTCTAACCTCTGTGTCCTGCTGCTCGGCCTTCCTCTTAAGCCTGAAGACTGGAGTATGCTTTCCAGCAATAAGCTCCTGACATTCCTTCGTCCAGTGGGCAAAGATTTTCCCATAACTGTAATGACAATATATCTTTAAGTACAATATATTGATTGTCTTCCAGTTAATTAGGGCATCTTATTCACTTAAACTGTCTACCTGTTCAAAGCATTGTTTTTCAAGAGCAACAGGCACCACCATCTCCGCAAAACAGGCATGTCATGCTGAAATTGTTGTTTGTATTTCATTTTAGTGCACAATACAAAATACAACCTTGAGGATGACACAGACTGCGTGTTGAAAAGTACTTACAACTGAGTAGTCAAACTGTGACTCCATAACAATGTACATGGCAGACTTAAAAAAATATATGAGACAACATGTGAGATAACTTTAAAAAAGTCCATGTTGGAAAGTTATTCTAGATACGACAATATTTGTGCATTACAGCTCGCTATGACCTACCATCAACATGAATATGCCACAGTCTGGCTGGGGAAGCCCTGATTTAACAAAAGCAAACGTCAATCATCTTGTCACATACACTTTTCAACTGTAATATAGAGCATGCACAAATACCTCTAAATCTCTGCCCGTTTTCTCATTCAGGACATATCATCTGCGCAATGTTCCTGTTAATTTGAGAGTGTCACTTAGATTTCCCATAATGGAAACAATAGAATGCAGGGTTAGGGTTAGTTTGAGTGGGTCGGAGGTGAGATTGAATGAATGCGGATGGCTTGCTATTTTCAAACTTCCTGAAATTTCCTCTTCTTCTGTAAATTTTGCCGCAAGAAAGTTTAGGTGCATACCACCACCTACTGTTCTGGCATCGCAAAGCCCGTCCGCCGGAATGAATACAAGAATGACCCGGAAGTTATTCTCTGGAAGCATTGCGGAAGTTCATCTTCTGGGTCCGCCATCTTGGCTGCAGCTGGGTCCCTCTCGGTTACAGTGGAGAGGAAAAACTTCCTTTAAGTAATCTGTTCAGTTAAATACAGCTTCAGATCAATTCTTTTCATTAAAATGCAGTGACCACTAAAATACTGTATATGCCTTATTTTATGCAAAAACAGATGTATGCTCCTTTCTCTTAAATCTATTTAAAAATGTAAATACAAAAGAATTGAAACTAGATAAACTTTGGTTATATCATTAGATATCAGATGAGTGCTGTTTGGTGATACAGTGGGCCACAATATACTGGAACTATTTTTCACATTGAACAAACATTTCTGTCTTATCAGTTAAAATAAAGTTAATACTTGGATAATTAGTGCAGGTATATGTTTTTCTTGTGTCAAAGGATAAGGATTGTATTTAAAGTATTCTGAGAGTTGTGAGGGAAAATGTGAAAAATGTAAGTACTGCACCCAGTCTTCCCTATTTAATGTGTTTTGTTTTGTGATTTTTTTCATTGGGGGTCCGCAAAGGATTCCCTAAGCCTGTCCTCAGTATATAAACTTAAACAATTACATTTAACACATTTGCTTTACTCATGTGTTTCTACGGTGGCCGAGAACCACCACTGCTGCAAATAAAAAAAGAATGAAAAAAAAATAAAAATAGAAGCCACATTGTAAGTTACTGATGCAAAAAAAAAAGAAACTGAAGCCCGCTGCAAATAAAAAAAAGAAACAGTGCAGATAAAAAAAAAAAAAACACAATGGAAGTTAACGACGCAAAAAAAGTGCAGATGGAAAAAAAAAAGTGATCTGCCGGGGACCAAAAAGGATGATGCACCGGTGTTTTACGATCTAGGCACAGAAGACGACGGCGAGAAGACAAGCAAAGAAGTAAGTGGAAAAGTTATTGTTTTTAATTTCACTTTGTAAACTTTTTAATGTGTCATGTGGTTAGACCATGTAGCGCCTGAGTCCATATGAAGTTGAACTGGAGGACGTCGGTGTAGTATTAGCTTCAATTAGCTTTAACTTCATATCAACTCGGCACTACATGGTCTAACTAAATGACAAATTAAAAAGTTAATGAAATTAAACAATAACCTCTCCACTCACTTCTTTGCTTGTCTTCTCGCTGTTGTCTTCTGTGCCTAGATCGTAAAACACTGGTGCATCATTATTATTGGTCCCCGGCAGCTCGCTTCTGTTGTGGCTTTTTTTATTTATATCCTTTTATTTTCGCAGTCAGGCTAAGTTCACACTGCCGGTTATGATGCACAATTCGGATTTTTTGTTAAATCCGATCTTTTTGTGTGGTCGTTTACATTACAACAACGAATGCGGCATCTAATGTGAACGGAATGCGTCCGTGAAGTGACCCGCATGCGCACATATTGATGACGTATAGGTTGGATGAACGTGACCTGAGTGCCAACACTGCAGTCACCTCAGATACATTTCCAATTTATATCCACACACAAAAGAGGCCTGGGTCGGATTTGAAAAAATCAGAATTGCACTGTTCACACTTACATGAAAAAATCTGATATGTGTCACATATGGTTAAAAAATCTGAATTGACCTGCAGTCTGAACGTAGCCTAAGTAACTTTTTTTTTCATTGCCACTTTTTTTTTTTTGCGCCATTAACTTCCGTCGTGGCTGTCTCTCTCTTTTTTTTTTTCTGCACAGCTTCTTTTTTTTATTTGCAGTGGGCTTCAGTATTTTTTTTTTTTTTTTGCATCAGAAACTTCCGTTGTGACTTTTTTTTTTTTTTTGCATTCCTTTTTGTATTTGCAGCAGTGGCAGTTCTCGACCACCGTATGTTCCTGTATTTATTTTCTAAAAAGTTCAAATAAGCTAAGTTTAACTTGGGAAAAGTTTGGACAGCAGTATTTTTGACCTTTGCAGTTTGCACTATTGAAACTTGAGTAAAAAGTGAAAAACAGTGAAGCTGATGCTGCCTCCTCTTGTTCCCGCCTGCTGGGGGCGCTGTGTAGCTCCCGGGGAGCCGCTGAGCCAGCAGGGAGTCTGGGGGATGAGTGGAGGAGGAGGAGGAGGAGTAACCGGACACTGACTTAGTCACGGAGCTGCTCCTGGCCGGTCAGAGAGCAGCAGGACCCGGCGGAGCAGCACGGAGCAGCGGTGCGAGAAGCAGAGTGAGACCGAGGATCAGCAGCGGAGAAGCGGCGGAGGCTCCGGTCCTGTCCGCCGGACTTTAACTCTGTTCTTCACCGTCTTATTCTCCGAGACGAAATTACGGAGTTACCCAGGAGTTAAAGTGGGAAAAGAAACACCGACACCGGCAGCCTGACAGCCGCCGCCATGAAGAAGAACAGCACCGGGAAACACCGGGTGAGTTTGAGCCGAACCGAACCCGAGAGAGGCGGGTTTATTTATCCCGTTAACCCGGAGCTCGAGGAACAAAGCCTCCGGATTAGTTTTTAAAGCTTTATTTTGAAGGAAAATCATCAGACTCTTCTTCCGGATTTCAGAATAAGGGCATTAAAATGTTAAAAAGAGGAAAATAATAATGTCGTTTACGGTCCAAAAGTCAGAAATAGAACTCGTTCTGTATGTGTTAACACGGGTCTATGTGGACCTTTGGGATGGACCGAGCCCTCTCTGTCTGTCTGAAGTCTTGTTCTGCTCTGGAGGAGGAAAAAATGAAATAATTCAGGGTCTTAACTTCACAAACTGTTTCGGTTAAAAAGAGACTCCAGAGACAGAGACTGACCACCCAAGAGATAAACCAAGAAGCTGTCGGTGGTTTAAACCGGTAATCTGCTGAGAGGATCCGGTTTCAGCTACCGGACAGTTTAACGGAGTTACACAACGGGACCGAATAAAACGTGATTAAAGAGACATGAGAGAGAGAGAGAGAGAGAGAGAGAGAGAGAGAGGAATAAAGTTCCTCTACTGTCAGGATTAAGTCTATATGTAACAGACTAAAGTCTTTATGAGAATAATCAGAAACAGGAATAACATTATAACAACAACAACAATAATAACTTTATTTGTATAGCTCTCTTAAAAACAGAAGTTTACAAAGTGCTTTGACATATAGTCATAAAGCACATAGAAAAAGATGAAAACAAAAAGCTTAGTTAAAACAGAATTAAAGGTCATTTTCATGTCATAAGGAACCCAGACAATACAAGAACCATGCAACATAAAATAAGACCATAAGGACCAAAATAAAAACATCAAATAGGTAAGAAGAAAGAAAGTAAAGCTCTAATGTTAAAGAAGAAAGAGAAAGGAGATAAATGTCATGATTATTAAGTGTTACAGTAGGACAGACGGGCGTTTTAGAAAAGTCATCGAGAATCAGAAAAGAAAAGATGATAAAAAAAAAGTCATCATGATATTGAAGTGATTATCTAAACAGGAATTAAGTTATTCTGTGAATAAAGTCATCAGGTCACAGAATTGAAGTCTTTATGATGGGAAAGTCTAAGTGAGAGTAAAACGTTTAAATGAGAGTAAAAAGGTTAAATGAGAGTAGAAAGATTAAATGAGAATAAAAAGGTTAAATGAGAGTAAAATTGTTTAATTTGTTTTGTTTCAGTGAGGTAGTTTTTATATGAACTCAGTTACTTTAAAAAAGCTTCAGTGTAAATGTTTAGTCTGTTTCATCAGCAGTATAAAACTCCTGACAGTAGCTTTAAGTCTCATAGTTAAGAACACAGCTGTCATGAGAATACCTGTATGATGTCTCACAGTCGTAATATTAGTGAATAAACAGCCTGACTGTGACGACCTATCAGAGCGTTAAAGTCGACCACTCGTACCTGTTTCTTCTGACATGACAGAGTCCACTTCTTCCAGGTCAGGCTGGTTCTCTCTTTAGAAAGTCTCAGAGTCCTGATTCATTTGAAGCTCTGATACTTGAGAAACCTTTACTGAAGTATAATTAAACTCCATATTCGTCGCTGCTAATTAAAGTACAAGAGGACGGCCCTTTAAAAACAGGTTCACTTTCACCAAAACCAGGACTTTAAGACCACTTTACATTCATAAACCTGTGACTCTAATCCAGTATCAGTATGACTGTGTTTTTGTGCAGGGACTAAAACGTCATAATCATACGTTTTTATCTTTCTTATGTCTTTATTCCTGTAATATTACAACTTTTATCTTCATAATACTACACTGAATCCCTGAAATCTTAATGTTGTTTTCATTCTCTTTGGTACGATCTTCAGTGTGAAGCTCCTGTGAGGAGATTTTAAGCAGTAAAGAAACAGACATTTACACTGAAAGCCTAAAAGGAAAGACTGGCCCTAATGTGAAGTTTACAACAGGAGCTTTAACTAGAAACACCAAGATATCACAGACGCCAGAATCCCACTTTATTTTTGACCAACAGATGCACTAATGTTGCTCTTCTTTAGCCCCATCCTCTTTTTCAAATATGGTCACTTCCGAAATAAACTATAAAATCAAAATCCACCATTCCTGACTCTGGATTTAAAATCAGTGCTATAAAACTACGGACCAAATGTCGGCTGCTTATTTATGTGGTACAGGTGTGAGTTAGGACGGGGCTACCTGTGATTGACAGGTTGCTATAACAGTTACCTGAAAGGGTCAGTTTACTTTGATCAGCTGTTTACTGTTGTCCCTACAGTCAAGAGATTGTGTGTGTGATTTACATGTGTTATCAGGAGACGCTGAGGCTTCAGACTGGGTGTGTGTGTGTGTGTGTGTGTGTGTGTGTGTGTGTGTGTCTGAATGACAATAGATTGACTCGTCTCAGTCCAGACACGGAGCTGAGACTCCTCTTTTCTCCTCCTCAACCCAAAACAAACACAACCCCCCATCATCATCATCATCTTCATCATCATCCTCTTTGTCGCCTCCTAATGTTGGGATTAACCAGCGGATTAAACTGGTCTGAACTCGTTACACTGGGGTTACACTGGTGTTAAACTGGGTCATTGTTTTGTGATGATCCACCTCGTTAAGTTGAAGAGTTTTCCGAACTCTGCGGACTGTTTTGACTGGACCATTATAAAACTTAAGCCTTGACATGATTTCATTTACATACATTCATTTTCCCGCCATAGAGCCTGCAGGACTCTGCCCCCTCACACGCTCAGCCTGAGAAGGTCGGCTGGATCAGGAAGTTCTGCGGGAAAGGGATCTTCAGGGAGATCTGGAAGAACCGCTTTGTGGTTCTGAGGGCGGATCAGCTGTTCATCTGCGAGAAAGAGGTGAGCCGAGGGGGGGGTATCTGACACTCTGTCATGTGATTGGTGGATTAATTGGTTAAAAACAGGCATCCTGTCCTGTCATCTTGTTAAGAGATTTAATTATCACCTCGGTAACCAGGTGATGCTTCACAGCATGAGACAGACGGCGTTGCCATGGCGACATTTCCTGTGTCTGCCCTGTGGTTTCCCCTCACCAGCCTCTGTCGCTCCTTGACGAACAGAGTTTCAGACAGAACATGAAGCTCCATCCAACCAATCAGTTATCAGGAAGGTTATCAGGATTAGTACCTCAGAGTACCTGTGAGTACTCTACAGTTCTACTACTGAAGGAGAACATGAATCAGGCTTCTCAGGGTTCTGTTGTTGTTTTGGTTCTGACTCTAAACACAGAGTTCCTCTCCAACCGTCTGCAGCTCCTTCTGCGGGAGTCGAGTTTCAGAGACACCGCTGATCCAAACACAGAGAGAGAGAGAGAGAGAGAGAGAGGGGAACATCATGAGAGAACCTTTATCTACAGGGGAACATCATTATAGAACCTTTATCTCCAGCAGAACATCATTGTAGAACCACATCAGTCTGAGAGAGAACCTTTATCTACAACAGAACATAATCATAGAACCTCATCAGTCTCAGAGAACCTTTATCTACAACAGAATATCAAAAAAGAACCGTATCAGTCATAAAGGGAATAAAGGGAATCTCAGAACATCATCATAAAACCTTTATCTACAGCACAACATCATTAGAGAACCAAATCTGTTAAACAGAACCTTTTTTCCATCTAACCTAAAGAACTGACAGAGGTAATGGCGTGCGTACACAGATTATAGGTATTGACCCTTTAATGTCTCTCCTGTTTACTCTAACAGCTGTGATTTCAGTCTCATACAGGTATGATATCACAACTGTGAATGATTGGAGAATCATATTAATGAGTGAATGAGGATTAGCCAATCAAATCACTGTAAGTGTGTGGTTCAGGTCTAGTCAGAGAACTGGGCTGTCAGGGGTCCGTGTGAGTCCAGAATGTTGTTCATCCTGGATAAACCCGGTGCTGTAGACGTACTGATGAGTCTCGGGGAACAGGAAGCTGAAGTAATCACCTCTTCCTGAATCTGAAGTTGTTTCTGAGCTGATAGACCAAAATCTGAAACTTCTGCTTTAGATGAAGACAGAGGAGACGGAGAGAAGTTCACAGATGTCCGATCATGACTGAACAACATCTCAACTTTCACCCTCTGCTGAAGAAGGTCAGCTGATTCACCTTCTTATCTCAGAGGGTTTGAAGAACTTAAACAGTTCCTCTCAGACCAATCAGACGTCAGCCATCACATGACACAAGAAGCTCTGTGAGAACTGTCTCACAACCAAATTAGGGCGTCTAGCTGTGTTTGTGTGTGTGTGTGTGTGTTTGTGTGTGTGTGTGTGTGGACAATCATATTGTGTTCCTCTTCTGTGGTGAAGGTTGAAGTCATGTGATGCTTCTCTTCAGCTCTACTTCCTGATTTACTCGGAATAGAAATGCTGTGTGTCATCAGAGAGCACACACACACACACCACACACTCTGACCACATCTTCTTTAGGTTTGAGTCACTCTCAGTTCCTCTGTTAGTCAGTCAGTGTGGCGTCTCTTCCCGGTCAGTTTTAATTACTTGTTATTGACGATTGTTGATAATTGATCAGATCTGTGCGGGGGCGGTGGGGGCGGCGGCGGCCCGGCGATCCAGAACATAAAAACAGGAAGTTCCTAATCCGTCTGAACTCTTTGTTCCTGTGTCAGCCTGTTACTCTGAATCTGCTGTTAGAAACCTGCTCTCAAACCGTCACACACATTAATCTGCTGTTTAATGAGCTCTGAGTGTGTGTGTGTGTGTGTGTCCTCTCTAAATAAGGCCATTGATAGGAGAGGTCGGGTGTTGGTGAGCCAGGAGTGGGGAGGGGGGGGTCGGCTCCATGGCAACACAGGCCTTCATAGCCCCCCCCCCCCCCCCCGACATAGGTGACAGCAGCCAGAAAACAGGAGTGTGAGAAACTGTGAGCTGAGGCAAATGTACTCAAGTAGACTCAGAGTGAACTAGGCTTTTAGTGCACTAAAGGTTAATCATAAGGAGAGGATCAGGAGGAGAGAAAAAGAGGAGAGAAAAGGAGGAGAGCAGGGAGAGGAGGAGAGGAAAGAGGGGAGGAGAGAGGAGGAAGAGAGAGGAGGAGAGGAGAGAAGATAGGAGGACAGAGAAAGTGGAGAGATAGGGGAGAGGAGGAGGAGAGAGGAGGAGAGAGGGAAGAAGAAGAGAGAGAGGGGGAGAGGAGGAGGAGAGAAGGAGAGGAGGGAGGAGGAGAGATGGAGAGGAGAGAGGAGGAGGAGAGGAGAGGAGAGCAGGGAGAGGAGAAGGAGAGAGGAGGAGGGGAGAGAAGGAGAGAGAGGGGAGAGTAGAGCAGGGAGAGGAAGAGAGGAGAGAACAGAGGAGGAGAGAGGAGAGCAAGGAGAGGAGGAGAGGGGAGGAGAGACGAGGAGCAGAGGAGAGGAGGAGGAGAAGAGGCGAGAAGGGAGGGAAAGGGAGGAAAGGAGATAGGGAAGGAGCAAGGAGAGAGGAGGTGAGAAGGAGAGCAGGAAGAGGAGGAGAGAGAGGTGCAGAGAGGAGGAGAGGAGAGGACGGGGGCAATTTCCTGGATGGGGTCATAATGAGTGTGTGTGTAGGTTCCCGGACTCAGGTCTCGGTTCAGTAGAACCGTCAGTAGAACCTGGTCCTGAACTTCAGACTGTTTCCATTATTTATGCCCATAGTAAAAAAAAAAACCTCAGGACCAATCAGATCTGAGAGAGTGAGAGAACTGAGCATGCTCAGTCAGGACGGGTTTATCATGATCAGTGTTGTCTGTAAAGAGGTCAAAGGTCAGAGACCAGGTTACATAAGAGTTCTGTGTTCACTAAGTATTGATTATTGATAAGCTGATGAAGCAGGGACATCATCATGAAGGTTACTACAGCCAGAGATGGGGGACTGACCTCACACACACACACACACACACACACACACACACACACACACACACACACACACACACACACACACACACACATTAACTACTGCTAACAGAAACCCTCCAGCAGATCAGACACAAAGATGAGTGTGTGTGTGTGTGTGTGTGTGTGTGTGTGTGTTTGTGTGTGTGTGTTTGTGGCCTCTCTCCCAGGAAGTCTCAGTTCAAAGCTGGTTAATTATGGATGTTGTTTCCATGGAGATTAACAAGCTAAAGTTAACCTGCAGACCTGAGCCACTGCAGGAAACACGCTAATACCTGCTGAGTGTGTGTGTGTGTGTGTGTGTGTGTGCAGCTCCGTCCTGTCTGAGTTCAGTGTGTTAATCTAAACTTTGTGTGAGAATCTAAATGATCAAAGTTTTCTTTTCTAAAAACTGAAACTGGAAATCTTTAGAGGAACAGGGCAGCACACTACTGCAAAACAACAACACACACATAAACACACACACACACACACACACACACACACACACACACACATACACACACACACAGTCCCCCCTTAGTGAGGTCAAGCATAATAAACCAGCTGTTACAGAAACTACAGTCTGCCACTGATCACAGATCTGCAGAAACAAAACAAGAGAAGAAGTACACAGAGTTAGAACTGTTGTATACAGAGTCAGTACTGTAGTACACAGTCAGTACTGTAGTTATAGAGTCAATTCTGTAGTAGTAGTGTCAGTAGTATACATTCAGTTTCCTTCATTTATGGAGTATTTGAGTATGGAGAGTACTTAATGTGTCTGTCATTCACCCTGACTATCCTTGACTGAGATGGTATTTTATTTTGGTAGTTTACAGGAAGTGTTCCGGCCCTGGAGACTCTGATGATGACCTCTGTTACACCTGTGTTACACCTCATTTACACCTCTGTCACACCTCTGTCACACCTGTGTCACACCTGTGTAACACCTGTGTTACACCTGTGCTACACTTGTGTTACACCTCTGCTACATTTCTGTCACACCGGTGTTACACCTCTGTTACATTTCTATCACACCTATGTCACACCTGTGTTACACCTCTGTTACTCCTGTGTTTCACCTGTGTTTCACCTCTGTTACATTTCTGTTACACCTCTGTTACACCTGTTCTGTGTGTGTGTGTGTGTGTGTGTGTGTGTGTGTGTGTGTGTGTGTGTGTGTGTGTGTGTGCAGCTGAAGGAGCTGGGCAGAGCTGAGGAGGTGTTGGATCTTTCAGATTACGAGCGCTGTGAGGAGATCAGGAAGAACAAGAGTCGCAGCAAGAAGAACCACAGCAAGTTCCGACTGCAGCGCTGCAGCTCACCTGGAAACACGGTACACCTGCACACCTATTTACCTGTACACCTGTTCACCTCTGTCCGCTCACCTGCAGGTTTTTGTGTTTAGGAAAACAAACTTCAAATATCAAACAGGCCCAGTTCCTCTGAATGATCAGAACTTTAAGAGGTATCTGAAGACACTGACCTGCTGCAGGACATCTGTGAACTCCTCAAACCTTCAGCTCAATCAGCTGAACCAGAAAAGTCCAATAACCAAGGAGATACTGGTTCGGGCTGCTCTGACAGAACACACCTGTCTGCAGACTCCTCAGGTCAGAGCCGGGCCCCCTTGAGACTGATCCTGACGTCACAGTTATCCAGAACCATCACCAGGGTTAGACCTCAGAGGCACTTCCAGAACCTCCAGAAAACTTAAGAGTGAGCTGTAATCATAGAACTGTCCCCAGAACACCCCACACACACAGACATAGAAGAAAGCAGGCATAGACATAGACACAGACACAGACAAAGAAGAAAACAGGAAGAGTGTGTGTGGATCAATAATCAGAGAAGAGTCAATCTTCACAAACTGCAACACAACAGGAAACACACTCACAGCTGACACACACACACATACACAAACACACACTCAGCAGATATCTGCAGGCCATTCCACAAATACCCAGAATGCCTTTGGAAGATCAGGTGTCCTGCAGACAGGTGGCAGCTTCTGTTACACACACACAACAACACACACAAACACACACACACTGCTGCTGTTTCTGAATCCTCAGTAGGAGACACATCTCCAGATGGTCCTGTGTGTGTGTGTGTGTGTGTGTGTGTGTTGTTTCAGAGTAAAACTTTCACTGAAAACACTCTCAGCTCAAACTGTTAATGGAAAATAACACACACACTAACTCACACACACACACACACACACACACACTCTCACCACTTGTTGTGCCGTGTCTCTGCAGGTCCCTAATCTGGAGTTTCTGGCGGTCAGTCCTGAGGAGAAGGAGTCCTGGATTAACGTCCTGAACGCCGCCATCTCGCGGGCTAAAAACCGGATCCTGGACGAGGTCAGAAGACGAACTCTTAGTCTGTTTTTATAAACACAGACATTCAGATATTTTTAAATAAAGACTCTCTAAGGGCCTGTGTCCACTCAGGACTCTTTACTGTGACCTTTGACCTGCTCTGTCAGACTCATGTCCATTTTTTAACGATGTTCACACAAACAGAGCTAACATCATCCAGGAAGTGAGGTCATGATCAGAACCTCCAAACTTTTAACCCTTTGGTTCTGAATAAGTTTCACGTTCATGAACCCGTCTGTCTGTCTGTGATCTCAGCTGCTCGACAGCCTTTTCCACCGATCGATTCTCTGATCAATACTCTGATCAATACTAACCCCCATGTTTTTTTCCTGTAAATACAGCGTTGAAGTTAGTTTTAGGTTGGATATTTGAAGGACATTCACTGAGGATCTACCACTGTCTTCTCACTCTCCATAACTGGGAATAACAACAGCAGCGCGTGTAAATCTACTCGGCACCCTCACTATCAATGTCAGGTGTTGAATAAGGGAACAATTAATAAGTTACCGGTTGATGTTTTCAGAAACAGGCATGAAAATCTCTCACCTTTCTGCGAAATTCGCCGTTTTGAAGTCAAAAAGGGTGACCTACATGAATCGTGTAGATCCGAGGAGAAATTTCTTTTGGGGGGGGTTATTATTATCATGTGATTGACTTAATACGCAAACTGAGCACTTCAGAAATCAGCCCTTTAAATCACACTTGGATGGTCAGGAAATCCTCCTGGCTGCTTCGCTGACGAGAACCAATCATAGGCCAAACTGCGTTCCATTATTTCAATCATGCGCACACTCTTCACTTGTACTTGGAGTGCTTGGAGAGCCTGTGGTAGCATTGCAAAGCTGCGAGAACGAGAAGCAGGACTTATCCACGCTGGTGTTGTGTCGTAGAATGCACCCCTGCCGTAGAATGCCCCCCTGACGAGTGCGCAGTTGAAAGTACAAAACAAAGTGAAATAATCCAAGTTTTCCTCACCGTTGGACGGATTCAAAAGCGTGTGCCTTTAATGACTTCATTCAGGTTATTCAGATAAGCCGAAAACAATAGCCCTCTGATTCAGAATATTTGCTGTCCCGAAAGTATATTGTTCTCTACCTTGACATCTTACTGTACAGTTTATACACCCAAGTATACCTCGATATGTGCATTTTTGAGACACATTAAAACAGAACGAAAGTTTTCTAGTAGTCATGATCCAAATACTCGTGTCTTTGTAAAATATGAGATAATTTTTTTCCACTTAAAGAAGCTAATGAGTGGACGGGATGCAGGGGTGCATTCTACGGCACAAAACCGGGGACAAGGCAGACCAGAGCGTAGCGTACACATTTACCTGCATTTACCAGCAGATTGAATTTGGTGAGTAATGGTTTCAATCGTTTTCATATTTTGTGGTATAACAAAGTTACTGCCGTTCGCTACAGCTTGCGTTGAACACTGCCAGAGCTAGCCAAACCTCCAGAGAAAAAATAGCTCCCGTTTGCTTGATATTAAGTTAGCATCAGGCTTGTGTAGTTAATGGTAACATAAAAGATGAAACACAAGCTTCTTTCTAATATCTCTGTAATTGGTATTTCGGGGACGTGTGAGGATAATATTCAGGTGAGGGGCTGAAAAGGCTGAAGGTGAAGTGGTAAACTCTAGAACTTGTTATCCTATGCTTTGGCCCATGCTTGAAGCCTTTTGTGACAAAATAAAAACATGTGAACCCTGGTCTTTTTAACACTCCTTTTCGCCGCTGATGTTATTTATTGATTCATTAAAACGTAATGGTTTTGAGCCATCTAAATAGCGAAAGCGGGCGTCTCGCATTTACTGCTCTGGCTCCATCCATTGACAAGACGGGGCGTCAGTTTTTTTCAGCGCGACATAAGCGTGAGAGAAGACAACAGGGAAGAGTGTGTCTCGAAAGGCTTTCCGTGTTTAGACCAAAAGCTACTAAAGCTGTTGTGTAAATCGCTATGTTGCTATTATTTTTATATGGCTGTCAAGAAACTGGGAGTGCTCAGCAGGCAAAGAAGCAGGCTGCTGAAAGTGAGAAGCACGCAAGGCTGAGACATGTGGCCGCTCAGCGTAAAAGGCCATGGAGAAAAAAGAAAAAGTGATCAGTTGGACTTGGTATTGGATCTATTGGAATTGCATGTATTGTTCTCCAGTCTGATAGGGTATACATTGATCTAAAGTGCAGGATATTAAGTCTTTATTTTTTTTTATTCTGTTTTCTTTTTTTCTCTTTAAATTATTATTGTTCATATGGCCTTGTACAAACACCTCTCTCTGACTCATTTAAGTCATTAAGCTTCTGTGAAAGTAAACTTTGTTTCTAAATAAAACATGGCCAGCACAAGATGCGTATGTGTGTGTGTGTGTATGTGTGTGTGTGTGTGTGTGTGTGTGTGTGTGTGTGTGTGTGTGTGTGTGTGTGTGTGTGTGAGACTTGGAGTGTTTTTGGCGCCTCCTGCAGATCATGGAAACACAGTGTGGGTGGACAGAGCTCAATATTTTGTTGGGTTGTACAGTGTACCGGTATTTGCTCGGCACCCTTCTCACCTTTTCAACCCCTGACCCATTTTCATGCCTGCAGAAAAGGCTGTTTTCCTTCAATAGCTTCCATGTCATGTGACCAAAACATTACAAACATTATTTGATCGATTTTCATTGTTCCCCTAAAGTTCTTTGTGTGCTCCTTACTTTTTCAACTTAGGAGGACATGGGAACAAAGTTAGTGTCGAGCCCTGTAGTCTGTCCACTTTACGTGTAAACTCTCCTGAGCTGTCTGCTGATGTCACAGGTCATCGTCGAGGACTCTCAGCTGTCCCACCTGACCAGAGACCGAGTCAAGATCCCTCACAACCGGAGGCTGCCGACTAGAGGACACCTGCTGGCTGTGGTAGGTATAAGCGCCATCTTCACCATCATCTCTGTTTTCAGCCCTCATCTTCGTCATGTTATTTGAAACTGTCCAGGTGTGGTTTTCACTGACCTCCTCTCTCCTCCTCCTTTACCTCCTTCTCACCTCCTCCTCCTCTCTTCTCTCTCCTTCTCCTCCTCCTCTCTCCTCCTCTCAAGTCCTCTCTCCTTCTCTTCCTTCTTTCTCCTCTCTCCCCTTTCCTCCTTTACCTCCTCCTCTCTCCTCCTCCTGTCTTCTCCATCTCCTCCTCTCTCCTCTGCCCTCTTCCTCCTTCTTCTCCTCCTCTCTCCTCTTCCTCCTTCTTTCCCCCCAGGCCTCCACCTCCTCCTCAGATGGGATGCTGACCCTGGACCTGATCCAGGAGGAGGACCCTCAGGGGGCCAACGGCTGCGGCGCCTTCAGGGTCAGCATGGACAAACCTCCGTCCCACCTCAGCCCGGACTGTCCCAGGTCCAGAACCGACGGCGCTCTGTCCGTCCGGACTGCAGAGGCTTCTGGGAAATCCCAGAGCCTTCCCCGGGAGGTGGCGGTGATGTGGGAGCAGACCAGCCCTACCTACACTCCTCAGCCCGGGAAACGGCTCGCAGGGGCAGAGAAAAACCGCTGCGCCTCCATGGATGAGATCCTGACGCACTCTGAGAACAAATCTGTGAAGAACAAGAACCGCTCCTCGCTGTGCACACTGAGCGGCACGGCGGCGGCAGCGCCACCTGTCAGCCAGCTACAGGACCTGATTAGTCAGAAACTGGAGAAGACGGAGCGGCTGCTGACGGAGGTGAGGGGGGAGGCGGAGGGGGAGGCGGGGAAGACGAAGGGGAAGGAGTCGCCTGAAGGGAAACGAGCTGAAGCGGAGCGGCTCCTGAAGGAGGCGGCGGCGGTCTGGAGTCAGGCCCGTGAGGTTCTGGAGGAGGTGAAGGAGCTGAGGGAACTGTACCAACAGATAGACTCTACCTCCAACAGAACCAAACTGGACCAGGATGGCAAGAGTCCAAAGTGAGCCGCTCCACACCCTCTTTTCTGGTCTGAACCAGATTATGCTGGACTGGACTGGATTACACCGGATCAGGTGGATCTGGACTCAGAGATTTTATTGGGAAAAGAACCAGAACCTGCTGACTGAGTTCGTTGGACCGGATCAGAATCAGCAGAACCAGCAAAGGTTCTGAACCCTGGACCCTGGTCTCAGTCAGGAGAAAAGTGCCAAGCAGAGGTCTGGACCAGGGGAGACTGTGAGGATCCTGGATCCTGTGGTCTTTCTGTCCACTGTAGGTCCTCATGAAGACCCATCTGACGTCTCTGTCACAGAAGGAACCAGGTCTACAGAACCGAGTCTAAAGCAGCAGAGGAAGAGTAAAACCAGACAGAGAATTGGGCCACTGAAAGAAAAAAAGGTCCAAAATACTGATTCTAAATTTTTTAAAATACTGGGATCAGAAAGTTCTGAGTGAAACGGTCGGAACAGAACTGGTCCCCTCCTCGTCTGAAGGTCCAATAGTCCAAACTCTGGGATTCCTCTATCGCAGCGCTACCATCAGGTCAACTTTTGAACTGAGCCGAGACTTTAGGATTTCAGAACCAGCAGCAATAAAGTCCCGATCCAGAACTATCATTCAGACAAAAAGGAGAAGCAAGAACAAGGTTGGACATGACCATATTTGGGCAGCAGGAACATGAACAAGGTCGGACATGACCATATTTGGGCAGCAGGAACAGGTACAAGGTCGGACATGACTATATTTGGGCAGCAGGAACAAGGTCAGACATGACCATATTTGGGCAACAGATCCTGTCTAATTCATGTTAAAGACTAACCCTGCAGTTAGCGCTGAGTTCTGTTCATGGTCCAAACTGGTTCCTGTTCAGTTCTTGGTTTGTGAAAAAAGAGTCTCAGATGTTTGTTTGGACTGTTGGAGATAAGCTGAAGATCTGAAACTCTAGCCTGGCTGGGCCATCCAGTTGCGTGAATCACTTGCTGTTCCTTCCCACAACAGTCTGGACTTCGGCCAATTGGGAGCATGTATCAGAAATCAGAAAATAACCGGGCCAATCAGAGACCGTGTTTCCACTGTTCCCTGGACAACAGGGAAAGGCAGCCCGTGATTGGTCCATGTGTAGATGGTGATGTCTAACACATGCTGCAGGACTTTTCAAAGTGCCTTTCATTCAGAACGCCGATAATTCTGCAGTTGACTTTGCAAAGTTGGCAGAAATCGCTTATATCCGCAGAAGAAGACGTAAAAGACATTGTTTGCTCGCACATGTTGAAATATTACCAAACCTTTACTTGATGCTTGAGAGCCCAGCAGGGAACACAGTTGCGCACTGTGATGACGTCAGATGTTTGGTTATAGTGATTGGTTACAGTAGTCTGTCTATCAAGGAAAGTACTCCCACCCACTTTTAGGGCTCCCAATTGGCCGAAGTCCAGATTGTGGTAAGGAACGGCAAGTGATTCACGCAACTGGATGGCCCAGCCAGGCTACTGAAACTCCAACAACTGAGAAACAAACAACCAGCAAAAGAGTCTTCAAACCAGACTCTGCTCTGTATCTTCCTCTTCCTCTTTTCTTCTTCCTCGTCCTCTTCTTTATGTCTTTCTTCCCTTTCTCTTTTCTCTTTTTCTTCTTCTACTTCTTTTTCTTCATCTTTTTTCTTTATCTGCTTGTTTTTTCTTTTTCTTTCTCATAGGTTGTGTCCGAAGTGGATCCCTAACCCCTGTATAGGCGACTATATGGGGGTTAGCGCCATTTTGAGGGGTGTCCGAAACCTGAGTGATCAATTCCAATGCCCCATATAGGTGACTCAAAATTTCCCATAGAGCATTGCAAAATGTTTTGACCATCTGATGGTCACTCACCGGTGGTGGGCATCCTGTCATGCATTGCGTGATGCGTCATGCAGAACCCTAGCTCTGTTTGCCATTTTCAGCTTAAGTTTTTTTATCTTCACTTCACTTCACTCGTGAGTGATACGTACAGAGATGGGAATTGTGGAATCACCAAGTCATCTCCATGCCATGTATTTGTTCTGCTCTGTCACTGAACCAGCTGCTTCCAATGAGCAGCCAGGACGGTGAGCTCATTAGTGAAGGCACCTGGCTGTTACATTCACGTGAAGTTACCCGCGCTTCTCGCTATACAGACCATGTATAAGCTTGAACGTTACCTTTCACGTTGATAGAGGAGGTTTGATGCGCTCCTTGATGACTCACAACAAGTCGGAAATAACGTTGTGTGTTGTTGTGCTCACACAGTGCACGTAGGATCATTAGTGGAGCATTGACATTAATGATCATGTGAAATTTCTGTAGCGGCGCACATAATTAAGCGGTGCACCGCTGCCGAATGAATGTACGGGAAACACTGCTGATACATATGAGTCTGAGGTAGACCTATGTGAGATAAAAACAAATTTTTTATTTAGGTGTGGTGGCTTTTGTTTAGCCATGGCGGTGCGCTACGATCAATAGCATGTAGAGGAAACCCTGAAATTACTAGTTTATGGTTTTTCTTTTTTTTTTTTATTTCACAAACATCCTGATAACAAATACATCTATACAACATCCTAAAATTCAAGAGATGTGAAAACAACAGCCACAACTTCAGATCGGCAGTCTGAGCAGTGACGCCACAATGGTGCAATGTATTGCCATGTGATGTTGGAAACCTCAGTTGATTGAGCTCACTACATAGTCAGCTATATAGTGAAACCCCATATGGGGGTTAGGGGTTAGGGATTCATTTTGGACACAGCCTTTTTCTGCTTTTTCTTTTTCTTCTTCTTCTAATTGTGAATGTTTTCAGGTAGCGGTTTTGAACCGTCACCCTTCAGCCTCAGATGGAGACTTTAAAGTTTTGGTTCCAGGTCATTAGTTGGATCCTGGACTGACTCTAAAAGAACCGGTCCTCAGAACCACCAGCACCGGGTCTCCTGGATGTTGGCCTGTTTGGATCAGAACCGGCTGCACTCAGAAGCTAACAATGCTAACATTTGCTAACAGGAGACTTTCTCGAATGCTGAGTCACTAGTTAAATTCTGTTGACTCATCGTGCAGGTGTGGTCAGCAGGTGATTATCAGCTGTTCTTAAACCCCTTCAAACTGCTGCCTCTAGATCAGCTGATTTTATTAGCCTACATCAGCTAACTTATGCTAATGTAGGCTAATAAGACGGCAGTGTTGGAAGCTAGCTGTAACGTTAGCCACAGATTCAGGCTAATTACAGTGATATTTAATGTATTTATAGTTATTTCTAATATCCTGAATCTCTGCTGCTAATGATCTAACCTGAGCGATGTTAGCCAGCTAATGCTAAAGTAGCATGGCAGCCGAATGCTAATGCTAATGCTAATGCTAATGATCTGCTAAGGGAAGTTTTTCGTAGAACCTGATCCTGCAGGTGATTTTTAAACCGGATTATTCTGGAAAATTAAAGGAGTCTGAGAATTTAGCTTCAGGTTCTGATTCAGCTCAGACAACAACCAGGAGTCTTTTCAAAATAAAAGCCTGAATGTGAATGACTGTCTTTGTAAATGAACCTGCTCAGTGTCACATGATGGACAGGTGTGACGGACAGGTGTCATCCAATCAGAGTTTATTTTTGTAAATTAACTTTAGACTTTTGTACATTTATTAAAGCAGACCTGAGATCAGCTGTTTTCTGTTTATGCGGGGCAGCAATAACCACAGGCAGAGTGCCGCACGCACGGTTCAAAGGTACAAGGCAGGACACGTCAAAGTTTTTGGGCCGTGGAATCGGACACATCAGAAAAGCACATTTCTACGCTGCAAAACTGCAAAAGACGGCGAATTGTGAAAAAATGTGTCGCACGGCTCACTTCCTGAGACCGTTGGAGGGGCACATGAACGCAGCACCCACAAAAAAATATAATCATGTGACAGAGTTTGAACTTTTACCTCTGCAGGGGTTCTTTCAGACTGACCTTCAATCAGTCTTCCTGTTCATCTGTCTTTAGTTTGTTCTCTGTGGCGCCCAGCAGCTGCTGTAGCCTTAAAGCCAGAGAGGATGATGGGAGATGTAGTCCAGTAGTGAGGTAGGCTGGGACCAGTTCATGTGCTAAAATAAAAACCTGGAAACTGTACCCAGATCAGCCTGAATCATTCAGTGTGTGTGTGTGTGTTTGTGTGTGAGAGAGTCTGTGTGAGTGTAAGTGTGTATGAGTGTGAGTAAGTGTTATAGTGTGAGTGTGTGTCTGTGAGTATGTGTGTGTGTGTGTGAGTGAGTGGATGAGTGTGAGTGAGTAAGTGAGTGCGTGTGTGAGTGTGTGAGTGAGTGTGAGAGTGAGTGTGTGTCTGTGAGTGAGTGAGTGAGCGTGTGTTTGTGAGTGCGTGTGAGTTGTGTGAGTAAGTGTGTGTGAGAGTGTGTGTGTAAGAATGTGTGTGTGTGTTTCTGTGTGAATGTGTGTGTGTGTGTCTGTGTGTTAGAGAGTGTGAGTGTGAGTCTGTGTGTTTGTGTGCATGTGTGTGTGTGCATGTGTGTGTGTGTCTGTGTGAGTGTGTGTGTGTGTGGTTGTTGCTAGGTTACCTGATCCGACAATCAGCTGAGGATCTACACCTCCAGTCCTTACCTGCAGAGGGAGAGGACGTACCAGAGCATTTGAACGTTAAAGGAGCATTGTGAAGTTTTTATACTGTAAATATGATAAACTGAGGGCAGAGTTCACCCGCTGTCACAAACATGAAGGATACAGTGCCTGACAAAAGTCTTGTCGCTTATACATTTTGTAGAAACAACAGCTTATAACCTGACTTGTCATTAACCCATTGGTTTTAGAAATGGCTCATATGAAAGCTAAAACCCTCCCAAATTATGTTTAAATTCTAAAATAAATTTCCTTCACTGAAGAAAGATTGATCATTTAATGAACACAGAAAGGTCAGATTTTGGCAAGACAAAAGTTTTGTCGCCTACATAGAGTAATGTGAAAATTGAACAAATAATTTATTCAAATACAAAAATATGTTGCACAACATCAGTGAATTAAGTAGTGGTGCTGTGAGATCTATATTTAATATCCTGTATGACTTCTATGTGCCTGAAGAACTGCATCCATGCGGTTCGGCAACGATTCATACAACTTATTGATGAAGTCATCAGGAATAGCAAAGAACGCAGTCTTACATGCCTCCCAGGGTTCATCAAGATTCTTTGGTTTCGTCTTCCATGCTTCCTCTTTCATTTTACCCCAGACATGCTCGATGATGTTCATGTCTGGTGACTGGGCAGGCCAGTCCTAGAGCACCTAGATCTTCTTCGCCTTGAGGAACTTTGCTGTAGAGATCGAAGTATGCGATGGAGCACCATCCAGCTGCAAAATTTGACCTCTTTTATGGTTGGGAATGAAAGAGGTTGCTAATACTTCTTGATATTTTAGGCTATTGATATTGCCTTCCACCCTGCAAATCTATCACACACCTCCATACTGGATGTAACCCCAGACCACGATTTTTCCACCACCAAACTTAACAGTTTTCTGGGTGAATCTCAGATCCATACGGACTACAGTAGGTCTCCTGCAATATTTGCGACGATTGTGATGTAATTCAACCGAAGATTCATCAGAAAAATCCACCTTCTGCCACTTTTCCAGCGTCCATCCTTTTAGCAGGCTGTGGGCCTTGGCAAATGCCACACATTTTTTTAATTGCTTTTTGTTCAGTGCTGGTTTCTGGGCACTGATTCGACCATGGAGGCCATGTCGAGACAGAATTCGACAAACTGTTCTGGTTGACACAGGGACTTGAGGTGACCAGACCTGGTGGAGCTCTGCTGCAGTGGAAAAGGGGCTGGCCTTGGATTTTCGAGCCAACAAACGGTCCTCCCGAGCAGTTGTCTTGCGGGGTCTGCCGGACCTGGGCTTGTCAAAAACATCTCCAGTCTCTTTAAATCTTTTTCTTATCCTTTGTTCTTGACGCTGAGACACATTGAAGGTGTCAGCCACCTCAGCAGTGGATCTGGTCTTCAGCCTCTTGATGATCAAAGCTTTGGTCTCAGGGTGAATCTTAGGCATGTTGTCAGAGGTCAAGTTGCAGTTGATGTGAAGGTATACACACCCACTAATTGATTGGTCAATAATTGATCACAGGTGAGGCTGTAATCTTGGATTGGGTACATCATATGACAAGGGGACAAGACTTTTGTCTGTGCAAAAACTGACACAGTGGGCTTTACCAAGCTGTGAACATTAGAATGCTTTTCAGCAGTTCCGTTTGGCACCAAAACATTATTTCAAACGCTGTTGGGATTGAAATTAGACATTTCTTGTAAAAAAAATTGATTGCACATATATTTGTGGGGCACTTAAGGTCAACTTGTAAACAACAAGACTTTTGTCAGGGACTATAGATCTATCAAAAAATAGATCAATTCGTCAAAGATCTATGAAGAATTGATCTAGTTCCTCTTCTTAAAAGCAAAAGCTTGATACGTCAGCGAGACCCTCTCTTGTTTCTATGCTTTTATTTTGAAGTCGTGTCCAGGGCGGTTATAGTCTATCAGATGACTGCGTCATGTGATGAAGTGTGTGCTAACACAGAGGCATACACACAACCGTCAGTTCCCGCTCTAATTGCCGTGCATCATCTCCATCCTCTAAAACAGGAAGCTGCCATCTTGGATGTTTAATATACATAGATGGCGCTTTTGAGTCGTAATCTCAGAGGTAAGACCGGGGTCAGATCAGGAAATCTGTCCCTGAGACGGGGCGTCAGACCCTGATGTCATCCGTAAGACCCGGTCCCAGAGAAGATCAGAGGATCTGGAGCTCATCTTCACTCTGAACTCACAGACACATGCAGGTTCAGGTCTACAGTCAGTTTAGGACCAGCCGGGTCACAGAGACCCAGGTCAGGTCTGAACCACCAACTCAATCACACCAAACCCAGGAGAGGCAGAACAACAACTCCTGGGTTTGTGTGAGGAAGAATCAAGAAGAACATGGAGGTGAAGAGCTGAGGAGGAGAAAGAGGTAGAGGAGGAGGATGAGGTGAAGAGCTGAGGAGGAACAGGAGGAGGAGGAAGAGGAGGTGAAGAGCTGAAAAGGAGGTGAAGAGCTGAGAAGGAGGTGGAGGTGGTGGAGGAGGAAGAAGAGGAAGTGGTGGTGAAGAAGTGGAGGAGGAGGAGAAGGATGTGAAGAGGTGGAGGAGGAGAGGGAGAAAGAGGAGGTGGAAGAGGTGAAGAGCCGAGGAGGAGGAGGAGGAAGAGGAAGAGTAGGTGAAGAGCTGAGGAGGAGGAGGTGAAGAGGCAGAGGAGGAGGGGGAGGAAGAGGAGGAGGAAGAGCTGAAGAGGAGGAAGAGAAAGAGTAGGTGAAGAGCTGAGGAGGAGGAGGAGGAGGTGAAGAGGAGGAGGAGGTGAGAGCTGACAGCAGACTCTGAGGAGGACTCCAGTTTGAATCTCAGACTCTTAGATTTCTTTTATCCACTTCTCATGCAAACATGATGCAAACCTCCCAGTTTCATCAGGTCTGTTTCCATGACGACAGAGCAGCGTGCTGCTGAGAGCTCCAGTCTGACCTTTTACCCCCAAAAAGGGGGCGGGGCTGATTTGTTTGTCAGGTGAGTCTCTGTTCAGACAAACAAATGCGAACAATAGTATGACACACACGCACGCACACACCCACGCACGTGCACACACACACACACACACACACACACACACACACACACACACACACACTCTATCTCTCTGTGTGTTTAGTTGTTGAAGATCGGCATAGTTCAAACAGTCATTTCTACTTGAACTCTCACAAGGATGAACACATGAATATCAGATCTATCATAAACTAACCCGACCACCAGGAACACGTTTGAAGACCTCTTTGAGTGACATCATCAGAGGTCAGAGGTCAGAGATGGATATACATCAGTTTGAAAAGTTTGTGTTTAGGATGAAAAAGTTAAAAAAAAAAAGAGAAAAGAAGACGAGTCTGAGCGAACAGACACGCCAACAAACTGACCTTCATCATCCACCAATGAGAGATCAGCGCCTCATCTACAGATCAACCTGGCTCTACCTTTAAACGCCATGACTGATCAGCTGATTTCAACAAACGCCACCGAGAGACGAGACAGAGGAGTGACTGTCTGAACTCACCGATCCTGTTTCTGTGGATTTTTAAAAAAGGATGAAAACATGATCAAGAAAAAACAGCTCTTTGAAAATGTCTCTAAAAGTCACCTGAGAGAATCACAACAGAGAGACTGAGAGATGAGCTGACCTGTAGCACCACCATGTGGTCAGAGACGAGAACTGCGTTTAGACTGAATTTGAGTCCTCGGTCACTGAATCTTTAGACACGGCTCTGACATTACACAACGTTGGAACCATTCGACCCTGAAACATGACATTCAAGAATTTAGCTTTATGGAACCAGAATCTGCTACTCTGGAAACAAACAAACAAACAAATATGCTTAATACTATTTTACTTTTTTGTGTTGTATATAGTGTAATACTTGTATGTTATTTCTTTGACTTATTTAATCATCAAATCAAATAAAATTTTATTTATATAGCGCCAATTCACAACAGTTGTCATCCCAAGAGCAGGTCTAGACCATGTTTATTGTTTGATGAATTATCAAGACCCAACCTAAGATGGGATTTGACCCATCTCATCTAACATGAGTGACAGTAGTGAGGAAGAACTTCCTTTGAACAGGCAGAAACCCTGGAGAGGAGAAAAGGTAAGGGAGAGGGAGGGAGAGAGAGAGAGACAGAGACAGGGGACAGCAGCAACATTAACACAACAGCAACAGCAACAACAGCTCATTTAATGGTGAAACAAAATGAATTCAGTTTACAGGGTTAGGATATGAGTAATTATGGACAATTAATTAAATTAATTTAATGTGATTACAGTCAGCAGGCCCAATCGTAGTTAACTCTAGTTTTATGTTATTAATATCAGTGAGGCTGATGTTCATGTCTGCAGCAACAGTCCAGAAGAACCCAAGAGAAGAAGGAGCTCAGGGCCTGAGGCAGACAATCATTGGCGATGCGGCTGGAGTCAGACAGGTCTGCAGCGGCCAACAGTCTGTAGCATTGGTCCAGAGGAACGTAGCAGACTGGGGGGCTCAGAGACATACAGAGAGATCTGGCTAGCAATTTGATGGGAGAAAATGACTTCAATGTACAGGATAATGAAATAACTAATTATGGACCAAGTTAAATTAATTTAAGGTGATTAAAAACTCAGTGGTAGTTTACTCTAGTTTTATTTTATTTATGTCAGTTAGGCTGGCGTACATGTCTGCAGCAATGGTCTAGAGGAGCCTAAGAGATGGAGGAGCTCAGGGCCTGAGGTGGACAATCAATAATGATGCAGCTGGAGTCAGGCAGGTCCTTAGCAGACCGTCTGCAGCATCAGTCCAGAGGAAGCTAAGAGACTCAGAGAAATCCGGTTAGTGACTTATATGGGACATAAAGATCTGAAGGAGAGATAGAGACAGACTCTAGCTCAGTGTGCCAGATAACCCCGACAGTCTAAACCTAAAGCTGCATAACTAAGAGCTGCTTCAAATCAGCCCCAACTAAAAGCTTTATCAAAGAGGAATGTTTGAAGTCTACTCTTACAACGTTGAGAGGGTGTCTGCCCCCCGAACCTCGAGCGGTAAATGATTCCAAAGGAACCGTGCCTTTATCTATTATTTATCTCCTCTTTCTACTTTATTTGCACTGGAGTTACTGTAACAAAAAGCAATTTCCCCCTGAAGATTATCAAAGTATCTCTGATTCTGAAACATTTCAGAAGCCTCATCCACTGTTGCAATACTCTTATGTCATTTCTTCATTTAGAACACGTAGCCCCTGTGTGGAGTTCTCGTGACTGGTGATGGCGGATCTCTTTTACTTCTTTTGGGTCATCCCGGGAAGTCTCGGCACACCTTCACCTCACTGTTCGAGACTCATAGTTCAGATCCGTTATCAGGAACACGAAGATTTGCTTGAGTTTAGCCGACACTCAGATAGAAAAGCTTCAGAGTTCAGGGGTACTTTCAGAAATACTGTACTACAAGTCTCTCTGTTAGCCACTGTGGATGGGTCCAGATCTGGAGGAGGAGGCTGAAGTATGAAGCAGAGCCAGTTTTGTGTTTGGTTTGATTTTATTGAAAAACTCTGTTACAGCCGCACTCAGACAGGAGAATAAAAAAATAAAATTAAAGATTAAAGAACAGACGACAGCACAGAGATCTACAGAGACCAACTCTATTTACACATACCAGAACCAGGACCAGATCCAGAGGGAGCCGGACTGACACCCAGAGCTGGAGACTGACAGGTGACAGGTGAGGGCGCGGGGCTTATGCATGTCTGAACTTAAGCTGAGGTGACTGGATGATGTTGAACAGCTGTAGAGGCTCATGGGAAGTGTTGTACTGAGAGTCCAAGACCAGGATCTGCACCTGTAACCTGAAGTTCTTTAAATACAACCCAAAGACCTCAGAGACCCATGACGGAGGATTAGGGACACTTCGGGAAGAACAAAGACGTCTCACATTTATAAAAAAAATCAGTCAAAAGGATGTAAGAAAATTACAAGATAAAGATAGAAGTTTATGAGAAAAATGAGAAGAATCTATGAGAAAAATAATCTTAATTAAAATTAAACATGTTGAATTCCCGACTCCATTTCTGGAAATAAATCTACAAATCGGTGAGAGTGAAGTCGTAAATTTACACAATGAGAGAGGAGGGCCCTCAAGTCATGAGAATACATAAATATGAGAAACTCACATTTATCAGCTGACAGTTAACAACTGTAAATGTATGATTAATTAGAAATCTACTGAAGTTTGTAAACTCACAAAAATAAATCTGAAACCTTTATAAAGAGTCTGTGAGAAATCGTTCATTTAGGATGTCTGAAAAGTTGATGAACTAAAAACAAACACCGACATTCACAGATCTAAAGTCGTAAATCAACGAGATCAAACAGGAAATGTCGTGAAGTCTGAAATTTACAAGAATAAATCTTAAATGGACGAGACGACAATGTAAATGTGAAAAAAGTTAAATTTTTTGTTCACGGAAATAAACTTTCTGAATCACGAGAATGATGGAAATTTGTGAAAACTATCGCGTGAGAATAAAGTCGATTATTCCGTTTTTTTGTCATAATTATATAAAACAACCTCAAACAGAATGAAGTCGTAAACCTTTTCAAAATAAACTTCAGTTGCAGATTTAGGTAAATAAATTCCTGAAGTTATGAGATGAAAAAACTAAATGTGGAAATCTGAAACATGAGAGTTTATTACAAAACGTTGTAAAGACGAACTTCATAAACTTCTAGTAAAGTCGTCATTTATGAAATAAACTGTGAAAGTCTTTTTCGGATGATATTTTAAAAGATCTAGGTTTGGGTTTTCATGATTTTAGTTAACGACATTAAAGTTCATTTTTCTTTGAATTCTGTCCTGGAAGTCCATCTCTTATTTTGATAAAACAGAGAGTGGATCTTTTGAGTCTGGATCTCTGCTGAGGTGCCTTCAGTGACTTTGTTGAAGGTTTGAGCTCCAGAATCGGAACCCGATCCAGAATCTTCAAATATTTCAGTTAACGGGACCACAGTGACCTTTGACCTCTGCTTAAAACATCATCATCAGATCAGGAGGCGGTCCTTTCTCCTACGGACAGTAAACGTATCATCGCCTCTTGATGTTCCTCTGCAGGTCGAAGTCGGACCAGCTCCTCCTGAACTTTCATCAAGATGTTTGTTTGGAAATTCTAAAGTGTGTAACCAGGTCGACGGGTCAGCGCCGCTCTCAGCAAGGATTTCACAAACGAACAGTTTTAACGGTCAAACCTAAAACTCAGTCTGTTTATGTGAATTAACTGTCAGTCTGCAGCTCTGAGGTCAGCCGCCAGGCGGGGTCAGAGGTCACTGCAGTGAAGTGGGGGTGGGGTCCAGGTGTTTCAGTGTTTGAAGGTTATTGGATTATTCATCGTCATCATCGTCGCCTTCGTCCTCTGCATCTCGCTTCCTCTTCTCCCCTCTTACGTCGGCGGCATCCACATCTGACAGAAACAGACAGAGGACTTCAAAATAAAACAGCTTTGAAAGCTAGCAGACACTTTCAACATAAAGCTTGACCGTGTTTTGATCGGCAGAACTCTGACAGCATCTAAAATCATTCAGAAGCAGCTGATTAAACAGTTGGTGATGATGCTGAGCTCCACAGGTCATTTTCTTTAACCAGGAAGCAGAAACTAATGCTGCGTTCAGATTTCCTCGGAAATCACAGTTATTATCGTTATCAAAGTTATTTTAGTGCTTGCCTTATATTCAAGCACTAAGAAAACTTTCGTATAATTATATATATGTCTAATTCATGTTAAAGACTAACCCTGCAGTTAGCGCTGAGTTCTGTTCATGGTCCAAACTGGTTCCTGTTCAGTTCTTGGTTTGTGAAAAAAGAGTCTCAGATGTTTGTTTGGACTGTTGGAGATAAGCTGAAGATCTGAAACTCTAGCCTGGCTGGGCCATCCAGTTGCGTGAATCACTTGCTGTTCCTTCCCACAACAGTCTGGACTTCGGCCAATTGGGAGCATGTATCAGAAATCAGAAAATAACCGGGCCAATCAGAGACCGTGTTTCCACTGTTCCCTGGACAACAGGGAAAGGCAGCCCGTGATTGGTCCATGTGTAGATGGTGATGTCTAACACATGCTGCAGGACTTTTCAAAGCGCCTTTCATTCAGAACGCCGATAATTCTGCAGTTGACTTTGCAAAGTTGGCAGAAATCGCTTATATCCGCAGAAGAAGACGTAAAAGACATTGTTTGCTCGCACATGTTGAAATATTACCAAACCTTTACTTGATGCTTGAGAGCCCAGCAGGGAACACAGTTGCGCACTGTGATGACGTCAGATGTTTGGTTATAGTGATTGGTTACAGTAGTCTGTCTATCAAGGAAAGTACTCCCACCCACTTTTAGGGCTCCCAATTGGCCGAAGTCCAGATTGTGGTAAGGAACGGCAAGTGATTCACGCAACTGGATGGCCCAGCCAGGCTACTGAAACTCCAACAACTGAGAAACAAACAACCAGCAAAAGAGTCTTCAAACCAGACTCTGCTCTGTATCTTCCTCTTCCTCTTTTCTTCTTCCTCGTCCTCTTCTTTATGTCTTTCTTCCCTTTCTCTTTTCTCTTTTTCTTCTTCTACTTCTTTTTCTTCATCTTTTTTCTTTATCTGCTTGTTTTTTCTTTTTCTTTCTCATAGGTTGTGTCCGAAGTGGATCCCTAACCCCTGTATAGGCGACTATATGGGGGTTAGCGCCATTTTGAGGGGTGTCCGAAACCTGAGTGATCAATTCCAATGCCCCATATAGGTGACTCAAAATTTCCCATAGAGCATTGCAAAATGTTTTGACCATCTGATGGTCACTCACCGGTGGTGGGCATCCTGTCATGCATTGCGTGATGCGTCATGATGCGTCATGCAGAACCCTAGCTCTGTTTGCCATTTTCAGCTTAAGTTTTTTTATCTTCACTTCACTTCACTCGTGAGTGATACGTACAGAGATGGGAATTGTGGAATCACCAAGTCATCTCCATGCCATGTATTTGTTCTGCTCTGTCACTGAACCAGCTGCTTCCAATGAGCAGCCAGGACGGTGAGCTCATTAGTGAAGGCACCTGGCTGTTACATTCACGTGAAGTTACCCGCGCTTCTCGCTATACAGACCATGTATAAGCTTGAACGTTACCTTTCACGTTGATAGAGGAGGTTTGATGCGCTCCTTGATGACTCACAACAAGTCGGAAATAACGTTGTGTGTTGTTGTGCTCACACAGTGCACGTAGGATCATTAGTGGAGCATTGACATTAATGATCATGTGAAATTTCTGTAGCGGCGCACATAATTAAGCGGTGCACCGCTGCCGAATGAATGTACGGGAAACACTGCTGATACATATGAGTCTGAGGTAGACCTATGTGAGATAAAAACAAATTTTTTATTTAGGTGTGGTGGCTTTTGTTTAGCCATGGCGGTGCGCTACGATCAATAGCATGTAGAGGAAACCCTGAAATTACTAGTTTATGGTTTTTCTTTTTTTTTTTTATTTCACAAACATCCTGATAACAAATACATCTATACAACATCCTAAAATTCAAGAGATGTGAAAACAACAGCCACAACTTCAGATCGGCAGTCTGAGCAGTGACGCCACAATGGTGCAATGTATTGCCATGTGATGTTGGAAACCTCAGTTGATTGAGCTCACTACATAGTCAGCTATATAGTGAAACCCCATATGGGGGTTAGGGGTTAGGGATTCATTTTGGACACAGCCTTTTTCTGCTTTTTCTTTTTCTTCTTCTTCTAATTGTGAATGTTTTCAGGTAGCGGTTTTGAACCGTCACCCTTCAGCCTCAGATGGAGACTTTAAAGTTTTGGTTCCAGGTCATTAGTTGGATCCTGGACTGACTCTAAAAGAACCGGTCCTCAGAACCACCAGCACCGGGTCTCCTGGATGTTGGCCTGTTTGGATCAGAACCGGCTGCACTCAGAAGCTAACAATGCTAACATTTGCTAACAGGAGACTTTCTCGAATGCTGAGTCACTAGTTAAATTCTGTTGACTCATCGTGCAGGTGTGGTCAGCAGGTGATTATCAGCTGTTCTTAAACCCCTTCAAACTGCTGCCTCTAGATCAGCTGATTTTATTAGCCTACATCAGCTAACTTATGCTAATGTAGGCTAATAAGACGGCAGTGTTGGAAGCTAGCTGTAACGTTAGCCACAGATTCAGGCTAATTACAGTGATATTTAATGTATTTATAGTTATTTCTAATATCCTGAATCTCTGCTGCTAATGATCTAACCTGAGCGATGTTAGCCAGCTAATGCTAAAGTAGCATGGCAGCCGAATGCTAATGCTAATGCTAATGCTAATGATCTGCTAAGGGAAGTTTTTCGTAGAACCTGATCCTGCAGGTGATTTTTAAACCGGATTATTCTGGAAAATTAAAGGAGTCTGAGAATTTAGCTTCAGGTTCTGATTCAGCTCAGACAACAACCAGGAGTCTTTTCAAAATAAAAGCCTGAATGTGAATGACTGTCTTTGTAAATGAACCTGCTCAGTGTCACATGATGGACAGGTGTGACGGACAGGTGTCATCCAATCAGAGTTTATTTTTGTAAATTAACTTTAGACTTTTGTACATTTATTAAAGCAGACCTGAGATCAGCTGTTTTCTGTTTATGCGGGGCAGCAATAACCACAGGCAGAGTGCCGCACGCACGGTTCAAAGGTACAAGGCAGGACACGTCAAAGTTTTTGGGCCGTGGAATCGGACACATCAGAAAAGCACATTTCTACGCTGCAAAACTGCAAAAGACGGCGAATTGTGAAAAAATGTGTCGCACGGCTCACTTCCTGAGACCGTTGGAGGGGCACATGAACGCAGCACCCACAAAAAAATATGATCATGTGACAGAGTTTGAACTTTTACCTCTGCAGGGGTTCTTTCAGACTGACCTTCAATCAGTCTTCCTGTTCATCTGTCTTTAGTTTGTTCTCTGTGGCGCCCAGCAGCTGCTGTAGCCTTAAAGCCAGAGAGGATGATGGGAGATGTAGTCCAGTAGTGAGGTAGGCTGGGACCAGTTCATGTGCTAAAATAAAAACCTGGAAACTGTACCCAGATCAGCCTGAATCATTCAGTGTGTGTGTGTGTGTTTGTGTGTGAGAGAGTCTGTGTGAGTGTAAGTGTGTATGAGTGTGAGTAAGTGTTATAATGTGAGTGTGTGTCTGTGAGTATGTGTGTGTGTGTGTGAGTGAGTGGATGAGTGTGAGTGAGTAAGTGAGTGCGTGTGTGAGTGTGTGAGTGAGTGTGAGAGTGAGTGTGTGTCTGTGAGTGAGTGAGTGAGCGTGTGTTTGTGAGTGCGTGTGAGTTGTGTGAGTAAGTGTGTGTGAGAGTGTGTGTGTAAGAATGTGTGTGTGTGTTTCTGTGTGAATGTGTGTGTGTGTGTCTGTGTGTTAGAGAGTGTGAGTGTGAGTCTGTGTGTTTGTGTGCATGTGTGTGTGTGCATGTGTGTGTGTGTCTGTGTGAGTGTGTGTGTGTGTGGTTGTTGCTAGGTTACCTGATCCGACAATCAGCTGAGGATCTACACCTCCAGTCCTTACCTGCAGAGGGAGAGGACGTACCAGAGCATTTGAACGTTAAAGGAGCATTGTGAAGTTTTTATACTGTAAATATGATAAACTGAGGGCAGAGTTCACCCGCTGTCACAAACATGAAGGATACAGTGCCTGACAAAAGTCTTGTCGCTTATACATTTTGTAGAAACAACAGCTTATAACCTGACTTGTCATTAACCCATTGGTTTTAGAAATGGCTCATATGAAAGCTAAAACCCTCCCAAATTATGTTTAAATTCTAAAATAAATTTCCTTCACTGAAGAAAGATTGATCATTTAATGAACACAGAAAGGTCAGATTTTGGCAAGACAAAAGTTTTGTCGCCTACATAGAGTAATGTGAAAATTGAACAAATAATTTATTCAAATACAAAAATATGTTGCACAACATCAGTGAATTAAGTAGTGGTGCTGTGAGATCTATATTTAATATCCTGTATGACTTCTATGTGCCTGAAGAACTGCATCCATGCGGTTCGGCAACGATTCATACAACTTATTGATGAAGTCATCAGGAATAGCAAAGAACGCAGTCTTACATGCCTCCCAGGGTTCATCAAGATTCTTTGGTTTCGTCTTCCATGCTTCCTCTTTCATTTTACCCCAGACATGCTCGATGATGTTCATGTCTGGTGACTGGGCAGGCCAGTCCTAGAGCACCTAGATCTTCTTCGCCTTGAGGAACTTTGCTGTAGAGATCGAAGTATGCGATGGAGCACCATCCAGCTGCAAAATTTGACCTCTTTTATGGTTGGGAATGAAAGAGGTAGCTAATACTTCTTGATATTTTAGGCTATTGATATTGCCTTCCACCCTGCAAATCTATCACACACCTCCATACTGGATGTAACCCCAGACCACGATTTTTCCACCACCAAACTTAACAGTTTTCTGGGTGAATCTCAGATCCATGCGGACTACAGTAGGTCTCCTGCAATATTTGCGACGATTGTGATGTAATTCAACCGAAGATTCATCAGAAAAATCCACCTTCTGCCACTTTTCCAGCGTCCATCCTTTTAGCAGGCTGTGGGCCTTGGCAAATGCCACACGTTTTTTTAATTGCTTTTTGTTCAGTGCTGGTTTCTGGGCACTGATTCGACCATGGAGGCCATGTCGAGACAGAATTCGACAAACTGTTCTGGTTGACACAGGGACTTGAGGTGACCAGACCTGGTGGAGCTCTGCTGCAGTGGAAAAGGGGCTGGCCTTGGATTTTCGAGCCAACAAACGGTCCTCCCGAGCAGTTGTCTTGCGGGGTCTGCCGGACCTGGGCTTGTCAAAAACATCTCCAGTCTCTTTAAATCTTTTTCTTATCCTTTGTTCTTGACGCTGAGACACATTGAAGGTGTCAGCCACCTCAGCAGTGGATCTGGTCTTCAGCCTCTTGATGATCAAAGCTTTGGTCTCAGGGTGAATCTTAGGCATGTTGTCAGAGGTCAAGTTGCAGTTGATGTGAAGGTATACACACCCACTAATTGATTGGTCAATAATTGATCACAGGTGAGGCTGTAATCTTGGATTGGGTACATCATATGACAAGGGGACAAGACTTTTGTCTGTGCAAAAACTGACACAGTGGGCTTTACCAAGCTGTGAACATTAGAATGCTTTTCAGCAGTTCCGTTTGGCACCAAAACATTATTTCAAACGCTGTTGGGATTGAAATTAGACATTTCTTGTAAAAAAAATTGATTGCACATATATTTGTGGGGCACTTAAGGTCAACTTGTAAACAACAAGACTTTTGTCAGGGACTATAGATCTATCAAAAAATAGATCAATTCGTCAAAGATCTATGAAGAATTGATCTAGTTCCTCTTCTTAAAAGCAAAAGCTTGATACGTCAGCGAGACCCTCTCTTGTTTCTATGCTTTTATTTTGAAGTCGTGTCCAGGGCGGTTATAGTCTATCAGATGACTGCGTCATGTGATGAAGTGTGTGCTAACACAGAGGCATACACACAACCGTCAGTTCCCGCTCTAATTGCCGTGCATCATCTCCATCCTCTAAAACAGGAAGCTGCCATCTTGGATGTTTAATATACATAGATGGCGCTTTTGAGTCGTAATCTCAGAGGTAAGACCCGGGGTCAGATCAGGAAATCTGTCCCTGAGACGGGGCGTCAGACCCTGATGTCATCCGTAAGACCCGGTCCCAGAGAAGATCAGAGGATCTGGAGCTCATCTTCACTCTGAACTCACAGACACATGCAGGTTCAGGTCTACAGTCAGTTTAGGACCAGCCGGGTCACAGAGACCCAGGTCAGGTCTGAACCACCAACTCAATCACACCAAACCCAGGAGAGGCAGAACAACAACTCCTGGGTTTGTGTGAGGAAGAATCAAGAAGAACATGGAGGTGAAGAGCTGAGGAGGAGAAAGAGGTAGAGGAGGAGGATGAGGTGAAGAGCTGAGGAGGAACAGGAGGAGGAGGAAGAGGAGGTGAAGAGCTGAAAAGGAGGTGAAGAGCTGAGAAGGAGGTGGAGGTGGTGGAGGAGGAAGAAGAAGAGGAAGTGGTGGTGAAGAAGTGGAGGAGGAGGAGAAGGATGTGAAGAGGTGGAGGAGGAGAGGGAGAAAGAGGAGGTGGAAGAGGTGAAGAGCCGAGGAGGAGGAGGAGGAAGAGGAAGAGTAGGTGAAGAGCTGAGGAGGAGGAGGTGAAGAGGCAGAGGAGGAGGGGGAGGAAGAGGAGGAGGAAGAGCTGAAGAGGAGGAAGAGAAAGAGTAGGTGAAGAGCTGAGGAGGAGGAGGAGGAGGTGAAGAGGAGGAGGAGGTGAGAGCTGACAGCAGACTCTGAGGAGGACTCCAGTTTGAATCTCAGACTCTTAGATTTCTTTTATCCACTTCTCATGCAAACATGATGCAAACCTCCCAGTTTCATCAGGTCTGTTTCCATGACGACAGAGCAGCGTGCTGCTGAGAGCTCCAGTCTGACCTTTTACCCCCAAAAAGGGGGCGGGGCTGATTTGTTTGTCAGGTGAGTCTCTGTTCAGACAAACAAATGCGAACAATAGTATGACACACACGCACGCACACACCCACGCACGTGCACACACACACACACACACACACACACACACACACACACACACACACTCTATCTCTCTGTGTGTTTAGTTGTTGAAGATCGGCATAGTTCAAACAGTCATTTCTACTTGAACTCTCACAAGGATGAACACATGAATATCAGATCTATCATAAACTAACCCGACCACCAGGAACACGTTTGAAGACCTCTTTGAGTGACATCATCAGAGGTCAGAGGTCAGAGATGGATATACATCAGTTTGAAAAGTTTGTGTTTAGGATGAAAAAGTTAAAAAAAAAAAGAGAAAAGAAGACGAGTCTGAGCGAACAGACACGCCAACAAACTGACCTTCATCATCCACCAATGAGAGATCAGCGCCTCATCTACAGATCAACCTGGCTCTACCTTTAAACGCCATGACTGATCAGCTGATTTCAACAAACGCCACCGAGAGACGAGACAGAGGAGTGACTGTCTGAACTCACCGATCCTGTTTCTGTGGATTTTTAAAAAAGGATGAAAACATGATCAAGAAAAAACAGCTCTTTGAAAATGTCTCTAAAAGTCACCTGAGAGAATCACAACAGAGAGACTGAGAGATGAGCTGACCTGTAGCACCACCATGTGGTCAGAGACGAGAACTGCGTTTAGACTGAATTTGAGTCCTCGGTCACTGAATCTTTAGACACGGCTCTGACATTACACAACGTTGGAACCATTCGACCCTGAAACATGACATTCAAGAATTTAGCTTTATGGAACCAGAATCTGCTACTCTGGAAACAAACAAACAAACAAATATGCTTAATACTATTTTACTTTTTTGTGTTGTATATAGTGTAATACTTGTATGTTATTTCTTTGACTTATTTAATCATCAAATCAAATAAAATTTTATTTATATAGCGCCAATTCACAACAGTTGTCATCCCAAGAGCAGGTCTAGACCATGTTTATTGTTTGATGAATTATCAAGACCCAACCTAAGATGGGATTTGACCCATCTCATCTAACATGAGTGACAGTAGTGAGGAAGAACTTCCTTTGAACAGGCAGAAACCCTGGAGAGGAGAAAAGGTAAGGGAGAGGGAGGGAGAGAGAGAGAGACAGAGACAGGGGACAGCAGCAACATTAACACAACAGCAACAGCAACAACAGCTCATTTAATGGTGAAACAAAATGAATTCAGTTTACAGGGTTAGGATATGAGTAATTATGGACAATTAATTAAATTAATTTAATGTGATTACAGTCAGCAGGCCCAATCGTAGTTAACTCTAGTTTTATGTTATTAATATCAGTGAGGCTGATGTTCATGTCTGCAGCAACAGTCCAGAAGAACCCAAGAGAAGAAGGAGCTCAGGGCCTGAGGCAGACAATCATTGGCGATGCGGCTGGAGTCAGACAGGTCTGCAGCGGCCAACAGTCTGTAGCATTGGTCCAGAGGAACGTAGCAGACTGGGGGGCTCAGAGACATACAGAGAGATCTGGCTAGCAATTTGATGGGAGAAAATGACTTCAATGTACAGGATAATGAAATAACTAATTATGGACCAAGTTAAATTAATTTAAGGTGATTAAAAACTCAGTGGTAGTTTACTCTAGTTTTATTTTATTTATGTCAGTTAGGCTGGCGTACATGTCTGCAGCAATGGTCTAGAGGAGCCTAAGAGATGGAGGAGCTCAGGGCCTGAGGTGGACAATCAATAATGATGCAGCTGGAGTCAGGCAGGTCCTTAGCAGACCGTCTGCAGCATCAGTCCAGAGGAAGCTAAGAGACTCAGAGACACTCAGAGAAATCCGGTTAGTGACTTATATGGGACATAAAGATCTGAAGGAGAGATAGAGACAGACTCTAGCTCAGTGTGCCAGATAACCCCGACAGTCTAAACCTAAAGCTGCATAACTAAGAGCTGCTTCAAATCAGCCCCAACTAAAAGCTTTATCAAAGAGGAATGTTTGAAGTCTACTCTTACAACGTTGAGAGGGTGTCTGCCCCCCGAACCTCGAGCGGTAAATGATTCCAAAGGAACCGTGCCTTTATCTATTATTTATCTCCTCTTTCTACTTTATTTGCACTGGAGTTACTGTAACAAAAAGCAATTTCCCCCTGAAGATTATCAAAGTATCTCTGATTCTGAAACATTTCAGAAGCCTCATCCACTGTTGCAATACTCTTATGTCATTTCTTCATTTAGAACACGTAGCCCCTGTGTGGAGTTCTCGTGACTGGTGATGGCGGATCTCTTTTACTTCTTTTGGGTCATCCCGGGAAGTCTCGGCACACCTTCACCTCACTGTTCGAGACTCATAGTTCAGATCCGTTATCAGGAACACGAAGATTTGCTTGAGTTTAGCCGACACTCAGATAGAAAAGCTTCAGAGTTCAGGGGTACTTTCAGAAATACTGTACTACAAGTCTCTCTGTTAGCCACTGTGGATGGGTCCAGATCTGGAGGAGGAGGCTGAAGTATGAAGCAGAGCCAGTTTTGTGTTTGGTTTGATTTTATTGAAAAACTCTGTTACAGCCGCACTCAGACAGGAGAATAAAAAAATAAAATTAAAGATTAAAGAACAGACGACAGCACAGAGATCTACAGAGACCAACTCTATTTACACATACCAGAACCAGGACCAGATCCAGAGGGAGCCGGACTGACACCCAGAGCTGGAGACTGACAGGTGACAGGTGAGGGCGCGGGGCTTATGCATGTCTGAACTTAAGCTGAGGTGACTGGATGATGTTGAACAGCTGTAGAGGCTCATGGGAAGTGTTGTACTGAGAGTCCAAGACCAGGATCTGCACCTGTAACCTGAAGTTCTTTAAATACAACCCAAAGACCTCAGAGACCCATGACGGAGGATTAGGGACACTTCGGGAAGAACAAAGACGTCTCACATTTATAAAAAAAATCAGTCAAAAGGATGTAAGAAAATTACAAGATAAAGATAGAAGTTTATGAGAAAAATGAGAAGAATCTATGAGAAAAATAATCTTAATTAAAATTAAACATGTTGAATTCCCGACTCCATTTCTGGAAATAAATCTACAAATCGGTGAGAGTGAAGTCGTAAATTTACACAATGAGAGAGGAGGGCCCTCAAGTCATGAGAATACATAAATATGAGAAACTCACATTTATCAGCTGACAGTTAACAACTGTAAATGTATGATTAATTAGAAATCTACTGAAGTTTGTAAACTCACAAAAATAAATCTGAAACCTTTATAAAGAGTCTGTGAGAAATCGTTCATTTAGGATGTCTGAAAAGTTGATGAACTAAAAACAAACACCGACATTCACAGATCTAAAGTCGTAAATCAACGAGATCAAACAGGAAATGTCGTGAAGTCTGAAATTTACAAGAATAAATCTTAAATGGACGAGACGACAATGTAAATGTGAAAAAAGTTAAATTTTTTGTTCACGGAAATAAACTTTCTGAATCACGAGAATGATGGAAATTTGTGAAAACTATCGCGTGAGAATAAAGTCGATTATTCCGTTTTTTTGTCATAATTATATAAAACAACCTCAAACAGAATGAAGTCGTAAACCTTTTCAAAATAAACTTCAGTTGCAGATTTAGGTAAATAAATTCCTGAAGTTATGAGATGAAAAAACTAAATGTGGAAATCTGAAACATGAGAGTTTATTACAAAACGTTGTAAAGACGAACTTCATAAACTTCTAGTAAAGTCGTCATTTATGAAATAAACTGTGAAAGTCTTTTTCGGATGATATTTTAAAAGATCTAGGTTTGGGTTTTCATGATTTTAGTTAACGACATTAAAGTTCATTTTTCTTTGAATTCTGTCCTGGAAGTCCATCTCTTATTTTGATAAAACAGAGAGTGGATCTTTTGAGTCTGGATCTCTGCTGAGGTGCCTTCAGTGACTTTGTTGAAGGTTTGAGCTCCAGAATCGGAACCCGATCCAGAATCTTCAAATATTTCAGTTAACGGGACCACAGTGACCTTTGACCTCTGCTTAAAACATCATCATCAGATCAGGAGGCGGTCCTTTCTCCTACGGACAGTAAACGTATCATCGCCTCTTGATGTTCCTCTGCAGGTCGAAGTCGGACCAGCTCCTCCTGAACTTTCATCAAGATGTTTGTTTGGAAATTCTAAAGTGTGTAACCAGGTCGACGGGTCAGCGCCGCTCTCAGCAAGGATTTCACAAACGAACAGTTTTAACGGTCAAACCTAAAACTCAGTCTGTTTATGTGAATTAACTGTCAGTCTGCAGCTCTGAGGTCAGCCGCCAGGCGGGGTCAGAGGTCACTGCAGTGAAGTGGGGGTGGGGTCCAGGTGTTTCAGTGTTTGAAGGTTATTGGATTATTCATCGTCATCATCGTCGCCTTCGTCCTCTGCATCTCGCTTCCTCTTCTCCCCTCTTACGTCGGCGGCATCCACATCTGACAGAAACAGACAGAGGACTTCAAAATAAAACAGCTTTGAAAGCTAGCAGACACTTTCAACATAAAGCTTGACCGTGTTTTGATCGGCAGAACTCTGACAGCATCTAAAATCATTCAGAAGCAGCTGATTAAACAGTTGGTGATGATGCTGAGCTCCACAGGTCATTTTCTTTAACCAGGAAGCAGAAACTAATGCTGCGTTCAGATTTCCTCGGAAATCACAGTTATTATCGTTATCAAAGTTATTTTAGTGCTTGCCTTATATTCAAGCACTAAGAAAACTTTCGTAGATGTAGCCACCTTGTTCCCACTGGGAACTCATTTTCAGTCATTTTCAGCTCCAACATCTGACTTTCGAGGTTACTCGAACACAGCATAACTCAAAGATTTCACTTCCTTCCGAGCGTCTAAAACTATCTAAACACAAACCTCCATCTTCCTCGTCCTCCTCGTCCTCCTCTTCCTCAACGTAGTCTCCATCATCCTCCTCGTCCTGACAGGAAGTAAAAACACATCAGTTTCAAATTAAAATGTCGCCCCCACCCCACCCCCCTGCTGGATTCTGCAGACTCACCTGGATCCCCTCCTTCATCAGGTAGGACAGACCGACCTCTTCCTCATCTCCTTCAGAACCATCCTCCTCATCCTCGTCCTCATCGTCATCCTCATCATCATCCTCGTCTCCGTGGGGACCAGCCTCATCGTCGTCGTCTGACCAGGAAGAGAAATAAAGTTCTGGTTATGAGACTCTTTGAAGAGGTCCGGAGATGAAGGTCAGGGTCTGGTGTGGCGTTCAGGGTCATCAGTAAATCACGGCGCCCTGAGCTCCAGCTTCCTCTCACCGTTGTCAGCCTCAGAGTCGGGCACCTCGTTGTCCTCCTGGTCGTATCCATCCAAGAATGTGAGCTGAGGCAGCAGCTCGAAGACGTTCTCTCTGTAGTCATCCAGCGTGGACACCTCACAGCTGTACAGGTCAAGACTCTTCAGGTTCTTGAGGTTCTGCTGCAGGAGCCAGACAGGACACACGGTCAGAGCTGGTACTAAATCCTGAGCTGATACGAACAGTGACTCACCTGAGAGTCTCACCTGTCCAGCAGGACTTACCAGAACCTCCACGCTGCTCAGCTCTTTGATTTTGTTCCCGCTCAGGTTCAGGTACGTCAGGTTGGGACATTTCTCTGCCAGCGAGTCCAGACCTCCAGAGATGGTGTTATCACTCACCTCCAGCTAAAACACACAAACACGGCGGCGTTACAAAGACTGAGCGAGTTTAGGCGGGAGGAAAACAGATGCATGATAGGAAACAGGGATTCAGGGTGGACCTTGCGTAGTTTGGGCAGCGAGGGCAGTTTGGAGAGCGAGCTGAGGCCGACGTTGACCATGCTGAGGATCTCCAGCTCTGTGTACTCATCTGTCAGACCCTCCACCTCGCCATCAGCTGACTGACAGTTGTTCACCACCAGCTCCACCACCTGCGTGCACGCACACACACAAACCCGCGCGCGCGCGCGCACACACACACACACACACACACACACACACACACACACACTTAGGATGTGGTGCCTAGGTGCATCTCACCATGTTGAGACTTCTGATTATCCCGGCATCTGGAGGCTCCTGGTTTTAAAACAATAGGTGGTGCTTGTGGCGCCATGGGCAGGTGCTGTACAGGAACATTTCCTACGGTCTGGATCAGAACAACCACAGACTGAGGACTCCACAGCAGGTGATCATCGAAAACGTGTGGTTTTGTATTCTGGATCCTTTTCAACGTGAATTTTAGGAAACATTTCAGATGCCCCAGCTCCGATTATCATGAGCGATCGGCCAAACTCCACATGATCAAACTTTTCTCTTTTTGTTTTTTTAAGTCAATTACAAAAACATCAAACACTCTGAAAACACTGATGCAGTTCTGCAGTTTGTCCACAAGGTGGCAGTAACGAACTTCTCTCCCATGGTTCTGAGCAGGCAGAAACTTCAGGTCAGGACACTAATCTGGAGCTGACGGCTAGAGGTGATAACCAACATGAAATATGATTATCTATCTTCAGGAGCTCTGCAGCTGTGTGAAAGTGGAACATGGAGGCGATGAAGGTGTTTCACAGACCTCAACAGGTGTGCAGCGTTTACGTTCTTAGTTACTGTTGATGACGTGAAGTTTTAAAGGAGCAGAAATTTGACTCTGTGGAAGCTGCATATTTGGTTCCATTCCATTCCCTCATTAATGGGAGGGGAATGCAAGGGAGCTTTTCAATGAAGTATCTGACTTCTAGATTAGAAATAAACTGATAAATCTGTTAGGCCTTTCATAGCATTTAGACGTGATGGACAACATATCAGCAGCCGCTCTCAGAGAGCCCAAAACACTTCATCTTTCAACTGGAAACACTATTTTCCCATCATCCATTTGTCAAATGCAAATGAAATTGATATAATTATATATCAGCCATCTGTGGACCTTTCATTGAGGGTATTGGCATTAGCTATCGAAAAACTGCATCTGATCCACATCTACTCCAGAAATTGCTTTTGATTCTGTTTCAACAAACTAAACCTTTGATACTTCTCAAACATGGCCAATGGTGCCGGCTGGATATCCTCTAAAACAGCTGCAAACAAAGCTTAACACCGGTAAATTTGTGCTTCAGTTGTAAAATCATGCACTTTAATTAAGTGGAAATGCTGATTAAGCATTTCCACTTATTGTTATTCTCCTATTTCTTTATTATTATTATTATTATGCACCTTTTTTGCAACTTTTCAACTCCTTCATACTTTGTGCTATTTTAACCGTTCAACTTTTAAACTATTCCTCTCCTTCAGGACAAGTGCAGATGTATTTTTCACTTTTCTACCCCTTATACTTTTTGATATTTTTTACTTTTTGTGCAAATTTTTTCCCATTGAAATGAATGGGAAAATCTTCAAATTCTCCCTTTTACTCCTCCACCTTCTCAGCCTTATAACTTCAGCATGCTTTCATCTAGAGACCTCATTTTTGCTTTAAAATGTTCATTCACTTGTCGACTATTAATGTTGTATGCACTTTTTTGTGCTATCTCCTACAGCCTTTCCACAATTTAGCTTTAAGCAACTCGTGGTTTTCAGCAAATTTCAGGCTTTATAATGGGTGTGTATTGGAGAGGCTAGAGTTATGATGTCATCGCTAGAGTGGACAGCTGCTCTTGGATCGACAGAACCTCGCTCGAATATATCACTCCCACGCCCACAAATTTCACTACACAGCCATAAAAAATACATCAAAATGGAGGTATATGTGTCCTGCTTCTCACAAAAGAGGTTTCAAATCATTAAATCTACCCCTTGGCCAGCAGGTGACCAACTGTCCAAATAGGCGGAGATCTCTCCCATTAACCCAAATGTATTTTTTCTCCAAGAAAATCCTGATCATCACTCAGGCTCAGACCTTTTTAACTCGCTGTTGTGGCCACATTTTTTGGAGTACAGACATGAAAAACATGTCATTGTGTTCATGAAGGGCGGAAGATTCGTACGATGTTCTTATTTTCATTCTGGGATTTAAGGAAATCATGCTATGTGAAGAAGTTCAGAGGCCCTAAATTCACTGCAGATAGGCAGCTTCTCATTCAAACAGTAGGTCAGTTAATGCCTTTAATGTCTGTTACCTGTTAAGATGCATTAATTAACACACACACACAGACATTCTTGTACTTGCTGCTTTGTGAGGTCTATGAGAAAAGACCCACAAAGCAAGGACTACAAACTTTGAGCTACAGACACCATTCCGGGCTCCAAAAATTCAGCTCATTGAGGACATTATGGGGTGTATTCAGGATTTTTATTCATTTAACTTTTCCCCACTTTAAAATTATTATCATTATTCATGCTTTATTAAATTCTTCAGACAAATCCAAACTCATTCAAACTGATTCAAACCTTTCTGATACTTCAAACCTGTTTAACACTTTAGGACTTCTAATTATTCAAAAATTTTCCCACTTCAAAATCATTCTCATTATTTATGTATGTTTTAATTCTTCAAACAAAATCCCAGTTCTACCACTACAATTACTACTTATGTCACTTTAACTTGTATCTTCACTTCTACCTCCACTGCTCTTGCTTCTCTTAATATTTTTTCTTTACTTCTACCACGAGCTCTACTGCTTTGACTTCTACTTCTTCTATTCTAAAACTACTTCTACTGCTTACATGACTACTAATATCACTACTACAACTACCTATTATCATACTACTTCCAGTACTACAACTTAAACTTATGCCACTTCTCACTTTTCTGTGCTTTAAGGTAATTTTCTTCCTTATCCATTTTTGGCAATTACAGTTTTCTAGCCTTATTCAGCATGAATGCAGTTTTAATTGTTGAAGCACATTCATACTATTTGTACTTCAGTAATTTTCACTTTCATCCAACTTCTACTTTTCTTTCTCCAGCTCTTTAAACAATTTCACACTTAAACCTTCCTCCATTTTTTTCGCAGTTTTGCATTGCTTTTTCAGCTTTCAGCACTCAGCATTTCCATGCATTTTCTGCAAGGAAATGCTATTTTTGTAGTTTAAGATGTGATTCACCTGGACATACCGCCCAACTCTGTAGAGTGGTACACCTCTTCTGATAAACACTCTTTGATGAATATAAAGTCGTAAAAATACTCCCAGGCTTAACCTCTCGGTAAACTGCGCCTCAGACAGATAAATTAGTTTTAGTTTATCGTGTTTGGTTAAGGAGGGACACAGCTGCCTTTAGAGATTGCTAACCAGTAATCGTTCAGATAAATCATGACAAAGTCCAAAGATGTCACTTTCGTTTCACTTTGGGTGTAATCTGACCGGGACACGTTTAAGCTGCCTCACACCAAAACTGAGGCAAGGTTACTTTTATCTCTTGTCTTTACACCCGTCAATAAAACCATCTAAACACAGGCGGGAACAGGGGCTAGACTCGGTCCTTAAAGTTACTCCTAATCTAAAAGACGCACTATTGATGGGTCTGATGTGAGACGAATTCAAGAGAAGAGCCTGGTAAATGGAAAGAATGCAAAACTGTTAGCGTGACAGAGGAAGAGATGGACATTTAACTGAGAATACTTTTATAAAGGGGATTTCTGAATGGGGTCCGCTTGGACGCGCCATCAGATTACAGCATCGTGTGTAACAAACTGTGTAACGCGGGGCGTCAGGGATTCATATTGAGGTTAAAATACGAGCCCGGTCCGCGGTCAGTGCTCCGGGGGTGTTTACAGAAAAGTAACCGACACCAAACAGTCATACTAAGACTTTTTTCCTCCGTACTACCGAGTCCTCGCACCGACCCCCAGCCGACTAATCCCAACCACCGGTTAATCATGAGGGCTGGGCGCGCTCCAAGCTAGCATGTTAGCTCGTGTGCTAGCCGAAGGCGGCTCGCGCGAAGCTCCGGGGAGTCTCGAGAACTCAGCGCGCGACAGAGGAGAGCGTGCAGGCGGCGGGCTCCTCCCGCACCGGCCCGTGGAGCTCCTCCATGTTGGCGCGGAAATGAAGCCGTTTCTGGGTCAAAATGTCGGCAGAGGTGGTTGTTTTTTTAATGTTTATCGGGGAAAACTCGACGTCCAATCGTGCGGAATCTTTTCAGCATCGTCATATTGGTCGAGCTCGCATCCTTGAGCCGTTTCTCCTGAAATAAATAAATATAAATCACACAGTTGTAGTTACACACCTCAACGGGGTTTCTGTCCCTCAGCTCCAGGCTGACCCTCTTCTTCATCTCCATGCCGGAGCCTGAGCAGAGAACTCAAAAACAAAGAGTAACAAAGGAAAACTGAAAATAAAACTCGGTTCACTGCAGCAGCGCGCTCTCCGTGAGGCTTCCTTCACCACCAGCTATTACACGATCACTAAACCACCATCTTCCCTGGCGCCCGACCTCCACTGGATAACCACACCTCTTTTACAATGAATATTTACTTTTTCTCTAAATCGGGTTTCCTATTGGTCAGAAAATGAGCCACTCAGATAGTCCCTCCTTAAACATATTATTATGCGAGATTCAGCTCTTAGATTGGTCAGAATTGGAAATGCGTTCCTTTGGGGTAACTAATGACAGTGTGAGGAGGAAACATTTAAACTGTAGGTCCCGCCCCTCTTTGTTCCCAATGGCGCCATATTTTACTTAATGTTAGAAAACGATCACAGATTCTTAATACAGAAAATAATGAGTTTTTAACCCCCTTATTAACACTTAAGGGAACAAAGTTTAATTAGCTTTAAAACACATGAATATTTTAGAGTAACTGTAATATAAAGAACGACATGAGGCCTCATAATTAACGATGATTAACATTGTCTTTACTCTTTAATTGACCCCTCTATCTGACACAAATAGTTATTAGGCCTGTTACCTGGGCCGCAGAAACATGAGATACCCCTACCGGAGTTAGAACCAAACACAACATAGTTTTTCCTCATCTCTAAGGCCCCCCATATGGAAGCGATTGTGACTCATATCTCAAATTCAAAAGCATTAGCAGAAATGCTTTTTCATTTCAAAGTCATGGCTGCACTATTTGACTCAAAAATAAAAATGAAAAGCAGTATTTCAAAAGGCATTTTCATTGTCTTCTTCAAGACTGCTCATTCTGTGACTAAATTAAAAAGAAAAACCAAACTCAGAAATGGTTTTTTGACGTTACGGACCCCACTCGTTCTGGCCCCTTCTGGCCAATAGGGGGCAGTGAATCCGTGTATCATTGAATGAAATCAAACCGGGGATTGCGGCTATCTGACTAACGGACTTTATACTCCTCATTGTTCTCATCACTGATCGATGGATTTGGGATATTTTGCAAATAAAGGGCCATAAACAGTGAGAAACAGACAAAATGGTAATAGAGATGCCTTAAAAATACATGGCACAGAGGCAGAATCACTGCAGTCTCTGTCCGTGTTAACCTGTGACTGTATGCAGATGTCAGCGGTGTGTCAGGTGTGCTGGTCCTTTTACTCACTCACTTACGGCATAGAAGTGGACTCTCACTTTCCGGCGCCACTTGAGATTGCGAACTCAGATTGAATTATGAGACACTTTCTGCGGGGCGAGCACGAAAACGAAAAAGCATTTCTGAGTTTGGTTTTTCTTTTTAATTTAGTCACAGAATGGGCAGTCTTGAAGAAGAAAATGAAAATGCATTTTGGAATATTGCTTTTTATTTTTATTTTTGAGCCAAATAGTGCAGCCATGACTTTGAAATGAAAAAAGCATTTCTGCTAATGCTTTTAAATTTTCGAATTTGACATTTCAAATAGAATTTTGTTACCTTTTTTGCTGGTGAATGTTTTGAAAATTAAATGTTCAATGTGATTTGCTTTTTCTTTTTAATTTAGTCACAGAATGAGCAGTCTTGAAGAAGAAAATGAAATTGCATTTTTGGAATATTGCTTTTTATTTTTATTTTTAAGTCAAATAGTGCAGCCATGCCTATGAAATGAAAAAGTATTTCTGCTAATGCTTTTGAATTTGAGATATGAGTCACAATCACTTCCATAGCCCCATACATGAAATGGATTCTTGTATAAAAATATTTTAATGCAAAAGTGGTCAAATTAATCTATATTGTTATACACCCACAGACAAAAAATAAAGTCTGTTCGTCTGGTGATTGAAGCATATAAACCCATGTAGATTCACTATGCAAGCTCCAGGAGGTCTATAAATTGGTATAATAGAAGCCAGGATATCCCTCCACATTCTAGAAAAAAACAGAATGTAAATATCTAAATACAAATAGGAGATATAGTCATTTTAACACATACCTACAATAGGCGAGAATGTAAATCTATGTAGAGTATTCTCTTTACTTTTTAGTGACACTGTAATGGAAAGCCATATGTAGCGGTTGAAATGAGCCTCACACGGTCGCACCAAAATATATGTAGCGATTTGAAATGAGCCTCACAAGGCCGCACCAAAATAATACTGTAGCGATTTGAATTTATAATAAATGTCTGAAGATTAATAGTCTCAAATTATGACATTTATGCACTCATTGAAAGGGGCACCACCCACCCTTAATGGTGGGAAAATAAAGAAAACAAAAGTTTAATTCAGAAATCAAACATCAAGTCAGTTTTAATTAATCAGTCTCATATCTTAAGTCGAAATTCTAATTTCAGGGACTCCACTTCTGGAAGAACACTAACAGACAGGAACTTAGAAAAATAATTATCTGTTTATTACAGGATAAATGATGGTACAACACACATGCAATAAATGATGATAAGATAATGAGGATAAAATAATAATAATAGGTGAATAAATAAAGATTCTGAGTCAGGCTAGGAGCACTAAAGTTAATGATAGTGAGTGAATATGCGCTAACATATTAACCTACACTAACTTTGGTGTCGAGATAAACTCGGATGTGGATTTGGAGGAATCTAAGATTACCAGAATAAGAGGATATCTGAGTTGAACGCAGGAGACAGCACCAGCCCTCTTTAGAGCTCTGGAGGTTTGCATACTTAAGTGAGACTGGTCCTTGGAGAAGATGGAGCAGGTTCCGAAGGTCCGGGCTACTGGCGGTTCGAGCGGTTCAGCTCAGAAGACGACTGAAGTCAGCCGAAGGATGAGCCAGGAGTTGCAGCACTCAGGCACGAAGCAAAGCCAGCGCCTGTGGATCCTGTGGATGCTCGTTTGGGTACTTCTTTGGTCTCACTCAAAAACTCTGGCACAGAGGATGACCTGGGCCTGCTGGGTTGCGTTCAGAGGTGACTTTGAAAATCACGCAGATAACTCAGAAAAACGAGACTCGAGCAGAGAAAACTTTCAAAAATGGCTTCGCGAAATTAAAGGAAAATCAATCAAAGGCTTAATCTTGAATTGCTATGCGCACAAAAAGTTGAAGTTTCAAAACTTGAACTAAGACGATGTTAAAGAAAAATCAACGTGAATCAACACGTGGCGTAAAACTTAGAAGACTAAGAAAAAGTTCTAAGAGAAAACAAAGAAACGCACCACAGAAGGGTGTGGGCAGAAGAGAAGGGCACAAGAGTAAGGGGCCTAAGAGAGAGCAGAAACATAAGAGTGAACAAGCGTGAACAAGAGAGTGAGCAACCCCACTTCACTGGTTTTATCTTCTCACACTGGGAGTGTTTCCGGCGTGTGTGTGTGAGGAGAAAGGAGGGGTCGTGGAATCTCTGATTATTTGATCTAACTTATTCTTTTGGCTGGTAAAAGAGTCAGATCTGATACTAACTCACTATGATTAATATCATTGAATGCTAGGTTTCATGATAAATAATTTGATACTAAACACATATGAATGAAGTGTAGGATCACATCAAACATTCTCATTATGTTTTAAGTATCACATTGAACATGCTAAATTACTCTGAAATGAAACAGATAGTAACACATGGAAACTGTGAACAACAAAAGAGTAAACACATGTGAATGAACTTCATCATGATTAATAATGGATTCTAAATACTCACATTCAGATTATTCAATGACATTATAACCACCTAATGGTTAAAAATACTAAATAAACATCTACAATATAAACCAAACATTTCTAAACTATTTCTGTGTTCATAGAGTAAGTTATGATCCATAGTCAATAAATTTAACTCTTAACAGTTCATGAAACAGTCTGAAAAGCTGTTGGTCTAAAGAAACTAAAGAATAAGGATTTATTCTGTCAGTGATAACTCGACTTCTGAAGCACATAGAAAAATGGGAAACATCTCATTTTAACACAAATTCCATGATTAGACAGATTAGTACATTGCTGAATGCATAAGATGTCAGGATCAGTCATTTGTATTCTTTCACCAAAGGAATGTAGTCTTTATCAGTGCATGGTCGAGCAGGGTTTTACGACCGAGGTCTGGAGGTCAGTGTCCCCCCTTATCCTGGGGTCCGTATGATCACACACTTTAAGACGCTAAATCTCAAATGGGAGATCTGGGTTGAGGTTAATGTTTATTTAGATGGTCAGTAATGGAGTCAGTTTGAAAGGTAATAAAAACTCTGTCTCTGTTCTCCGAATTGACCAATCGTGAAGAGTCAGAGGTTTAGTCAACCTCCGGTTGGGTCACTTATTTAACCTGAAAGTGTAAACGAGTCTGGAAAGATTTATATCCTGTTTCCTGGGACCAGATAAGGAAACTTTCCTGTGAGGAATGTGTGGGTTTCACACCCAGGGTTGTCTTGATTGCTACACATAACAACACATATGATGGCTTGTTTGAAAGCTGTGGTTCTGCTAAATCCAGCAATATCAAGTGTGTATAGGTAGCTTGTATACACATGGAGTTATCTCACAAAAGGTACAAGGTGTCCTAAAAAGAATAAAATGCAAGAGATGGAGACAAGGAAATATATTTTTAATCAACAAACTGTTTTATTCAAATTAAATGCTCCTATGTCTAAACCTCACTCAAGGTAATGTTGTGTGTGTGTGTGTGTGTGTGTGTGTGTGTGTGTGTGTGTGTGTGTGTGTGTGTGTGTGTGTGTGTGTGTGTGCATGGGTAGGTGGAGTGGTGTGGAGAGGAGACGAGTTAGGCCTGGTTTGAGCCAGGGGATAGATGCACAGAAACATAAACATCTCTATCACTCATCCACATTATCATCCAAAACAACATGGCTCATATTTGGGCAGTCAGGGAAAGGGCAAGAGCAAAACTCAGTGCAGGTCAAGCCTACTGAAAGACACTCGCATTTACTGCTTTCATTGCACTTTCCGTCTTACAGTACAGGTGGGTGATGTGTCTGACTTCTTTAGGTGCAGGTTCTTTGATAGACATCACCGATTCAATAGACCCATCTTCTCTGAGCCTCCACCCTCTACCAACTGGGTTCCACAGATGAGGCTTTGCCACATGGCTGTGACGCCACACTGCAATCTGGTACAAGGCTCTTGATACATGCTGCTGGAAGGCATCCTCCGTCGGGGGTAGATTTGCAGCTGATGAATCTGTTCCAGATGCTAGTGTGTACCTCAGCTCATCCAAGGTGGTGCAAGAACGGCCATCCTCCCTTTTCTTTCGGCCATACAGAAGGAGGGCATACTTTCTTGCCACAGGAATAGCCTCCTCCAGGCTTTCAGAGAGTCCAAAATTTTCCATCTCTTTTAAGTCACTCAGATGAGCCTCAGTCTGTTAAAAGCAGTAGCCTTTACAATTCTGTACAAACTGCTTGTGGTTTTACAACCAGTGAGGGCGTGGCATGCAGGTAGACAAGCACAAAATGCTGCACCAAGCTTCTTTGCAATTGCACAGACTGGGACATACCTCTCCCTTGGGCCGTGTCCAGAGTGCATGAACACCGTTGAAGATCCAAACATTTCTTGGCTGGAATAATACACAAGCAAAACCAGCACATCTGTGTCATCACATCTGATGATGACCCGAGAATGAGACTCTGCTGCATGTATTGCATGGAATACCAATCTGGTGTCAGCCTCTTCCTGGTCACTATACAGGTCTGTCAAGTTGTCAACACCTGAGTTGCTGACCACCTTGACCTCCTCACCATTTTCGAAGCCACCTGCCAAAATGACTTTTTTCTCTGAGGATATTCTCTCTGGCCCTGTATTGACTGTGTAGTTGCTTACAAAGCTGCATAAAGCAGCCTTGTTACCACTGACCTTGAGGTATTTTCTGTAGTTAGGAACATTAGCGTTGCCTGTGATGGTATGTGTTGATCTGCTTGCTCGGATGGTGCCTCTTCTTTGTCTTTCCAGGTCTTTGATTGAGTGTGGATGATCATATCTATCAAACACAACAGCAACACAGTTGATGTTTTCCTTTTTCATTTGCGTCGTGATCTTCTTCCAGACATACTCGCCCAGGTCATTGAATGTCTGAAAGACAGTCAGGGAGACTCTGTAAAGGAGCCATGCCATTGATAAGGTATGCAGATGGGTCAGAAACATTAGGCAACTGCTGTGTTTCCTCAACTACAGACTCAATTATTTTTGCAAGGTCTGCTTTAGTGTTCTTCCGCATGGTTCCATCATCATGAAACAAAGAGGGGGGAACAGCAGCAAGTTCATGGGACATCACAGTCTCCATGGATACCTCTCTTTGCTTGGAGACAGCAAGTAATCTTCGAAACAGCACATCTGACTCCATGTGAACCTGTTTAGATGTACCGACTCCATCTGTTTTTTTTATATCTTTGAAGGTTGCACAGTGTTTCCTTTTCTTGGGATCCCTGAAGCTCTTCGTTCTAGATTTTGACAGGCGTTGTTTGATGAAGATGCTAGCCTGCTCTGCACCATCTTAGAGGAAACTTGAGAGCTCTTTAGCAACTTTCTCAGATGCAACCTGACCACTTGCAATATTTATTAGTTCTTCTGGGACAGTGTCAAGATCAAAGGGGTTCTGCTTCTGCTCCACAGCTTCCACTATTTGTTGTATGTTTCTTTCATCCCTGTCCATTCTGGAGGCTCTGTGTTCTTTGTGTGCTGTGGGGCCTTTTGCATTAGTATCACAAAGGTCTTGCATGGCATCCACATATGCTGTGGTCACATGCCTTGTCATCAACCACCTTGTGAGAGCCATTTTACATAATGTGAAGCCAACAACACCACCCTGACTCTTGCCTTCTCGGTTAATGGTCTGCTCCAGCCGTCACACAGTTGAAGTTGTGATCCTCTGACCGGCGAACAACAAATCCGCCATCTTGCATGAATTTGTATGCCTCTGGTTGTTCCTGTTGAAGGACTTTCATTTCTGCAACATAGAGCGGCGTGTACTTAGCATAATTTGTTCTGCCAGCAGCTCTGAACCACCTAAATTGCATTTGTGAAGTTCAAAGTCTGCTTCACGCTCTGAAAGCAGGATCCTCAGCAACAGATCAGCACCCTTGAGGAACATTAACCAGTATTGAAAAGTTGCTGATTGCTTTGCCCCTTTATCTATGAACATCTGGATACTGTCGTGAATCCCAGTAAGGTCAGTCTCCACCTCACCAATGAGCTCTCGAGCAGCAGTCTTGTTGTTCCCATGAAATGCATGCTGCATATCTTGTAGGAGTTGCTCTTGTGCTCCAGTCATTGCACGTCTGCCTTTTTTTTCAAGCCATGATTGCATGGATTTCCAGAAAAGTCTGAACAGAGCCTCAGAAGCTAGCTTTATGCTCCTGATAGCTCTTGCCAGCTGTTTACCCTGAAGCAACTGTCGGGCTGTTCCTTCTGCGTAAACATCTGACTCGGTGAGTATGTTAAAGAGTCCGCCATCACCATGCAGCTTCCCCAAACTGGCAAGGTAAGCCATTGTGACATGCATACCTCTTAGTCTCATGGTGATCTTCCTATGTAAGAGCTGGGGTTTGCTCTACAAGATCTCTTGCGCTTTGCTATAAATTGCTAGATCTGCAGTCACAAGAATATGATGTTGTCCCAGTTCTTTAGCTAGCTGTACAAGGCGTATCATAGCTGTATAGATGGTCAACAAATCAGAGGGTGATTCTATTATGAATGGCATGTACAGTACCTTGGCTACTGGAGGAGCTGTGCCGGATGTGAAGGCATTGAATGCAGACCATGCAGGAATATGCTGTTGATTCTCAGTTTGATTGCGAGACAGTTTCCATACCAGGTCTCTGTCATCTGCTGCTTTGGAGACAGCTGGGTTTGAGTCTAGCATCTCAGTTCGGGGAATTACGGGTGGCTCAGGTCGCTTTGGAGGCTTGATGTACCTGTAATCAGTATCAAAATAATAACATAAGCTTGTGATCATATGCATTAAATATTGAATCAGAAGACTAAACTTCACAAGGTCATACCCCCATCAAAATATGTACTGTGACTATATGCATTAAAACAGAACAAATAAAATATTCAATAATAAAAACATACCTGTTAAGTTTATCTTCAATAAAGTCAGGTTTGTCCAAGGTTGAGAGAGACCTCTCTGAGACTCTTGTTATGCAGTTATCCGAAGTGGAGACAGGATCTCTTCGGTACACTACAGATGCCATAGCATGGGTTGTATGCTTCCCATCCAGACTATCCGCATTTTGATCAAAGTTATCAATGGCTGCATCAATAATTCCATGTTCAGAGACTCCAGTGAGGCCAGGTGGGATGTAAAAACCACTCAATGTACTTGATACCTGGTCTGCTGCCACAGATGTGAGGAAACGTCGAACCTCAGTATAGGAAGCACAGTGCCCAATTGCATTGAGCTCATTGATGAGTGTCTTGCTACCAAATTCATGATGAATCAAAATAGCAAGTCCCATTGTGATTGGAGTATAGATGCGACAGCACTGTGCGATGAGATCATGGCAGATCGCAATGACACGCAAATTGTCCTTGAGAGCTGGTTCCTCATCACAAGTCTTGTAATTTCTGTGGGCATTGCATCAACACACCAGTTCACAAAGTCATAAACATTGTTTGGAACATAGTTGCTGCAATGGAGAAGAGGTAGCTGATCACTGCTGACATATGATTTACTGTCATGATCAACGTGCTCCATGCTTTTTCTCAGTATGTCTGCAGCTCTATGTAATATTTGCTTGTCAGAGAGACCTTGACAGAAGAAGCTAAGGTCAAAATCATTAGAGATCTGACTGAACTAGATGTCTACCTGTAACCGCGCCATACTACCTGAATGATGATCTATGACTGTGTTCTTCTTTGCATAATCTTACAAATTGTGCATTATGTCCAACCATCTTTATGCTGATGGGGTGTCTACCCCCCATGATACGGATCCTCTAGCCTTTAATCCATTTGACCTAAACTCAGATAACAGAGGTATCTACGATGAATTTTTCAACCCAGATATAAATCTCTCAAACTCAAACAATGTAATTCGATCATGTAAATACTATTCTGAAGATCAGTTCAATGATCTGTCCCGTACTCTTGCTCCTGATGACTCTTATATCCTAAATGACTTTTCAGCGTGGCACTTACATGTTCGCAGTTTACCAAAAAATTTTGACAGCCTAAAAATATACTTATCAACCCTAACTTTTTCTTTCTCAGTAATGGCATTCTCAGAAACCTGGCTAAAGGATGATATCACAGATCTTTACCCTATATCTCAGTATAATGCTATTCATTCATGCAGAAGAAATAAGGTCGGAGGAGGAGTTTCCCTATATGTGCTCAAAGACTACAACTTTACCACTAGAAAAGAAATCTCAGAACCTCTAGAAAACATACGAGTGGAATCTGTATTTATCGAAATCTCTTCTTGTCGTCCCCTTCATGGGAAAAATATTATAATTGGGTGTGTCTACAGACCTCCTGACACTGACCCAATTTCATTCAATGAGGCTCTTTACTCCTCCCTTGAGTTTATAACCAAGGAGCATAAACTGTGTGTTCTTATGGGTGATTTCAATATCGACCTGCTTAAGAGTGAATTACCCTCTACCGTTGACTTTCTGAACAATCTTTACTCAACCTACTTCTTTCCACTAATTCTCAAACCATCCAGAATCACCAAATCATCAGCTTCTCTCATTGACAATATCATAATCAATTCACTTGACTATGAAATCACCTCTGGGTTGTTAATATCTGACATCTCCGACCACCTCCCCGTATTCCAGATCATACATACTAAAGGAAATTATAAACGCAAAAACTCTGACTACCTGCAAAGCAAATCTCGCATCTACAATAAAAAGAACATGGAATCCTTTAAATCTTCCATCCGTACAGTGTCCTGGAATGAGGTCCTCAACTCATCAGATGTTAATGAAGCTTACCAGCTATTTTTAACTACATTTGAATAAATTCTCGAAGCTAGCTTTCCGCTAGTCACCGCTATGAAGAGTAACTCATCCAAAGGAAAACCCTGGATGACGGGTGAACTAAAAAAGTACTCTCATAAAAAAAACAAACTATATCGGAAAGCTATTAACAATCCTACTCCTGAAAATATTGTAAAATATAAGAAATATAAAAATAAATTTACTGCATCCTTAAGGAAGGTTAAAAAAACATATTATGCTGATAAGTTTACCCAAGCTGCCAATAACATTAAGTCAACCTGGAACCTCATCAACCAATTACTTAATCGAAAAAAACTACTGCTACTGTAGCTGTTGAAATGATGGGAAAGGATGGGCCTCTACATGACCAGAGTGACATAGCAGAGAGTTTTAATGATTTCTTTATAAACGTCAGTACTTCCATGGCTTCTAGCATGAAAGACTCAGATGTAAATCCCACAAGTTTCATGAAAGGCACATTTTCAACACTCTCTAGTTTTGATCCTCCCAGTTTAGAAGAGGTTCATGACATTGTTAGGAATTTAAAGGACTCTGCTCAGGGTCACGATGGTATTAAAAGCAGTCTTGTCAAAGAATCTATAGATTACATCATTCACCCTTTAACCCACATTCTCTCTTTATCCCTTCTGTCTGGTATTGTCCCTCGAGATCTTAAAATTGCCAAAGTTACTGCAATATTTAAATCAGGCAACACAAGAGATTTTGGCAACTATCGCCCAATATCTGTTCTACCCTGTTTTTCCAAAATCTTGGAAAAACTAGTCTATGCGAGAATCTCCGACCACTTGACGGTTAATAATGTTTTGTATAATCACCAATACGGGTTCCGCAAAAAACACTCAACTGAGCATGCATTGCTGCAACTTGTTAATACTGTTTCCTCTGCTCTAGATGGGAAAAAATTTGCCCTTGGTGTCTTTCTTGATTTGAGCAAAGCTTTTGACACTGTCGATCACAAAATCCTCATCGCAAAGCTTAACAGATATGGAATCCAGAATATTGCCCTCAACTGGCTGATCAGTTATCTAGATAATAGAGAACAGTTTGTTCATCTAAATGGTTCTTCATCCACTAAATCCAGTATTCTCTTTGGGGTCCCTCAGGGATCAATCCTCGGTCCTCTGTTATTCTTAATTTATATCAATGACTTACCTATGTCCTGTAATAACCTTCTCCCCTTGTTATTTGCTGATGACACCTGTTTCATAGATGTCCATGCTGACTTTGAGACTCTCATTGCCCGTGTGAATGATGAATTGTCCTCTGTTGCTAACTGGTTCCTGACTAATAAGCTAACTCTTAATATAAAAAAATGTAATTTCATGATCTTCAGCAACAAAAACAAATCTTATCCAAAAGAAAAAGCCAAAATATCAATCAATGGTACTGGAATCCCTCAAGTACCCCACACCACTTTTTTGGGTGTTGTTGTCGATGAGGGTCTAAAGTGGAACATTCATATCAGCGAGGTATGCAAAAGGTCAATAAAGAGCCTCGGTATAATTAATAAGGTCTGTCCCCTGATCAATCCCTCTGCTCATTTGTCTTTGTACTACAGCTTTCTATTTCCGTACATGAACTATTGTAACATTGTATGGTGTGCAACGTATCCAACTTACCTCAAGAAAATATTAATAATCCAGAAAAGATTCATAAGAATGATATCACGATCCAGCAAACACGAACCTTCTGCTCCTCTCTTTTCTAAATACTCCATCTTACCAATTGACAAACTCAATGTCCTTCACTCTTGTTTATATGTCCACAAATTCATCAATAACAAACAAGCCCTTCCTGAAACTTTCCGAAACTTTTTTACCTTTTCATCCGTACTCAACACGACAAAATGGCCATCTTCAGTTACCTTCATGTAGAACTTCTAGTCATCAGTCTAACATCACTTTCAGAGGTCCGAAACTGTGGAATAATCTTGATGCATCTCTAAAATCAATATCATCCTTTAACTCCTTTAAAATATCATTAAAATCTCATCTGATCATGTCTTAAATACATCATTATCTGTTATGATCATATCTCTTTCCTTTTTATAAATACTTTATTTTCTTTATCACTGTTTGCTGATTTGTCTGTGTTCCAGTCTGTGTACTCAGTTGTCTGCACCTTATGTTTTCTCTGACCTGACGGGAGTGGAACTCTGTATAAGCCTATCGGCTTCGTTCCCTCCTTGCACTGTTTTTAATCTGTGCTAAATAAATAAACAAACAAACAAACAAACTTGGCTGTCGTGTCTCACAGTCTTCTGTAAGATTTGTCGTCTCTTCTGGCTTGTCTTTGAGATGTGCAGCTTCTCTCATTGCATATCCCATGGGCGCATCTTCAGAGCATACCATATCGGACTTTCCGGCTCGTTCAAAAAATACCAGCCTGTGTTTGTAGTGCTGTATGAGCTTTTCCTTCAGTTTCCAGGATCTGTATTTAGTGTGCTGGACTGTCTCATCTTCTTCCTCAGACCTCAGTGTCTTCAGTATATCATCATAACTCTCAGTCAAGGAGTTTAGTGTCATCACTTTTATATCTTTGGAAAAAACTGTTTTATCAATAACTTCAGTGAGCTTAATAAAAACTTTGTCATGAATACTGATCTGATGGTCTGATTCTTTTTTCCGTCTGGCAGCTGTTATATTTAGCTCTGAAATGTAGTGTGCAAAGCAGCTTTAATGATATTTGGAATCATATGCAAAGAGATCTGGGTATGCAATAAGCCAATGTTGTATGACTTCATCTTGTCTTTCTGACGCAGCATGGAGGACCTTGTCTCTGGTACTTTTACCTGTACCAGTCACAATGGCAGTCAGTTTTTCCGGTCTTGTTCTGGCCTTCCCACAAATGAAACATTCTCTTCGTATGTCAAATAATTGGGTATCAACCCTACTCAGTCTTCTTGATGGGCCTGGTGCAGGTACCCTCTCCATATCAACATTTGCTACTTGTTGCTCATTGATATTGGTCTTACTGGAGTAGTTTGCTCTACATGACACACAATATGACACCTTTGTTTTGAGGGAAAGTATATCATCTCTATAAGGTGACAGGGTTTTATTCACGTCATCATCTCTCTGTTGAGCAACATGCAGTATGTGCTGAAGACCTTCTACTGTGGGCTTTTTGACATATGGCTCTTGTTTCTTTCCTTTTTCTAAATGTTTACCACAGATTATACATAGATTTGGATCCAATGTTTGCACATCACTCTCCATTCTGGTAAAATTGAAAAAAAGGAAAAGAAATATACTTAAGAATTTGGACATTATCTATGTATTACACATACAATGTACTGGTAACCATAATGTTACCAGTGAAACTAATTATGGATGTGTGACATTCTGATGAAACAGAGACATCTAGTATGGCTGCTCAGTGGGTTGATTAATTGTTAATAATTCAGCTAGACTCATATCTATTTCAATTAAGGCATGTCACTTTAAAGCTAGCTATACTTCAGTTAAGCTGGCTTACTCTCCAGCTAGCTAATTAGATAACTGATTTAGCAAGGTCTTTCTCACACATTCATTAATATTTTCAATAATTTACCTGTCAGTTTATGAAGAAGCCTATGAATGGGATACAATGCAGATAGAGCAGGGAGCCAAATGTTGTATGTCTTGACAGTAACCACCTCTTGAATTGACTGACTTGATGTTATGGTGTTAACAGTGAGCATCAAATGTGTGGAGCTTGGTTTTCCTCAGCCAGGTGAGCTAAATAATCGTTAGTGGTTCTAGTGTAGGCCTGCATTTTTCTCTGCTCTATTGTTGAAGTTGCATGTTTAGGAATAGTTTTATACATTTCTACTTCTACTCAAGTGAATTTGTTCATATAGATAAGTGAAGGAAAAAAAGATTAAAAAAGGGGGGGGGGGGGGGGGGGGTTATTTCCCAAAGTTATTTTTCTTTGCAGTAACAGTGAAATTGTGAACACCACATAATGAATTATGGAATGAAGATTTCATTTGGACTATATAATTTTCTTTATTTTCTTCTTTTCGGGACACCTCGTACCTTTTGTGAGATAACTCCAAGCTACCTATACGCAATAGGTATTGCTGGATTCAGCAGAACCACAGCTTTCAAACAAGCCCTCATATGTGTTGTTATGGCTTTCCATGACAAAGTCACTATAAAGTAAAGGGAATATTCTACATAGATTACATTCTCGCCTATTGTAGGTATGTGTTAAAATGACTATCTCCTATTTGTATTAAGATATGTACATTCTGTTTTTTTCGAGAATGTAGAGGGATATCCTGGCCTCCAGAATGCAAAATTTTAGACCTCCTGGAGCCTCCATAGTGAATCTACATGGGTTTATATGCATCAATCACCAGACGAACAAGCTTTATTTTTTGTTTGGGTGTGTATAACAATATATATCAATTTCACCACTTTTGCATTGAAATATTTTTATACAAGAATCCATTTCATGTAAAGGAGGCCTTAGAGATGAGGAAAGACTATGTTTTGTTTGGTTCTAATTCCGGTAGGGTATTTCGAAAACTAGAGCACTTTTGAGGTGTTTGTCACAGGCCTATGTATGTAGAGTTTTAACTGATAGGAAAATGTCATTAAGTGGAAATGCTGACACAGCATTTCCACTTATTGTTATTCTCCCATTTCTTAATTATTATTAAGTGGAAATGCTTAATCAGCATTTCAACTTATTGTTATCCTGTTCTTTATTAAGTGGAAATGCTGATTAAGTATTTCCACTTATTGTTATTCCTGTCGGCAATTTTCCTGCATTACGGAATGTTCAAATTAGCCCTTTTCTCACATTTTATTCACACAACAATCTGCAGCCATCAGTCCCACCCTGAAAAAACCTGGTTCAGACCCCAACAACTTCAATAACCTCCGCCCCATTTCCCACCTCCCCTTCATCTCCAAAATTCTAGAAAAAACGGTTGCCTCTCAACTCCACACCCATCTCACTCACAACAGTCTCTACGAACAGTTCCAGTCCGGTTTCCGTCCCCTCCATAGCACTGAAACAGCCCTCATCAAAATCACTAACAACCTCCTCATGGCAGCTGACTCCGGTTTAATCTCCATCCTCATTCTCCTTGATCTGAGTGCGGCCTCGACACCATCTCCCATTCCATCCTCCTCCATAGACTCTCCTCCATAGGCATTACTCACACCCCCCTTCTCTGGTTTCACTCATACCTCACTGGCCGCACTCAGTTCATCCAACTCAAATCATTCACCTCACAGCCCTCCCTTGTCACTTCAGGTGTGCCCCAGGGTTCTGTCCTAGGCCCCCTCCTCTTCATTATCTAGCTCCTTCCCCTTGGCAGCATCCTCCGTAAATTTGGCATACATTTTCATTGCTTCGCGGATGACACCCAGCTCTACCTCTCCAGCAAACCCAACGCCTCTCTTCCACCCTCACCCACTGCCTCTCAGAAATTAAATCCTGGTTCACGTCAAACTTCCTCAAACTCAACTCCGATAAAACAGAACTCCTCCTGGTCGGTACCAAGTCCGGTCTTTCCAAAGCTGACAGTTTCTCCCTCACCATAGACAACTCCACAGTGTCCCCTTCCCCTCAGGTTAAGAGTCTGGGTGTCATCCTCGACAGCTCACTATCTTTCCACTCTCACATCAGTAACATCACCTGGTCTGCATATTTCCACCTACGAAACATTAACCGTCTCCGTCCGTCACTCACTCCTCACACCACAGCTATCCTGGTCCACAGCCTTGTTACCTCCCACATAGACTACTGCAACTCACTCCTCCTCGGTGCCCCTCACAAATCCCTCCAACTTCAACTTGTCCAAAACTCCGCAGCCCGCATCATCACCAGAACCCCCTCCTTTCACCACATCACCCCTGTCCTTCAGCAGCTTCACTGGCTTCCTGTCAGGTCCAGAATCAACTACAAAATCCTTCTGTACACTTTCAAGGCCATCCATAACCTTGCCCCCCCTTACCTCTTCGATCTCCTCCACATCGTCACCCCCTCACACTCCCTCAGATCCTCCTCCTCCCTCCACCTCTCTGTGCGCTCTGCCCGGCTCAGCACCATGGGGAGCAGGACTTTCAGTCGCTCTGCCCCCAAACTCTGGAACTCTCTCCCCCCGGACCTCAGAAACATGGACTCACTACCCCACTTTAAATCCAAACTCAAAACACACCTTTTTCAAATTGCATATTCACTTTAACTGTCCACTTTCACACTTGTATGTTGTTTTTATTTATTTTAATTATGTTTCTAACTGTGTTTTTATGCCCTGTACAGTGTCCTTGAGTGTTCAGAAAGGCGCTTTTAAATAAAATGTATTATTATTATTATAACAACTTCAAAAGCCTTCAACGCCTCTATACTTCCACGTAGAAACTTCATTCCAAAAGCAAAATATTCACAAATTCGTCAGCATTATTCCACATCTTTAGCATTTTTAATCCCATTTGTACTTTTCAAACTATTAAGATTTGTTTCAGACTTTGTGTAGCGATTTGTAATGAGCCTCACAAGGCCGCACCAAAATAATACTGTAGCGATTGGAATTTATAATAAATGTCTGAAGATTAATAATCTCAAATTATGACATTTATGCACTCGTTGAAAGGGGCACCACCCACCCTTAATGGTGGGAAAATAAAGAAAACAAAAATTTAATTCAGAAATCAAACATCAAGTCAGTTTTAATTAATCAGTCTCATATCTTAAGTCGAAATTCTAATTTCAGGGACTTCACTTCTGGAAGAACACTAACAGTCAAGAACTGTTTATTACAGGATAAATGATGGTACAACACACATGCAATAAATGATGATAAGATAATGAGGATAAATAATAATAGGTGAATAAATAAAGATTCTGAGTCAGACTAGGAGCACTAAAGTTAATGATAGTGAGTGAATATGCGCTAACATATTAACCTACACTAACTTTGGTGTCGAGATAAACTCGGATGTGGATTTGGAGGAATCTAAGATTACCAGAATAAGAGGATATCTGAGTTATGAACGCATGAGACAGCATCAGCCCTGTCTGGAGCTCTGGAGGTTTGCATACTTAAGTGAGACTGGTCCTTGGAGAAGATGGAGCAGGTTCCGAAAGTCCGGGGCTACTGGCGGTTCGAGCGGTTCAGCTCAGAAGACGACTGAAGTCAGCCGAAGGATGAGCCAGGAGTTGCAGCACTCAGGCCCGAAGCAAAGCCAGCGCCTGTGGATCCTGTGGATGCTCGTTTGGGTACTTCTTTGGTCTCACTCAAAAACTCTGGCACAGAGGATGACCTGGGCCTGCTGGGTTGCGTTCAGAGGTGACTTTGAAATCACGCAGATAACTCATAAAAACGAGACTCGAGCAGAGTAAACTTTCAAAAATGGCTTCGCGAAATTAAAGAAAAATCAATCAAAGGCTTAATCTTGAATTGCTATGCATAAAAGTTGAAGTTTCAAAACTTGAACTAAGACGATTTTAGAGAAAAATCTACGTGAATCAACACGTGGCGTAAAACTTAGAAGACTAAGAAAAGTTCTAAGAGAAAACAAAGAAGAGGAGAGAAGAGGAAGGGTACAAGAGTACGGGGCATAAGAGAAGAGCAGATAAGAGCGTGAGCAACCCCACTTCACTGGTTTTATCTTCTCACACTGGGAGTGTCTCTGGCGTGTGTGTGTGTGTGTGGAGACAGAGGAGGGGTCGTGTGGTCTCCAAGCAGAGAGGACCTTGGATCTCTGATTATTTGATCTAACTTGTTCTTTTGGCTGGTAAAAGAGTCAGATCTGATACTCACTCACTATGATTAATATCATCGAATGCTAGGTTTCATGATAAATAATTTGATACTAAACACATATGAATGAAGTGTAGGATCATATCAAACATTCTCATTATGTTTTAAGTATCACATTGAACATGCTAAATTACTCTGAAATGAAACAGATAGTAACACATGGAAACTGTGAACAACAAAAGAGTAAACACATGTGAATGAACTTCATCATGATTAATAATGGATTCTAAATACTCACATTCAGGTTATTCAATGACATTATAACCACCTAATGGTTAAAAATACTAAATAAACAACTAAAATATAAACCAAACATTTCTAAACCATTTCTGTGTTCTTAGAGTAAAGTTATGATTCATAGTCAATAAATTTAACTCTTAAAAGTTCATGAAACAGTCTGAAAAGCTGTTGGTCTAAGGAAACTAAAGAATAAAGGATTTATTCTGTCAGAGTGATAACTCTGCTTCTGGAGCACATAGAAAAACGGGAAACATCTCATTTTAACACAAATTTCATGATTAGACAGATTAGTACATTGCTGAATGCATAGGATGTCATGATCAGTCATTTGTATTCTTTCACCAAAGGAATGTAGTCTTTATCAGTGTATGGTCGAGCAGGGTTTTACGACCGAGGTCTGGAGGTCAGTGTCCCCCCTTATCCTGGGGTCCGTATGTTCACACACTTTAAGACGGTAAATCTCAAATGGGAGATCTGGGTTGAAGCGTTAATGTTTATTTAGATGGTCAGCAATGGAGTCAGTTTGAAAGGTAATAAAAACTCTGTCTCTGTTCTCCGAATTGACCAATCGTGAAGAGTCAGAGGTTTAGTCAACCTCCGGTTGGGTCATTTAGGTAACCTGAAAGTGCAAACAAGTCTGGAAAAATGGGAAAAGGGCTTCAGACGTAGTCAACTTCAACCTCTTCTCATTCATTCATACTTCCACCTAGAAACTTCATTCAAACTTTAAAATATTCACACACCTTCAGACATTCACTCATTCATCCACCATCTTCATGGCATTCATACTTTTCTCACAGTGACAGTTTAAAAAGTCACAGGATTTTCTGACCTCTTCAGGATTTAACATTAGTGTGTATTGCACAGAATGTTGGCAGCTAGAGTGGGTGACGTCATCGCTAGAGTGAGACAGGCTGAAAATTTATCCTCAAAACTTTGTCTTTTTGGATTGTGGCAACTCCCTTCACTCTACACAGATAATAATTGGTACAGTGATGGCAAAACTTGTCACTCTTCATCTCAAAAATCATAGCCATAGGACACACACAGTGGCCTGGGCAGAACCCAACTGCCACAGACATCCCCAACATTTCTCCAGCTTTCTCCATTGACTCCAATATAAACCTGAGAGAAGCATTTTCAGAGGAAACACAAACCGGACATGTTTTTAACTTGTCCTAGTGAAGACATTTTTGGCTCCACAAACACAAAAAAAAGACACACAGCTGACTGGAAGGCTGCTTCTAACGGCTGTGTGAGACACATGAAGCCAGGCTCAGTACACAGAGTACTGGGGATTACATTTAAAACCTTTTTTGTCAAAATTTGGCATCCATCTCCTCCCACAAACTTTGAGCTACAGAAACCATGCAGGGCTCAAAAAATTGAGCTCATTGAGGACATTATGGGGTCTAATCAGGATTTTTATTAATTTGAATTTTCATCATTTTTCAATTTCTCATTGATTACGCATTATTTAATTCTTAAAAGAAATTCAAACTCATTCAAAATGATTTAAACCTTTCTGAATCTTCAAACCTCTCATACTACCAGATTATGATCATTTTAATTTTCCAGTTTTAAATAATTTCATTCTTCATTTTTTTAAAAAATTCCAGCTCATTTAAACTAATTCAAACCTTTCTGATACTTCAAGCCTTTCCCATACTTCAGGGCTTCTAATCATTTTTATTTTAAGATGTTTATTTTTTTTTAAAATTTATTATTCAAGCACTATTCAATGCATTTAGGCCCGAACTACACGAAGGCGGATATATTTCAAACCGCACATATTTATGTCCGATTAGGCCTCCCTACCACACCAAAATGGGAGTTTGGAGCACTCAAACCGGATAAATCTGAATCCGGAAAAACAAGTGGAGAAATAAAAAAATATCCGTATCTCGTATCCATAGTGGATTCGTGTGGTTGGACTTGTACGGATCGATGACGTCAAACCGCAGCTCGCGCATGTGAATTAAAAACAAAAATGATAACAAGGATGGCGGACATACAGGATATTCTTTACGTTTGTTTTGCCCTTTTGGGGCTAATTTCAGCCTTTCAAGTGAACCTTATTTTATACAATTACATCCACCAGTCAGCCTGCTCACAGAGGCGTCTGCTGCGCCCAATACTTTTTTTGGAGAGCAATCGTAACGTTAACGTTAGGCGTTTTAAAGTTCGCCAGAAGCGTAAGTTTTGGGTCAAACCCGGTCGGACCAGCAAGTGGTGGGACAACTTCGTTAGAGGGGCTGTGCCTGCAGATGAATGGAAGCTAAACTTTCGTATGTCAAAGCCATCGCTGGTTTCCAACGCCGAGCTCCTACGCCCTCACATTGAAGGGCAAGTTACGGTGATGTGAGCCCCAGTGGATGTTTTGACGAAGGTAGCCTGTACACTATACTACCTCAGTGACCAAGGCAGAATGAGGAAGACAGCGAATTCCTTTGGCTTGTCCCAACAAAGTGTCTCCAAGATCGTTCGACAGGTAAGTGCTCATAACGGAAGCCACTGGCACTGTTTTCAGTCATTTTGTTACCATGCATGTTGTCTAACGTTAGTTGCTATGTAGCAACACTAGGCAATCTACTCTAGCTAACGTGACTTGTAGACTTGATAAGGCAGGAGAGGAATAGAGTGAGAGGGGAAGTTATGGAGAAGGAAAGAGTGAGTGAAGGAGCAGTAACGTGTGTGTGTGTGTGAGTGAGAGAGAGAGAGAGACAGACAAGGAGTACATTTTTGTTGTCCTCTTTTACATTGCCTCTGAATGTACTTTCTGTATTTAATCATCTGTACTTGAAACTAATTCATTCATTCCTTCATTCAGGTTTGCACAGCCATAACTGTTCATTTGGGGCCAACCTACATCAAGTTGCCGTTCTCCGAAGCAGAGGTAGAAGAACTTGTCACTGAGTTTTACCATGCCCATGGTATGCCCCAGTGCCTTGGTGCGGTTGATGGGACTCATATAGACATTAAGGAGCCATTCAGTAACTCCACGGACTACCTCAACAGAAAAACGAAGCATTCACTGAACGTCCAAGCCACATGCAACTACAAATATCAGTTCATTGATGTTGTCGTGAAATGGCCAGGTGGTGTTCATGATGCCAGGGTTTTTGCTAATTCCCAGTTGAACTCTCATTTTAAGACTGGCCGTATCCCTCCCTGCAAACAACGGATTGTGGAGGATGAAGACCCTATACCTGTATTCCTTCTAGGAGACCCGGCATATCTATTAATGCCGTATCTAATGAAGGAGTATGCGAGTGGTGGGTGCAATCCCCAAGAGAAGTATTTTGGTTTGTCTCTGTGCCATGCCCGAATGGTAATAGAATGTTCTTTTGGGCGATTGAAGGCAAGGTTTGGGGCACTTAGAAAGACTATGGATATAAACATAAATGACCTCCCTTTTGTGATTTATGCATGTTTTGTTTTACATAACTATTGTGAGGTCTGTAAAGAGTCCATTGATGAAGCCAGAGTGCAGTAAGCCATACAGTTCGACAAGGAATTTCAGCCTCTCCCAGAGATTAACCGTTATCGCACAGACCATAACGAAGTACAAGGGAAGAGAGTCAGGAGGGTGCTCACCAAGTTCCTTGACCCTTAACATGCCATTGTGGGATGTAAAATGCCAGATGGGAGAGAGGGAAGAGATGTTGGAAGTGAGAAGAGTCGAGAGTGCCATTAATACTTGATTTTGTATATATTTTGTTCATTAAATTTGTTTTCTATTCATTTTGTTAGACCTGTAGAGGGAAGGATTCAACATGTGAATCTACAATCTGAGCCAAAAACAGGTCATACAGTTGAACTGAAGTTTTTTGTAAATATTTCATGTCTATGCCAAAACATGACAAAAATAAATGCCAGGTTTTGTACAAAATTCTCTTCCCCATTTACTTGTCACACACTTCATGTACCTGCTTTGCCCCTGCAACCAGCCTGTCACAGCCATCCCCACTATCCCATCAACATTTGATGACTGTAATGGGTCTTGTGTCCATTATGAGAAATTACTGTCTAATTTCCAATCAAACAGCTGCAATGTCAAATCTGAACATCCCGACAACTCTTGATTGAAGTAACAAGAAATCCCAATGGATCACAATTACTCAAGAGCTGTGGGGCAGTTCAGATTTTAAAATACTGATGTTTGACTGGAAATTAGAAAGTAATTGCTGCTGTCTGCTGGAGACTTTCTCTTAAGTTTGTCATGCCTGTAGTTCTTAAGTTTGGCCTGAAAGAATATAGAATAAGTTATTTAAAACAATGACTACCATCATTCCCTTAATCCAGTGGTTCTCAAACCTTTTTTGAGCCGTGCACCCCTTGCATGTTTTGAATAATCCTCAAGTACCCCTAAAATGTGCACATTCTGTACATTTTCTAAAAAATAATAGCCTACTTGAATGAATGGCACTGTAATAATGGTTGAGAACCACTGCTTATCCCTATTGTCTCCTACCTCCTGTGCTCCTTTACCCATCTCTGGTCCCCTGTCCCATCTAGTAAAAAATATAAAGTATATTAGTCCTTGAGCCGGACCAGATGTCGGTACCACTTGGGTGGGCAAAACCTTACATATACTAAATTGTTTTTAGGGTCAATATAAGTAAATTAAAATATGATAGACTTTTCATAGGGGTAGCTTTTTATATTTTTTCTCATTTTGTTATTTTCCTCAATAGGCAAATTTTTGTTAACTCCAAAAGCAACACAGAAAGTCAAAAGCACATTAAAAGTCATACTCTTTTTGGGTCACACTGCTCTTTTCTATAAATGAATCAAACCTGTGTCTAATTAAATGAGTTGATGAAGTGGGTGTGGCCCAATTTGATGGTGGAGCAGTTCTTTCAGGTATCATAGCACTTGAGCCAAGAACCAAAATTTCACATATCGGTACCACCTGGGTGGGCAAATTCTAGTTGTGATTTTTTTATTGCTATACATGCCTACAATAAGTTTTTATATGATAGACCTTGGTAACTGGTAGCTTTATTGTAGTTATCACTCATTGAAGTAATAGAGTGCAGCTGTTAAAAAACGAAAAATCGCCTTCCTTCAAAATTAGCTCTCTTTCATTTTAACCTCTCATTTAGGTGTGTTTGAACTATTGGCTAGCCATAGAGACTTGTAATAACCCCCTAAGTAGTATTTCAAGTAATTTATCTAATACAGGTGTGTATATATAAACTTCAATTAGCCAATCGTCAGGTCTAAATCAAGGTCTAAATTAAGGATATTTTTTGACTTAGAAGTAGAAGTAAAGTAAATGCAGACTAATAGCATTATAATAACACAACTTCAATATGACACTGACATATTTTAAATACAAAATAAGATCTACTGATGTATACACTCTACACTGTGTGCACAATTATTAGGCAAGTGAGTATTTTGATCATATCATCATTTTTATGCATATTTTCCAACTCCAAGCTGTATAAACTTGAATGTTTATTGGATATAAGCATATCAGGTAATGTGTATTAGTGTAATGAGGGAGGCCGGGGCCTAAGGAGATCAAAACCCTATATCAAGGTGTGCATAATTATTAGGCAGCTTCTTTTCCTCAGGTAAAATGGGCCAAAAAAGAGATTTAAATGACTCTGAAAAGTCAAAAATTGTAAAGTCTTTCAGAGGGATGCAGCACTCTTGAAATTGCTTAGATATTTGGGCATGATCACAGAACCATCAAACATTTTGATGCAAATAGTCAACAGGGTTGCAAGAAGTGTGTTAAGAAAAAAAGACGCAAATTAACTGCCAAAGATTTGAGAAGACTCAAACGTAAAGGTACCAGGAACCCAATATCCTCCGGTGCTGTCATATTCCAGAACTGCAACCTACCTGGAGTGCCCAGAAGTACAAGGTGTTCAGTGCTCAGAGACATGGCCAAAGTAAGGAAGGCTGAAATCTGACCACCACTGAACAAGACACAAGTTGAAACGTCAAGACTGGGCCAAGAAATATCTGAAGAGAGATTTTTCAAAGGTTTTATGGACTGATGGGATGAGAGTGACTCTTGACGGACCAGATGGATGGACCCGTGGCTGGATCAGTAATGGGCACAGAGCTCCACTTCGAATCAGACACCAGCAAGGTTGAGGCGGGGTACCGGTATAGGCTGGTATTATTAAAGATGAGCTAGCTGGACCTTTTCGAGTTGAAGATGGACTTAAAATCAACTCCCAATGTAAGGAGTGGGATGTGAAAAATGGTGATTGGTAAATAATTATGGATAAGTTGCAGATTCTGTTAATCGGGTGAGAAGACTGACGGTGACAAGTTTAAAAACAGAGGGCGGAGATGCCAGTGCATGTACAAAGGTTTTATTTTGACAGAGCTTTTTGACAGAGCTTATTCTTAAAACGACAGTAAGACCAACTGGTAAAAACCTGATAAAATGGTTTAAATTGGGGCAACAGAGGTTAAAAAGCCAACAGGAATATTGTTTATAAAAACGAGAAGTCTCTGTTTTAAAAAGAGGGATTCAGCCAGACCCAAAGTGGTGCACAGGGTTGGAGGAGGGACTTGTAGCTAGTGTCTTTTTCCAGTGCCTGTTCCTTCCGACATGGAGGCCACCTGGAACACACGAAATTAATGCCAGTATGTTTGTCCCACAAAATCGACACTCTCCTTGAGATGCCACACCAGAACACTACTAATTATCCCGAAGGGTACTTACACACCAGGCAGAGCGTTGAAGCCCTGCCGCTGCGAGTGTGACGTATTGTAGCGTTCTGGGTTTTCTGTCGTCTTCTCCCCCGCTCGAAGTTCCCGGTCTTCTGTGGCGTCTGCTGCCTTCTCCTACCAAGCTCCGTTTCCCGTCATCGTGGCTCCACTGTCTTTTGACCCTTTCCTTTTTCCGGTCGGGAACCTCCTCCTCCGCCGTGATTGGGTCTGTGGGGAGAACGGGAGAACAGGTGCAGTGCATTTGCTCAAGTGGTGCGTTCACAGGCAGTGGGAAATTTAAAACACAACTAAAAACACAAGAGAATAAAAACATGCAATGATAAAACTCTAAAATATACACACTAAACAATCAATAAAATCAGTCCCAACTGTCCTGTGACACCAAACCTACTGCCAGTTTTGAGAAGACACTTTCTTCAAGCAGTGGTACAGGCAAAAGTCTGCATCTTTCAAGAAAACCATGATATTTATGCAGGACAATGCTCCATTGCATGCAACAAAGTACTCCACTATGTGGCTCGACAGTAAAGGCCTTAAAAACGAAAGAATAATGACATGGCCTCCTTCTTCACCTGACCTAAACCCTGTTGAGAACTTGTGGGCCCTTCTTAAACTGGAAATTTACAGTGAAGGAAGACAGTACACCTCTCTGAACAGGGTCTGGAACAGTGTCTGGGAGGCTTTGGTTGCTGCAACACAAAAAGTTGATTGTCAACAGATCAAGAAACCGAAAGACTCCATGAATGGAAAGCTTATGACTGTTATTGAAAAGAAGGGTAGTTACATTGGTCACTGATTTTTTTTTTTTTAATTTGAACAATTTTTATTTGTAAATTGAGTTGTTTGTTTATCATTCTCACTTTAACAAGTGAAAATAAACAAGTGAGATGGAAAATTTTTCATTTTTAATTTAGTTGCATAATAATTCTAAACACTAATAGCTGCCCCCAATAATTGTGCACACATAGATATTCTCCTAAGGAAGCCAAAATCTCACTTTTACTCCCTTAAATATTAAAGTTTGAGGTTTATTAACATTTTGGATTGACTGAGAGCACTGTAGTTGTTCAAAAATAAAATGTATCCTCAAAAATACAACTTGCCTAATAATTGTGCACACAGTGTATACAATCATCTGAGAAAAACTCCATTCCTCCACCAAGAACTTGATGAGACTGGCTTTGTTGGCAGGGCTGAAGAGAAGTTTCCTCCACTGCTGAATATTGTGGCCAGAAACAATGTTTCTGAACTGGATCCCCATGTCTGCACCTCTGTTTAGTCTTTCTGAATTTTTGATTGACATGTCCTTGTAAACGTCAAAGACAACATCAATCCTTTCACTATCACCACCTTCATGCAGGACCTTGGCTAAAGTTGAGTCCAGCCAGCTTACACCATGTCAAGATTGCCTATTAATGCACCAGATGCGGTCTTGCAGTTGCTATCCTGCAAATGTGTGAGGACATGCAAACCACCAGACTGCACCTGTCTCAGCAATGGGCTGAAGTGCACAAACCCGTGCAAATTACAAACTTGTGCCAACCAATACAGTGAGGAAGAGCCCCTTGCACACCCGGCAGACTCAGATGTAGAATAAGATACAGATACTTATGTCGATTACTGATGTTGATTAATAAATGATGACCAAAGGGAGCTATGTTAACAGACCCACTGTGACTCAGTGACAGTATTATGTACTAAGCCAAAACTTGACATATTTGCTGTCACTGTTCCTTATGGAAAGAATAGGACTTTGAATAGGAATTTGAGTTTTTCTCAGATGATTGTATAGAGTGTATACATCAGTAGATCTTATTTTGTTGCTAATGTCTTCTTGCCCTGCACCAGCCAGGATGATTGTATATTGAGTGCCTGCATTTAAAATATGTCAGTGTTATATTAAAGTTGTGTTATTATAATGCTATTAGTCTGCATTTATTTTACTTCTACTTCTATGTCAAAAATATCCTCAATTTAGACCTTGATTTAGACCTGACAATTGGCTAATTGAAGCTTATATATACACACCTGTATTAGATAAATTACTTGAAATACTACTTAGGGGGTTATTACAAGTCTCTATGGCTAGCCAATAGTTCAAACACACCTAAATGAGAGGTTAAAATGAAAGAAAGCTAATTTTGAAGGAAGGCGATTTTTCGTTTTTTAACAGCTGCACTCTATTACTTCAATGAGTGATAACTACAATAAAGCTACCAGTTACCAAGGTCTATCATATAAAAACTTATTGTAGGCATGTTTAGCAATAAAAAAATCACAACTAGAATTTGCCCACCCAGGTGGTACCGATATGTGAAATTTTGGTTCTTGGCTCAAGTACTATATGGCAACACATAGTAACCCATCTATTCTGAGCAATAGGTACACTACAACATGAATTAGCCTAGTAGCTCTGAAGTTCTAAACAGCCACTAGCTTAGCTTATGACAACACCCCAATACATTGTGCATCAATTTAAACAAGGTTTGAGACCGTAAAAACAATGTTTACCTGAAGTAACTGCCTTCTTTCCTTCACAACCGAGGTGGATGGGTCCAACTCTGCAGCAGGAGACACACTCTCAGATGACTCGCCACTACCGTCGGGATCCTCTGGCTCTTGGTCCACACTAGTAACGTCAAGTGACGAGTCGGTCTCCTCTATCATGTCCGTTGACTCGATGCCACTAGATAAGGCTACGGTTGCTGGAGAGCCCCCCCAGATCTGTTCACAAAGCTCGAAAAATATCATCACTACTCGGCCGTGTCCACTTCTACGTCCAGAATCAACAGCTTTGCGATAGTTGCCTTTTATATTCTTCACTTTGCTAAGCAGTATGGCCTTGCTCAGTGACTCCTTCGGATGGGGAAAATCTTTACCCACTTTCTCAGCTTCCTTCTTCTCAGGATATTGTTCCAAAAACTCATCGGTTATGTCCATGTACTTCGTGTACACAGACTCCCAGTCTACGCTTTCCTGGGCTTTTAGTGGTCTTGTAGTTTAATGTAACATTAAGGAGAAGTTCGACTTCATCATCTGTCCAGACGAAGGAATTTTTCTCTTTACTTGCGTTCTTCCCTGCCATGTCTCTTTCTTTCTAAGTTTGTTATAGCCGCCACACCGTCAAATGGACCCGACGCACTAGCGTAGCTTCCGCAAACAATGCATGACACATGACGCTGTTACGATTCATCGGCCAATCAGGTAGCTTTGTTCCTGAATTTTTTTTAAGCGGCACCAGATAGGATTGAGTTTGAAGGCTACGTGTGGACGCAGATATTTTTTTGAACTAACACGTGTGGACAGATACATTTATTTAGACGGGAGTACAAAAATATCCAGATAAATAAATATCCATATACAGTGGTGGCCAAAATTATTAGAACACCTGACAGAAATGAAAACATTGAACTTTTTTTTGCCTCCAAAACATGATTTCCTTTCAAAATGTTCATGATGCATGCAGATGGTTGCTCTGAGCACAACAAATATCAGATTAAGTGAGTCCTACTGTTTTTATCCACTTTTAACTTTAATATTTGGTATGTCCACCTTTTGCAGCAATTACAGCAGCACATCTCTCTGGCATAGTGTCAATATATTTCTTGAGAACTTGAACACTAATATTATCCCATGCCTTCTGCAACTCAAGCCAAAGGCTTTCCTTTGAATGTACAATAGATCTGTCCAGTTTATTTTCCAACTCGCCCCAAATTTGCTCAATGGGGTTGAGGTCCGGACTTTGAGGGGGCCAGTCCATCATTTTCAATGTTCCAGCAGATTCCTTCTGTCGCAGGTAGTTCCGGCAATACTTAGAAGAATGTTTAGGGTCGTTGTCCTCTTGGAAAATAAATCCAGGCCCAATAAGACGACTCCCAGATGGTACTCCGTGCCTCACCAGAATGTTGTGGTATACTTTCTTATCCATGATGCCATCAATTTTCACTAAGTCACCTGTTCCTGAGGCTGCAATGGCACCCCACACCATAATACTACCCCCTCCGTGTTTAACTGTTGGCAAGAGACACTCATTTTTATATCTCTCCCCCTCCCTCCGTCGAACATACACTCTTCGCTTGTTGCCAAACTGTTCAAATTTGGACTCATCAGTCCACAACACTTTATACCAATCTCCCTTTGTCCATTTCTTGTGTTCTTTAGCGAATTTCAGGCGTTTCACTCTATTTTTCTCTCTCAGTAATGGTTTCTTTGCTGCTATTCTGCCAACAAGTCCTTCTTCTCCCAGTTTCCGACGCACAGTTCTTGAAGACACTGTTGCACCATTAGTCATTGTGGTGTTGATCTCGTCACGCAGTTCTCGTGAGGTCTTTCTTCGGTCCTTAAGACTGAGAATTTTGAGATGCTTCACTTGTCTGTCAGAAAGTTTCTTTTTTCTACCTCTCCCCTTTCGGTTCTGGTGTGAATTGGTGGCATCATGGCGGTCTAAAGTGTACTTTACAGTGCTTGGACTGCATCTCAAGTCCTTGGCTATGCGGCGGTAACTCCAGCCAGCATCAAAAAGGGCCTTTATTCGAACCCGCTGCTCACTCGTTAATTCCTTCTTCACCTTAGCCATGTTCAAAGAGCAACATGAGCTTCAAGACTACTTCTAGAGGCTTTGAATTTATACCAATTGGTGGTGTGGCCTCAGTGACAAAACCCTCATGTTACCAATCACTTAATGAGCAGGATAGGCCTTGTACGTTCAAAAGAATCACACAGCTGTGTCCTAAGACTTGCATCACCATCAATTTAACCACGATCACACCTGAGAAGGATTACACAAGTAATTTGGCTGCTTCTGTGAAGGAACATGATTGTGTGACACTGACAGGCCTTGCTTGTTTTTTGTATGGAAAATGACCTAAATCTCCTTATGATGGCTCTATTCTAGGGTTTATAGAGCAAAATGATGACTTTGTAGATATTTAATTTGTTTTATGGGTATTTTAATGGCCAACTCAACAAAAACAACTGAAAATTCTTAAATATGCCAAGTGTTCTAATAATTTTGGCCACCACTGTACGTGTAGTTCGGGCCTTAATTGAGTTCATTCAAATTCATTTAAATCTTCCTGATATTTCATACCTTTTTACTACAAGACCACTAAAAGATTGCGAAGCATTCCCACTATATGTTATTCATATCTTTATTTTTATTGAGTGGGATTGCAAAGCATGATGATTAAGCATTTCCACTTATTGTTATTCCTGTCGGCCATTTTTTTTATTAAGTGGAAATGCTGATTAAGCATTTCCACTTAATAAAGTAGTAGTCGAAGTAGTAGTCTAAGTAGTATGTAGCATGTCCGAATTGGCCACCGGAGCGAGTAGCATGCTACTTCAGATACTACTTCAGATACTAGACACGCCCACATTGTAGGTTGGTCGCGGTGCATCCTACGGGCATGCTACTGACCCAAAATGCACCGCGGGCTTCTTCTTTGTCCTCTTAAAAGTTGTAGAAGTGCATGTGATGCTAGCGCCCCCAGCTGCTGCCTATTTAGATGCGTCGCGAACGCCGGCTGGCCACAGCAGCGCGCACCATGTCTGAGCAGCAGCAGCAGGCAGGACCGCAGCAGTACAGATGTAAGTTTCATGTAACTTCGCACACTGTCCTAAAAAATGTGTGGTTGTATCTCTTTGTCATGTCATGGTGTCATATTTGCCCAAGTAATCATTTTATGAGCAAATATGTGGTGACATCATGGAGGTTATGCTCACTTATTCCATCATTAAACTGCACAGCTGCAGTAATCAGGCAGATCTCACTGAACAAACGATCACCACGTGAGTGAATGAAGGCTAAAAGTAATGGAAAAGCTACTTTGTGAATTTGTAAAGCAGTGCAGGAATATAATACAGCAGCATCCATCACTTGCACAATTACCATTCAAAGAGTCTAAAACTGTAACATGACTTGGAGGGGACAGAGAGCAGACCCAAACATTCATCAGCTTTCTGTCTTCTACCACTTTTAGCCAAGGTTTTTTCATTCCAGTAGCATACTTACCTCACAATACACTGTGTTTGGCCTTCAGGAGGTTCTTGCAGGACAGCCCCCCGCCACACATCACGGCTGAGAGTGCCAAAAAAAAATGGGACAACCTGAAAGACAAATATCGAGTATGTTGGGCCAACATCTGTCATCAACAGTCAATCCTTATGTTAATTATGAAGGTTAATCTTGATACTCCCATGTCCTACAGAGACTGAAAGCTCCCAAGACAGGCGTCAGCACCGAGGGTGGTGAGGATACAGCAGCATCCTGGCCATGGTTCGAGCTGATGAATGAGGCTTTGGGGGAGCGGCCCAACATCACGCCACCATGCGTCATTGCATCAGCTGGCCAGGATGCTGGTGCATCCACATCACCCTCAGCCACGGTGATGCCTGCAGAAACACCCTGCAGCTCCCCATCAACCTCCAGCTCCACCACACGGCCCTCCAGCTCCACCACACTGCCCTCCACGCCCACAGAGGCTTCCACCTCCACCGCTGCTCCACGCTCCACCTCACCACCCGCCAACCCTCGGAGCCAGGGCAGCTCTCCACCGAGGAGGGGGAGGAGGAGGAGGAGGAGGCCAGCGTTAGAGGACATGTGGCAGGAGGTGGAGGACAGATTGGAGGAGCAGGAGAGGGAGGCTGAAGCCAGGGAGGAGAGGAGGTGGAGGGAGTGGATGGACAGAGAGGAGAGAAGAGACAGGGAAAGGGAGGAAAGGGAAGAAAGAAGAGAGAGGGAAAGGGAGCAAAGGGAAGAAAGAAGAGAGAGGGAAAGACAGGAGAGGGAGGACAGAAGGGACAGGGAGGCTCGGGAGAGGGATGAGCGCTTTTTAAACATTTTGGACCTGCTGGCCAGGAGGCAGTAGGAGTTTTGTGTTAGAGGATTTCAGTTTGTGTATGTTTAATGTAGGCAATTGCTTTATGTTTGAGTAGGGGGCCCAACATTTTAAATGTTACGGTTTTTTGTTCTTAAATGCCTCTGTTTCTGTTATGGCACTATGAGTTTTCCTGAAGACTATTCGCCTCTCATCCAAGAAGCTTGATTTGATTTGATTTGATTTAGCACATTTGTTAAAAGGACAATACAATTGTAACAATAGAGTAAAACATAGAAAATAAAGTGCCAGGGAGAGGCAAAGAAGCCCACAGGGCTTATGTGAGGCCTCTACCTATGTAGAACATACAATTTTAAGAGCATACATTAATAGTAGGAAAATGTTAAAAATATATAGTTGGCTTGTAAAAATAGATTCTGGTAACAGAGAAATACCTTAAAAGACACTGAAGAAATTAGTGGTTAATCAGTAACCTTGTGTTGCAGCTTGTATGAAAGGTGCTATATAAATAAAGTTTGATTTGATTTGATTTGATAAATCCTTCAACCTGTTTTAGTATACATTCAAGGATGACAGTTTTAAACCCTTTGACTGTTTATCGTAGAGAGTAGTACCTCTGTATTTCAGGGAAAACTGACCTTGACTAGTGTGGTAAAGAGGAATGTTGTAGATGTTTAGAAACGTGGATGACTATATGTACCTGAGCGGTCTCAGACCAATCTTTGTTACGCTTCTGTTATGCTTCTGTTACACTTTGCTACACTTGTGGCATGATGAAGCTGTAACCCAGATCTGTAACCAGTAAAGCTTGTCAAAATGATAATTTGTGTGGACCTTCCATTTTTTAATGTGTGAACGTGGGCTAGGCATCCTTACACTGAAGGATATAAATGCTGTGTAGAAATGAGTTATACGTACTGGCCCAGAAAATATTGCAATAAGTTGAAATATAAGGTAAGCAGACATTCTTGGTTAAGTAACCCACTTATTTTTCTGATGACACCAAATGATCTTGCCACTTTGTTACAAACAAGGTTGATTTGTTCTTTCCAGCTGATTTTCTCATCAACTAGAACTACTAGGAATTTAACCTGGCTAACTTGTGTTATTTTTGTTTTGTTTATAATAATTTTACATTAATTTTTACAATAATTTTTATTGCCGCTAAAGACAATAAAATTAGTCTTTTCCACGTTTAGGGAAAGCTTGTTTGCTTGAAACCATTTAATAATTTGTTCCATGTCTTTGTTCGCCTCTGAAATAAGAGAATGAAAGTCTGAGCTTCTTCAGTTCTAAATGCTGGTGGGGACAGGAGAGTAGTTAACCTCTGTGAGTCATAACAACTAAAGAAAGGAGTTTGAAGCCTACTGGCTCCAAGCCCTGGGAGGGTTGTCAACATTTGTTGGTGTGTTGTTAGTGACTCAGGTGAGTCAACAATCAGTGAAACTAGTCAGGGTGATATATGCTGTTAGGAAACGTGCCACACACAGCATCATTCTATGGCAAAACTTCTTTAGAATAAAATGGTTTGGTCCAAGCAATGTGACGTGTCAATTGTATCTGTGTTATAAAGGTTGGTGGAGGTGATTAGCAGATCTGACCTAAGCAGATGCACTTCTCTCAGTGTAGTTTCGGGTCATCAAGAACCACACCACGGTCAGGAGCATTTTTCCCCAAAAAATATTTAATCATACAGAACAGAAATGAATCATACAGAGCCGAAACGCAGCATAAGTAATTGCCCTATTTGAGGCCGCACATTTAAAGGAAACAAATATACCAAAAGACAGTGTCAACAGCACCGTGCCCAGCATTCTGCAGTTTTTGGATGACATAGTTAACCTGCACTCCAACCTTTGCCTCTAACATCACACTTTTGCTGCTCTCACTGCTGCCATTGACAACAAAGTGGACCCGAGACTGGCGAAAGGACAGAGAAGTAGCAGCAACAACAAAAACAAAACAACAATCAACAATAATCATGGTCCTGGAGGACAGCAACCACAACCTCTGGGGCAGACACTGCTGCAGCCAGTCGGTCCCGCAGGTTTTCCCCTAAAGCCGCATCAGAACAGGGAGGCGGTCCATCTTCCTCAGGGGGAGGCTCGGCCTCGAAGAGGTCACCGTTGTCCATGCAGATGTTGTGGAGGATGGCACAACAGGTGACCACCTCCGATGCAAATGCTGGCTTCACCTCAAGGGCCCTGAGGAAGATGGACCGCCAACGAGCCTTCATCATTCGGAAGGCCCGCTCGATAATGTTCCGTGCCTTGCCGTGAATGGTGTTGAACCGGGCCTGCACGGGGTTGGCCACGATTTCCCGGTAAGTCATCAGGAGGAAGATGGGGGCACCCAAACTAGGGTAGTCTCCATCCCCCAGGATGCACCAGCCCTCCGGTAGGGTTGGGTATCGAGAATCGAGTATCGATGGGGACCGGGACTAAAATTTCGATTCTTCCGGTATAGTTCAAATATTAAAATTTCAATTCCAAGTTTCGATGCCGGAGTCCGCCGACCGGAAGAAATAGCCGCCGAAAATCAACGAAGAAGAAGCCGCTTAACACCAACGAGGACGGAGCGTATGAGACGAAGCCACACAGAAAGTGAAGAGAGACAGAGAGAGAAAGTACATTACAACCCACAGCAATGCAGCCGCTGTGGGTTACAAATCACTCTCTCTCTGTCTCTCTCCTCTCTGTGTGAATTCGTCTCATACGCTCCGTCCTCGTTGGTGTTTGGCGGCTTCTTCTTCATTGGTCAAAAGTTTGGCTAACTGTAGCAGGAAGAATGAACTCTTATCTCAATGCAACATTAGCAATACAGTTATATCATGCAAAGGACGGTAAACGACCAACATGAGTAAACACCTCAGGATTCACGGAGGAGAAATACCCGAGTGCTCGTCTTTGACGCGCTTCGCCGGTGTTGTGCCATAGAATGCACACCTGCTGTTGAATGCATCCCTGACAGGAGCGCGATTGAGAGTACACAACAAGGCGAAACAATCCAAGTTTTCCTTACCGTTGGACGGAATCTAAAGCGTGTGCCTTTAATGATTTCATTGAGGCTATTCAGATATGCTGAAAACAACAGCCCTCTGATTCGTAATATTTACTCTCCCGAAAATATGATGTTCTCTACCTTAACAGCTTACTGTACAGTTTATATACCCAAGTACACCTCTGTGTGTGCATTTTTGAGACACATAAAAACAAAACAAAAGTTTTGACATGTCATGATCTAATACTTGTGTTTTTTTTAAATATGAGATCATTGTCTTCCACATTAAGAAGCTAATCAGTGGAGGGGAGGCATTCTACGGCAGGGGTGCATTCTACAGCACAACACCTGTCTTCCGCTAACCAGTCAGGATCAGATAAGTGAAACAACAAATTACTTCTGTCCACTGCTAACATTGAAACGGTAAACAAATTGTACTGAGTATGGTGGGTCAACTTAAATATCCAACTAACGTTAGCCCTTGTACTTTTTCATAGACAAACGACCTGACAACAAAAATTGATATTTATATACTGATTGAAAATAGCCCTGTGAGAAATTCATAGTAAAGTTCTTAAAAAGTTAATATGATTTAAAAATTCATGGAGAAGTTCAGAAATTTCATCAAAAAAGAAGAACTCCGGTTAGCGCCCTCATTCAAACCATGCTTTTTTTTTTTAGGATATCCTGCCTTTTAAAAGAATCGAAATAAAGAATCGATAGGAATTGAAATCGAAATGAGGAATCGAAATTGGAATCGTTCAAAATCAAACGATACCCAACACTACCCTCCGGTGGGTACAGCTGTCTGTAGTAGACCGGGCTGTTCCGCAGTACACGGGCATCGTGAACGGAGCCAGGGAAGCCCACAAACAAATCAATAAACCTCCCCTGGTGGTCACAGATGGCCTGGAGCTAAATAGAATGGAAGAGCTTACGGTTTAGGAAGTCCAGCTGATGTGCTGCAGGTGGCTTGATGTGGACGTGGCAGCCATCAATTGCCCCGACCACGGTCCGCAGAGCTGGACTTCCCCCGAGGCGGCTGAAGCCAGCAGCAATGTCCTCCAGCTGGTCAGGGTTGGGGAGGCGGATGGTGCGGCCCAGGATGCCCACGACAGCCTTGGTCACCCTGTGCGCAATATCGTGCACAGTGGACTTAGGGATGTTGCAGGCTGCAGCCACCACCCTGTAGGACGCTGCATGGGCCAGCCAAAAAACGAACAGCAGCACCTCTATGTCCTTTGGCCAGCCTTGGGTCACGCTAAGGTCGATGGCAGCAGTAAGGGCAGCAAGCGAGTGACGAGAGAGGCGAAGGTTGGGGCGCAGGTCAACAGTGTCATCCAAAAACTGACGAATGATGGGCATGGTGCTGTTGAGCAGAGTGTATGGCCCGTGTGGGCCATGCTGAAAAATCAAAGAAACCACATAATGTCATGTGTAGAACAGAGTTCCTTTTGCGGTGTCTGGACAAACACCAGAAAAGACTAGTAACAAAAAATACATGACAGAGCTTCTAGTTCAAGCACTTCATGTCATAGCTTACCTGTGGCAGTGACTCCAGGAATCTCCACATAGAAAGTGCAGGGCTCGCCGCCGCCTTGCACTTTCTATGTGGAGCAGCATCAATGCGGTTGCAGGCATGCTGGCTTTTCTCTGAAGATGTGCCACCTCCGTGATGGCACTACTATATTTCCACTCATTGTTAATGAGTAACAGGTGCCTTCTGGTGATGATGCCTAATGCTTAATCAGCATTTCCACTTACTGTTATTCTCCTGTTTCTTTAATCTTATTATTCTTCCGCCGTTTTTTGCCGCGCTTCTCCTTCAAACTTTGTCCGATTTCAACCATTCAAACTTTAAACTATTCCACTCCATCAGGACATTATTGCGTCTTTTTTTCTTTTTTCTACCCTTTATACTTTTTGATATTTTTAACTTTTTGTGCAAAATTTGTACCATTAGAAATGAATGGGGAAATCTTGAAATTCTACCTTTTCCTCTTCCACCTTCTGAGCCTTATAACTTCAGCATACTTTCACCTAGAGACCTCATTTTTGCTTTAAAATGTTCATTAACTTGTCGACTATTAAAGTTGTACTCAGTTTTTTGATATCTTTTACAATTTTTCCACAATTTAGCTTTAAGCAACTTGTGGTTTTCAGCAAATTTTCAGGCTTTATAATTGGTGTGTATTGGAGAGGCTAGAGTGATGACGTCATCGCTAGAGTGGACAGCTCGTCTTTTTTCGACAGAACCTCGCTCGAATATATCGCTCCCACGCCCACAAATTTCACTCCACAGCCATAAAAAATACATCAAAATGGAGGTATATGTGTCCTGCTTCTCACAAAAGAGGTTTCAAATCATTAAATCCTACCTCTTTGCCAGCAGGTGACCAAATGTCCAAATAGGCGGAAATCTCTCCCATTAGCCCTAATGTAATTTTTCTCCAAGAAAATCCTTATCACCACTCAGGCTCAGACATTTTTAACTCGCTGTTGTGGCCACATTTTTTGGAGTACAGACATGAAAAACACATAATTGTGTTCATGAAGGGCGGAGGATTCGTACGATGTTCTTATTTTCATTCTGGGATTTAAGGAAATCACGCTATGTGAAGAAGTTCTGAGGCCCTAAATTCACTGCAGTTCAGCTGCTTCTCTTTCAAACAGTAGGTCAGTTAATGCCTTTGATCTCACAGCTGTTTAGGATGCAGTCATTAACTAGACACACACACACAATCTGACAATGTGTGTCTGTGTCCAAAAGACCTGCATGTACACACAGTTAATATGTGTCTGCTTCACCACCTATCTCCACCCACAAACTTTGAGCTACAGAAACTATTCTGGGCTTCAAAAATTCGTCTCATTGAAGATATTATGGGGTGTTTTGAGGATAATGATATTAAATTGTATTCATGTGTTCAGCAGAGTCTTGTGGTTCTCACAAGGATGAGCGTCAGGGCCTACTTGGAGTCCTGTTTCCTTAGCTTCAAGCCTTCTTTCTCCTGCTATAGTTATGCATCTACAGTCCCCATGGCAACCAATTTGTGCAAATGGAGACACACAGCTGACTGGAAAGCTGCTTCTAAGGGCCATATGAGACACATGAAGCCAGGCTCAGTACACATAGCACTGGGGGTGACATTTAGAACCCTTTCATAGAGCGCTTGACAAACCTCAGCTCCTATCTCCTCACATGAACTTTGACCTACAGAAACCATTCAGGGCTTTAACATTTAAGCTCATTGAGGACATTATGGGGTGTATTCAGGATTTTTATTCATTTACATTTTTCACATTTTAAAGTCACTCAGTGATGATTTATCATTTAATTTTTCAAACTAATTTAAACTCATTCAAACTGATTCAAACCTTTCTAATACTTAAGAAACTTTGATACTTGAGGAATTTTAATTATTAAAATTTTCCCTGTTTAGATTAGTTTTAATATTTATGCATTATTCCATCCTTCAACCAAAATCCCACCTCTAGTCCTACAACTACTAATGTCAATCAAACTAGTACTTTCCCCTCTACTTCAAATGCTATTGCTCTTATTTCTACTTTCCCTACTGCTGCTATTGCTACTATTTCTACTTTCTCTACTACTTTGACTTATACTTCTTTTATTCTCAAACTACTTCTACTGCTTACATGACTACTAGTATCACTACTTGACTTCATATCATACTACTTCTAGTACTAGTACTACCACTTAAACTAATGCCACTTCTCACCTTCCTGGCTTTTAAGGCAATTTCCTTCTTCATTCCAACTTCGTGCAATTTTAGACATTTTTCTAGCCTCTTTCAGCATGAATAAAATTTCCTTTTATAGAGCATATTCATACTATTTGTCCTTCAACCAATTAAACAATTATCCAACTTATATTTCTTTTTCACCCCTTCAACAGCTTTAACATTTATACCTTTCTCCATGTTTTATTAGCAGTTTAGCATTGCTTTTTCAGGTTTCAGCACTCAGCATTTCCACGCATTTTCTGCAAGGAAATGCAATTTTTAAATGGAAATGCTGATTAAGCATTTCCACTTATTGTTATTCTCCCGTTTCTTTAATCTTATTATTCTTCCGCCGATTTTTGCCGCTTTTCAACTCCTTCAAACTTTGTGCTATTTCAACCATTCAAACTTTAAATTGTTCGGCTCCTTCAGGACATGTGTGCTTGTATTTTTTACTTTTCTACCCTTTATACTTTTTGGTTTGTTTTTTTTTAACTTTTTGTGCCAAAATTTTAACATTGAAGTCAATGGGGAAATCTTCCAATTCTTCCTTTTATTCTTCCACCTTCTAAGCCTTATAACTTCAGCATACTTTCACCTAGATACCTCATTTTTGCTTTAAAATGTTCATTGTCTTGTCGACTAATGATGTTGTTTTTTGTGCTATCTTCTACAGTTTTCCCACAATTTAGCTTTAAGCAACTCATTGTTTTCAGCAAATTTCAGGCTTTATAATGGGTGTGTATTGGAGAGGCTAGAGTGATGATTTAAAAGCTAGAGTGCAGACCTCCTCTCTGATCGACAGAACCTCGCTCGAATATATCGCTCCCACGCCCACAAATTTCACTCCACAGCCATAAAAAATACATCAAAATGGAGGTATATGTGTCCTGCTTCTCACAAAAGAGGTTTCAAATCATTAAATCCTACCCCTTGGCCAGCAGGTGACCAACTGTCCAAATAGGCGGAAATCTCTCCCATTAGCCCTAATGTATTTTTTCTCCAAGAAAATCCTTATCGCCACTCAGGCTCAGTCTTTTTTAACTCGCTGTTGTGGCCACATTTTTCGGAGTACAGACATGAAAAACACATCATTGTGTTCATGAAGGGCGGAGAATTCGTATGATGTTCTTATTTTCATTCTGGGATTTAAGGAAATCACGCTATGTGAAGAAGTTCAGAGGCCCTAAATTCACTGCAGTTCAGCACCTCTCAGTCAAACAATAGGTCAGTTAATGCCTTTGATCTCACAGCTGTTCAGGATGCAATCATTAACGAGACACACACACACATTTTTGTACTTGTTGCTTTGTGAGGTCTACCTTGCAGTTCAACTGCTTGTACACACAGTTAATATGTGTCTGCTTCACCACCTATCTCCACCCACAAACTTTGAGCTACAGAAACCATTCTGGGCTTCAAAAATTCAGCTCATTGAAGATATTAGGGGGTGTTTTGAGGATTGTGATAATAAATTGTATTCATGTGTTCAGCAGTCTTGTGGTTCTCACAAGCTCCTTATCATGAATATATACAGAGGATGAGCGTCAGGGCCTACTTGGAGTCCTGTTTCCTTAGCGTAAAGCCTTCTTTCTCCTGCTATAGTTATGCATCCAAGGTCCCCATGGCAACCAATTTGTGCACCTGGAGACACACAGCTGACTGGAAAGCTGCTTCTAAGGGCCATATGAGACACATGAAACCAGGCTTAGTACACATAGCACTGGGGATGACACTTAAAACCCTTTCCTAGAGCGCTTGAAAAAACTTCAGCCCCTGTCTCCTCACATGACCTTTGACCTACAGAAACCATTCAGGGCTTTAAAATTTAAGCTCATTGAGGACATTATGGGGTGTATTCAGGATTTATATTCATTTAAATTTTTCACATTTCTAAGTCACTCAGTGATGATTTATCATTTAATTTTTCAAACTAATTTAAACTCATTCAAACCTTTCTAATACTTAAAAACGTTCTAATACTTGAGGATTTTTAATTATTTAAATTTTCCATGTTTTAAATTAGTTTTAATATTTATGCATTATTCCATCCTTCAAACTAAATCCTACCTCAAGTATTTCAACTACTGCTTATGTCAATTAAACGAGAACTTTCCCCTCTACTTCAACTGCTATTGCTCCTATTTCTACTTTCTCTACTGCTGCTATTGCTACTATTTCTACTTTCTTTACTACTTTGACTTACACTTCTTTTATTCTCAAACTACTTCTACTGCTGACATGACTACTAGTATCACGACTTGACTTCTTATCATACTACTTCTAGTACTACAACTTAAACTTATGCCACTTCTCACCTTCCTGCCTTTTAAGGCAATTTCCTTCTTCATTCAAACTTTGTGCAATTTTAGACATTTTTCTAGCCTCTTTCAGCATGAATAAAATTTCCTTTTATAGAGCATATTCATACTATTTGTCCTTCAACCAATTAAACCATTATCCAACTTATATTTCTTTTTCACCCCTTCAACAGCTTTAACATTTATACCTTTCTCCGTGTTTTATTAGCAGTTTAGCATTGTTTTCAGGTTTCAGCACTCAGCATTTCCACGCATTTTCTGCAAGGAAATGCAATTTTTCAGTGGCTGTGTCCGAAAGGGCATACTGCCTACTATCTACTTACCTACTCAAGCAGTAGCTACTGCCTACTGACTACTCAAAGATGATTTGAGTATGCCGCGGCTGCCCGAGCGTTTACATACAGATGCATACTAAATACCCCAGAATGCATTTCGTGCCGGCCGGACGCATCGCCGGAAAAATTTAAATAGTCCTACCACAAGCTACACAGAATGACTGCATTCCGGACAAATTATATAAATTCATTCAATAATAATATTTTCTTAGCGATAAAGTGTTTACATCACGATTATGAGCCCAGTTGTTTGAAATAGTGGCTGTTTGTAAATTTGTCTCGGCGTTTTCGGAGACCGAAGCGTCCGCTTGGTGGGTGTTTGCGTCTATTTTCCGTAAACACCGGGCAGCAGCAGCTCCCCCTTCATGTTTCCAAATTATTGCGAAGTGTTTTCATAATCAACATCTACACGACACAAACCGGGCGGCAGTGGATGAAAAAAATCACACAAACATCTGTGTATCCATAGTGATAATGCTATACACCACCTGCTGGCCGTGTGATGAGCAAAATGACCAACACACAACATAATTATTATGACCTTGTTCGGTTATTCCTTGGCAAATACATCATTTCCCGACTAAATTATTTTCATGTACAATGATAATTTCAGAAACCATCAGATTTTCAACCACAAGTAAGAATTAGTAAAGCTCACATACATTGTCAACTGGAAACTCCCCCGTTTGTATATTCTGAACCATGTGCTCTCTACCAATAATAATTTTTATTAATCAGAGGTCTGAGCTTAATATGAGTGACCACTTTGATGATGCATTCAGAGATGAGAAGATGCTCAAACTTGATGTAATAAATACATCTTTAATAGACACTTAAATAAATAAAGTCAATTCATACGAATAGTTAAAAACATTACCTATAATCCTAATTTAAAATACAAATAAATCCGGTAAAAAGATCAAAATATGATAAAATGATAAAATTGTGTAATGTATACTGACTAAATATTGTTTATCTATTTACATATATATATAACTATTATTGCAATCACATGCCATCTATTTCTTCTCAGCCTCGGGAAAGAGGGCCATATTACCAGCTGAGGTGCGCAATGCATTGTGGGGCAGAAGCAGTACGTGAAGCAAGCTCCGTTCCACACTCAGAAATCGAAGCCGATTGAGTATACATCCGGGCATTTCTCGCATACACAAAATTCGCATACTGTACGGTGTGAACGCACTGCCTACTCAATTCAGAGGCGGGGTTAGTAGGAGTAGTAGGAGTAGTATGCCATTTCAGACACAGCCAATGTGTGTGCATGTGTCTGTGTCTAAAAGACCTGCATGTACACACAGTTATTATGTGTCTGCATAACCACCTATCTCCACCCACAAACTTTGAGCTACAGAAACCATTCTGGGCTTCAAAAATTCAGCTCATTGAGGACATTGTGGGGTGTATTTAGGATTTTATTAATTAATTGTATCAATATGTTCAGCAGAGTCGTGGGGTTTTCACAAGCTCCTTATCATGAATATATACAGGGGTTGACCATCAGGGCCTAGCTGGAGAGCCATTTCCTCAGCTTCAAGCCTCCTCTCTCCTGCTGCAGTGTTACATCTTCCTTCGCCATAGCAACCAATTAGTGCGCCTGGAGACACACAGCTGACTGGAAAGCTGCTTCTAACAGCCATATGAGACACATGAAACCAGGCTTAGTACACAGAGCACTGAGTGTTACATTTAAAACCCTTCACGAGAGCGGTTGCCATCTTCGGCCCCTATCTTCTCCCACAAACTTTGAGCTACATAAACCATTCAGGGCTCCAAAGATTCAGCTCATTGAGGACATTATGGGCTGTTTTTAAGATTTTGTTAATAAATTGTATCAATGTGTTCAGTAGAGTCTTGCGGTTCTCACAACCTCCTTATCATGAATATAGCTGTTACAGAGGATGAGCATAGTCTGGGATTATGTTTCTCAGCTTCAAGACTCCTTTATCCTGCATCTACGGTCCCCATAGCAACCAATTAGTGCACCTGGAGACACACAGCTGACTGGACTGCTTCTTACAGCCATATGAGACACATGAAACCAGGCTCAGTACACAGAGCACTGAGTGTTGCATTTAAAACCCCTTACGAGAGCGCTTGCCATCTTCGGCCCCTATCTTCTCCCACAAACTTTGAGCTACAGAAACCATTCTGGGCTTCAAAAATTCAGCTCATTGAGGACATTATGGGGTGTATTTAGAATTTTGTTAATTAATTGTATCAATATGTTCAGCAGAGTCGTGGGGTTCTCACAATTTTGTTATCATGAATGTAGCCATTACAGAGAATAAGCTTCAGGGCATAGTTTTGGATTTTTTTTCTCAGCTTCAAGCCTTCTTTCTCCTGCTGTAGTTATGCATATACCGTTCCCATGGCAACCAATTAGTGCACCTGGAGACACACAGCTGACTGGAAAGCTGCTTCTAACTAGCCTGGCTGGGCCATCCAGTTGCGTGAATCACTTGCCGTTCCTTCCCACAATAGTCTGGACTTAGGCCAATTGGGAGTGAGTACATTCCTTAGGAGTGCAGAGATTCTGTCCATTAACTCCCATGTTAAATTATGGCCAAGAAACCCTGACAATCACTACAGCGAAGCCGTTTTTTAACTCGCTGTTGTGGCCACATTTTTTACACTATGGACATAAAAAATACATCATTATGTTCATGAGAGTGTCAGGACTCCTAAGATCAGGGGTGGGCAATTATTTTTCCAAAGGGGCCAAATGAGAAGCAGAAAATATTGTGGAGGGCCGGGCCAAAAGTTTAAACTCTATTCTACGTATAAATTTTAATTATAAATTGAAAGCAGTAAATGGCATTGTTTACACTAGCTGGTAAGTGTCTGTATTATTATTAGGTAATGAGAAAGTGAAGGTTTTTTTTTTCACAAAAAAAATTATTTTCTTCAGTGCAGTTTTCAAAACAATGGTAAACATGAAACATTTGTAACGCTTTTTTTAAATTACATTAACCTTAAAACACTTCTTTCTATTAAAACAGCACAATGCCAAATATCATTAACAAGATAAAACACTTCTTTCTATTAAAACAGCACAATGCCAAATATCATTAACAAGATAAAACACTTCTTTCTATTAAAACAGCACAATGCCAAATATCATGAACAAGATATGTCACATTTTTTCTTTTCACAGATTGTAAAACTGTGTAGGCAAAAAGTAAAAATGAACCCATTTTAGTATTCTTTTCTTGTTCAGTGAGAGAAATCTAGCCTTTGCTGGGCTTTAACAAGTGCATCAAAGCCAGGCTGAATGTCTGAGGTGGAGATGCGAAGTACAGCTGACAGATGATCATCAGTAACAGAGGATCTGAACCTGGATTTGGTAAACTTAATTACTGAGAATGTTTGTTCACATATGTAGGTAGATCCAAACAGAACCAACATCTTCTGAGCATGTCTCCTGTTTGCAAAGTTCTCCTCCTTGAGAGATGAGTAGAACTCCAGCAGAGATGCTGACTTAAAGTGCTCTGCCAGTACTGTGTCAGACTGCAGGTCAATGAGCTCTAGCTGAACGTCACTGGGTGCAAGGTGCATTATCTACTCTGCAGGTAGAGGGAGAGGAAACCAGGTGCATTTCATCCTCAACGTTTTTACAAAACTCTTGAATCTGTTTTCAGGTCCCAAAATCTTTTTAGCACTTTGCCCAGACTGAGCCATCTGACAGCTGTGTGGTACCTGATGTCACCATGTTCATTCTCATGCTCCTCTGAAATGCAACAAACTGCCTGTGATTTAATGCTCGTGCCCTGATAAAGTTAACCGTTTTGGTTACAACATTAATAACATGGTTAAGTTTTAGCACAGACCTGCAAAACGCATGCTGATGTATAATACAATGTATCAACACCAACTTGTGCTCTGAGCCGAGTTCAGTCACTTTATCTTGGATCTGTTTCAAAAGTCCGACATTTTTCCTAGTCAAATTCTGACAACCATCAGTAGTGACACCTACCAGTTTGTCCCATTTTAGTCCAAGCTTGACCATGCATGCATCTACCTCCTTGAACAGATCGCTCCCCATTGTGGTTCCTTTTATTGACCTCAATGCTGCCAGCTCCTCCGTAATCTTGAAGTCCTGCCTTATTCCTCGGAGAAATACCAGTAACTGGGCAGTGTCACGGACATCACAGCTCTCATCCAAAGCCACAGAGAAAAAGTGAAAACTTTCAACTCCACTTTTTAGCTGAAGTTTGAGATCCTCTGCGATGCCTTCTACCCTTCTGGTGACAGTTCGCCTGGACAGCGGGACTTTTTCAAATGCTTCTTTATTCTCAGGGCATATTAGCGTGGCAGAGTCCACCAAGCACTCCTTCACAAACTCACCATCTGAGAATTGCTTACAGTTTTTAGCGATTTTGTGGGATATTACAAAGCTGGTCTTGGTCGCTGCATCCCGGGCTGTGTGTAGCTTGGTAAAATAGCCTTGTTGTTTTGCTAGCTTTGCTAGCAAGTCTTCCGAAATTCGCGCTCTCTCAGCCTTCGCCAAGTGTCTGTATTTCTCTGCGTGTTTTGTCTCATAATGCCGACTCAAATTGTACTCCTTGAACACAGCGACCTGCTCACCACAAACTAAACAGACGGGTTTACTGCCGACTTCAGTAAACAAATATTAAGTGCTCCAAATCTTCTTGAAATTTTGGCCTTCAGCGTCCACCTTTCTTTTTTTTAACATGCCCGTACATCGTTGAGGGGTGACAATGGCCGCTAATCATGTGCACTGATTGACTTGTTTTACGGATTACATATACGACGTCGTAGGCTACGTTCACTGTACATAAATAAACAGGCTTCAAAGTAAAAGCATTAGTTTTTACATCCTATTGTTTGTCCATATGTGTGCATTACTGTCTTTCTGTCAGTAGAAAATACACCCCCAATATTTACTTTGTTAAAGTTCTTGTCTTTAACTCTTTTAACATGCTACCTCTTATTCTTCTACTTCTGCTTTTCTTTACTTTCTACATTTTTACAATTACTTTAAGCTGTTTCATACTTTCTGCATTCGTATGTAGGGGAGTAACTGAAGCACGGCAATAGATGGTGCTGTTCTGCATTCTCAAGTTACTATGGTTGGATGCTGCAGACTGCAGAAATCTGTTTTACTATTTGTACATTTAATGGGAATATTGTTACACATTCTTATCATCAGTTCAGTTTATTCACATAAGTCAGATACATTTTTCACTTAGGCTATTAGACAATTTGTAAATTAATCCAACTAATTTACCTTCAGCTATACTACAATTCTTCCATTCATACAATTTCTTCCTCTTCTACTCCACCCTTTCAACAGTTTTTCCATTCATACCTTCCTTAATTTTTTATTGTCAGTATAGCATTGCTTTTCCGGCTTTCAGCACTCAGCATTTCCACACATTTTCTGCAAGGAAATGCAATATTTCTCGTTTTACTAAATACCTTCAACAGCAGGAGTAGCTCTGTGCTTCAGGATAAAATGGACTAGAATTTAAGAGTAATTGAACAAGTTAAGTTGGAAAATGAAACATATTCCTATTGTAATCCAGTTAAAACGCCTGACAGAAAAACAGCTGCAGCTCTCTGACAGGTGATGTGATGTGTTTAGGTGTTGTTTAATTGCTAAGATACAGACATGTAACAGTAGCCTATCATAACAAACAACACGAATCTGAATGTTGTCTTTTCTCAGCAAATAACTGTACATATTTTATTATGTTTCACTGTCACTTTCACTCATGTTTATTTTCACTTTTTGATTTTAAAGTTGAAACTCCTGCAATATATTACCGCATTAACTGCATCTGGAATTAATAGTCTCATTAATATACTTGTATATATAAAATACAATTATAATATAATTGTAGTCGTAGGTGTGAGTGTGACATACAGGTGAGTAACTCCTGAACCTGTCCGACAAAAAGGTTTTTCTTGATTACTGTTGCCACCTAGTGGAAGTCAGAGTGAACATCAGCATGCAAATGCGTTCACATTTTTATATCAAGTCTCTATTCACATGTATGCACTATTGTTGAAGTTGCATGTTTAGGAATAGTTTTATACATTTCTAATTCTACTCAAGTGAATTTGTTCATATTTTATACCCTTGATAAGTGAAGGAAAAAAAAGAAAAAAAAAAGGGGGGGGGGGGGGGGCACCTTTTTACTTTCTAGCTTCATTTTGAATGGATGAAACTCCTGCAATATATTACCGCATGTATATTAGAAGTTCAGGATCGAAAAAATCTCAAAAAATTGTTTGCATCTTGAATCGAAAATTGGGATCTTTCAATCTATATGAGAAAAAAGTCAGGAAAAAATTCAGTGGCCCTAATTCTCCTCAGTTTAATTCTTATAGCACAACGTCAGTCAAACATGGTGTTCAGTTTACAAATTAAACTATTATTATTATTATTATTATTATTATTATTATTATTATTATGCATTCAATGTGAGTGATTATCCTTTATGAAAAGCCAGAGTAAATTTTAATAAATCCATGAAAGAGGAAAAATATTCACAGAAGAAGAAAAGGACAGTGGGATTATCATAAAAGTTTTATTATGAAGGTACTGTAGGTTTAAAAGCAGTATAAAAGCATTGCAAATATAAAATGTGATAAGATTAAAGTGAAAAAATAAGTGACAGCAGAGATCAGAAAGAAGGAAAGGCACAGAAATGAGTCTTTGGTGGATAAATCAATGAAAATAAATAATTTACAGACTTAAAACTGAATTCTAAAGGAATTCTGTGGAAAAACACTGATTTTCATCAAGCACAGAGGGCCAGTTCACACAAACCACAGAGACAGAGACTATGTCAGGCGACAAAATCTAATGTGATCAAGGAAAGTTCACACAAATTTGGACTTCGTTACCATGGCAATAACAAGAGACAGACTGGTGGATGAAGTGTCCTAAGGGAGGCAATTTAATGAAAAAAGACGGGCCAATTACATACCCCTGAGGAACTCCAGAGAAGACTAATATGACTGAGACCAACACAAGAGCCTCAAAGTGTTTTGTTTGCACTGGGTTTTACCTGTCAGGCTGCCTCAGCTTTTTCCTGTTACACTGACTGGCAGGAAACTGAAGTATTCTTGGAAAATAAACTTTTTTAAGACAAGGAAATAGGAACACAATTTTTAAGTATTGATATTTTGGAATATTTTGGATTATTTACAAAAAAATTACTGAAAGGTAAAAAATATTTAACAAAAATACCAAAATAATTTACGACCACAGAAAAAGAATAAATAAAATGCTAAAAATTAAACGCAAACATTTCATTAAATATCAAAAATTTTGAAAAAAACACATTTAACTTTAAGCTAAAATATTTTACTTATTGTTGATTTTTTTTACAAATTGCAAAATATTTCTCCTTGGAAGAAATACAAAAATATTTCATGAAATAAGAAAATGAAAGACCAAAAAATTTTTTTTAGAAGAAAATCAAATATTTTTCTATTCATGAGATTTTTTTAGCAGCTTTCATAGAAATTTTCATTCATTACTATATGAAATATCTCTACATTAAATACTTTTTTTAAAATGGAAGTTTGTTTATCAAAATATATCTGTGTTTTTGTGACACGTTTTGTGTTTAAGTGATATGTCACCAAGATGACTCCACAGGCCACTGTAGTAAGAAGATTTTTTTGACAATTTTAAAACACAGACATAACGTTAGATCATGTATAAAAGAAAAAGTATTTAAAAACTTTATAAAAAAAAAGTCTGTCTCTATGATTTATGTGAACTGACCCTTTACCTTCTTACTCTGGGCGCTTGTTTCCATAGAAACATTTTTGACTGACAGAAGAGATGGGATGCTGTGATTGGCTGATTGTCTAAAGCATTTTTAAAGTGACCAACAAGCTACAGTGTGATTTTTTTTCACCTGTGTGAGGGAGGGCAGAGTGGGCGGAGCCTATGACTCAGGTGTTGCCAAGCAGAAAGTTTAGGTCTCATCAGGCAAGACTTCTGTTTTCTCTTATTTCAGCTTGAGTATAATCCTTGTCTGTGATTGGCTGTCCTGTGAGTTGAGCCCCACCCACCTGGCAGGGAGTTCCTGCACACACCTGTTGCAGAGGGTCAGAGTGTGTGTTCCCGTGGAGGCAGTGTGTGCAGCACCTGGTCTAGGAGCTGCAGGGCTCGGTGCAGGTGGACCTCCAGCCAGCAGGGGGTGTCCTTGATGCTCTGACGTGGGTAATCACACCCCCATCCTTTCACGAAGCTCAGACGGATGATACACAACCTGCGCAGGTCGTCCACACCTAGACCTGTAGCTGAGCACACACCTGAAGAAACAGGAAGTCACCAGAACAACACGTGGGTCAGTTTGGGAGCTGTGTAAGGACTCCTCCTGTGTTCAGCAATCTGCAGTTCCCATGCAAATGTAAAGCTCTTTCACCATCTGTTATCTGCCAACTATAATGAACAAAAATATAAACGCCCCATGTCAAATATAAGAGTTTTATGGACATTTGGGTTACGCAATATGTAGAGAAACTCAAAGTATATTTTCAGTAATTACTGACCTTCATATCAGCATTGATAACATCGTGGTATGGCCATTTGTAGCGGATTGACAGTCCTTCGAACATGATAGGGGTCAGGTTGAGGAATTTGATTTCAGTATCTTGTGTGTCCGCCAGTTGCGTCTCTCAGAGCAACACATCTTCTTCGCATGGAGTTGATCAGATTGTCTATGGTGGCCTGTGGAATGTTATTCCATTCCTCCTGGAGTGCTACACGGAGCTGACCCACATTGCCTGGAACTGGAACACAGTCCCGGACACGCCTATCCAGAACATCCCAAAGTTGCTCTATTGGGGACATGTCTGGCGAATATGCAGGCCAGTCCAGAACTTCAATGTCCTCTGTTTGAAGGAATTCCATGCAGATGCGGGCAACATGAGGTTGGGCATTGTCATGTTGAAAGGTGATGTCATGCTGGCGCACAAACGGCACAACAATTGGGGTGAGAATCTTGTCCCAATATCTTTGTGCATTAAGTTTCCCTTCAATGAAGTGCAATGGTGTTCTATGCCCGTATGTGATGCCTGACCACACCATAATGCCACCACCTCCATGGGCAACCCTGGGCATAACATTTGCATCTGCAAACCTTTCACCCACGCATCGCCAGACACGCTGTCTTCCATCTGCATGATACAACTGGAACCTGGATTCATCCGTGAACATCACTCTTCTCCAGCATGCCGAGGGCCATTGGACATGTGCATTCGCCCATGCGAGTCAGTTCCTACGCCAGACAGCAGTGAGATCCAGACCACGGTGAGGGCACCGAGCATGCAAGTTGGCTCTCGTAGGCGGTTACGGACATTCTGAGATGTGATGCGTCTGTTGTGCAGGCCAATAGTCTCATCAACTGTGTGTGTCGCTGGTCTTAGCTGATCCTGCAGATGTACGAGCCGGATGTGGCGATCTTGTACTGGAGTGGTCACACGTGGCCGACAAGGATGAGGTCGATTTGCAGTAGTGCCAGTTTGTTGGAAATGAACTCTTAAACGGCCTGTGGTCCGATAATGGACATTGAGCTGTGCAGCTACTGCTCTGGTGGACGTCCCTGCATCCAACATGCCAATGGCACGCTCCCGCATAACTTGCGACATCTGAGGCATTATGACTTGTGAAAAAATTTGACATTTTGGGGTGGCCTTTTATTGTCCCCAGTCCAAGTATTGTCCAGCTGTTGCTCATTTTGTCCGATCACCCACTGGACATGCCTCATCCATGCACTGATTAAAAAAACAACTCACTGAGTAATGCTCACTGACAGCAAGTTGGATTAAAAATTATACACAAATCATATCTCTACCATCACAAAAATGGCAACAAGACCTGTCAATTGATCCTGATGCCGACTTCTGGACCCAAATCTGTAAAAACATTTATCTTATGACTAAAAATGCCAACTTACAACTCAAACAATATAAGATACTTCACAGAACTCACTACACTGGACAAAAAATGTTTAAAATGGGCTTCACCTCAGAAATTTGCACCCACTGCACTTAAAACTGTCCTGACACCTACACTCACGCCATCTGGCACTGCACCCCAATCAAACACTTCTGGAAACTAGTCACCGAGTCATTATCACACTTCATGGGCTGCCGCATCCCTTTATCCCCCTCACTCTGCCTTCTAGGAGACTTCACTCACAATAGACAAAACAAACAATAGACAAAACAAACAATAACCTTCTTCTCGTGGCCCTAACTATCACCAAGAAAACTATCCTGATGAACTGGAAATCTAGGAACACCATTCATCTGGCTCACTGGAAAAACCTGCTCATTGACCACATCTCTCTTGAATATACACTCACCTCTCCCCATACCACAGCAGAATCTTAATCCCCCTGCTCCGCTGTCATCAACTTCTTAACAACCCAAACACCCCAATTTCCATCCGGCCAAATTATCATTATTATTATTATTTTTTTTTATTTCATATATATATATATATATATATATATATATATATATATATATATACAGTGCCTTGCGAAAGTATTCGGCCCCCTTGAACCTTTCAACCTTTCGCCACATTTCAGGCTTCAAACATAAAGATATAAAATTTAAATTTTTTGTCAAGAATCAACAACAAGTGGGACACAATCGTGAAGTGGAACGAAATTTATTGGATAATTTAAACTTTTTTAACAAATAAAAAACTGAAAAGTGGGGCGTGCAATATTATTCGGCCCCTTTACTTTCAGTGCAGCAAACTCACTCCAGAAGTTCAGTGAGGATCTCTGAATGATCCAATGTTGTCCTTAATGACTGATGATGATAAATAGAATCCACCTGTGTGTAATCAAGTCTCCGTATAAATGCACCTGCTCTGTGATAGTCTCAAGGTTCTGTTTAAAGTGCAGAGAGCAGACCAAGGAACACACCAGGCAGGTCCGAGATACTGTTGTGGAGAAGTTTAAAGCTGGATTTGGATACAAAAAGATTTCTCAAGCTTTAAACATCTCAAGGAGCACTGTGCAAGCAATCATATTGAAATGGAAGGAGTATCAGACCACTGCAAATCTACCAAGACCCGGCCGTCCCTCCAAACTTTCATCTCAAACAAGGAGAAGACTGATCAGATGCAGCCAAGAGGCCCATGATCACTCTGGATGAACTGCAGAGATCTACAGCTGAGGTGGGAGAGTCTGTCCACAGGACAACAATCAGTTGTACACTGCACAAATCTGGCCTTTATGGAAGAGTGGCAAGAAGAAAGCCATTTCTCAAAGATATCCATAAAAAGTCTCGTTTAAAGTTTGCCACGAGCCACCTGGGAGACACACCAAACATGTGGAAGAAGGTGCTCTGGTCAGATGAAACCAAAATCGAACTTTTTGGCCACAATGTAAAACGATATGTTTGGCGTAAAAGCAACACAGCTCATCACCCTGAACACACCATCCCCACTGTCAAACATGGTGGTGGCAGCATCATGGTTTGGGCCTGCTTTTCTTCAGCAGGGACAGGGAAGATGGTTAAAATTGATGGGAAGATGGATGGAGCCAAATACAGCACCGTTCTGGAAGAAAACCTGTTGGAGTCTGCAAAAGACCTGAGACTGGGACGGAGATTTATCTTCCAACAGGACAATGATCCAAAACATAAAGCCAAATCTACAATGGAATGGTTCACAAATAAACGTATCCAGGTGTTAGAATGGCCAAGTCAAAGTCCAGACCTGAATCCAATCGAGAATCTGTGGAAAGAGCTGAAGACTGCTGTTCACAAACGCTCTGCATCCAACCTCACTGAGCTCGAGCTGTTTTGCAAGGAAGAATGGGCAAGAATTTCAGTCTCTCGATGTGCAAAACTGATAGAGACATACCCCAAGCGACTTGCAGCTGTAATTGCAGCAAAAGGTGGCGCTTCAAAGTATTAACGCAAGGGGTCCGAATAATACTGCACGCCCCACTTTTCAGTTTTCTATTTGTTAAAAAAGTTAAAATTATCCAATAAATTTCGTTCCACTTCACGATTGTGTCCCACTTGATGTTGATTCTTGACAAAAAATTAAAAGTTTATATCTTTATGTTTGAAGCCTGAAATGTGGCGAAAGGTTGAAAGGTTCAAGGGGGCCGAATACTTTTGCAAGGCACTGTATATGTATATATATATATATATATATATATATATATATATATATATATATATATATTTCTGTCTGAGAGCCAACCAATCGATTATACATTAATCTATCCATTCTATCAATAACATCCCTACACATGTTTTTAATAATACACACGCACACACACACATGCATACACACATCGCACTCAATAAAAGACATTAAGGGGAGGGGAATAGAGGGGGGGGGGAGAAAAGAAAGAAAAAATATTATTATTATTTCATTTTTTTGTTTCTCATTGGTATTATATTAAACATAGAGGGTGTATGCATGTGTTAATATGTATATATGCATATGTATGGTCTCCCCGGGTCATTGATGTAGTGGTGAAAGGTGTAATGGTGATGATGGTGTTGATGATGATAGTAGTGGTGTGCCAGTGGTGGTGGTGATGGTGGATTGGTGATGATGGTGATGATGATGGTAGTGGCGGTGGGGGTGGCGATTGCGGAGGTCATTGTGGTGTGCGGTGGTGTGGTCTGGACTGGGGGTTGGCTCGGGTCCCTGTGCCGCCGGGGGGCGGGCTGGCTGGCGCCCATGGATCCCCGATGTCCTGGGATTGGCTGGCCATGCCTGCTGCTGCCTGGACCTGGTGGGCGCAGAATCTGGGGATCCTGAGTGGGCCACGGGCCGCGTCCCCCGCCCCTTCCTGGCCCCACTCTGCCCCAGTTTCTTTTTTGCCCTGGGCCAGTTCCATTTCACATGCCTCTCCAACTTTTTACGCATCACACATTAACTCTTCACACCCCACTTTTTAATGCATACATCACAGTGAAGTTTTTTAATGCACCACATGAACATAACACACAAGAGGAGAGTCATGTGTGGCCCGGGGTATTTAGAGGTGGAGTGGGTGGTCAGTTAGGTTGGGTGGTCGCGGGGCGGGGCCTGTGGGGTGCCCCATGGGCATCCCACCAGGGCGGACGTGGGTGCTGGTCGGCCTGCTTTTTGGCGGTGCAGGGGGCCGGGCCGGCCTCTGGTCCGGGCTATGGTGTTGTGTATTGCAGTGATTTTGTTGTTTTGTATCCTCATTATTACTGTTATTATTGTTGTCGTCATCATTGTCATTCGTTTATTGTCATTATTATTGCCGGTATTACTATTGTTGTTATTATTGATGCTGTTGTCGTTGTTGTTGTATACTCGCTGTTGTTTCGGTGATTAGGGGGGATTGTGTGTGTATGTGTGTGTGTGTATATGTGTATATATATATGTACACTCACCGGCCACTTTATTAGGTACACCATGCTAGTAACGGGTTGGACCCCCTTTTGCCTTCAGAACTGCCTCAATTATTCGTGGCATAGATTCAACAAGGTGCTGGAAGCATTCCTCAGAGAGCTTGGTCCATATTGACATGATGGCATCACACAGTTGCCGCAGATTTGTCGGCTGCACATCCATGATGCGAATCTCCCGTTCCACCACATCCCAAAGATGCTCTATTGGATCGAGATCTGGTGACTGTGGAGGCCATTTGAGTACAGTGAACTCATTGTCATGTTCAAGAAACCAGTCTGAGATGATTCCAGCTTTATGACATGGCGCATTATCCTGCTGAAAGTAGCCATCAGAAGTGCGGTACATTGTGGTCATAAAGGGATGGACATGGTCAGCAACAATACTCAGGTAGGCTGTGGCGTTGCAACGATGCTCAATTGGTACCAAGGGGCCCAAAGAGTGCCAAGAAAATATTCCCCACACCATGACACCACCACCACCAGCCTGAACCGTTGATACAAGGCAGGATGGATCCATGCTTTCATGTTGTTGACGCCAAATTCTGACCCTACCATCCGAATGTCGCAGCAGAAATCGAGACTCATCAGACCAGGCAACGTTTTTCCAATCTTCTATTGTCCAATTTCGATGAGCTTGTGCAAATTGTAGCCTCAGTTTCCTGTTCTTAGCTGAAAGGAGTAGCACCCGGTGTAGTCTTCTGCTGCTGTAGCCCATCTGCCTCAAAGTTCGACGTACTGTGTGTTCAGAGATGCTCTTCTGCCTTCCTTGGTTGTAACGGGTGGTTATTTGAGTCACTGTTGCCTTTCTATCAGCTCGAACCAGTCTGGCCGTTCTCCTCTGACCTCTGGCATCAACAAGGCATTTCCGCCCACAGAACTGCCGCTCACTGGATATTTTTTCTTTTTCGGACCGTTCTCTGTAAACCCTAGAGATGGTTGTGCGTGAAAATCCCAGTAGATCAGCAGTTTCTGAAATACTCAGACCAGCCCTTCTGGCACCAACAACCATGCCACGTTCAAAGTCACTCAAATCACCTTTCTTCCCCATACTGATGCTCGGTTTGAACTGCAGGAGATTGTCTTGACCATGTCTACATGCCTAAATGCACTAAGTTGCCGCCATGTGATTGGCTGATTAGAAATTAAGTGTTAACGAGCAGTTGGACAGGTGTACCTAATAAAGTGGCCGGTGAGTGTATATGTATGTATATATTTATATGTGTGTATGTATGTGTGTATGTATATATATATGTTGTTATTATTATATATATATTTCAATGTAATCCAATTAAGATTTTTTTTATTTTATTATTTTCTATTAAACACCCCCCCCCCCCCCCCCCCACAAAAGTATTTTTGTTAATTTTTTATTATTATTATTTTTTGTTGTTGTTGTTGTTAAAAAAAAAATTATACACAATATTACACAACAATATTTGACATGGGGCGTTTATATTTTATACGTTTGGTGGTTCAGTTCACCTGACAGTAGTGTTGATAGCTGTGAGGGTCAGACTAACCCGCTGCCTGTAGCTAATTTGCTAATATTTTCACTGCTGCCCTCTGCTGGTCACGTGGTGCTTTACACTGAAAAATCTGTGAAGTCAAACTGGCACGCTGAAGTGTGCCGTGTTTTCTTTAAATGTATCGTTACAATCTCATGAGGAGGAAAACTACAAGAAATTGGTGAGAAAAAGGTGATACTCACTGACAGCAGGAGCAATCCCCCCGACGCTGTTTGGCCCTGGAATTGCACCGACAACCGCTGCTGCCTGAGTCACCACCGCAGCCTGAGCTGCTGCTGCCTGCTGCTGCATCTGTCTGTGACACTGCCGCAGGTCAAACACCTGCAAAGATAAACAGGTCGGAGACAAATGTGTTAACATATGAGTCACTGTTGACGTCCCCAAAACTGCAGTTCCTTTGGAGTCCGCTAGAGGCAGTGAGTCAGTCCCTTGTTGAAGTGTCCAACTTTACAGCATAAAAATCTTTTTTACAGATGAAAAACTGGTACAAACAAAAACTCAGCTGTTTCTTGAAGACGAAGGTTAAAGGGAGGGATCATTTGTTGGGACACTTTTGTAAAATATGTTTTCCATCTCACTGAGAATTTTCTGGTTGAATTAATTTAAAGAAAAAAGTCCACATAAATAAACAGTAAGAACAAACATACGGCAGACTATCATCTGCTTATTGAATCACCTTAATATAGGCTCCAGGGTAAATCTTGTGGACACCGTCTCCCGGCGCTCGACCAGCCTCACGATCCAGGTAGAAACTCTGAACAAACACCGAGTGGTCGCTAAGGCAACGCATCCATATGTCCCCCTCTCCCCGGCACTCCAGTTGGACCCCCCTGCCAATGTGGAGCCTGGAGAGAGAAACACATAGAAGACAAAAGCTCAAGTAAAAAGACCAAAGAGGAGGAGACTGGCAATGGGGAGACTGGTTGGACTGGTTTGGAGTGGTCACCTGGCGCGGTGGCTGGCGGCAGTACGGTGGACGTTACTCAGCTGTCCCAAACAGAATCTGTCTCCTCCTGAGGGATCCACATACCCGTCCACTGTAACCTGAGGACAGCTGGACTGGACCTTGAACATCTCCCCAACCTGGACATCCAACTCAAAGTATGAAATGGAGCACCAGAACTCTGGACCTGACGAGCAGGGGGGGACAGTTAGGGAGATCTACCAGTGACAGAGGAGACAGAGAGGACAACACCAGACACTCTGCTGCTCAGGACATGGGGGAGACAAATGACACACTCAGTCTGAAGTGAAGAGATGGGGGGGGGGGGGTGGAGAGGAGAGGAGGACAGTCAGAGGTTGGAGATGCACGATGGGGACAGTCAGATGGTAGAGATAGATGGTGGGGACAGTCAGAGGGTAGACATGGACGGTGGGGACAGTCAGAGGTCAGAGATGGACAGTGGGGGGCAGTCAGAGGTTGGAGATGGACGGTGGGGACAGTCAGATGTTAGAGATGGATGGCGGGAACAATCAAAGGAAGTCCACAGGTGAGTAAAGACAGCAGGGGCAAAGTGGGACAGACTTCAGATTTCATTATAAGGACAGTGGGGACAGGACAGGACATCCCACCAGAGACATAAGGACATCTGGACAGCTGTGGTACCTGGATGGTTGGACACTGGTTGAGGATATGGCGCCGTACTATGATGCTGTGACCCTGCAGGACAGAGGTCTATGACTTAGTAAGAGGTACTGCAAAAAAGTACCACAGTGAAGTACGAATACTGCAGTGCTTTGGCATTTTAATGTCATACAGAAGTGAGTGTTGGGGGCGTGGTGGTACTGATGATGATGCATTGGCTGATGCTGGTGGCTCCGCCCACTTTGATGAGATCTTGCAGAGCTGTAGGAGGTGGGGCTGTTACCTGACCAGGTGGCTGCAGAGACACAGAAAAAAGCCTGATGTCTGTATGGTTCTTAAAGGGATATTCCGGCGCAAAATAAGTTAGGGTCAAACTCACCACAACACCGAGATAGACACCCCCTCCAGAAATGAATGTTGCCGACCGCTTGCTTCTCTAGCTAAACCAACTTTAGTAACGACAGCAGGATAGCAATACACAGCGGTCTGAGGAGCCATAAACAAACCTCAACCAAAACGCCACTCTATAGCCACAAATAATGCTCAGAACAGCACCTAACTTCATCAACAGTATATATAGGGTCCCAGCCATAGTACTAGCCACGAAACATCTTTTAAACTTTGACTAATTTCTTAAGCAAAGAGACTAAACACAACTCACCTACTCTCTTCCAGCAGCTGCTTGTTTGTAGAGAGACCTCAGGCCAGTCCATTATGGACTACAGCGGGGTGACGCAGCTCAAGGAAGAACATTTATGATAATTTCTTTATTAATCAATAAATCTGGTGCCATTTTTTCACTGTTGGTGGTCAAGAGTGTAAAAAATCCCAGAGTCTGATGACTAAAACCTTTAGTCCAGTAAAACCAAAAAGATAAAAGCAATCCTTTTCTCGAGGCACAAAGTACTGAAAGCGATCAGAACCTTTTAAAACCAGATAAAAGCAGCAGCTTGCGGGAACTTGCACTCTTGCCCTCTGCTACAACAGATAAAATAAAAACCCATGCACGGTAAAAGTTAAACTTCAAAGTCAGCAAACTGTTAAGGTGCAGCCTTAAAAGTTGTTTAAAACCGGTTAAAATGGGTTAAAAAGTTGCTCATAAAAGAGAGACATGGCTAGGTGCCTTACGCATGCACACTTTAGCTTATGGATTTCATGGAAATACAATCAGACCGAGATGCTAAGGCAGAAGAACTGCCGTGTCTGCAGTGCAAAATGATTAATATGGTGATTATTACTTCAAGGAAATGATAAAGAAATGACCGTAAATGTTCTTCCTTGAGCTGCGTCACCCCGCTGTAGCTCTTAATGGACTGGCCTTAGGTCTCGCTACAAACAAGCAGCTGCTGGAAGAGAGTAGGTAAGTTGTGTTTAGTCTCTTTGGGTAGTGCAGTGGCTGGGACCTTATACGGTTGTGAGTGAAAGTCAGGGCACCCCTTTAAAAAAAGCATAGTTTATTTATTAAAAAATTAACCTTGATATTTATAGTCTCTCTGATAAATAGGAAAAAAGACAATATTATCAGAAATCATTAATGCACAGTTACTTTTTATTTCATAAAAAGTACAAAATTACAAAAATAAAAATCATCTTTTTGGCATGTGCAAATGTCAGGGCACCCTTCAGCATCAGTACCTTCAGTACTTTGTAAGACCCCCTCTGGTAGAGGGGGTCTGGCTTGTAAACACTTTTTATAGCCAACTACAAGTCTCTGGAGTCTATCCTTTGGGATTTTCCCCCATTCTTCCTTGCAAAAGGCTTCCAGTTCTGCAATATTCTTGGGTCTTCTTGCATGCACAGCTCTTTTAAGAACAACCCACAGATTTTCAATGATGTTTAAGTCTGGAGACTGTGAGGGCCATTCCAAAACCTTCAGCTTGCGTTTCGTGAGGTAGTTCATGGTGGATTTAGAGGTATGTTAAGGATCATTATCCTGCAGTAGAGACCATCCTCTTTTCAGCTTTTTTACAGATGCTGTGATATTTGCCTCCAGAATTTGCTGGTATTTAATGGAATCCATTCTTCCCTCCACTCGAGCAATGTTTCCTGTCCCATTGGCTGCAACACAACCCCCAAAGTATGATGGATCCACCCTCATATTTCACAGTTGGCAAGGTGTTCTTTTCATGAAAAGCTGTTCCATTTTTTCTCCAAACACACCTTTGCTCATTGTGGCCGAAGAGTTCTATTTTAACTTCATCAGTCCACAGCACGTTTCCAGAAGTCATCAGGCTTCTCTAGATGTTCTGTTGCATTTTATGATGAGGACGCAGGAAGGTTTTCTTCTGCAGACTCTTTCATGAAGGTCTTGTTTGTTCAAACATTGCAGCACAGTGGAAGGGTGCACCACCACTCCTGCGTCTGCTCAATATTCTTGCAGGTCTTTTGAAGTCAAATGTGGGTTTTGATTTACTTTCCTGACCAGCAAACGAGCTGTTCTCCCTGAGATTTTACTTGGTCTTCCAGATCTCATCTTGCCCTCCACAGTTCCCCTCACCTGCCATCTCTCAATTATACCTTGCACTGTGGAAACTGCAAGCTGAAAACGCTTTGCTATCTTCTTGTAGCCCTCCCCTACATTGTTGGCATCAATAACTTTCATTTTTTCTGTCTTACACAGCTTCTTAGAGGAACCCATGGTTTCTGGATGAATGCACAAGGTTTGTGGAGTTGAAACCCCTTAAATTGGCACCAGCTGGCGCTCCCTCATGAGAATTGTTGACACCTGCTTCAGGACTAACAAGCTGGTGAAAGTCTGAGCTTCGAAAAAAAATCTTTAAAGACCAGACACTTTAAAGCTCTCAGGGTGCCCTGACATTTGCGCATGCCAAAAAGATGATTTTTATTTTTGTAATTTTGTACTTTTTATAAAATAAAAAGTAACTGTGCATTAATGATTTCTGATAATATTGTCTTTTTTTCCTATTTACCAGAGAGACCATAAATATCAAGGTTAATTTTTTAGTAAATAAATTATGCTTTTTTTAAAGGGGTGCCCTGACTTTCACTCACAACTGTATGTACCATAGACTGTATATAAGATGGACAACCTGGTCCCGCCTTCCGCCTGTATACAGATTTGAAGCCAAAAAGCTCTCTGTAATTCCGGGTTTTTCTCCACTTCCTTGAAACCAGAGCTGCGCAGTAGCGATGCGCGCATTCGGCCGCGCAGTCGCCGAGAGTCCCTGTGATGACGCTCGGCTCAAACAGCGTATCCCCCCGGGAGAGCTACGCAATCCCTGAACGCCCATAGGCTGTACCAGGTGTCAATCATATGAAATATGAATCCCCTAATAACTTTTAAAAACGGAGCTGTACAGAAAAAAAAGGACTTGGACACAAAACAGTCTTACAATAACTACATGTCAACATCACAAGCAGGGGGGAGAAAAATTTATGTTCTGTGTAATAAATTTCTAAAGTTTGTCCACAGCCCCATAAGCTTTGCTGGCGGAGGCGGGATTTATGGCCTGTACTGCAGCCCACCATCAGAGGGTGCTGTTCTCGGAGTGGCTTCACCCAGCAAGGAGGCAGACTCTGTCCATCTTATATACAGTCTATGGTATGTACTAACGTGAGTAGAACATGGTGTAGTTCCGATCAGAAACAGAACCTCATTGGAAAATTAGCTGATTTAACTTCACTTTGTTTTTGTTCAAATATACTAACTCGACAGCACATATATCCATACCTGTTAACAAAATCATGATTTTATTGATAATTCGGCTTGATAAAAATACCTTGACCATTTCATTTTACTAAAGTAGAAGTTTCTTGGCCAGCTAATAGACTACAGAAGTGGAGAAATGCCCCAGTTTATGTTTTCTTAAAAGTTAGAACAACTCTGAATACAGTTCTATGGCTGGGACCCTATATGTACTGTTGATGAAGTTAGGTGCTGTTCTTAGCATTATTTGTGGCTATAGAGTGGTGTTTTGGTTGAGGTTTGTTTATGGCTCCTCAGACCGCTGTGTATTGCTATCCTGCGGTCGTTACTAAAGTTGGTATAACTAGAGAAGCAAGCGGTCAGCAACATTCATTTCTGGAGGGGGCGTCTAACTTGATGTTACGGTGTGTTTGACCCTAACTTAATTTTACAGCAGAATATCCCTCTAAAGGTGTGCTTCCAGTTCAACCAATACTTCAAACCTCAGGTGTTTAGGGACCCTACCTGTTCTTGTGGGGCTGCTGTACTCAGGGCTGTGTGGGTAAGGAGAGGTGGAGGTGGGAGGGTGAGGAGGCTGGGGGGTATGGGGGGGGTTTGGGTGAGGTGGAGAGGCGTGGCCCCCATGGTTCTGAGGAGGGACGATCTGGAGAAGGCCTGGCCCTTCGATGTTGACTCCTCCCCCAGCCCCTCCCCCTGCTCTGCAGCCTGTGGCGCCCCCTGCTGGCAGAGCTGCGGTCTGCATGGAGCTTCCTGCAGGAGAGACGACAGGAGGACATGAGGAGATAGTCTGACCTAGTGCTGGACGATAATTCGATAACAATATATATCGATCGATAGACGTGTGGTGCGATAGAAAAAAAACGGGTCGATAAAAAGTTCGATAGAAAAACACAGTTTCCCTTTCTTTTTCATCATAGCCTATCATGTAGCTTTTACTACAGTCATCACTTCCTCCCAACCAATCACAAACGCAGACCCAGGTACGCTACGGCACCAAGCCCAGCCCCTCTCAAAGCACAACAGACAGCACGTGTATTAGAAAAAATGATACAGCAAGGAGAAGCGGAGGACATTGTCCCGAAAAAAGGTTTCAGTAGTTCACCAGCATGGCAATGTTTTGGTTTTTAGAAGTCTGACAAAAAGCGAACAGCGGTCGTTTGCAAAATTTGCCGAGAATTAGTAAAAACCAAGTCTGGTAACACAACCAACTTGTTTTACCATCTAAACCGATCGCACCCGCAGGAGTACGAGCTGTGTCGGCCGCGCCGCGGCTCCACGTCATCGTCGGAGGAATCCTCTGGAACCGCTGCCAGCACCAGCACAAAGCATGTGAAGCAGACCAAACTGGACTTCGTTTCTTGCTAAAATACGACAAAGTGTCCGAGCGGCATAAGGACATCACCCATGCAGTAACATGCTCCATAGCGAGGGACATACTGCCAATAACTACCTTTGAAAAGCCTGGCTTCGACCAGCTTCTAGCCACTCTCGACCCGCGATATGAAGTGCCCGGCCGCAAGTTTTTCTCAAACACAGCGCTTCAGGCATGAAAATGGGTCAGGGGTTGAAAAGGTGAGAAGGGTGCGGAGGAAATACGTTCCGGTGTTGGGCCGTAGAATGCACCCCTGCATCCCGTCCACTCATTAGCTTCTTTAAGTGGAAGAAAATGAGCTCATATTTTACAAAGACGCGAGTATTTGGATCATGGCTACTAGCAGGGGGTGCATTCGTCAGGGGTGCATTCTACGACACAACACCGGCGTGGATAAGTCCTGCTTCTCGTGCTCAGTTTGTGTATTAAGTCAATCACATGATAATTAAAAAAAATAAATCTCCCGACCCCGGGAGAAATATTTCAGTGTTCAGACACCAGGCTGTGGGCAGTTTCCCACACAGTTAAAACTGGTAGTATGCTATTCCCACCTAAAGCTATTCTGTTTATTTATATATTTGTTTGTTTTGTTTATTTTCATCAAAAGACTATTTAAATATTTATTTATCAGATTTTCTGGTCACTTTAGTCTTTATGTTTGTCAGTATTTACTTACGTCACTCAGGCCACTTAAGTTGATTTCTTTTTTTTTTTTAGTTCTTTTTTAAAAAAACTTTCAGTTGTGGTAAAATAAAAAAGGTGGTTGAATAAAGGTTTGAATTTGAATTCAGTGCTTGTGTGTTCTTTATTAAAAGTAGGTCATTAAGCAATAGCATAAAACATCCAGGGCTGCAATTAAAATATATGTTAAATAATTATAATAATTATATCGATAATTATCGATATCGATCAATATGATTTATTTTTTATCGATATGCTTTTTTTCTATATCGTCCAGGCCTAGTCTGACCTGTGAGAGACAACACAGGTGAGGGGGACGGTCTGACCTGGGGGAGAAAGGGGCATGCTGGAATACATGCTGACAGGGCGTGGCTGGTTGTAAGGGTCACTGTGGGGGGGCAGGTCGATCTCCAGACAGTCTTGCATGAACTCCTCTTTTACAAGAGACTGAGGACCTGAAAGAAGACAGGGAAGACAGGAAATCAGGAAACATCTATAACATAGTTCAGATCAGACGTTAGGAAGGGTTCACACATCCCACCACCCCATAATATTATTCAAAGACTCAGAGGGTGTGTGTTTTACCTGCAGCGGTGGGTGTGGCCACCCTCTCGTAGTGGTAGGGGTTCACACACACGCTGTCGTACTTCAGGTCGAAAGCGAACTGACAGAATTTGACGTGTTTGAGTTCGTTCTTATGGAGGTCGGGCCAACGCCAAAGACGAGCATAGATCACATGAGGGAAACCTTTCCTACCTGCCACCTAGAGACGGACAGGTGTGAGACAGACAGGTGAGAGACAGGTAAGACACAGAAACACAGACAGACAGACAGGTGGAGAGACATCTTTCATAGAATTTAAAATAAACTGAGAACAAACTGAGTCATTCTCAGCAGGAGGTTACCACGGAAACAGTCTGTGTATGTACATGTCTGCCAGTCTTTGTGTATGTGTGTGTGTGTGTGTGTGTGTGTGTGTGTGTGTGAGTGTGTGTGTGTGTGTGTCAGGTGATGCAGGGTTGACTAGCCAAACCCCGACCATGACATCATGTCTGACCTCACAGGCGTGTGTGTGTGTGTTTGACTCTGTAACACACTGTAAAAATAAAAACACACACACACCCTGAGAGAGTTTTGAGTGAACTAGTTAATAAATCAGCTGGTTAGTTAAACAAGTTAACCGGTTTAAACCGGAGTGGAACCAGACTCTGTATGAGGAGTCAGACGGCAGAGTGTGTTCTGTCAGCACAGGTGAAGGACAGGGACCAGACTACAGACAAAACACACACACACACACACACACACACACACACACACACACACACACACACACACACACACACACACACACACACACACTGTAAAAAGTTGCGGTGCAGTAGTTTGAATCTGTTCTCCTGATTCTGGATCAGTTTGGGAGGACTTCAGTAACCATGGTAACATGTTTGGCCGTCTTTCCCGCAGTTAAAGTAGTTCTTTGTGCAAACTGTAGTAGGGGAGACCAGGGTTGGTTGTCGCACTCATTTCCCTTGAGTTAAATGCCTTTAAAATTAAAAATATATATATATTTTTTTTGTTGACGATTATGAATTTTTACATCTCACAAAACTTCAATTTGAATCCAGCTCCAATAAAGAAGATAAACCTGCTGCTGAGACCTGCTGGGACCTGCTGATCCAAGACACAGTGCTCAGTCTCCATCTCTGTCTCATGAATATTAAATGTTGGAAGTCAAACATCGCACTCTCTCACTCCCCTAACTCAGGTGTTCCACTGAGTGAAAGCTCTCCTGGTCTTCAAACATCGACTGCAAGAAGAGAAAAGTTTGGACCAAAGTTGAGAAGATTGTTCTTCTCCATCTGTGTTAGAAACTGAGAAATGAGGCAGAGCTTCATGTTTGAGCTTCAAGTTCTGTTCAGAGACCCAGCAGCTCCTCAGGAACATGGACTCTGATGATCCAAACCTGGTTTCTCCTCAGATCTGACCTGGTTTTGTTTTTTTTTACAGTGTAGAAACTCTGTGGTATGAAATCCACAAACTCTAGACGTGTACACATTCCCGTCTGTCTGTCTCTCTCTCTGTCTCTCTCTCTGTCTCTCTCTCTCTCACACACACACACACACACACACACACACACACACACACACACACACACACACACACACTGTCTGGCTTAACTTAACCCAGCCCCTTTCCTGTGTTTCAGACAAAACAACCAGCCTGCCCTTCCTCCTCCTCCTCCTCCTCCTCCCTCACTGTGTGCTCATGATGGGATCTCTTATATCAGACTCTCTGTTTGGCTGTCTGAAGGTTCTTCAGAAGGTTCTGGAAGTTTGAAGAAACAACACTACAGGAAGTCCTGATGTGGACCTTCTGAGTCCTAAGAAGTCTCGGACTCACCATTGTCTCAGACTCACAGTGGTATGTGTGTGTGTGTGTGTGTGTGTTTTAAGTCAGAGATAGTTTATGTTTAGCCATCAGTCATGTGAACTAAAATCTCTGCAGGGTGAGAAAAGTCGTACAGATCTGAGCTTTGATTAGATGTTACTGATAATTATTGATTCTGCTTATCAATAAAATCCTCGGTCACTCTTTCATGTCTTATTTTCCGTGTTTTATCACTTTGTCTGCTCTGCTGAGAGAGGGACGTCTACTCCTTATGAGCCTAAACAAATCAGCTGATCACAGCCTCTGATTGGTCAATGGATCAAAACAAACATGGCAGCCCCAAACTTAGTCAAACTATTTTACTCAAATTAATCCATAAACCCGCCCACATAACCCAATTTCTACATTTCTGTTTGTATTTTTATATTTCTGTTTACATTTTTATATTTCTATGTTTTTATTTTTATATTTCAATATTTTAATTTTTATATTTCTATAATTTTATATTTCTATGATTTCATTTTAATATTTCAATGTTTTTATTTTTATATTTCAATGTTTTAAATTTTACATTTCTATGTTTGCATTGTCATATATCTATGTTTGTATTTTTATATTTCTATGTTTTAATTTTTATATTTTGTATGTTTGTATTGTTATATTTCTATGTTTGTATTTTTATATTTCTGTGCTTTTATTTCTATATTTCTGTTTTTATTTTTATATTTCTATGATTTTATTTTAACATTTCTATTTCTATGAATTTATTTTAATATTTCTATGATTTTATATTTATATTTCTATGCTTTTATTTTAAGATTTCTACAGTATATACAGTATAATGCTTCTTCAGTATATTTATGTTTCTGTGTGTCAATGTTTCTAAAATGTACACTTCTGTGTTTATATATTTTCAATTCTTTTTCTATGTTCTCTTTTGTATTTCCATATTTCTGTTTTATATTTCTGTATTTTTGTTTCTATGTTTTTATATTCCATGCCTTTTTATTTCTGTTTCTAATTTTATCTTCTTTGTTTAAATATCTACATTTCTGTTTTTATATCTCTTTGTCTATATTTCTTTGTTATATTACTGTATTCAGGCAGAAAAGTCTTGTATGTTTGAAACACCTGACCCTCCATATCAGTTTTAGAAAGGTTGATCTGTGTTTCCCTTCATGTAATCTGAGCATGCTCAGAAGGTCCTGGAGTCCGTTTCAGAGGTCCTTGAAAATGTTTCAGGTGTTTTTTGGCCAGAGTTGGAGTCTGTTTAAAGGTTCTGGTGTTGTCTGGTCCATAAGAAGGTTCTGTAGGTTCATGAACACTGGGGTTCCTGTTAGCAGCCTGCAGAGGATCCATGTTTACATCCCTGAGCCTGTTAATTACTGTGAGAGAGACTGAGACACACCCAGTCTGCTGCTGCTCACACACTGAACACACACACTGAACACACACACACACACACACACACACACACACACACACACTGTGTCAAACACATTTATAGAAACACCTGAACCTGTGACAGAGATCAGACCTGATCAGACTGAGACAGGAGAGGAGGAGAAGTGAAGGTGGACAGGGTTTAACTGAGAATAAAACTGTGGATTTGTCCTTTGAGACCAACGAGCCGTGTTTTTAAAAACCTGGAAAAATCTGCTCAGACAAACTCAGCAGGAAAATAAACCATCAGAGAAACAGCTTCAGGAGTCCTGATGAACTTAGATCCCGGCTCAGACGCCTCAACCTGATCGGATCAGCGCCACACAGAACTTTGGTAAACCCGACTCAGAGCCCAGATTCAAACACCTGTAAACACCTGAATAAAGGAGGTCTGGGTTTTTCAGAGGTACTACTCTGTCTGAGGGTCTTAAGATCAGGAGCATCCAGGCTTGGTTCTGGTCCTGGTCATTTCTCAGTTTCGATATTTTGTCTTAAACTTTTGCTTTGATCATATTCTCATGATTTTCCACCATCCAGATTCTTCTTCACGACGCGTGCAAACGAGGGTTTGATCGAGACAAAATGCAGGTGGAGCTGACGCTCTGAAAACATCGCAGATACAGAAGAAGTCCACTTCAGGCTCAGTGAGAAGCAGATGGATGTTAGTGGGTATTCTGTTTGCAGCAGTGGGCGGAGAGTGGGCAGAGTCATACCTGCAGCCGTCCGTCTAGCGTCCTCTGGATGGTCACACACTTGCTCGGGTGGACGCCGTTGGTGGTGACGGCAGTGATGAGCGAGTCCAGCTCGTCCTTCTTCTCCTTCAGCTTCTTCACCAGGCTCTCGATTGCCCGCTTGGCGAAGCCCTCGTTCTCTGCGCCCTGGCGGTGACACATCAGGCTGTGGACGATGCTGAGGCAGGCGTCAGAGCTGCTGCTGGGGGGCGGGGCCAGCACAGACATGCTCACCTGGAGAAAGGTCACCTGGAGCAGTTCAGGTGTTTTCAGTCACTGTGAAGAAACAAAACTGGGTAAATAAGAGCAACAAACAAAACCATTCTTTCCTTTTTTACATGAATCTAGCATATAAATATCTTAACGATCAGTCTGATATCCTGTAATCACGCCAAAAACATGAGTTAGTCCAGCCCTGATCACCTGTCAGACCTGTACAAGGGTCACCTGCTCACCTCTAACCACTGGAGGACATAATGAACAACACCTGGTTATTAGGAGTGGGAGAGAAAATTGATTCACGTAAGTAATGCGATTTTTAGTTTTACAATTTTTAAATCCTTTTCTTTTTTTATCTTTTTTTTTCATATTTAAGAATAAAGGTCCTTTCACACCGGGACTGTTTTTATCGTGCTATTATTTCGGACGTCAATATTTTTTTCCGAACCCGTATCCTGTCAATACAAGCGTTCACATCAGCGACATTTTCCTGCCCTGCAATATTGCGGCATTTATTTTTTTCGGATCATGGTCAATTTTTCTAAAGTTTCCCATACTGTATGACCACTTCTGACCAATCAGATTGCGTGTTGTTGTGACGTCTGATTCACCGGTATATCCAACATGGCCAACCGGCTGATTGTTTACGTGCCAGAGAACAGAGTGCTTTTTGACAAAAGACACACACATGACAAAGATAATGACCTGAAGGACAACTTGTGGAGAGTCATAGCGTCGGATTTCTCATATGACAATGGTTTGTGTGCTTTAACAGTTTGCTAAATGTCTTCGTTTTAACTTTCATCTGTGCTAACGTAAGCTAACGGTTGTTAGCATAGTTTCATGTGCTTATCTTATCGCCTCTGATTGGCTACAAGTGCTGACCGTTTGGTTTGAGCATGTGATGATGTTTCCAGCTTTTCTAGCCAATCAGAGGTGAAGGAGGCGGGACTTTCCCCAGGAAAAGTCTTCCCTGGGATGAATCTTTTTTCCCCCAGAAAGACGCAAAATCGCATCGGGCTTGATGTGTATAGTCAGGCGCGTAAAAATTCACCTCTGAATATTTCGTAATTTTGCGTTCTATTTTTGCGTCAGCCCCGGTGTGTAAGGACCTTTAGTTTTACTATTAGTAAATCAATTTTTTTGTTCAAAAATCTATTTTTTTCCAAATGTAAGTATAAATCTTAAAAACTGACTTATATGTGATGTGTATTTTTGGGGGAAAATATGGTTCCTGGAATAGTCAGTAGACAATCATAATCATTTAAATGTTTCAGTAGAGTTAAAAATGCAGATTAAATATTGAGAAAATCGACAATATCGTAGAATCGCATCCAAAAAATCGTAGAAGAATCGAATCGGGGAGAAGCATATCGTCCCAACTGATTATACTGACTAGAACCAGGACAGAGAGTGGGTCAGAACCAAGACCAAAACACTGGGATGGTCTCTACACGGATCTCTGATCAGACATCAGGACAGAAATCTGCTGTGTTACATCACATCAAGACCTCTCTGCACTCACTCACACACACACCAACAGCTGTTTACACTCTGCGTTTCAATACTTCTGATTATTTATGAAAACATGAAACATTTCTATCATCACCTTCATATTTGAGTGAGACACACACACACACACACACACACACACACACACACACACACACACACACACACACACACACACACACACACACAGAGATCACAGCAGCATCAACAGTTGTGAGGTACCCAATGATCCGGACATGCTAAGACCACAGCGGGCTGAATCAGATTCACTTACCGGCTCTGGCCCAGAGCCTCTGGGTGCTCTCCGCTCGGCTGTCGTTCTCTGCGTGTCGGTGAGACTATCCGTGTGTGTGTGTGTGTGTGTGTGTGTGTGTGTGTGTGTGTGTGTGTGTGTGAGTGTACGCTCCCGCTGTCTGATCCAGACTGAGACTGTCTGCACACTCACGGAGAGTCATGCTTAACATGCAGTCAGACATAACAGGAAATCAGGCCTCTGCTGGACCCTATAAAAATAAGAGCGGATCCAAAGAAAAGGTGAAACAACAGTTAACGCTCACCTTCACATTAAAACACTTTTTTAAAAACACAAAACTATTTTAAAACTGGAGAAAGTTTGGGGTATAAAAGGATTGAAAAAGACAAACCTTATTGTGTGATTTATCTGAGCTGGTGTTTTCAGAGGATGAACAAACATGTCACAGATATCACACCGAGAGAAACTCTCCTCTCTGGTCACACTCCATTTCGATCCTCGTGGGCTTTTATTTTGAAGTGATCATCGGAACCGACTTCCTGCTTCTTTCTTGACCCCTGTCCCAAAGTTTGTGCGCGTGACTTCGTTCAGCGTCTGGGTATGTGCGCGTGTCACTGTGAGAGAATCGTTGCCCCTGGTTACCCGGTGATTGGCAGGTCGTCAGTCAATAAGCCTTTGGCGCCATCTCGTGGTAAAAACAGCTTCCGGCCGTACAATCATAGAAATGTTTTTATAAAGGCGTTTTCTCTTTTCTTGTTTTCTTTGACAATTCCTCATAAAACACACCGGACAAGAAATTCCCCAGGTTTCCGCTGTTCATTTTCAGTTTTTTTTTTAAACTTTCAGCGTATATTCTCTGTGTTGATACTTTGCCGGAACGAATCCATAAACCCGCCCAGATAACCAGATTTCTACATTTCTATTTTTATATTTGTATATTTTTATGTTTGCATTTTTTACTTCTATGTTTATATTTTTATATTTCTATGCTTCTACAGTATATTACGGTGGCCTGGAAGTACAAAACACAAGAGAAAGAGAAGAGAGAGAAAACACGACAGCAAATCAAAACACAAACGCAAAAGAGGAAACACAACCACAAATCACAAAACGCAACTGCAAATCACAAAACACTACAGCAAATCACATATGCAAACGCAAAAAAGAAAACGCAGCTGCAAGTCACATATGCAAACGCAAAAAAAGAAAACGCAACCGCAATCACATATGCAAATGCAAAAAAAGAAAACGCAACAGCAAATCACATACGCAAACGCAAAAAAGAAAACAGGACAGCAAATCACATATGCAAACACAAAAAAAAAACACAAAAGCAAATCACATATGCAAACGCAAAAAAGAAAACACAAAAGCAGATCACATATGCAAACGCAGAAAGAAAACGCAACTGCAAATCCCAAAACACGACAGCATCGTCTGTCTTCTTCTTCGTTGTAGTTCAATGGCAGTTTACTCCGCTGGGGGTGGAGAACTACCTCCACCTGCTGGATTGATGTCGGAACGGGAAAGTAAGCACTTGAATCGACTCGTCTGTCCTTTCAATCAAATTAAATCAAATCAAACTTTATTTATATACCACTTTTCAGGCAAAAAGAAATGCAGCACAAAGTGCTTTACAATTTAAAACAATGAGCCCCCCCATATCCAGCCCGCCACCCCACCCCCACAACCCTCACCGAGAGCCCACCCCAACACACACACACACACACACACACACACACACACACACACACACACCGATAATGCAATCTTAAAAGCGTGTGGCTGAGTTCAGAGGAGCCAAGTCAGGAAACGTCAGGAGGCCGACTGCACTGGAGGCTGCTTACGGCCCAGGGCCAGGACACCTCCACCCGGGTGCGCAACCCGCTACAAGCCAGTAAGGGGCCACAGCAGCAAGCACTGCTGCAGACCACCATCTGGCCGAGCTGAGTGCACACCACAAGGCAGAGAAACCCTAGACAGAGCCAGTCACAGCCTCCAGTGCAGGCGGTCCCCCTACTGAGGAAACACTGGAGAATTGCAATAAAAACATTAACTAAATCAGCTAAAAACATCAAACTAGATAAAATTATAAGATACTGATAAATAGCTAAAATACCATTTAAAAAATAAGTAAATAAATAAATATAATAAACATAACGTAAAATGAGGACTAAAATTTATAAATGAACTAAAATAAGATAAAAATAGGATAAAAATATAGATTAAAAATAAGACATTAGTTAAAAGCCAAATTAAATAGGTGAGTCTTGAGCCTACTCTTAAAAATATGAAAATTCTCTGCGGCCCTAAGGTCCTCCGGCAGGCTATTCCAAAGACGGGGGCCATAGTGCTGGAAAGATGCCTCACCGTAAGTTCGTGTTCTCACTTTGGGGACTATTAAAAGGCCAGTGCCAGAGGATCTCAGGGTCCGCGAGGGTTCATATTGTAAAAGCAATTCTGAAAGATATGAAGGTCCAAGACCCCTAAGACATTTAAAAACCATTAAAAGGACCTTAAAATCAATCCTTAAGCACACAGGGAGCCAATGCAGTGATTTTAAAACCAGTGTAATATGTGCCCGCCTTCTGGTCTTTGTCAGCACACGTGCTGCTGAGTTTTGCAACAGTTGTAAACTCACAATGTTTCTTTTTGGAAGACCAGAAAGCAGGGCGTTACGATAGTCAAGATGACTGGAGATAAAAGCATGCATTAGCGTCTCCGTGTTAGCCCGGGAGAGAAAGGGGCGGACTCTGGCTATATTCTTTAAATGATAAAACCCTGTTTTTGTTATATTTTTAATATGTGGAATAAAAGTCAGCTCAGAGTCAAAGATGATGCCCAGATTCTTTACCTGATTTGATGGAATTAAAGACAGGGTTTTCAGTTTTGTTAAAAGTTTCTCTCCCTGAGCCTTAGGATCGATAATTAAAACCTCAGTTTTGTCCTGGTTGAGCTGTAGGAAGTTTTCTGCCATCCAGGATTTAATGTCTTGGATACAGCTAAAAAGGGCATCGATTGGCTCTGTGTCATCAGGAGACATGGATATGTAGAGCTGTGTGTCATCAGCATAGCTGTGAAAAGTGATACCATGCCTCCTGATGACATCTCCCAGTGGGAGCATATATAAATTAAAAAGTATGGGGCCTAAAATTGAGCCTTGGGGCACACCACATTTAATGCTATGAATCTTTGAAGAGCATGTGTCCAAACTTACAAGAAACTTTCGATCTGTGAGATAGGAGTGACCCGGAAAGACGTGAACCGCGGTTGACAGTCGGTGATGATGTATTGCCGATATTGTGGCAAAGAGCTCCCGAGACAACCCAACTTTTGCAGCAGTTGTGGGAAAAGGCTGCAAGAAGCAGATGGATGCAGTCCATCAAGTAAGTTAAGGGATGTTCAATTAATGTGTTCTGCTATTTTCGCTTTCGGTGTCCATGTTCATGTTTACTTTCCCGTTCTGACATCCAGCAGATGGCAGTAGTACACCACCCCAAGCGGCGTGAACTGCCATTAAACTCCAACAAAGAAGAAGAAGAAGACAGACGGTGCTGTCGTGTTTTGGGATTTGCGGTTGCGTTTTCTTTTTTGCGTTTGCATATGTGATTTGCTGTTGTGTTTTCTTTTTTGTGTTTGCATATGCGATTTGCTGTCGTGTTTTGTGATTTGCAGTTGTGTTTTGTGATTTGCGGTTGCGTTTTCTCTTTTGCGTTTTCTCTTTTGCTGTCGTGTTTTGTGATTTGCAGTTGCGTTTTGTGAATTGTGGTTGCGTTTTGATTTGCTGTCGTGTTTTCTCTTTTGCGGTTGTGTTTTGCACTTCCAGGCCACCGTAATTTTTGTATCTATGTTTTTATATTTCTATGCTTCTACATTTCTTTTTTTTGTTTCTAAGTTTATACTTCTATGTTTAAATTTTAAACGATGGAATTAAATAAATATATTAATAGATAGATAATTAAATAAATACGTAAATAAGTGAGTTTTACAGTCAGTAAGCATTATAAAACCTAGGAAGATTTTTTATTTACAAACATTATCTCTCCTAATTCTAAAACAACTTTCTTATTTAGAAAAAATAGAGCAAAAGTAAAGTGTACGCAATATAAGAAATAAATAAGTTGATAGACAAATAAATAAATATGTGTTAGTTCTCAAAAATATCTGCGTCCACACGTAGCCTTCAAACTCAATCCTATCTGGTGTCGCTTAAAAAAAATTCAGGAACAAAGCTACCTGATTGGCTGATGAATCGGAAGTTTAGCTTCCACTCATCTGCAGGCACAGCCCCTCTAATGAAGTTGTCCCACCACTTGCTGGTCCGACTGAGTTTGACCCAAAACTTACTCTTCTGGCGAACTCTAAAACGCCTAACGTTAACGTTACGATTGCTCTCCAATAAAAGTATTGGGCGCAGCAGACGCCTCTGTGAGCTGGCTGACTGGTGGATGTAATTGTACAAAACAAGGTTCACTTGCAAGGCTGAAATTAGCCCCAAAAGGGCAAAACTAACGTAAAGAATACCCTGTATGTCCACCATTGTTGTTGTTGTTTTTCTTTTTAATTCGCATGCGCAAGCTGCGGTTTGACGTCATCGATCCGTAAAAGTTTAACCACACGAATCCACTTACACGGATATTCTTTTATTTCTCCACTTGTTTTTTCGGATTCAGATTTATCTGGTTTGAGTTTTCCAAACTCCTGTTTTGGTGTGGTAGGGAGGCCTAATCGGACATAAATATGTGCGGTTTGAAATATATCTGCATTTGTGTAGTTGGGGCCTTAATACATTAATAAAAATTTAATCAAAATGACCAAATGAAGGAATAAATAAAAATATCATTAAACATAAAGCTAACTACCATTCACCAAACAAAGAACATTCTGCTTTGTTTTCGGCATAAAAAAGACAATTATCTGAACATTATGAGAACATTCTGAATTTTGCTAATAGTACAATCTTTCTGCTGATTTGTGAGTTTAAAAACTTCTCTATTCAGATTTTTTCATTTTATTTTTTATCCAGACCATATTCCCATGATTTTAAAATAGTTAATGAGTTAATGCAGAAAAAATAACTGAGAAATGCAACAGCAATATTCAACTTTATTTTTCCACCTTATGCTGATCTGTTTGGTAGTCTCTGTAGAATTAGCAGTAAAATCCCGAAAATGTTCTGTGTGAGCAGAATAAATCAGAACTTGTCTGCTCGTGTCTGTTAGCAGGTTCTCTGTAGCTCTTACAGAGGGAAACAGTTCTGTTTGTATCTCTGAGTTCATTATATTGAATCTAAACCGTGTTCTGTTACAGTGAACACAAATAGAACAGCCACAGGTGAGATTCTGATGATGCTAACAAACCTATATGTGATGTTAAGCTGCTAAGCTAGCTAACAATCGTTAAAGCTTCGCCGTCGGTGAAGGTAAAGGTAAACTAACGCTGCCGTTTAAAAGTTAATATAGTTAATATCACAGAGGGTGTAGTACATTCTGGTAAACAGTAATATATCGCTGTGTTCACGTTGTTAGCATTAGCTCAAGCCATCAAATGAAACCTTAGTGGTGTCTATATAACAAGCTAACGCTAGCTCGTTAACTCGCCGTTCCTGTTGGAGCGAGAACAGCAGCGAATCCCCCTAAATGAAAACACGAACTCAACATTTCACCATTTTTCAGCACAATTAGAACAATTTATCAAAGAGAGCTACATTAGCCTATGTTATTGTGACATTTCCTTAAATTCGGCTCTAAGTTTAACCACAAAACAGTTTAGAACTATATTTTAATGCTTAGTGCGTTTCCTAGTATGAGGCGCCACGAAGAAAAATAACGGTGATGGATGGAGTTTGTTGTTGTTAAGCCTAAGTTTTAAAATCATTCCTTTATTATTATGTCGCACAGTGAAAGAAAATATAGATTTTTACATTTTTGAACATTTAGTCTTTCTCTTTGTCTTAGTTATCAGGGTATTTTCTGTGTCTGTGGTAATTAGCCAGTAGGTGTACGGGATTTGGTCCATCTGTGTTTTCCTGACCTCACGGTTTGTCTTCCAGTAGCAAATGAATCAGAGGATGGATTCATCCAAACCAAAGTCGTTTTTCCTGAGAAGTACCACAGCAGTTTCTCTCAATGAGCGGTGAGACACACAGGGGAAATATGCAGCACTATATAATAATTCACCGGTGTGATTACTAAAATACTAAAGTGAACTAGTCACCCAGGTTAAATTTAACTTCAATACAAGTACAGATACCTACCAGTCTGTATATATACATTGAAGTGACAGTACTTTATTGAAAAGTACCTCAAGTCCCTGTCTCATCTGTTTTAAAACCTGTTACTGGCATCAAATCTAAAATGAGCAGATTTTTTATTAAACATTTTTCAGTGCCAATATTTGGTACAAAGTTTCTGCTCTGTTTTAATTAACGATTGGCTTTAACAGATGGAAACTTGTGGATTTGGGGTCACACAAAAATTAATTATAAACGATCACTCCATTTTTCTGCCTTGTGACATCTGCCATCACCAACTTGTCTTTTATTTCATGATATCAACCAGCTCAACCCTAAATCTAAAAACAGAGATAGGTACATGGTGTGACTCCTCTCTGCAGGTTCTCTCAGGTGCAGGTGGACCAGCTGACCCAGCCCATGACTATGACCTTTGACCCCGTCCTGCTGCAGCACAGGGGACATGATGATGCTCCAAAGATGGTCCTGCTGGTGTCGAGAAAGCAGCTGATGCCTTTGCGCCTGCAGTTAAGTCTTAAAAAAGTATGAGGCAGGGAGGGCAGCAGCAAAGACCCCCAGGCTCTATTCTGAAAGCCCCCTGCCCTCCCATGTGTGTGTGTATGTGAAACACAAACGCACCTGCAGAGCTACAGACCAATGACAGGTCACCCGTACTCACCTGTAAACTCCCGCCTCTTTCTCTAATGATGACACAGACTGGTGTTTCATTGCTGAGGATGAGGAGGAAGAAAAGTGTGTGGACCCGACTCGGCTGGCTGAGGCCAACTCGGCGTTTCTCGTCTGGCAGAGCTCGAGGTTTCTGGAGCTTCATGAAGAAATACAGATGGAAAACCAGGTTCACCTCCACCTACAGGAGTAAGTTTATAATTCACTGCAGTGACTTTTTAAAGAACATTTTATAATGATGAGCATTATAAACTTTAACCTTGACCTTTAATATGAAGAAAAGAACAGAAAAGATGGTGAAGAAATAAGAGAAAAACACGAAAACAGACAGGAGCGACATGAACGTCAGGACAGCGACAATAACGTCAGCAACAGTGAACTTTAAAGATGAAGAACAGGAGGTGTGATATAACCTTGTGTGTGTGTGTGTGTGTGTGTGTGTTACCTGTGCAGGTGAAGGAAACCTGTGCCATCGACTGGGGCAGCGTCACTACCAGACAAAGAGAGTCATCCAGAGGCTGACTGCAGGTCAGTTCATCATCAGAGAACCTGGAGCAGGTTTTGATGAACACTGTACCTGTGACCACACCTGTACAGTGTCCTTTAATTTGTTAACAGTCGGAGTAAAAGAAACGCTTCATTTCAGGGGATTTGTTCACTGACCGTGCTGTGACTGATCTCATCAGCTTTAGCAAATTTCTAAGATTTTGTCTTTAGACTGAAATGTTTTTCAGTTTTCGTCTCAGTTCAGTCGGTTCGGCCCTCTATAGGTTTTAGTCAATATTCAGACAATATGTTTCTGTTTTTAAACTGTTAACCAATCAGAAATGAGCACGTAGTCCTTTAAATCTTCACCCTGGTAACACTTAAACTTATAAAGTGACCCTGATGATAAGATGAGTCTCTTTCTGAATTAAGGACATTAATGATCTCAATGACAAACTGAATGACAGGGTCAGTTTAAGCTAAAATGTTTTCAATGAAAAAGTCTTTTCAGTGTAAAATCAAATAGTGAAATAAAGTTAGAAATCTGGGCGGAGAATTCAGGGATTGGTGCACACACAGAGCACAGGTCTACTGGATCTGGACCATCTCTGAAACACTCTGATCCTCTCCAGATATCCCACAGAGACTCACCTGTGTTTTTATATCTTTGTCCTCTAGACCCTGAAGAAGGAGCAGATTTAGACAAACCGTCCCCACTCTGTCCTAGAAAAACTGTAGGCTGGAGTCAGTGATCACCTGTCTGTCCTCTCCTGCAGGTTACACACAGCCCAGCATGCACCTGCAGAGGGGCGGGGCCAAGACCCTCAAGAGGTCAGGCTGGAACAGGACAAAACCCATACCGACCAGGAGGCAGCTGGACACGGAGCTGGACAAGTACATGTCTCTGTCCAAGAGACGGCTCGACCAGCAGCTGGACGAGTACATGTCCAAGTCTAAGAGCCGACTGGACGCCGATCTGGACGAATACATGTCCATGGCTGCAAACATGGACCTCAACTGGGACGGAGGGGGTGGGGACACTGACTCCATCCTGGGCGAAGGGAATGGAGACACTGACTTCACCCTGGACTGAGGGGGCGGGGACACTGACTTCACCCTGGACTGAGGGGGCGGGGACACTGACCTAAGTGGGAACTGAGGGGGAGGGGACACTGACCTGAGTGGGGACTGAGGGGGCGGGCATGTGTTGAAGTGTTGAATCTGTTAGCCGCGAGCACGTTCTGGGTTAATAAGGTGGTGGTCAGTGAAGAGTTAAAGTTGGGGGTCAGATTGATCAGGTAAAGGTTGAAACTCTGTGTTTTGTTCTCAGGTTTTTTCAGGTGCTGGGTTCACCTGTCGTTGAGTTGTCCAATCAGGACTTGTCTGATCAGCTGTGGGTACTTCACTGACCCCTGTCTTTGTTGGAATCTTGTAAATTTGTCTGTTTCTGAACCTTTGTTTAAAAAAGTTTGATTAATAAAAGTTTCTTGGTTAACTCCATTCATGAGGATCTGATCTGTGATTGGACGATGGGCGGGGACTGTGACTCATCATTTTCTTTCCACAGCATCAGGTCGTCTCTAAGAAACGACGTTGATTCACAAATAAAAGTAAAAAAGAGTTAATGAGGAAAACTGTTAAAATTATTGTTAACACCTGTAAACATGGAAACAGAGAGTTCCCTACAGGAGCTTTAAATACAGTGAATAAACTTGAATGAGATCTTAAACTCAAAAGTCAGATATCAACACACTTGCATAGGTGAGTCAGTCAGATCCATGAAGAGCAGAAAGAACATTTTTATGCCTGTTCAGATTTTCATTTGTTTTTATTTTGTTCCTCTTATTAAAGTAAACAGTATCATTCAAAAGATGTTGCACAAATCCAAATTAACACTTCTCATGATTCAGTCAAATTCAGAAAAAAACACATTTCTGATGGATTCAGCGCAAAATAAACGACAACGTTAAAATAACAAGAGTATCTGCGGTGACGACACCAGAGGAAAACTGTAGGGAGGCTGTTATTATACATGAATACACAGATAAATGACTAATACTGAGAGAGTACAGGGTGATGTTGGACAATTAATGACAGAGGAAACGTCTCTGAGTTTGGAGAAAGAGGTCGTTAGTGAAGAGGAACACAGAGTCTGAATATCAGGCGAAGGAAGTCCTGAGAAAGTCGGATTATTACAACGTGAGAGTCTTTATATGAAGAGAAAACATTAATGATGTGATGGCGAGGATAATGACGTGACAGAGTCAGAGTGGTCCTGAGTGATCCCAGAGTCAGAGGGACGTCAGGAGAGTTACCTGAACCAGAGTCAGGAGTCAGAAACTTTGAGAGGTTACCTGTACTCAGGTGTACTGAAAAATTCAGGTTCAGTATTTTTAATTAGATTTGATCAGGTGACCTCAGTAATTTCAGCAGAAACAGAAACGCAGCGACATTTACTTTTTCTGTTCTTCTAAAAATCTGAACGTTTATCCTGACATCTCCTCTGACCCCAACACTCCTCCATCCGTCACCTCAGAATTTACATTTGTGGATCTGAATCAAAACTCAGAATTTCACAGTGAAGGAAACATTAAAGCCTGAGAGTCTGTCACTAAGTTCACAGTCAGCAGGGGGCAGCAGAGACAGTGTTTGAAGCTGTTTATCAGTTATTGATCTGTTAATACCATCTGATCAGACCCAAGAGCTGTTAGTGAGTGAGTGCGTGCGTGTGTGTGTGTGTGTGTGTGTGTGTGTGTGTGTGTGTGTGAGAGAGAGAAAGATATATAAACAGTGTGTGAGAACCATGTTGTCATGGTAATAGGAGTTATTGATCAGACACGATCAGCTGATTTCAAGAATATTACATGTGAAGAAACAGAAGGTTATTGATGACCTGATGATGAGGGGAATCTATGATGACCGTCTCATCTTCAGCTGGTGTGAGGTCAAAGGTCAAAAGTCAGGACCTACAGGTGAAGGAGACAGAGTTCAGTTGCTTCCTTTTTTCCTTTTTCAGTCTCGTTCAATAAAATCAAATAAAACAGTTATAAAGTTTTCTGACAGCTTAATGGAAGTGAGTTAAAAAAGTTATTGATCTATGAAAACTATGGTGGCCATGAAGGTCAGTCACTTCATAACCTTTAAAAAAACATGTCAGTAAAGGTTTCTTTAACAACAAAAATATTCAATAAAAAAAAGAATATTTCACTAAATAGGGACTTTTTCTAAGATACTGAAATGTTGAATGAGAAAAAATAAGTTTAATCAAAAATCATTTTCAGTAAAATACAAATAATTCTCAGGATGAATTTTTATAAATTTAAATAAATCAGAAAAAGAATTACAAAACCAAAAATATAAATGTAAACATCATTAAAAAAAAATTGGATTTAAAACTATTTCAAAGTTAATATATACAATTTTAAATAAGATTTAAAATTAATAAAATTTATACTTTATTCAATTAAAAAGCCAATAAAAATCAATGACACGCCAAATCATAAAAAAAAAAATCTAAAACATTCTGAAAAGAACGTAATTCTTTTTAATCCTTTTTTTTATGTTTTAATGCTCAGGTTCAGTGTTTTTCTTTTGACACTGTTGTTGTGTTTGACCAGCTGTTTTTGGTTATGTGACTTTACCGCACATTTAACGCGTCCATTTAACCCTCTCCGTGTGCCGAACTGTCTGATTTACCGTTTTTGTTTTCTTTGGTTTGATTTTGTTTCTTTATTTTCTTTTCAACATGAAAATAATTGACTCAGCTGATGAGGGTTGGATGTTAAAGGTCAGACCTCTCTTTTCCACGGCGTAACTCTGCTTGAGCATAGATATCTGTAAGAAAGGCTAGATGACGCGATGAGGCAAAGTCACCGGAGTCCCTACACGGCGGCCATCTTACTCCAGTATACCATTCTGGTCCGCTCCATGGTAGCTGACGGGAGGTGAGTAATCTACATGATCATAAATATTCTTACCTCGCTAAAATCTTGACAGATTTACAAATGGTTTAGTTTATTACAGACCTTAATAACGTGGCTATGAGTCGGGATGTTTGGACATATTGAAATGGCAGATTTACTTTGAGAAATTAAAAAGACAATCATGAAGCACAGTTGTTTCACGGCTATTTGTGCTAAAGGGTTAACTTTGAGTCACTTTGTCAAGGCTGAGACCACAATCCAGATTTTAATTTCTTGTATGACAGCCTATTTTTTATTATTTTTTTATTTATTTAGTCTCAGTGTCAGTCTTTGTGGATGTTCTTGTGTTTATCAGCTGTCTAACTTGGCTAACAGACCTGCTGTGAGTGAGACCAAGTACATATTACAAAGTTGACCCAGTAATTTTATATCAGTTAAAGAGGCAGAAATGCTCTTTTGATTCAACATAACTGAAGTTGTACATGATTTCCAAACTGTTTGGTTTGTTAAAAACATCTAAAATGGAAACATGAGGCAGAAATTTATATAAAAAATAAATATTTATATATGTTATTGTTACATGTCATTATAGTTATCCCTATAATAGAAATATTACTAATATAACATACATGAAATGATTAAATGTTTCATATATAAATGATTTAATAAAACTGCCTTGTGTGTGTAGGCCTAAAGCTATTGCTCTACCTATCTGCTTAATGTTTATTTATGTAAATCCATGGTTAAAATTATTCTTGAGTATGCAGGAACATAACTAAAACTCTGAGGTTTGTTACAAACCAAACCGTTTGAAAATCAGTTTAAAATTAATCAATCTATGGTTATTTAACTGTTACATGAACTGTTGACTGGAATGTTATGAGTGGGCGGGCTGCCTGAAGCAAGATGGCTGCCATACGCGGACGTTAGTCTCCATTGGCTAACAGCCTGTGTGAGCCATCTAGCAATTATAGACATCTTTGTTTGTGAGAGCCTTCAGGTTTTTACACCCTCAGTTTTACCTGACAGACAGAGCTGCGTCCGAATTGCCAAGTAGTAGTCGAAGTGGTAGTCGAAGTAGTATCTAGCATGTCCGAATTGGCCACCGGAGTTGGTCGCGGTGCATCCTACGGGCATGCTACTGACCCAAAATGCACCGCGGGCTTCTTCTTCGTCCTCTTAAAAGTTGTAGAAGCGCATGTGATGCTAGCGCCACCAGCTGCTCTGCCTATTTAAATGTGTCGCGAACGCCAGCTAGCCACAACAGCGTGCACCATGGCGGAGCAGCAGCAGCAGCAGGCAGGACCGCAGCAGTACAGATGTAAGTTTCATGTAACTTCACACACTGTCCTAAAAAAAATGTGCGGTTGTATCTCTTTGTCATGTCATGGTGTCATATTTGCCCAAGTAATCATTTTATGAGCAAATATGTGGCGACATCATGGAGGTAAAGCTCACTTATTCCATCACTACTACTTGGCAATTCGGACACAGCTACTGGCTGTGTCCCATTTCAGAGACCGCACTGTCGAACGGCACATAACGGCGCATTTGAAGTGTGCATGACATCATCACGCGACATTAACGGTGTCCCATTTGGCACAAAATAATAAGAAATGCTAAGAGCGCTTAGCATTTTTCAAGCGTGCATTTATGCACGCTTTCGTGCCGCTGGTATCCCAGAATTCTTTGCGTGCTGCTGCACAGCTGCGCATTTCGGGTGAGAGGCTGGACTCGATTGAAAATAAAAGAAATCCAAAAACAGCAGACAGTCAGCTCAGGCTGTATGAGCGCATGATCTCTGAACTCACTAAAATCTGTAAACCAAACATTATAGATTTAGAGACGAACTGATCCGCTCTGCTTCATCAAAAACATTAGAAATAAGAAAGCTGAAAGAAATTACATTAGAGTATCATTTACACATTGAGTTGTTTTTTTTTTTTTTAAGACTTAGAGATTCAAGTTGTAAATTTAGGAGAATAAAGTCATAAAGTAAATAAAGTCATAAAGCTGCTTTTGTGGGGGGGGGGGGGGGGGAATGACTGAAGCTGGTCATCTGCAGGGTTATCGGTGGATGTATCAGCGGGTCATTCAGAGAGTTTTTGGCATGGCATATGGATTCAAATCATGAGCTAAAGCTTAATGTCATTCACGGATATTTACGGCTGTATCGACAGATTTATCCTCAGCATATCCGTATCTGCCTCCACAAAAGCAACGATTTCCTTCAAGTACACCTTGAAGGAAAAGACGTATTTCTCATATATTCTTTTTTAAGTCTTTATACTTATGACAATGCAATGCTGATGTGCCAAAGGATGAAGTATCTTCTTGTTTGTGAAACCTATACTGAAGTTCCTTTAAATGCTTCATGGCCCTAATTTTAACAACTCTCCTCTGAAATAACAGGTTACGACTTTATTCTCATAAATTAATGACTTTATTCTCATAAATTCACGACTCTAAATCTCAAAGTCTTTAAAAAAAATGTCAATATGGCCCTCATACTCCTTCATACAAAACATGCAATCATTGGATGAATTTTGTGGAATTGATCTGTGCTTGTATGTATCT